CCTCCATGATCCATGCGGCTGCCCCCCATTTCCTGTGGCCGTTTGCGGTCCGGTACGCCGCGCATCAGCTCAACCTCTGGCCCCGTGTCTCCTTGCCGGAGACCTCGCCCACACTGCTGTGGACGGGGAAGGTTGGTGATGCGTCGCGTTTCCGGGTCTGGGGTGCTCGTGCCTTTGTCCGCGATACCACCGCGGACAAGCTCTCCGCCCGCGCTGTTCCCTGTGTCTTCCTTGGCTTTGTCCCTGACGCGCCTGGTTGGCAGTTTTACCATCCCACCTCGCGCCGTGTCTTTGCGTCTCAGGACGTCACGTTCGACGAGTCGGTTCCCTTTTACCGTCTCTTCCCCTACCGCACTGCCCCGCTCCCCCCCCCGCCGCTCTTCCTCGCTCCAGGTGCTCCCCAGGTAGACCCCCTCCCCACTCCTGGTCCTGCTCCTTCAGGTGTTTCTCAGGTAGACCCTCCTCCCTTGACTGCGCCGGTTGAGGTCACTGGTGACTCAGGTCCTACTGAGGGTGGTCCTTCTCGGGGTGCTACTTCTAGGGGTGCTGAGCCTGGGGGTGCGGAGCCTGGGGGTGCTGAGCCTGGTGGTGCTGAGCCTGAGTGTGAGGGGTCTGGGGGTGCTGAGCTTGGCGGTACTGACGCTGGAGGTTCTGGAGCTACTGAGGGTGCTGGCGCTAGAGGTTCTGGAGCTGCTGGAGGTACAGGTGCTGAGGGTACTGACACCGGAGGTTCTGGAGCCGTTGGGGGTGCGGGCGCTGAGGGTTCTGAGTCTGCTGTTGCGCGGTCTCCTTGGAGTAGCCGCCTTCGTCCACGTGTGCCTCTCACCCCACAGCAGCTGCAGGACTGGTACGGTCGCCGTCAGCGTCGCGCTGCTGGAGCTAGGAGTGGTGCTGGACCTTTGTCTACTGGAGGTGCTGGAGTCGCTGGTTCTGGAGGTGCTCGTGCTGGAGACACTGAGGCTGGAGACCCTGGGACTGGAGGTGCTGGCTCTGGGGGTGCTGCTACTGGAGACACTGAGGCTGGAGACCCTGGGACTGGAGGTGCTGGTTCTGGGGGTGCTGCTGCTGGAGACACAGAGGGTGGAGACCCTGGGACTGGAGGTGCTGGTTCTGGGGGTGCTGCTGCTGGAGACACTGAGGCTGGAGACCCTGGGACTGGAGGTGCTGGTTCTGGGGGTGCCGCTGCTGGAGACACAGAGGTTGGAGACCCTGGGGCTGGAGGTGTCGGCTCTGGGACTGGAGCTTCTGGAGCTGCTGGAGGTACTGGAGCTGCTGGAGGCACTGGAGCTGCTGGAGCTGCCGCTCCTGGTGCAGCTGCGCCGACACGACGGTTCTTCGCTCCGCCGTCTCCGTCGTCTCTGCCGCCGTCTGACTCTGTTCTTTGTCAGGTTCTTACTCTCCCGTCGTCTACTGGTCTTCCGTTACAGCCTGGCTCACCGCTGCCTGCTCCTTCTCCTTACACTGTGCAGACTGGTAGTCCTGCTGAGCGTCGTGAGCCTGCGTCGCGTCCTGTTTCGCCTGTTCGTCCTAGTCGTACCGGTCGTCGTGTTCCTCGTTCGCGTCAGCCGGCTGTCCCCAGCGCACACCTCGTAGTCCGTCGTCCTTCCTCTGCTCCGCAGCCTGTTCCTCTGCCGTCTCCTCCTGCGTCCTCTTTGCCTGACGTTCCGGACCCTGCGTCTGACCGGTTTCGTGCTGAGCACCCTACTGTCACGCGTCTACTAGCCACAGTTGTCACTGACCCGTCGTTTGAGTCTGCTGCTGCGTTTGCTCTTGTCGCTGAGCTTGTTGACTTTGCTGCTGCCTGTCGTCTCGACTACACTGCCAGTCTTGTTACTGAGTCTGAGTCTGTCTGTCCTCCGTCCGTCGGGGGTGAGTGTGCTCTTAGCACGGACGTCCTTGAGGACAGGCAAGAGGAGTTCCAGTGTCTTGCTGCTGCTTTACCTCATCTTGTGTCCTCGCTACTTGCCCCTGAGGGAGACCCGGATGCACCAGACATCCCGACTCCGCGCTCTTACGCTGAGGCGATAGAGGGTCCCTACTCCTCTCAGTGGCAGGCAGCCATGGACGCAGAGATGGCTTCCTGGAAGTCCACAGGCACCTATGTCGACGAGGTTCCCCCACCTGGGGCGAACATCGTCAGTGGCATGTGAATTTTCAGGGTGAAGCGGCCGCCGGGTTCTCCGCCTGTCTTCAAGGCGCGTTACGTGGCTCGAGGCTTCAGTCAGCGAGAGGGAGTTGACTTCTTCCAGACCTTCTCCCCCACCCCGAAGATGACCACTCTTCGGGTGCTGCTGCATGTTGCTGCTCACCGTGACTACGAGCTTCACTCTCTTGACTTCAGCACAGCTTTCTTACAGGGCAGCCTGCACGAGGAGATCTGGCTGCGCCGCCCCCCGGGCTTCACTGGGTCGTTCCCTCCTGGCACCCAGTGGAGCCTCCGGCGGCCGGTCTACGGTCTCCGCCAGGCGCCACGTGAGTGGCACGACACACTGAGGACTACGCTTGCGGCTCTTGGGTTTGCGCCTTCTACTGCTGACCCGTCGCTGTTTCTGCGCACCGACACTTCACTGCCGCCGTTCTACATCCTCGTGTACGTCGACGACTTGGTTTTTGCCACTGCTGACACTGAGGCTCTCGCCCACGTGAAGTCGGAGCTGCAGAAGAGACACACGTGCACAGACTTGGGTGAGCTGCGCAGCTACCTTGGCTTGCAGATCACCCGGGACAGAGCACGCCGCACCATCACCTTGACTCAGTCACACATGGTGTAGCAGGTCCTTCAGCGCTTCGGCTTCACCTGGTCTTCAGCACAGGCCACTCCTCTGGCTACAGGTCACACGCTCTCAGCTCCACCTTCGGACGAGTCCGTAGAGCCGAGTGGTCCTTACCCAGAGCTAGTCGGCTGCCTCATGTACCTGATGACTTGCACTCGACCTGACCTCGCGTACCCTCTTGGTCTTCTGGCTCGCTACGTGGCTCCTGGTCGGCACCGACCTGAGCACATGGCTGCTGCTAAGAGGGTACTGCGCTACTTGTGCAGCACATCAGGCATGGGGCTAGTGCTTGGAGGGACGAGCCCAGTTGTCCTCACTAGGCACTCAGACGCTTCTTGGGTTGACGACCAGGCTACTCAGCGGTCGTCACAGGGTTATACCTTCAGCCTTGGCTCTGGTTCAGTTTCGTGGCGTTCTACACGCTCGTCTTCAGTTCTCAGTTCCAGTTGTGAGGCTGAGATCTACGCCACAGCCATGGCTGCACAGGAGTTACGCTGGCTCACCTACCTGCTGACTGACTTGGGAGAGCAGCCTCGTTCTCCTCCAGTACTGTACGTCGACAACAAGGCCGCCATTGCCTTGTGTGAGGAGCACAGACTGGAGCACAGAACGAAGCACATTGCTCTGCGTTACTTCTTGGCTCGAGAGTTGCAGCAGCGAGGCCAGCTTCATCTTCGTTACGTGGCCACTTGGGCCAACACTGCTGATATATTCACCAAGGCACTTCCGTCTGGTGATCATCAGCGCTTTTGTACCCTGTTAGGCCTTGTGCCTACGTTTCCACACTTGCTGTAGTCTCTGCTTGTACTGTGATCTATATATATACATGCATGCCTGCTCTTGCTAGGTAGTCATCACTGTACTGTTATTGTTGCATATATATCTCTGCTTGTGGACTGGCCTTGTGGCCCTTTGCTTGTGCTCAGAATGTGTGGTGACATTGAGATCCACCCTGAGCTTGCTTTGCTTCTCTTGACTGGTCGTTTGACCCCTTGTTCTCCCCCACTTTGCCTATGGGGGTGTGTCAAACATATATGCTGCATATTGTCTAGGCTGTAGTGGGGTAGCCCATATGGGGTACAGCCCAATTAGGGTTTACTACTTGTACTCCTGCATGCTGCTAGTTCATTCATTCCTGCTGCTAGATTCTGACATGCACTTGTCTGATCCTATTGCCAAGCCAGCAAGGGTGTGGGAGGGTGACAAGCATCATCGGTCATCGGCGTTTGCGAAAGAAGAGCGCTCGCTGCACTTCCTGCACATGTGCGGATCCTTCCACGTTTTGGGGCTGGCTGGAAGCGCTCGTTCCGAGCGTTTTTCTTCCGCGGGGTCGTGGTTGCGCTCGTCTGGGCCTATTAGCAAGCCAGCAAGGGCGTGGGAGGGTTTCGAGCATCATCGGTCATTGGTGGTCGCGAATGCACCATGCCTGGTGCATTTTTTGCACATGTGCGGATCCTTCCGTGTTTTGGGGATGAAAGCGCTCTTTCCGAGCGTTTTTCTTCCGTTCGGTCACGCGGCTGTGTGCGTTTGGGCCTATTACCAAGCCAGCAAGAGCGTGGGAGGGTGGCGAGCATGATTGGTCGTTGGTGCTGGCGAATGCGCATGTAATTCCCCCTAGGATCAATCGGGGATCCACAGTGCAGATCTACTGACAGAGAGTACTACTTAGTAAAATCATGCGACAGTCAGAGTGTTCAGGAATTCAACGGAGAGACTTTTATCCTTCTAGACTGGAAGGAAATTGTGTTTTAGTAGTCTAACAAGGTTAAAGCGACGGTGCACATTTGCCACCCAAAACCCAGAACCCTGGCGAACTGTTACTGCAGATGAAAAGTGTCTGCACGAAATCCTGGTTTTCGCCAGCCAACACTTTCGCGCTGGCAAGCCTGGTTCAAAAAAAAAACTTCTGAACCCAACACTGCCAAAAGTTGCCCGTCGCTTTAAGATGTTTTGTTCTGGAGTGTATTGAGTGTGGCTTCTAAATTGTGAGAGAGACCACCCCGAAGAGCAGTTGCTTCATCCCGCAGCCACCCACTACCCCATTTTCCGCCACTGCAGCGCTTCTTTCAGCCATACACACCCCGCAGAATGCGCTAGCGGCGGACCTGTTTCGAGCGAGGGTCAAGTTTCGCCACGTGCGTTACAGTACCGTGCCTTCGCATCGCGTTCGCTTCCCTCACAACTCCTGTTGGTAATCTACAACCCGAGGCTCCCCCGCTCGCCGCTATGCTCAACGCCGCCGCCATTCCGGCGGTGCTCGCAGTATCTTCGTCGCCGCTCGTCTCGTGTCGTGCTGCGGCGCTGCTATCGTCGCACGCCACTGTGCGAGGAGCGACTGGTAACCGTTTCGCTCACAACGCCGGCCCATTGACGTCCCTTCATGTGCTTTCGCGAACCCTAGAAAGACGACCCGCCATGCAAGCCTTGGGTTTCCGACGCTCGCTCTTCGCGGGGCGGGGTTTAGCGGCGGCTCCCGCGCACGCGGGGCTGGGACTAGCGCTGCGCCACTCGCCTAAGGCCTCCCACGGCGCGCCGAACCCTGTGCGGCTCTCCACTTCGGCGGCTGCGGCGGCCGGGTCGCAGGGCGAGCAGTCACGACAGGCGGGGGAAGGGAGGCGGGCAGGCGGGAGGCAGGGAGCGGGCAGCAGCGTGGGGTTCAGGGAGCGGGGCGGGAGTGGGGCGGGGGGAGCGCACGTGCGCGGAGGATGGCGAGGGCCCCGCGGGGAGAGCAGGGAGCGCTGGGCGGCGGGTGGAGAAGGGGGAAAAGTTGCAAGGAGCGGGGGACATGGCGTGGCGGGCCGTGCGATTGGCGCGGAGGGAGAGCGGGCGAGGGCAGGCGGGCGAGGTGGTGGGCGGGTGGACACGTGGGGGGAGTCGAGAGGCGGGAGGGTTGATCGGGGGATGGGCAACGGGAGGAGAGGAAGCGATTTTGGTTTCAGGGGGGAGACGAGAGGTCAGGGGCGGATGGGTGGAGGGAGGGGGCCAGGGGGCGATGGAGGGGGAGCGCGCAGGAAGCGAGGGGAGGCGCAAGTGGCGCGCCTGCATGGGCTAGAGGCGCGCACCTGCCTCGGGGGAATGGTGACGCTTTCAGATCAGCTGATGACGTGGAGCTCTATGATTCGCCAGCAATGCAAGATGGGGGCGCGCGCTTTCCGTGGGAGGAGGGCGCTGGAAGGGGCGAGGAATGGGCGCATGGCGGAGAGGGGAGGAGGGGCGAGGGGCGGGCAGCAGGGGCGCGCGTGGGCGCAGAGGATGGGTGGCGGGGCGTGGCAGGGGGGGAGCAGCAGGGGGAGGAGTTCCCGTGGCTGGGGAGGGGGAGGGGCGGAGGGGCAGGCGGCGGGGTGCAAGGGGAGGCGGCGGGTGTGCGGGAAAGGCGGGTGCGGCAGGCGTGGGTGGCGGAGGTGAGTCTGCCGGCCGGTGAGCTGAGGCGGCTGCGGGCCGCAGTGATGGTGCTGCGGCAGCCGGTGAAGGTGGGGCGGCAGGGCGTGACGGAGGGCATAGTGGCGGCGGTACAGGCGCGGTGGCGCGCCGGGCACGAGGTGGTGAAGCTCAGGTGCGAGGGCGCGCCCGCCTTCAACATGCGCCTCACACACGACCAGATCGAGGTGACGCCCTCCCCCTGCCCCTCCCCTGCCCCTCCCCATGCCCCTCCCCGTGCCCCTCCCCATGCCCCTGCCCCTGCCCCACCACTACACTCCACTGCCCCCATCCCAAGCTGCCTTCTTTTTTTCCCCAACTCTTCCCTGCGCTCTTCCCACTCTCCCACCCCCCCGGACCCCCCTTCTTACCCCCCCAGCGTCTGACGGGCGGCATGGTGGTGTGGCGGGCGGGGGCAGCGCTGGCAGTGTACCGTGGCCCGCAGTACGGCCAGGGGGGGGAGGGGCAGGGGGGGGGGGGGGGGGGGAGGCGGAAGAGGGGGAGATGAGATGGGGAGATGGGGAGGCGGGGTTGGAGGAGATGGGGAGTGTTGGTGCGAGGGGGTGGGGAGAGGGAGAGATGAGTGATGGGGAATTAGAGGGCGAGGGAGAGGGAGAGGGGGGGCAGGGCGAGCAGCAAGGGGCAGCGCTGGTGAGCGGGGCAAGCAGCGGTGAGGGGCAGCAGGAGTGGGGAGGGCAGGGTGGGGAAGGCGGCGTGGCAGCAGCAGCAGCAGCAGCAGCAGCAGCAGCAGCAGCAGCAGCAGCAGGCGAGGAGGACGTGACGGTGGGGTTGGGTCCCAAGGTGGCGGGGTGGGAGCGGCCTGGCCATGCCCCCGTGGACGCCGACCAGCTGCTGGGGGGAGCGGCCGCGGTGGGGTACCGCGCGCCGTTCAGGCTGGTGCCGTATGGTGTGAGCAGCAAGCTGAGCAACGATGAGATGACCCGCCTGCGCCACCTTGCCAGGAAGCTGCCGCCCCACTTCATGCTAGGTGATGCGCGCCCCACTTCATGCTAGGTGATGCGCGCCCCACTTCATGCTAGGTGATGCGCGCCCCATTAATTTCAGTCTCTGATTCCCCCTTCTCTCTCCCATTCCACCATTAAACCTCACTCGTCCCTCTGCACTGTCGACCTTGTATGGTGGGCGGGGTGTGCTGCTGGGGGGCCTCGCAGGGCGCAACAGGGGGTTGGAGGGGCTGGCGGCGGCGGTGGTGGCGCTGTGGGAGCGCAGCGAGGTGGCCAAGATTGGCGTCAAGCGCGGCGTGCAGAACACCAGCAACGAGCGCATGGCAGAGGAGCTCAAGGTGAGGTGCATGGCGCAGGAGCTCAAGGTGAGGTGCATGGCGCAGGAGCTCAAGGTGAGGTGCATGGCGCAGGAGCTCAAGGTGAGGTGCATGGCGCAGGAGCTCAAGGTGAGCAGCAAGGGGCGTGTCAGGTGCTTGCAGTGGTGAGCAATGAGCGCATGGCAGGTTCCTGCAGTTTCAGCGCCTGCCACACCCCACACAGGCTCCTTCTCCCATCACCTCCTCTCTGCATCTCAACCTCTCCGCCTCTCCCCTTTTCCTCCCCCCCCCACTGCCCTCCCTCCAGAGGCTGACGGGCGGGGTGCTGTTGGCGCGCGACAAGTTCTTCATCTCGTTGTACCGCGGCAAGGACTTCCTGCCCGCTGCGCTCGCCGCCACACTCGCAGCACGGCAGCAGCAGGCGAGGCAGAGTGCGGACGAGGAGGAGAGGGAGCGCCTGCTCGCCCTGCCCTCGCTGCTGCTGCCCTCGCCCTCCGGCCCCGCACACGGCGAGGAGGGCGCATGGGGAGGTATGGCCAGCAGTCAGTGGTGACTAGTGCATGCATGGGTTTGCACGACTTCGGCATTGTCTCAGGCACAACACCTTCGTGCGTGCTCCATTCCCTCACTCTCTCCACTCTGTGCCTCCGTGTGTTTTCTCCTTGCTGCACGCCCATCATCGTGCAGCCTCTCCTGGGAGCGCAGTGCACTCGTCTGAGGGCAGGGGAGACGCGGAGGGCGGGGAGGAGGAGGAGGAGGTGGAGGGGCAGCTGGTGGAGGGGCAGCTGGTGGAGGGGCAGCTGGTGGAGGGGCAGCTGGTGGAGGGGCAGCTGGTGGAGGAGGAGCGGCGGCGGCGGCGGGAGGCCATAGAGGCGTCCAGGCGGCTGGCACTGGCACGGCAGATAGAGCAGAAGCTGGCTCAGGTGGGATGGCAGATAGAACTCAAGCTGATGGTGTCATCTTACCTTCATGTCACCCCCTAAGCTGCGGCTTTCTGCCTGCCATTGCAGCAGCTGCTCTGCGCCTCTGCTGCAGCAAATGCTGACTGCCTCCCTTGTGCCTCCCTCTCTGTGAGCATGGAGCAGGCGCTGCGCAAGAAGGGGCGGGCGGAGGAGCAGTTGGAGAAGCTGCGGGCGGTGCTGCGGCCAGTGGAGGTGCCGGCGGACAGTGAGACGCTCACGGAGGAGGAGAGGCACATGTTCCGCAAGCTCGGCCAGAAAATGCGTGCCTACCTTGAAATGGGTCCGTGCTGCACCATGCCACCCACCCACCTGCCTCTCCTTCCTGCCGTTTGACACCCAATGCTGACAATTGCTAGTTGAAATGCACGTTTTTCCTAGTCTCGTTTCCGCCCAGCACATTCTTGCACCGTCTCTCCCCTCCTCTCCCTCCCTCCTCCCCGGGGCGTGCAGGCAAGCGGGGCGTGTTTGCAGGGCTGGTGGAGAACATGCATCTGCACTGGAAGCACCGCGAGCTCGTCAAGATCATCTGCAAGGACCGCGACCGGCGCCGAGCGGAGGACGTGGCGGCCATGCTGGCGGTGGAGAGCGGGGGCGTGCTGGTGGGCGTGGTGCCAGTGAAGAAGCACCACGCCATCATTGTGTACCGCGGCAAGAACTACTCTCGCCCCGCCCTGCTGCGCCCCAAGGGGCTCCTCACCAAGCGCCAGGCGCTCACACGCGCCACCGAGGAGCAGCGCCGTGCGGTGAGCTGAGGGGGGGAAGGGGGAGGGGGAGGAGGGGGGGATGGAGGTGTGGGGTGGAGGGGGGGCGGGGGGTGGTGGTGGGGGTGGTGGGGCCAGTGGGGGTGGTCGGGGCGGTGGGGGTGGTGGGCCGTGGTTGACAAGATTGTGTTGTGTCTGCCTTGCAAACCCTGATGCTTTCAGTGGGTCTGTTCGCTTGTGACTTATTCCCCTATAAATCGCATGCTCTGGGTGTAACGGCTATGCCATGCCCCACCATGCCCCACCATGCCCCACCATGCCCCACCATGCCCCACCATGCCCCACCATGCCCGCCCTGCAGTCACTGGAGGCACACATGAGGGAGCTCGATGCTGCCATCGCGCGCCTCTCACAAGGACTGGTCAGTGCTCTCCTTCTCCTCCCCTCCACTCTCCTGCCCTTCTTCTCCTCTCCACTCTCCCGCCCTTCTTCTCTCCTCCACTCTCCCGCCCTTCTTCTCCCCCCACTCTCCCGCCCTTCTTCTCCCCTCCACTCTCCTGCCCTTCTCCTCCCCTCCACTCTCCCGCCCTTCTTCTCCCCTCCACTCTCCCGCCCTTCTTCTCCCCTCCACTCTCCTGCCCTTCTTCTCCCCTCCACTCTCCCGCCCTTCTTCTCCCCTCCACTCTCCTGCCCTTCTTCTCCCCTCCACTCTCCCGCCCTTCTTCTCCCCTCCACTCTCCCGCCCTTCTTCTCCCCTCCACTCTCCTGCCCTTCTTCTCCCCTCCACTCTCCCGCCCTTCTTCTCCCCTCCACTCTCCCGCCCTTCTTCTCCCCTCCACTCTCCTGCCCTTCTTCTCCCCTCCACTCTCCCGCCCTTCTTCTCCCCTCCACTCTCCTGCCCTTCTTCTCCCCTCCACTCTCCCGCCCTTCTTCTCCCCTCCACTCTCCTGCCCTTCTTCTCCCCTCCACTCTCCTGCCCTTCTCCTCCCCTCCACTCTCCTGCCCTTCTTCTCCCCTCCACTCTCCTGCCCTTCTTCTCCCCTCCACTCTCCTGCCCTTCTTCTCCCCTCCACTCTCCCGCCCTTCTTCTCCCCTCCACTCTCCTGCCCTTCTTCTCCCCTCCACTCTCCCGCCCTTCTTCTCCCCTCCACTCTCCTGCCCTTCTTCTCCCCTCCACTCTCCTGCCCTTCTTCTCCCCTCCACTCTCCTGCCCTTCTCCTCCCCTCCACTCTCCTGCCCTTCTTCTCCCCTCCACTCTCCGGCCCTTCTTCTCCCCTCCACTCTCCTGCCCTTCTTCTCCCCTCCACTCTTCTGCGCTTCTTCTCCCCTCCACTCTCCTGCCCTACTTCTCCCTTCCACTCTCCTGCCCTTCTTCTCGCCCTCCGCTTTTATGCTCATCTGCTCCTCTTCTGATGTGGTGACATCACCTCCTCTCCTTCTGTTCGCACCATGCCGTGCGTGTGTGCCTGTGTACACGGGTGGATGTGTGTGTGTGAGGGCAGGCAGAGGCAGAGAGAGGGGCGCAGGTGAAGCCTGGCGAGATAGCGCCTCTTTCCCGCGCCTCCCTGCCTTCCTCGCCTCCATCTCTCGACTCCGCCACCAGTACTAGCAGCAGCGCCAGCGGCAGCACCAGCGGCAGCAGCAGCAGCAGCAGCAGGGAGCGAGACATGGGATGAGGGCAGTGAGGCAGGTATGGAGGGGCCTTCCCCACTGTCGCCCGCTGCGGAGGCGGAGGCGGCTGAGATCGACGCGCTCATTGCTGCCAGCGTGCAGCCAGAGCTGCAGCAGCAGGAGGACGAGGAGGAGAGGCAGCGGCAGCAGCAGGAGAGGGAGGCAGTGCGGGAGAGGCAGCGAGTGGGCAGGGGGGAGGTGAGGGAGCGGGCGCTAGTGGGCCCTCTCTTCAGGGCGCCTCCCCTCTCGCGCTCCCAGCGCCTTGAGCTCCGGCGCAGGGCTCTCACCCTCGACTCCACCGCCGCCTTCCAAGTTGGTCAGTGCACCCACCACCACCCCTGCCGGCCCTCTCTCACTCTTCCCACCTGTTGGGTTCCCCCGCCTCACTCTCACTTGCAATCATTTACCCACTGCTCTCCGCCTATTCCTTTCCCCCCTTCCTCCACTCTCTCACTCTCTCATTGCCTCTTTGTTGTGTTATATGCTGTATCCTATACATAACTGTGCCTGCAAATGCATGGTGTGTGTCACTCATGCTGTCCCTGGCTGGCACGGCCGCACGGCCACAGGGCGCAGCAACGTGGTGGAGGGGCTGGCTCGCGCCATCCGCCTGCACTTCACACGCCATGCGCTCGTGATGGTGGGCATCCGAGGCCGGGCGGCGGGCACGCCAGTGGACGAGATCGTCACGCAGCTCGAGGTGAGGATGCGGGGTGGGGGGAGCATGGCTGTGCTGTGTTCGCTAATGCTGCCTCGCGGGTGTGTGCTGCTTCTTGCCTGGGTTTGATTTGAACGTCTGTGGCCCTGACTGGGGTGGCATGTGGTTGTGGTGTGTGGCGTGCGCAGGAGGCGACTGGGGGTGTGTTTGTGTCACGGGAGCCGTCCAAGGTGGTGCTGTACCGCGGGTGGGAGGACGGCCACCCCGCCCCCTGGGAGGGGCCGCGCGTCATGCAGGTGACGCCGCAGATGGTGGCCGCCATGCAGAGCGAGGCTGGCAGTGACCTGGGCATGCACGCTGTGGAGGGTGCTGATGGCGTGGAAGGCACTGGGAGTGACGGGGAGGTGGAGGAAGAAGGGGAGTCGTGGACAGACCAGTTTGATCAATATGGCACCGAGGTGACCAAAGGAGATGTGGGGCTGTTATATGACCAACAGCACAGCGAGATTCGTGATTCTTGAACCCGACTGGCCAAAATAAATTTGAGAGCTGAATCGGAATGTTCCATGGTATTCTAGTGTTTCTTAAGATGTGGTAAGAACTGGCATCTCTAATTTCTCTGGCTTGCTTGAGTGCTGGAATCAGTCAGGCGTACAAAAAGCATATTTTTTATGTTTCCTAAGCTGGTACTCAACTGATGTTTGGTTCATAAGCTTCTTTATTAGCTCCAACAGCACCCACATGGTGTGGGCAGCTGTAAACACGGACATACACCCATCTGCCCAAACCCACAAAGCCACGGCCAAAAATCAAGTCCACTCTCGAGATTTTTTTCGTAAAGCACCTTTGGGATTATCGAGTGGCTCCGGTCGCACGCGGTGGATCTGGGCGAGTCTGACTGAACCGAGCGAGCGACAAAGCAGAGCAGCTTCGCTTTGGAGGGAATCCATCCTGTGGCTGAGGACCGCCGGTCGGAAGATTTTTTCTCGGTAAAGAACTGCCGACGACAGCACGTCGCAAAAATCTGGCGATGTCGTCAGAATGGCGATTCAGAGCGTTACGCGGTTTGTTTGTGTGACCCGGGAGTTCATTTTACACGGAATAAGAACAATTTCGTGCTGTTTCCTGCAGCGTTTGTTATCGGGCAAGATTCTGTCTTGTGTCGGGCAGCCGATGAAGCCTGTCGGCCATCCCCAGCTTCCAGAAGCCAATCTTGGGAACGGAGCGAGGGAAGCCCAGGGAATGTGTTTGTTTGGATCACACAGCTCACACCTTAGCTCACACCTCGCCTCCAGTCCGATCGACTTAGCTACTACAATTCCTACATTTTCATGGTCCTATAGTCGCTCTTCTGGTCCAATATTTTTTTTCCATGCGATTCGAGCGGTAGTCTTATCCAGGTTGTAAGTTCTAAGCGTCGTTTTGTGTATCATACGTAGTGAATATTCCGAGTTGGCTCGACGACGATGTCGGCATCGGCATGGGAAATGGAGGATGGCGACTGCGCGGTCAACAGCTGGCCCATGGTGATCTCCTCTCACATCCATTTGCTCCGTTAATCGCCTTTTCTTCGTTCTTGCTCGACTTACCACCTTCTAAAATCTGCAGGTTCTCACCACGAGATGGTTTGGTACGCAGTATATGTTTTCCGATCTCTTTTGGTGAAATACATGAGCCAACTTGCATTGCAATAATCTCGCCTCGAAATTATTATGTATGACCTATACTTCCTGCATTCTAATAGCTTTCGAACTCGGCTGATAGCGATCGCTGACGGGCGTGTGTGCGTGTTGTCCCGTGGCGTGCATGGCGCGCAGTTCGACGACCAGGTGTGGGAGCAATTCGACGACTACGACGAACTCGCCGCGCCGCACGCTCACAGGGACGCCGCGGGTGTCGTTGACGCCAGCTGCGACGCGTCGCACGCTGGGAGACTGCGACAGGTCGAAGGTGGAGGAACTGACGGCGGCCGCGAGGGCCTGTCGTCTGGCCGCTTGAATGACGACCCGCGAGGGGCGCGCGAGTTGGCAGGCTGGAACGGGTGGGGGGAGCAGCAGGAGGATGGGGCCGGGAATGGCGCTGGGGATGGCGTCGGCATGGGCAAACACAGTCCTCATGCGCGCGCAGACCATACCGCCGCTTGCGCCTTCCCGCGCGCCGAGCTACCAAGCTCCCCGGACAGGCAAGGCGGGGCTTGCGCGGGCGCGATGGTGGACGGGATGGCAAGTGAGCCGTGGGGTCACGAGCACGCGAGCCACGTGGATGAGCTGATGAGGTGGGTCGACGCTTACGTGGCACTGATGCATTGTGCTCTCGGTGTCAGCATTGCTTACCCGAATATCCTCCACCTGTCCGCATGTCCCACCTGATCTCGCCCTCCCGTCTGCCTCGTGCTGCCCGCAGGTCCGCCTATGCCACGGACGCGCTTTCTTTTCCCTCCGCGGACCTTCTTCCCCTCCCTAGCGCGGACCCTCCCTCCCCCTCTTCCGCGGACGCGCTCCCCCATCTCACGCGCGCCGACCTGCACTCGTGGTGGGGCCCCGCCTCCGACCCCTCCGTGCCGCTGCCGCCCGCCCCCGCGCTGCTCGACGCCGCCTGCGCCTTCCCCTCCGCCGGCGCCGGCGACGAGCGGTGCCGCGAGGAGGAGCGGCGGGCGGCGCAGGTGTGGGCGGTGGAGGAGCTGGAGGCGGAGCAGGAGGAGGGGGGCGACCACGCGGAATGGGGGGAACGCGCGGAGGGCGATGGAGGGGCGAAGGCGGAAGGCGCTGCTGCCTCTGACGCGGACAGCAAGGGCGCAATGAGAGCAGGGCTTGCGAGCAATGGTGGTGGTGGTGCTGCTGCTGCGTGTGTGGCACAGGTGCGTGTGTGGCACAGGTGCGTGTGTGGCACAGGTGCGTGTGTGGCACAGGTGCGTGTGTGGCACAGGTGCGTGTATGGCACAGGTGCGTGCGTGCAATTCATGCTTCCATGCTGCGACTGTCGCGCGCGCCGTTACCTTGCTCCCTCGCATGCATGCTGGCACGGCGCACACCACGCCACGCACGGCAGGATGGCGGATGCTGGAGGGGGCGTTCTCTGGGGCTACGTGAACTGACTGCCGCTCCTTGCTGCTCTGCCCCTCGCCGTGTTCCGTGCTGCGCTGCCAGGCCCACAGCTCCGCCCCGCTCACGGCAGTGGCGGACGGCGCGCCGTCATGGGAGGGTGGCTCCAGCGCTGCGCCTGCTGTGAGCGCGGGCGCGGCAGCTGAGGCTGGCCCACCCAGAAGCTCCAGCCCCGGGGGCTCCTCGCGCTGCCTCTCGCAGGTACATCGCCGCCCCTCCCTTCACCCACCACTCACTCACCCACTCACTCACTCACTCACTCACTCACTCGCTCACTCACTCACTCACTCACTCACTCATTCACTCACTCACTCACTCACTCACTCACTTAACAACTCGCTCACTCACCCACTCGCCCTCGCACTCGCCCTCCCACACACTCACCCGCGCACACACACAACCCTTCCCCGTGCCATGCGCCCACCCCAGGCGAGGCGGAGAGCAGCGACGCGCAGGAGGAGAGAGGGCGAGCAAAGAACAACGGCGTCCAGAAAGCTGCCCCTCGGCCAGCACGCCGTGCCCTTCCCCTCGCTGCCGCACCACTTCCCCAACTACTGCCCTCCTTTCTTCGCCCCCCACATGTCCGCTGCACCGCTCCTGCCGCTCGCCTCAAGCCAGCCCGCCAGTGCCCGCCCTGCCTCCGCCGCGCCCACTCCCTCGCCCGCCCCTTACCTCTACTCTTGCGCGCCCTCGCACGCCCTCCCCATCCCTCCCTGCCCTGCGCCCACGCATCTCTTTCGCTACTTCCCCCCCGCGCACCTGCCCCGCCTCCCCCACTTTCCCAACTACCCGCTCACCTCGCAGCCGCTGCTCCCCGCCTTCCCTTCCCGCCTCCTGCCTCCCGCGCACCCCTGCGCGCCGCCTCAGCGGCCCCCAGTGTGCGCCACGCCGTCGCCACCCGCCGCTGCCCCCCGTGCTGCTGCAGGTGCTGCGTCACCCCACGCTGGCACGGGCACCGTGGGCGAGCCTGGTGCACACACAGGGGGGGGGTCAGCGGGGACGGCAAGCACGACGGCGCTGAGGGAAGCGGCGGAGCAGCAGAAGCAGCAGCAGGCGCTGGGGCAAGCCATCTTCGCCCTCCACCAGCAGCGCTCCGTGCTGCGCCAACAGCAGCAGCACGGCGCTCAGGCGCACGCAGAGCAGAGCGCGGGGAGCGTGGGGGCGGAGGCAAAGGCGGCGTGTGGGCCTCTTGGAGGGGCGAGAGGGGAGCGGGCAGGGACGAGCGCAGCAGCAAGTGGCGCATGGCAGCAGCAGGCAGGGGGGGTGTGGCAGCAGCAAGGAGGGGGACCGTGCAGTGACTCGCAGTGCTCCGCGCTCCTCGCGTCCTCCTCTTCCTCCAAGGCGCCTGCCGCCTCCCCCTCGCTCTCCCTTTCCCCTGCTCCCCCACCTCGGCCCCCTGCTGCAGCCCGTGCCCCCACCGCCCCTGCGCCCACTGCGGAGCAAGCGGGGAGGGACAAAGCCGTGCCACACGCGCCCCTCCCCGCTGCATCCGCGCCACGCCCTTGCACCCCTCGCTCCCCATCCGTCCTTCCGATTGGCTCTTCCGCTGCCCCCTCGCTCTCCCCCTCGTCGTCCTCCCTTCCCCCTCCATCGTCCCCCTCCCCTCTCAAGCCCCCCATGCCCGGAGTGTGGGTGCTTCCGCACCTGCCCCCGCGCAGCCCACTGGCGCACACTGACAGCGCGGCTGGCGCGGGCAAGGGGGAAGGCGAGGTGAAGGTCGGGGCAGGGCAGGCGGGCAGAATGGGTGGAGAGCGAATGGGGAGCGGGGGAGAGCGGATGAAGTGGGATGTGCGGCAGCTGTGGGCCAGACAGCAGCAGCGCTACCTGCTGCAACTGCAGCAGCAACAGGGACAGCAGCAGGGACAGCAGCAGGGACAGCAGGGACAGCAGCAGCAGCAGCAGCAGCAGCAAAAGCAGCAGCAGCAGCAGCAGCAGGGGCAGCAGGGGCAGCAGCAGCAGCAAAAACTGCAGCACCAGGAACAGCAACGTGTGCAGGAACAGCTGCAGCAGCAGCAAAAGCAGCAGAGGCAACAAGAGCAGCAGGGGCAGAAAAAGCAGCAGAGGCAACAAGAGCAACAGGATCAGCAAGAGCAGCAGGAGCAGCTGTTATCTGGCGTGCAGAAGAGGCAGGCGGGGGAGTGGCAGGGAGGCCAAGAGGGACAGATGGGTGGTGGGGAGGGGCAGATGAGCAGAGGGGCAGGTGGTGGGACAGAGGGTGTGGAGCAGCAGGGGGGCGGGCAGAGGGCCGTGCCTTCCATGCGAGTGGCTGAAGACACTTCGGCAGCAGCAAACTCGACAGCAGCAGGTGCAGCAGTCGCAGGCGCAGCAGCAGTGGATTCAGCAGCAGCAGAAGCAGCAAGGCGAGATGGGAGGGGTGTAGCAGCGGGCGAGGATGAGCGGCGCTGCACCACGGCAACGGCAGCAGCAGTGTGTGCGACTGCATCGCCGGGCGAAGCTGTGGGGGGGGCATTCGAGAGCCCAAGCTTGCCTGCTTCTGCTGACGCTGGTGGGTCTGTCGGCGGTGCTGATATGGCTGTTGGTGGTGCTGACGAAACTGTAGGCAATGCTGACGCAGCAGAGGGGCGATCACTGGCAAGCCCGAGGAAGGAGGAGATTGTGGAGGCTCGGGAGCGGAGTGGGGTAGGGGAGGGGGAGGGGCAGGGGCAGGGCACGGCATGTGGGCTGACAGAGGCACATGAGGCGGCCACTGCTGCTGGCGGTGACTCTGATGGTGCTGCTGCTGCTGGCGGTGCTGCTGCTGATGCTGCTGGTGCTAGTGAAACGCTGCAAGGCAGGAGTGAGGAGAGGGGAGCAGTAGCAGACGCAAGAGAGGGGAGCGAGGCGAGTGGTGTGAGTGAGGGGAGTGAGGCAATGCGCTGTGGCAAGGCGTTCACGGCCCACGCCACCCAGGGGCTCGAGGAAGGGCATGCGGTGGGGGATGAAGGCGCATGTGCTGCTGCAGGGGAGGGTGGTGCGAGTGGCATGGGGCATGGAGTGCAGGGGGGCGAGGGGGCGGGCGAGGGCATGGAGGCGGCCATTCTGCACGAGCTGGAGAGCACCGTTGCCAAGGTGAGCCCCTCCTGCTTCCTGCCACTGCACACGCCCTGCTCTCCGCTCCATGCATGCTTTCGCATCCCCTACTTCTCACCCCCCTGCACCCGAACCTCCCCTGTACTCGACTATATGTCCTGCACTCTCATTCTCGGCCAACTCGTTTTCGAGCTTTGAGCATCCGCCATCCCCTCCGCCCCCCCACCTCTTCCTTTCCCGCTCCCCCTCGTCCTTGTGTGAGCAGCTGGCGGCGAGCAGCCGGCGCTTCATCCACGAGGCGCTGCTGCGGCTGGCACGGAGCGCCAAGGGGCGCAGCACAGCAGGGGCAGGCGCCGCTGGCAGCCACAGCAGCAGCGCCACGGGGGGCTTGACGCCGTCTGCTGGATGCGATGCAGGGCGGGCCGAGCAGGCAGCGACAGCGACCGAGACAGAGACAGGGGGAGGGACAGGGGTGGGGGCGGGGACAGGGTCGTCGGGAATGAGTAGTGAGGAGGGGCGGAGTCAGTCAGAGCCAGGGACAGGTGGTGCTGGTACGGTGGTAGCGCCGGCATCAGAGGTGGCAGGGGAGGTGCGTGGGGAGGAGAGTGGAACGAACCGCATCGACCGCGCCATCGCCAACCTGCTATTCCGCTCGCCCGTCCTCTTTGGCCCCTCCCGCCCACCTGCTTCTGCTGCACTGCCACTGTCTGCTTCACCTGCAGGGCTCCCTGGCCATGGCGCCCCACACCACTATCCCCTGCCTGCTGCCGTCTCCCCCGTGCCGCATGTGGGCCCCCTGCATGCCCTGCCCTCTGCCTCCAGCCTCGCCCCCACCGCCTGCCCACCCACTGCCCATGCAGCTGCTGCTGCCACCTCCACCTCCTCTGCCTCCTCCACCGCCTCTGCTGCTGCCGTTGGCACCGCGGCTTCAGTGCGCAGCACGCCCCACGGGGCAGCACCACCAGGTGTGCTGCCGGTGCCCATGCCCATGCATGCAGCCCCACGAGCCCACCCATCTGCCCCTGCCACGGCACCACTGCATCTCGCGTCCACTCCTCTGCACCACTCTGCTGCGCCGCTCTCAGCAGGGCCACAGCAGCAGCGCTCCACCAGCCCATATCTGCAGCACCACGCACCCACCGCTGCTGCCCCACCGTTTCTGCGGCACCCGGCGCCGCCTGTGACCCTGCCACCCCACATGCAGCCATGGGTGGCATGGCATGCACCTCCGTGGGGCACTGCACTGGCAGGCGTCCCCTCCACCCCCTCAGGTTTGCCTGTTCATGCGGCACGCACCTATTTTTATTCTCCGGTAGCCTCCCAAATGGACCCATTTTTGTCCGGGCCTCCTATGGCCACACAAGCTGGCACGCAGCCAAGCTTATTGGGCCAGAACCGCTGACTTTGATAAAGGGCTCAAGTTCCTTTATCTCTTACAGAATTTGACTGACATTGTTTTGTTGTGGTTGTGATGTGTGTTTTTGTGTGCATAAAAGGTGGCTTTGGTTTCTGGCCAACTATCCTCTGGTTAACGGATTTGGTTTTGTACCAGTGTCGAACCCTAATGAACGCATGATGCCTACAAGTGAAATAAGTGAAAGTGCTTGTCGCATATTGGCAGAGACACGTCATCGCATGTCAGATCGTACTGTACAGCCCGTGAATCGTGAATCGTGAATCCCAAGTGGACATCCGGACACGGATCTGACTTGCGCCTCGTACACCTCGACAAGACACGCGTCGCTACCACCACGGCCCCGAGGAACGTACGCTTCTGCTTTTGCAGGGCAAAATCCACGCCAGTTGCGCCATACCAAACTCGTACGGCTGGGCGACGAGGCTGGTCTCGTACGCCATCGCAACGCGTCGTACTACACCCTGAATGATCGTCAGGCGGGGGCTGAATGCAGGGTTGAAGGCGACACCTGGCGGGTTACACATTCTGGCGATGACCCGCGCCCACCTGCGATGCTGGCGACACACGCTGATCTACTGTCGTCAAATTGACCAACCACCTCCCGCGTACGTTTCGTTCGTACGCGGAGCTGGAGGAGGATGACCCCCATTTCGCAACCAACGCTCGAGACGCAGACTGTTCCACCACCACTTACATACCGTATTTTTAAGAACCAAGTCGTAAGACATGCTAGCCCAATGCGAGCGCATAGACCATTGCAACTTCCTTGATCCCTGCGCAACAATAAGCACAACTTGTGTCCATGGCCGTTTATTCTGCTCTTAAACCAGCGCGCATTGCGCAACCATGTCTCCCACGCACTCGCGGGCATGCCGGAATCCAGCCTCGACGCGCTCAGGCCACGAGTCGCCACTCGCCAAACGTCTCACTAGCAGCACAGCCGCGACAGCGTGTGCCGTCTGGACATGTTTCGCGGAGTTGTGAAGCTGGGAGCTCGAGTTCTCCAGGCGTCGCGAGTCGCATGACAGCTGCAGACATGCCGCGCCAATCACTTCCCGTGCCGCTTCTGCCCGCCGCCATGCTTCCTCTCATCATGACGTCACCCGCAGCTGCTGCCGCCCTTATTTCCGAGTCGCAACACGCGGTTGACTCGCTCGCGGATCACATAATTGCCACGTCATCATCGAGTCAATTCTTCCTCGCCTCGCTGCCCGACTTGTCAACCATTCTCAACCTTTTCCACAATATCGACTTCGAATCAGCAATGGACTCGTGGCAAGACGTTGCGTTCGCTCTCCAAGACAGCGTGGACGAGTTTCTCTACCTCGCAAGCCACCTGGCGGAATCGCACGACCTTGCCGCCTTGTCGCCCGCGACGCTCGCAATCATCTACGTCGCAGGGCTGCTAACGAGCTTCGCGCCGTGCACGCTCAGCCTGCTGCCGCTCACCGTCGGCTTCATCGCCGGTTTCGACTCCCCCCCGCCCGCCCCCTCGCCGCCCCAATCCGCATCCGCCTCCCCCTCCTCTCCCCCGCCCTGTTGCTGCTCCGCCGACGACTCCCCCCCGCCACTCCCCGACGCGCGGTCCACGTACGCCGCCAGCGTGCCGGTCAACTGCTTCTTCTTCACGCTCGGCCTCGCCGCCACGCGCACCGCCATGGGCGTCGCCGCGGCACTCGCCGGCCAACATGCCGTGGGCGATGTGGGCGGCGCGCTGCCCGCCGCCGTGTCGTTTGTGGCCATGCTGGCGGGGCTGCACCTGCTCGGCCTGCTGCCCGTTCGCCTGCCCGCGCCTGTGGCGGCGCGATTCAGCCCCGCGGCGGTGAGCGGGAGGGTTCCCGTGGCGCTGCAGATGGCGGCGGGCGGAGCGGCGTTCGCGTTCGTGGCGTCGCCGTGCTGCACGCCCGTGCTCGCTTCGCTGCTCGCCTTCGTCGCGTCCACCAGGGTGAGTTAGTGGGAGGGGCAGAGGGTGTGGGGGCTGATGTGTGTAACTCGCGGACCCCCTGGTGGGTTGGTGGCTCTTGCAGATTCTTACAGCAGACAAACGTGTAAAGAAGGAAAGTCATCGACAAAGCACACCAGCTGCTTCACCCACTATCACCCTTCATCCGTTGCTTGCCTCTTTGCACCCCTTGCTCTCCTCACTAGTCCCCCCTGCCCCTTTCTGTGTGCTCCATCTCCCGCCTTGCAGGACGCGGTGACAGGCGGAGCGCTGCTGCTGAGCTACACGATGGGCTTCGCCACGCCGCTGCTGCTCGCCGCCTCGTGCACGGGCGCACTCAAACAGATATCAGCCGTCCGTCGGTACTCGGGGTGGATTAACCCTGCCAGTGGCGTGCTGCTGCTGGGCGGAGGGGCGTATGTGTTTGTGGGGAAGGTGCTGCCCCATGCTGCCGTCATGTCAACCATCATGTGATGTGACCGAAGCAGTGAGCATTGACCCTCTGTGGAATGTTGACATATAACCTTTAGGGGTGTAGAAGTAGCCCTGGAGCATGCCTGATGCTGGGACCAGGTTCTAGGTGCCTTTTCTGAGTAGGAAGCGTAGGATACGTAGGTGCCATGTCAAGACAGCTAGTTGTGTACATTCCTTTCTTGTGTATCTGACAATCGAGCGGAGTTGCTCCACTCTGAGTGTCATGGCTTCACACCACAATTGTACCGTACAAGGTGTACAGAGTGGGGGAGCAGCTGGTTTCCAGCTCAGCTCCAGGCAACATGCTGAGTCTGGCCCAGCACCTATGCCAACTGCCCTCTGTGTGCTGCAAGGTGTAAACTGCTGACCGCCTTCCTGTGCTCCCAGCCTTCATCTCCTCCACATGCCTTGTGGTCTTGTCTCCTAAGTTGTTTTCTGCAAATTACCATAGCAAACCATTCTAAACTTTATTTAGAGCCCTCTATAACCCATCAAGCCCCATTGAGCCACATTCGCTGCGACACAGCACCAGTCACCTGCACTCCACACCTCACCCCTTGCAAACAGCTTCGGACAGCGCCATGAAAGTGGTTTCCCAGTTATTATTGCACAATACATAATCATTCACACGCCACGCGGTGCATCCTTGTTGCCGCGTCATTTGAACACGGCCTGGTCGCCCAGCTCCTGCCCCTCCATGCCGTCACGCACCACCTTCTCAAAGAAATCTCTCAGCGTGTCGCTGCCATAGCTCGGCGTGGCATCAGCGTCGTACCGCTGCTTTTGCTCGTCCCACACCAGCATGCTCTCCGCCGCGTAGTACCTTCCAATCTTCCCGAACTCTGCAGCATCTGCCAGCGAGGGGAAGGCCTTGGCGAGCACATCCAGCACGCTGATGACAAAGTCCATGACGCCGATGGGCACCTTGATGAACTTGGGCTCCTTGCCCACCACTGCGAACAGCATCTCCCCCTGCTGCAGCGGCGTCAGTGCCTCCCCCGGCCCGCCGATTGGCAGCACCTTGTTCACCTTGTCCTCGCCTGGAAAGGCGGCCGGGTCACGGGGAAGGGCGTGTGGAGGAAGGGGTTGGGAAGCGAGGCAGGCTGACAATAATGTCAGGTGCTCCTTGCCTTGGATACGGTTGGTGCATCTTTTGGGTTGATTTTCTTTCCATGTGTGTGCGTTCATCTCTGTTGCATTGCAGGTTGTGAGTGTCACGACAGAACACAGGTGGGTGCGTATCTCACCTTGCACGCAATCAGCAATGAAGGCAGCGAGGTCCGCCTCACTGATGGGCTTGCACGCACACAGCTGCCCGTCGCCAAACATCACGTACGGCCCGCCTCCCTTCACACTCTCCACCTGCCAGCACACACGCACATTCACAACCGCACACACTCCCACACAGACGCACACGCACGAGATACGTAGCAAGGGAACCAACATCAATGAACACACTATCGACTTGCTATTCCATTGGTCAGCTCCTGCATGCCATGCCTCAACGACCTTGTGACTCATCTGGAGGCGTGATCACCTCACCAGGTACACCTGACCTACATCTCACCGTATCCTACCGCGTCGCACCTGGCCGCCGAGCGACTTGAAGAAGGCGGTGGGGCGCACAATGCTGTGCGTGACGGCCGGGTCTTCCTGCAGCTCCTTCTCGAACTTGAGCTTCGCGCGCTGAAACTCCAGCAGCGGCCGCTGCACGCAGATGGCTGCGCGCACACACGGGTTCGGGCACAAGGCGGGATTGTGTCTACATAGTTGCACGATAAGAACTAGGAGGAAGTAGCAGCAGCTGGCATGGCAGGCAGGCGTACCTGAGAGCAGCACGAAGTGGGTGGCGCCCGCCTTCTTGCCGGCCTCCAGGCTGTTCTTCGTCGCCGTGTAGTCGATCAGCCACGAGTCCTGCACACGCCAAACACGCGCCGCACACACGAACGACTCAGACCATTCCATTTTATGAAAATTTGACATGCCCCGTTTCATCCTTGATGTTTTGTGCACGAGTTGGCATCTGCGCACACACCAAATTCTATTCTTTTCCCTCTCGCTTCAATCCCTCTCGTGGCCTTCCTTACGGCCGCCGCGGTTCACCTTGATGCCGCCCGTGCGGCTGGCGAGGCACGACACGACGACGTCGACGTGCTTGCCGTCCAGCGCTTTAGAGAGCGCCTCCTCGCTCGTCACGTCCGCGAACAGCATCGTCGCGCCCTCCAGCTCCTTCGCCGTATCCTCCGCCGACTTCTTCCCGCCAATGCCGCTCCGCTCGCGCGCCACTGTGACCACCACCGCACGCCGCACAGAGAGCGCGTCAGAATCGGACAAAGAGGGGGAGACGGAAAAATACGCATGTCCCGCGACATTCTATAGGATAATATGGTTGGAATGTCTTCAGCGCGGACACAATTGTTGAAGAAACTCAGAATTCGAGATTTTCTGGCGTATCATGGGGCGCCTCGGGGCGCGCGCACCTGCGGTGACGTTGTAGCCGCGCTTGATGAGCTCGCGCGTGACGAACTTGCCGATGTACCCTGTGGGGCCCACCACCACCACATTCACCTCCTCCGGTCGCCGCTCGCTCAAACTCGCCTTCTTCGCGCCGCTCTCGCCCGCTGCTGCCCTGCACGCTACTCGACGAGAATTTCTAGAATTCTTTGTGGAAACGTGGGATTTGACGGTTAGTGAGGATGTGAGTGATCTGGAAGACTGGAGGGAGATGCTAGAGAGAGAAGAGAGCCGTTGATCTTGAGGTTGCGGTGCCCTCAAGGATGCGACAGGCACGTCAATGCTCTGAAGTAGTGCCGCCATAGCTGACGCCTCGATTTGTTGGATACAGATAATGTATTTTCGATGAATTAGGAACCTTTAAAACGAGTAATGTCAGTGAAAATCGGGCCGAGGCTGCTACAGCACGCAATTGCGAGGACGAGGAGCGGGGAGGACCTTGAAGAATGAGCCAGTTGAGCGAAGATGGTTGGAGGAAGAAGCACCAGACTACGATGCAGTGACCCAGTGCGAGGCGAACAGATGAGCTCGGAAGGGCAAATTTTCGAGAATGCCAGGAGCGAGCAAGGGCAAGGCAAACAAAAAAGGGTCTCTCGAGCTGATCACGAAGATTGTTGCTCAATCTTTAGGGCACTCAGACGACTGACACCTGGAAAAAGAGGGACACGTGGAATACTCGATACACGACGTCCCCACATTGTTGATGGTCCGTTTACCTTTGGTAGCATGAAGGAATGTACACACAAGACTCTACGTTAACGTCGGACGGGTTGCGTAGATGTTACATTCCTAATTGACAAAAAAAAAGAGAGGAAGTGCAGTTTTGTTTTCTTATTTAGCGCCAAATTTAGGTCTACCGTATTAAAGAATACTACAAGTGCTTGTTGATGGTGCAATGTATTCGTTTCAATCTGGATGTTTATGATTTTTAAACATTGAGACACATTGATCGTTTCTTTTTTTTATGTAGTGAACAAAGATGATACTTTGTATTGTACCATTGCAAATTTTTTAATGAGTTGTTTTCAGCCCTGTCAGTGTGTCACGTGAATGTGCGTGAATCTTCACGTGAAATCCCACCCGCCTGTTGCCTCTCCCTCCCACCCACCCACCTCGTCGTAGCATCCACCTCCACCCCACCATCCTTTCTTTCCCACCGCGCCGTCCTCTCTCCCTCCCACCCACCCTCGCCTCCCACCCGCCCTCGCCTCTCCTTCCTACCCGCCGTCGCCGCTCCCTCCTCCCGCCGTCGCCGCTCCCTCCCACCCCGCCGTCGCCTCTCCCTCCGCCGTCGCCTCTCCCTCCGCCGTCGCCTCTCCCTCCGCCGTCGCCTCTCCCTCCGCCGTCGCCTCTCCCTCCGCCGTCGCCTCTCCCTCCGCCGTCGCCTCTCCCTCCGCCGTCGCCTCGCCCTCCCCATCGTCGCCTCCCTCCCCATCCCGTCGCCTCCGCTCCCTCCCATCCCGTCGCCTCCGCTCCCTCCCATCCCGTCGCCTCCGCTCCCTCCCATCCCGTCGCCTCCGCTCCCTCCCATCCCGCCGTCGTCCCCTCCCACCCCGCCTTTGCCTCTCTCACCTACCCCGCCGTCGCCACTCCCTCCCATCCTGCCGCCGTCTCTCCCTTCCATTCCGCCGCTCCTCGCCCTCATCCCCGCCGCGCCACTCCCTCCCGTCCCGCCGTGGGGAGGTTTGAGAGCATGGATAAGGATGGTGCGCGAACGAGAGCTGGTGCGCTAGCACGGGTTGGTCTTCGAGGCACCGTCATTAGCAGGTGCGTTTATTCCTCCCACCCCTCTGAGATTCCGTTGTTTCCTACCTTGTTTGTAGTTTCTGCGTTTAGACTTGCCTCGTCTTGCGTTGCACTACCAATTGAAGAGGGGGAGAGAGGGAGCGCGAGGGAGAGCGTTCGCACAGGAGCGAGCACGCAGAGAGTGCGCGTGAGAGAGCTGGAGCGAGCACGCAGGGAGTGCGCGTGAGAGAGCGTATGTTGAGAGAGCGTATGTTGAGAGAGCGTATGTTGAGAGAGCGTATGTTGAGAGAGCGTATGTTGAGAGAGCGTATGTTGAGAGAGCGTATGTTGAGAGAGAATGAAGAGCTGGAGGGAGCACGAAGCACACATGTGGGAGAGAGAGGCGGGAGAGAGAGTGTGTGCGCGCTTGCGCCGTTGGCGTGGGTGCCGTGGACGCTTGCGCCTAATCCGCTTGCGCTTATGTCGCTTGCGATTAGGGCTCTGCACTGGTGCGCTTGTGCTTAGGGCGTGAGTGTGTGTGAGTGGTTGCAAGAGTGAGTCGAGAGTGTGCGAGAGGGTGAGTGCGGGTGTGAATCTAGGTGCTTGTGTAGGTGTGAATGCGAGAGTGAGATGCGCGCATGCACTCGAGGGTGAGTGCAGCTGTGGGCGGAAGGGCGAGTGCGAGGTTGAATTAGAGAGCAAGCGCATGAGTGAGTGCGAGAGTAGTGAGAAGGTGAGTGAGAAAGCAAGTTTGAGAGTGAGTGCAAGTGTGAGTGCGAGGGCGAGTTTGAGGGTGAGTGTGCGCGTGAGTGTGTGTGTGTGTGTGCGAGGTTGAGTGCAAAGGAACACGAGGGTGCGTTCGAGTGTGTGTGAGGGTGAGTGCGAGGACATATGCAAGGGTGTGTGTGTTTTTGTGAGTGTCAAAGAAGAGTTGAGAGTATATTTGTGTGAGTGAAGAGTGAGTGCGAGAGTGTGAGGCTGAGTGAGTGAGTTGGTGGCTGCAATGTTGAGTGCAAGGGTGATCACGGTGTGAGTGTAAGAGTGAGTGCGAGGGTGAGTACGAGTATGTGCAAGAGAAAGTGGGAGATAGAGGGCGAGTAGGACTGCGAGAAGGAGTGCGAGCGTGAGTGTGGGCGTGGCTGTAGGTGCGAGTGTGGGTGTGTGTGCGAGTTAAGTTCGAGTGTGCGTGCGGCTGTGTGTGCGTGTGCGTGTTCGAGTGAGTGCAAGGGTAAGCGCGAGCGCGAGTCCGAAGGTGAGTGTGAGGGTTTATGTGTGTGTTTCTGTGAGTGTGTCTCAGAACGGTTAAAAGTACTCGTGTGTTCGTGAGTGGTTGCGAGCGTGAGTGCGAGAGAGTGTGAGAGAATGAGTGCGGATGTGAGTGCGAGTGAGTGCACGCATGCACTTGAGGGTGCATGCGAGTGTGTGTACGAGGGTGAATGCGAGAGGAAGTGCGAGCGTGAGTGCGAAAGTGAATGCGAAGGTGAGTGCAAGGGTCAGTGCAAGAGCAAGTGTTAGAGTGAGAGTGAGTGTGAGTATGAGTGCGAGTGCAAGTGAGTGTGCAAGAGTGAGTGCAAGGGTGCGTGCGAGGGTGCGGGTGTGAGTGCAATGGTAAGTGCGAGGGTGAGAGCGAGGGTACGTGCGAACATGAGTGCAAAAATGAGTTTGAGGGTGAGTGCGAGGGTGCGTGCAAGGGTGCGTGCGAGTGTGCGTGCTAGTGCATGCGCGCTTTTCTTAGTGAGTGTGAAAGTGCAGGGAGTGTGTGTTTCTGTGAGCGTATCTAGCAAAAGTTGGGAGCGATAGTGTGTGCGTGAGTGAGTGCGAGAGTGAGGTGCGAGGATGAGTGTCAGGGTGAAGGCGAGGGTTGCTGCGAGGGTGGCTGCGAGGTATTGCGTGCATGCTGGCATGGTATGTGTGACGACACGATATCTTATACCGAATCACCTTCGTGAGATGTCAAATTTGATTGTTTTCGTCCCTCATCTGTATTTTTTGTACTTCATTCTTCATCAGCGTATTGTTATAACTCTTACCTCGTTTCTTGTGCTCGGGTGGGCTGCATTCCTATGATTAGTTTCCTGTGCTGTGCAGCTCATGCAAGTTGTATTCTCTTTTGTTTTTGTTTGTGCAGAGAGTGTCAGCTGCATTATCTGTTTTTGCTTTCTTGTCCAGGGAATGTGAGTTGCATGCGCTGTTTGTGCTTTCTTGTGCAGGGAGTTCAAGCTGCACTATTTGGGTTTTCTTGTGGAGAAAGGGGAGGGGTTGAGAGAGAGTAAACAGATACGGGAGGAATAGGGGATATTGGAAGGGAGGGGGGGGATGGGAGACGACAAGGGAGGGAGGGAGGGGAATGTGGGACAGGTTAACAGTGATTTATACATGGCTGAACTCATTCGTTACGCTTGCATTGCATGTTCAATAGCGGTAGTATGCCTTTGTGTTTGTTTGCGTGTGTGTGTGTAGGTGTGTGAGCGAGCCTGTACGTGCCTGTCGATACATGTTGGTGTTGTTTGTGTCTGTTTCGGGGTTTGGTGTTGAGTGCCTCGTGTATACAACCGGGGTTGTGATCGTTGGTGGGGCAGCTTTGCTCGCCCCTTCCGCACCATATCAACCTCTGTTGCGACATCGATGCATTTAGCATTGGCCTTGAAGCATTCACAACTGTTAAATGTCCAACGTTTTTGTGCAAGTTTGTGTGCTGTCATTTGTGTCTGTTTCGGGGTTTGGTGTTGAGTGCCTCGTGTATGCAATTGGGGTTGTGATCGTCGGTGGGGCAGCTTTGCTTGCCCCTTCCGCACCATATCAACCTCTGTTGCATCATCGATGCATTTAGCAATAGCCTTGAAGCATTCTTGATTGTTCAACGTTTTTTTAGCGAATACGCGTGTACTTTCATATCGTCATGTTGTTTTCTTTGTTTGTTTGTTTGTTTGTTTGTTTTTGTGAAATTCACGTATGGTATCGTCGTTCATGCGGCGAGGTTGTCCAATTATTCCATTCGCCGTACTTATCGACGATTATGGATGATTGGACACAGTTGGTTTCACTTTTACAGTAACTTGGTAACTTACGTGAACAGTGTTTCCTTCCAAAAACCTTGGAGGGAAATCACTGTTCACATCAGTTCCCCGAAAAGTGAAACCAAATGTATAACGGCCATTTTCAGGTGCATGCAGCTTAGTCTAGGAACTGTATTCAGGTGCATGCCATGTTATTGGGCAGGTGTGTACACTTTACGCAGCTTACAAATTTGTTATCGTAAAATTATACACTTCGTAAGATTCGTTTCAAATTAGCACAAACAGTCGAGAATAGTAGTGATTCCGGATTACGCAAAGCGAAATCGGAATGGTTGGCTCTCGACACTGCATTTTCTGACGTCACCGGAAGCAATCATTGCATGTTTGCCCGATTTCGACGCGAATTTCTGCTTCGCCCCAACTCGTTTTTAACGAACTTAAATGCTAGAACAATTGTACTGTTGACGCGGTTGACGGACGCTGCGCATGGCAAATCAACAAATTTTTCTTGGGCGTGCAGAAATTGGGAAAGGGTAATCCGAAACGTGAAAAATCTGCCCGAGTTCTAATAGCCTACCGCAGTAAAATACATACAAGTATTATGAATGTTAAATAAAGAAAGCTAAGATATTCCAACAATTAGAATATTCATGTACTGTATCAACATCATATTTTGTAGGAGCAAACTTTACGAACAGTCGGGCAGACTTCTCATGTTTGGGATTACCCTTTCCAAATTTCTGCACGCCCAAAAAAATATTGTTGATTTGGCATGCGCAGCGGTCGTCACCCACGCCAATAGTACAGCTGATCTAGCATTTTAAAATTTTCAAGAAGACTTCGGGCGAAACAGAAATTCGCGTTGAAATTGAGCAACCATGCAATGATTGCTTCTGGTGACGTCAGAAAATGCAGAATCGAGAGCCAACCATTCCGATTTCGCTTTGCATAATCTGAAATCGCATCTATTCTCGACTGTTTGTGCTAATTTTAAACGAATCTAGGGAAGTGCGTAATTTTACGATAACAAATTCCTAAGCTGCGCAAAGTGTACACACCTGCCCAATAACATGGCATGCACCTGAATACAGTTTCTAGACTAAGTTGCGTGCACCTGAAAATGGCCGAATGTATAAGGTTGCTACGCAACCCAATAAACACAAGTAAAACATGAGTTTCCACTGCCATCAAGGATTTCAGGAACGAGCAGGGTTATGGAGAAGTCCCACGTGGCGCTTATTTACAGGCGCTAAATTCGTATCGCAACTTGTCGGCATCCGAAAGGCTGTTGTTTCCAGCCAGCGGGGGCTACATGCTTTTTGGTGAAGCCAGGCGATATTTTTGCCCATGCCAGCCACAAAGCGTCAGCTTTACCGCTACACGCAGGCAAACTGCTGTCCCAACCGTGATCAGAAACGACGGTGCTGCCAATGAGAGGAAAACAAGCAGGAGGGGGTGTACGGCTGGGTCCCTTGGCGGGGGACGCACGGTGGTGTCCAGGACGGACGAACGAGGGAGGCAAGGCAACCAGGAGGCCAACGGAGACATGCTCGCCTTGCTTGTTTGCTTGCCACGCATTCCTCTCCAGAAATCAGTCTTCGATACAAAAGCTGGCTGTATTTCACATATACGCACTGCACGCTCTGACCATATTCCATCCTAGTCGTCAGCGGTTGTTGGATCGGGAGGACCGAGTAAGCGTTAGTTCCCGCAGAAGCCATGGCCGTTGTCGTGAGCAGCGATCCCACAGCGATCGCTTCTAGAACATTGCATTACAATGCCTTCCTCGCCAGTCACAGCGTGTCGCGTCAGGAAGTGCGTTTTCCACCGCGCGGCAGTAGAGCATTTTGCGGTAAATCCGCAAATGTTTTAGCGGCGACAGCTCGAGCCGTGCACAGCCCTTGCAGCCAGCCCCACGCCCACCAGCCCAACCTCTCTTCCGCATCCAGCCCGTCCCGTCCCGACCGATGGCTGATCGGCAGCTCACAATCCGCCGCCGAGTCGCCGTTCGTGGAGGTGAGGGACGCGCGGCCGTGGGACTGGCGGATCGCCGAGAGCGGCGGCAGCGGAGGAGCGCCACGCCGCGAGGAGGAGCCGTCGTCCGACGAGTGCCGATCTCGAGCGCTGCCCGGAGTGGACGGCGCGCTGCAGCTGCTCGCTGACGCTGACGCAGCGATGATGTCAGACGTATCAGGCATAAACCCTGAGCCCTGCTCCGCTGTAGATTCCGAGCGCACGGCGGAAGGGGAATCGAGCTGGAGCGAGCGACGCAGCTTGGTTGCAGAGGCCGTTGACGACGACGCGGACGACATTCCCGAGGTGGACATCGCGGATCGCCTGCCCGAGCTGCGCGAAATGCTGGAGCTGCTGCGGGCCAAGGCGCAGCAGAAGGGGCGGGCGCAAGCGGATGGCGGGGCGCGGGGCGAGGGCCCTGGGAATGTTTTTCTGGTTGGCACCGGGCCTGGCGACCCCGACCTGCTCACTCGTCAGTTCCCCAACCGCCCTTTCCTTTTCCACCTTCTCCTCCCACTCCCATCCCCTCTCCCTCCTTCAACCCCGCTTCCCTACCCTACCCCCCTCCTCTACCCCCCGCTTCGATCGCGCTGCTCTCATGCTGCCCTACGTCCTCGGTCGTGACTGATCCACATTGCCGCAACCCCATCTCCCTGTCTCTGGCGTTTTTAACTCATGCGTTTCCCCCGCCGCTTCTCAACCCTCCCGCCCCCCCAACAGTAAAGGCGGTGCGCGCGCTGCAGTCCGCGGACCTCGTGCTCTACGACCGCCTGGTCTCCCCCGCCATCCTGCGCCTGGCCGCGCCGTCCGCGCGGCTGCTGTACGTGGGGAAGGCGGCGGGGTACCACACGCGCACGCAGGCGGAGATCCTGCACCTGCTGCTCGCCTTCGCGGAGGTGGGCGCGGTGGTGGTGCGCCTCAAGGGCGGCGACCCGCTGGTGTTCGGGCGGGGCGGCGAGGAGATGGAGCACCTGCAGGCGCACGGCATCCGCGTGCACATCGTGCCCGGCATCACCGCCGCCTCTGGCATCGCTGCTGACCTGGGCGTGCCTCTCACCCACCGCGGCGTTGCCAACAGGTCAGTGATTTGGCTTGGCGTGCGGCTGTTCCGTGCCCACCCACAGGGCCTGCTTCTCATGCCCGCGCCCTCTCCTGCTGTTCCAGCATGCACACCCATGTCCGTGCCTCAAGCCTACCTGGCCTTCCCTGCATTCCCCTCCACGTGCTGCAGTGTGCGGTTCCTAACGGGGCACAAGCGAAAGGGAGGTGGCGACCCGCTGTACGCGGCCAGCACAGTGGCGGACCCCGACGCCACCCTCGTGGTCTACATGGGCCTCGCCACGCTGCCCGGCCTTGCCGCCCGCCTGCTGGCCAATGGGCTGCCGGCTGACACTCCTTCTGTGGCTGTGGAGCGAGGCACCACCACTGCTCAGCGCACTGTGAGTCGTGTGATGTGACTACTCGGTGGCATGTGTGTTGCTGCTGTAGTTGTACGCATGAGTGGTGGCATGTGGGTGCGTTGCTTTGCATCATATGCATTACATCGTACACAATTACAAACTATGTGCTTTTTCCTTGTGGCTTGCAGGTGTTTGCCACGCTGGAGGATCTGCCAGCAGCCGTGTCAGCGGCCCAACTCGTCTCACCCACACTCATTATCATTGGCCAGGTCGTGGCACTGTCGCCCTCGTGGCCCTTCGCCTCCACCACTACCTCCAACTTAGGGGTTGCACCTAATTTTCAAGAGCCCAGAGACAGGCGGCTCAGGGGACCGGATCCATTGGTCCCAAGCCAACAAAACAATTTTAGGGAGGGTAAGAGGCAATTGTAGTGTTCTCACCTGTTGTGCATTCTGTATTGTTATACAATTTTTAGCTGACAGCGTACAGCTGACGCAATCCTCAAAGAGAACGAACCAGCGGCCTGTGACGAGGGACATCACAAGCCAATCAGAGCATCCGTTTCGCCAAGCACTGGAGTCCTCGATTGTTTCGCATCTCACAGTTCGGCATCGCACGCACAGTCGGACCAGCGAAGTCACTTGTCGCCCAGGCGACAGCCACAACATTGCTGCATGCTGACGGACCATTCTAGAATTCACGTGAGCAGGCTACGCAGAGAGCGAGTCAGGGTTCTCTGCGCGAGCGAGGCGACATGTGGATTTGTGCGTGGCGGAGTGGTGGTGGTGATGGGAAGAGAAAGCAGGCGGAAGGCAGGACATCGAGCTCCAGCAACCGGTATAGAACGAGGTCTGCGTGCTGCGTGCGGCTTTCCGCTAGCAAACCGACGAGCGAGCGGCCATGGAGGCGGCGATGGATCTGGCCGGTGCGACGGTATCAACGGTCGTCAAGGCAGCAAAAGCGGTGAAGGCGAGATTCGAAGCCAAGGACGAGGTGCGTGGCTCGTTTAGATGGATTTCTCGTGCGCATGGGATCCAGAGGCTTGGAAGTCGCGGTTTACGGGCCATGATTGCGATCGGTGTTGTGTCTGCAGCAGCGACTTCGCTGCAGGGACTGTATATGCTGACTGCCGTTCGTACGTAATTGCGTGTGGCAGGTGGTGTGGCTGGGCTTTGACTGGCTGCACATGAGCCGCTCGTCGTGGCGCCACGTGCTGCTCGTCGCCTACTCAACCGGCTTCCACGTGTGGGACCTGCCCGCCGCCTCCCCACCCCGCACCCCCGCTACCACCAGCAGCGCCGATGTTAAAGGGGACAGCCGCAGCAGCAACAGCAGCGGTGTTAGTGCGACTGTGCCGGCACCCTCGCAGCTGGTGTCGTGGCGTGGCGAGCGTGTGTCCATGCTGTGCGCCGTGCCACACCCCACCGTGCCCCAACCCACCGTGCCACACCCCACCGTGCCACACCCCACCATCCCGCATCCTGCCATGCAGTCTCCTCCAGCCACCCTAGAATCCACGGCCATGGCATCCACAGGCGACCACGAGAGGGACGGCAGCGAGGGCTGGGATAGGTTTGCAGTGTGCCGCCCCATCGTGTGTGTCGTCTTCCCTGCTGCCAGCGACCATTCTACTCCTGAATGTGCTTGCAACGAGCACGCAGGCATCGAGCAGGCAACAGGGGGTGAAGTGGAGAGGGTGGATGACGAGACAGGGGATGGTGGGGCGAGGGAAGAGGGTGGGGGGTGGATGCGAGGAGAGTTTGAGTGGGAGTATTGCAGAGGGGTGGGGAGAGAAGTGAGTGGCAGCGGTGGTTCTGACTGGGAGGGAGTGCAGCAGGGGAGTGGTGAGGGCGCACAGGGGGGCGAGCAGGGTTGGGAGCCAAAGCAGGAGCGGGGAGATGCGTCAGAGGGGGAGCAGCAGTGCGCGGGAAGGATGACAGAACAGGCAGCTGGGCAGGAGGTGGAGGGTGGTGCAGGACGGTGTGGGAGGTGCAATGGCGCGGCGCACACAAGGAGAAGCATAACGGGGAGCGCTGCAGGCACTGGCAGTATAAATCCGCGGGTTACAAGAGTGGCGCTGTACTCGCTGCGGCAGCATGCCATAGTGGGCAGCTTGGAGTTGGAGGGGCCGGTGGTGGGTGTGAGGGCGAGTGGCAGGGCGATAGTGGTGGTGCAGAGGGAGCAGCTCTTCTGTTACAGCCCCACCGCCCTCACCCCCACCTTCTCCCTCCTCACGCACCCCATCCCTCACGCCCTCCTCCCGCCATCTTTCGCCGATTACCCCTCACCTGAGCACTCCAAAAACCTTTCCACATTGGGATCTTCACACCCCTCCGTGTCCGCCTCGACTTCAGTCTCCTTCAATCTTCCACCCGCCTCCATTCCGCTTGCCCTGGGGCCTCGCTGGCTGGCCTATGCTGCCCCACACACTCCCTCCTCGCCACCACGCTCCCCCACCCTCCTCCACTCCACGCTCTCCCCCCTTCGCCCTGCACCAGTGCTCGCCCCCTCTCACCCGCACATCATGGTGCATGACCTTGTCTCCCGCCAGCCAATTGCGTGCTTCCCCGCTCTCGAAACATGGCCTCTCGCGGTGTTGCAGTTCGACCCGCTAGGCATGCTGCTGGCGGCCGCCTCCCTGCACGGCACCACGGTGGGTGTGTGGCGCATAGACGGCCGCCCCAGGGGGTGGCAGCAGCAGCAACGACTGCAGCAGTGGGGGGATGGATCGATGGCAGGGGAAGGGGGAGCAGTGCTACTGTACCGGCTGCAGCGTGGGCTCACAAACTCGGTAAGTCATGTTGGGTTCTGGGGCTGCTGGTGGAATGGGGAGAAATACCCATTTCTGAATGCAACATGTATGCTTTGACTGAATGAATTCCTCTGGTGATCCCTGTTCATCTCCCATCCCTCCCTGCACGGAGCAGGTCCCTCGAGCCATTGCCTTCTCCCCCGACTCATCGCTGCTCGCCCTGCTCTCCGCCCATGGCACCTCACACCTCTTCTCCATCCACCCCTTCGCCTCACCTCTCTCGCCCACTCTAGAGCAGCCAGCCGGCCAGGCCTCCTCTCCCACTTCCTCTCTCCACCTCCCCTCTCCTCCTCTCTCCCCCACCAGCAACTCACCTTCTCCCCACCCATCGTTGGCTCCTGTCTTACCTTTCCCCCTTCACTCCCCCGGTCATCCACCTCCCACCCCTCGTCTCTTACTGCCTCACAACCGGCCAGCCCGCTGCTCTCTCTCCATACCGCGCCTCCTTGACCTCTCCCTGGAAGCACCCTTGGCTGTTCCCACGCTCGCTCCCTGCATGCGCGTCAGAGGTAGGATGCTCAACCTATGGGGACCGACAGTGGGCCGTACGGGTGCTGCAGGTGTCGTGGGTGCATTGGAGGGGGTGGGTGCTGCACTCACTGCTGCTGTGAGCAGACAAGCATTCACAAGTACCGCTGCTGCTATCAGCTTAGCACAGTGGGCACACCGGGAGGTTTCTACATTTGACAATGATTCTGGTGGAAGTGCAGGAAGGGAGGGACTGGAAGGTAATGGATGCACTGCGAGTGTGCCGTTTCAGCGATGCACTTGCGCTGCAGGGAGTGAAGGTTTGGACTCTTATTGTGGCACATGGATCCCACCGTTGCGCTCGGAGCCTAGTTTTGGCCCTCATTCTGAGCGTTACGGCGACAAGCCCCGGTTGTTGCAGGTTCTACATGGAGCTCCCCAGTCGTCACTTTGGATCGTGTCCTGTCACGGAGAACTCTTTTGCTTAGACATACACCAATGCCAGGAACCTTCCAACGTGGACTGCTCAAAGGAGGATGTGATTACTGATTTGAGTGCCTGCGGTAAGGTGATCGGGCATTGGGACGTATGCAGAAGGCAAGATCACGAGGTGGTTACCGAGACATTAGACACTGTTCCTGGAGGTTGTGGTTTGATGCTTCCTGGATTTGGAAGTGCAATTGAAGATCTTCTTGAAGCTGAAATGTAATTTCGTATATGGTTTCTGTTGCGGATGTGCTAGTACACAACTCATTACAGCGCCCTAACAGAACAATATCAAGATTCCATCGGACCTCACGTTCCAGCTGGTCGTCCCTTGGTTTGTGCTCCGTGTTTGTCCTTGGGCTCTGCACGCCACGTGGAATTCTGCCGCAGCTGCTGGTTGGTGGAAACAGTGTGGACACCTTGCCATTCGCAATCTTCGCCAACCTCGTCGCCGAAGCATCACCAGCCCCCATTCTCCACACAATTCCACAGCCACATTCTTTATTGCGAACTCGTGCGCGTTACCATTATGGAATGTACTTCGCGCAATTGGACGTCACATTCACCACAGCAGCACCAGCAAACCAGCCCTTCATTAGCCATGGTAGCCCATTATTCCAACATTCACCAGCACGCTAACTTGTCCTCCGCAATTTGCTTCTACCAATCCTACTGCTCCCCATTACCTCGCCAGTCTAGAGCAGACATGGATGCTTTGGCTATCCGCAGCTCGCTGGTCGCGGCTCCTCATCTAGCACAGAGCCGCGCCGCCCTTCCCGTGCGGAGGACAGTCAGACTGGTCGCCCCATCGTCGCTTCCGCGCATTGCTCGCCGTCAGGCGGTGCGCTGCTCCGCGTCACTATCAGCGGCCGATCTCGAACGGCTTGGACCCAATGGATACGGCAACGTCGTGGAAATTACGAGCCGTGAGTTGCCGACGTCGTTGCCTGCCGTGACTTGAAGGCGTGAACAGTTTTCGCTGACGTTGTGATAGCGCTTGTTTGAGCAGGAGAGGAGTTCTACGATCAAGTTGCCAAGGCTGGCGATAAGCTGGTGAGTAGATTCTGCCTCCTGCCTTTTGAGATGCGTTTGACGTGACCTGACTTGCTACCCACTTAGAAGACACACGCCACGGGGTTTACAACCAGCAAATTATTCACTTTGTTTAGTATCACATTCGGCGCGCTGAAGAACCCAAAATACACAATCCCTGTTTTTTAGAAGGTACAAAACCGCATCACGTACGAACCAGTAAATGAAATGTCCTGCTTAACCAACGGCATTATTCCATGGCATACCCCTGGCGGCGCGGCGCGCAGGTGGTGCTGGACATTTCGACGCGGACGTGCGGGCCGTGCAAGTTCATCTTCCCCAAGGTGGTGGAGCTCAGCCTCGAGCACCCCAACGCCGTCTTCCTCAAGATCAATGGCGACCACGACGACGGCACCAAGGTCCCGTCTCCACCGCCTCCTCTCAACCCATTTCCTCTCAACCATTCTCAACAATCTCCTTTGAACTGTCTCCCTGGATTTTCTGTGTCCATCCCTGAAGCGTTATCTTCTCATTCCTTCCATACGCAGCTCGTAACCGCTCCCGGTTCCCTCCCATTGGCTCCAATGCGAGTGCTGAAAACGTGCTCCCCTGCACTTCCCCCTGAATGCAACCGCATGTAACCCCATCTGTCCCCGGAGCAGGCACTGATGCGCGAGTGGGGCGTGCGGGCGGTGCCCAACTTCCGTTTCTTCCGCGGGGGCGAGCTGGTGCACAGCCACACGGGTGCCAAGGTCGAGGACCTCAAAGACAACCTCGCCAAGTTCCTCTGAGCCTCGCACACTTGCACTTATGCGTGCAGCTTTCCTTTGTTTGTGTTGGTGCACGTCGTGTGCTCATGTGAGCACGTGTTTGACTTGTCCATGTGAGCGAATGGCACTGACGACAAGTCTGGAGCAGGTGGGAGCAGCGCAGGGACCTACCGTATCCCAAATTTAGAATGTAGCTAGTGGCATGGCTCTTACAACATTCCTTGCCACATTGCCTTGTGTTGAGATCGTTATCACCACTATCCCTCATGATGAGGGTGTTATGTATTTTCTTCAGTTCAATAAATGAATGTGGATTTAGGGCTGCTACCTACAGGTGCTATGCGTGCACCTAAATCTAGGGTACAGTATTGTCAGTGCCGTTGGTTTAGTTGAGGCTTACGGTATGTGCTGATGCCAGCCATCAGTGCACCACCACCAGGGAGTATTACCTTCGCATCAGTGTGAAAAGTGGTGATAATGGCCTTCCAGCACTCAAAGAACTGTCAATCTTGAAACCTGGCCCTGCAAACTGGCCTGCATTGCCTGCATTCCCCTTGGTGTCCATAACGATCTCTTCACCTGCGCCTGCCTGCTGCCTGGCAGCTGCCTTGCCATCACCCTGCTGTGCACCATCTCTCCTGTTTGCAGCAAACGCAGCAAAGCCCACTCCACTTCGCCCACTGAACTCAGCAAAGCCTCCAGCTCGTCTCTCCATGGCCCCCCCTGTCTCTGCTGCTCCCTTGACTGGCATGCAATCGCCCGTGACACCATTCATGCCAGACAATGCATGCCACCCAGCAGCAGAGGAAGAAACAGCAGCAGAGGAAGAAACAGCAGCAGCAGCAGTTGGAGCAGACAGCCACCACGGCTGCTGCCATGAGGCGGGCACTGTTGGGTGTACTCCAGGAGGGCTTGTGACCCCACCCAACAGCACTGCCTCCTGCTCTCGCCTCCTCTCTCGCTCCAACTCCTGCTCCCGCCTCCTCTCTCGCTCCAACTCCTGCTCCACCATCAGTGCCACGTCAGCTACAGCCTCAGCCACACTCACGACTGCACTCATCCCCCCATTCGCCATGCTCTCTCTGCTGTTAATCTCCCTTCCTCCTCCCCCCCTGCGAGGCGACCCCTGTCGCAAGGTCGGAGGGCTGCCTCCCACCTCTCCCACCCACTCGCCCCCTCTCCCCATCCCTCCTTCCGCCTCTCCCCTCTCCCCCTGCCCACCATGCCTCGCCCTAGCAGCAGCGCGCGAAGCCTCCGCAGCAGCCCTGGCCTGTGCCATCAGCGCCTCCTCTTCCCCCCATCCGCCCTCCCCCTCCCTCTCCTCCGCATGCGCTTCTCCCCCACTCTGTCCCCCATCCGTGACCCTGTCATCCTCCATCTCCCATGCGCCATCCTCCAACTCGCTCTTCCCCCACTCCGCCCACTCCGCGCGCGCCTCCTCCAGGCGCAGCAGGGTGAGGTGCTCCAGCAGCGCCTTCCGCAGCTCGTCACGCTCATCCGGGTAGAACCGCCGCCGCGTGCGCTTCTTGCGCTGCCCTTTCGCTCCCCACGCCGCCAGCGCGCCCTCCGTGTCGGCCATATCCCCGCTTCCCGCTGTTTCCTCGGGCTCCGCTCTGATCTGCTCCACCACGCGCGCCTCCCGCTCGTCCCATTCGCCTTCTCGTTTATCCCCCGACCAGCCGCCATCGTCCGACCCTGATACCTTCTCGCGCGCACCCGCGTTATCCCCATGCCCCGCGTGTCCCGCTGCTGATTTTGTGGATGCACTGCTGAACAGCGGCGGAGGGGAGTCGAGCTCAGAGGGAAGGTTCGAGGAATCCTCGCCAAGATTCAGCGACGGTACAGAACCTGTCAGGCGAGAAAGCTCTTCGGGGGTTAATGAGCACGAAGCTTCGAGGACGTCGCAGAGATGAAAGGTGACGTCAGCCAGCACAATGCTTTGCTGGCGGATAACCTGCGCGTGCCATCGAAAGCCACGTAGTCGCGCAATAAACGCCTCGCGTGAACTCGCTCCATCATCGTGCCTTCGATGACCCACCCCGTCGCTTTCGTAATCGCTGTCACAGGTCGCGTCGCAGTCGGGATCGACGGCTGTGAATGACTGGCGACCGAGATCAATCAGGGAGGGTGGTTGGACCGACGCGGCGAGAAAACCGGCAACGGCGGTTTGGATGTCCGACGCGAGCTGCCGAGCCGCGTCCCATTGCTGCTCTAGCCGTTGCGCTAGATCGCACGCTTGGACGCCTCCTAGCGACATGCTGTCCAAATGCGGAAATTCGCGCTGGCTCAAACGGTCGAACCAGCAACCCTGAAAGCTTAGGGCTCGGAAACTAGGGCATCGTTAATCTAGATAACGCACGATGTTGATGTGGACGCGTGGATATGGACTACAAGAGGTGCTGCGTGCCGCGGATGCGGCGTTGCTGCTGCTGCTGCTTTCTGGTGCTTTTTGTGATGATTCGGCAATTTCAAGACGTGGCTTGGTTTGGGCCTGACTAAAGCACGCCACGCGAACACATCGGGGGGTTGCGGCTGAAGCACGACGCTGACGGTTTCCGTCGTCCATCAGGCATTTGTCAGCCACGACCATTGCGCGCGAAAGCGGCACTTTTGCGTGCATTTCCGTGTAACGCATGTGGTTGAAGGCGAGTCAACCACTTCCTGGCTTTCGCAAATGTTACAAACTCAAGCACCGCCGTCAACAACGAATCTTCAAGAAACGCTTTCAAATTCCTCCTTCAGCCTGTGTGTCCCCTCCACGCCACTCGTAACGATCCTGAATCTGCCGCCATGGATTTCCTCCAAGATCCTCGAGTCTGGGTAGCAGTAGCGATCGTCGTAGTTTTCAGTCTTCTGCATATACTGTTATCGCGTAAGTCTGAATCGACGGCAAAGGCGGCAGATCAAGAGCAGAAAGAGGCGAAGAAGCAATCGCAGAGCCAGAAGCAAGCGCCTCGCCGGAAACCGCTTTCTGAAAAGGTCGTACCGCTGTGCTTCTCCGGCCCTGTGCTGGCCAGTTCGAATTCTAGTAGCGATAATCTTGCCGTTCTCTCGTGCTGAGCGATTTGTGGAAACGCCACTAGCGTAATTTATGATGTTTTTCTTTGTAATCCCCGATCGGCCTCCTGTATTCATTCTTCCGCGTCTCTTCTTGTCCGTTCTCATCCTTCGTGAATCTGCGAGCAGGCGCCGTCCGGGCCGCGGCACCCGCTGGAGGTGAACACGCTGAAGCACGGCGACGCCGTCACGGGCCTCTGCTTCTCGCACGATGGCTCCGCGCTCGCCACTGGTGCGCTCTCCCTGCTCGCATGCACCTGAAAATGGTCGACTTGATTTCTTGCGTGCACATCCTCGCCATATATGCACATCCTCGCCATATATGCACATCCTCGCCATATTTGCACTCACGTGCTCGCTCATCCATGCTGCATCCCACTTGGCTGATGCGCATCCATGCTGCATGGTTCTAGCCCTTTTGCTGTGCTTCACGAGTATGCATGCTTGCGTGCGTGCCTGTGTGCGTGGATGCGTGCGTGCGCGTCCGTGCGTGGGTGCATGCGTGTGTGTCTGCGTCTGTGTGTGCGTGCGTGCGTGCGTGCGTGTGTGCGTGCGTGCGTGCGTGCGTGTGTGCGTGCGTGCGTGTGTGCGTGCGTGCGTGCGTGCGTGCGTGCGTGTGTGCGTGCGTGCGTGTGTGCAGCGTGTGGCGATGGAGTGGTGCGAGTGTACACCATTGACGACGTCACAGCCAAGAGCATCAAGTACATTCTTTGAATATCACCTCATGCCCCTCATGCCCCTCATGCCCCTCATGCCCCTCATACCCCCCATCCACCCCATGCACCCGCCGCCCACATTGTCTCTGCTGCCATGTCCACTTGCGCCCTCGCTCTGCGTCCATCGTCCATCCCACTTCTAACTTTCACACATGATTACCGCCCTCTCCTGCCTCAATTCTCCGCATCTTCCCCACAAACTGACACCTTCCTCGCCCTCCTCTGCCCCCGCCTCCCCCACCCCAGGTTCCGGCGGATAAACACGTGGCCGGGGGTGCATCCAGTGGGCGTGGCGTTCGGCATGTCGCCCATGGAGGTGGCCGTGTCGGGCACCAGCCCCTACGGCAGCTGCATGCGCTTCTACGGCCCCGCCACAGGTGCGTCCGTCACCACAGGTGTGCTTCTACGGCCCCGCCACTGGTGCGTCCGTCACCACAGGTGTGCTTCTACGGCCCCGCCACAGGTGTGCTTCTACGGCCCCGCCACAGGTTTGTGCGCTGCCCCGCCACTGGTGCGTCCGTCACCCCGCCACCGGTCAGCCCATCCACCGCCCTTCTCTTCTGACTCATCATTCCACATTGCCCCAGTTAGCGCAGTTGTCACCGTTGCACCATAAACCGTCATCCTTCCAACCCCCCTCCTATCCCCCCCGTCCCCTGTGGCACGACTGGTGGGGCGAGCAGGGAGGGCGTTGGAGGAGGCGCGCAAGGAGGGCAAGCAGGCGCCAGTGGAGGTGAAGTGGGAGCAGCGGCCGGCACACGGCAACAAGGCCATCATCGCCATCACCTCCGCCATCTCCTCCCAGGGGTCTGGTGACGGCACTGCTGTCATTGCCACGTCATCAGAAGGTACGCTACACTTCATTCTGCAGAGCGCATCTTGCTGCTCAGTGCCCCCCTGTTCTGCCTGTGTCGTCACTTGCATGCCTGCCTTTTTACCCCCCTCCCTCCCCTCTCCTTTTTTTTTTCCAGCCCTACATCCCGTTACTCTCATTCTGCTCCCCTGCAAGCCCCTTCTCTCTCCATCCCAGCAACGGACGTGGTGGTGTGGGGGGCGGGGGACGGCAAGGTGGTGGGGGAGGTGGACTCCAACCAGCTGCGCAACACCATGGTCGCCCTCTCGCCCGATGGCAGGTTCCTCGCTATCGCAGCCTTCACAGCAGACGTGAAGGCGAGTGCATGCCACTGCTGTTGATTTGCATCAAGGGCTGCTGGATGGTTATCGCTGTATGCCTCACCATCCTGTCTTTTGTGCCTGCTTCCAATGCTCAAGGGCCCATATGGATTTGGTCTGCATGCATGTCGCGGTGGTGTGTTGCAGATATGGGAGCTCGTGTACGGACGGGATGGAGCCATTCAAAGTGTGACACGTGTCATGCAGCTCAAGGGCCACAAGGTAAAATCTGATTTGCGCCATTATGTACTGGTTGTAGAGGATGCATGTGTAGGAGCGAGTGATAGCGCAGTCTTTGTTTAAAAATATCAGCTCGCTTCATGGTTGCCCTCTTAGCCAGTTTAGCTGAGCCAAGCCAATCTGGACTAGCTTCGCACACAAATGCTCCGGTTACATACCTGGTGCTCCGGTTACATACCTGGTGCTCCGGTTACATACCTGGTGCACCTTATGAGTGATCGCTGTATGACCTGCTGTTCTGCCTGCCCGTGGTTGCATCACGCATGTGCATGTGCGTTGCAGAGTGCGGTGACATGGCTGGCATTCACATGGGACAGCAAGGGCATGGTCACGGCATCCAAGGACGGCACCATCAAGATGTGGAACATCGATGGTATGCCCTCGCCCGCTCATCCCCACTCCTCCATCCCATTCTCTCCTCTTCCCTCTCCCTGCTCACACTACTTTGCCACCTGCTTATCTCTACCACTCCTTCCCCTTTGTCCCTGTCAAATCTCTCTTTTCCCCCGTCCCTGTCCACCCCCCCCCCCCCCCCCCCCCCCCCACAGTGCGCTACCACCTGGACGAGGACCCCAAGTGCCGCCGCACCTTCCCCATCCTGCCGCTGCCCTCCACCACCACACCAGAGGCCGCAGCCGCAGCCGATGCAGCAGCAGCTGGCCCAGCCGGCAAGAAGGGCAAGAAGCCTGCAGCCCCAGCACTGCCCCTGCTGGACAGAATAGCCGTCAGCCCAGACGGGCGCCTGCTGGCTGTGGCCGTGGGAGCGGCGCTGCTGTGGTATGAGCTGGAGGGGGGCAGCATTGTCACGGCAGACGAGCAGGCTCACAGCGGTCAGTTGGTTGTTCATAGGGTTACCATACCGTGGATGGGCCAACCTGGGTGGAAGGTTCTGCTCTGCTCCTCTTGCCATCCTCACTCTCGGGGTTGTGTTCCTGTGCTTTGGTGTATGCAGATGTGATTACGTGGATGGCGTGGTCGCCCAAACCAGTCCCCATTGGTGAGGATTCTTTTCATTGGATTCGTAAATTTCTCGTCGTGGTTATTCAGATGGTGTCTAATTGCTTTGTGTGCTCTTCTCGCAGCTGGGCAATTGAAGCCAGTGCACATACTTGCTACAGCAAGTGCAGACAAGAAGCTGAAGCTTTGGAAGGCACCAGAACTATGACAATTTTCCTAGTAGTAAAGTTTTCTATAGCTAAATGACTACGTTTTGAATTTCCATCAGCATCCATGTTATTGGGCGAGGATTTTTCACTGGAAAAGGTTTCAATTGTGCTTTGTAGCCGTGATTGTGCGTCAGCACTTCATCAAATCTTATAGCGAGTCAGACGTTTCGTACAATTCGGGCACCCAAGCTTCTCGCGAACAGCGCCCTGGGGACTGTCGACGAATGGAAACGGGCGAGCACTGTAGCGCCGAGCCCAACTCCTCCGCCCCCCTCAGTCAGCTGAAACTCAACCGAAGCCACAAACAAAAAACTCCACTCCCAGCAGGCAGAGCATAGGAGAGGCAGCAGCAGCCATCCATCCATGAGTCATCGCAGGACCAGAGCCAGGACCAAGGAGGACCCAGACTCCCGTCCCGACTGCACCAAACACGCGGTGCATCACATCACCAGCCGGGTTGAGGAAGAACCGCAGAGGTCTTGGGCAAGTGCTGGTAATTAGCGGCCTCGCGTCATTCCAGTATCTAGCAGATTCGGCATTCATGGTCGTGTGTGCCCGACGGGCATTGCATCCGCCTCTCATTCTGGTCGCGCGATGTCTCCCGCGCATGCGCGTGTGACCTCTCTCCCAGGATAGCTAAGATTAGTTAATTAATTAATTTATTATTCCGTCGCGATGTGGAGTCCCGAGGCGGATTCGGTCGCGTCGCCGCCGGAGCCGGACGAGTGGGTGGACTCGCCGGGGCCGGGCAGCGAGGTGTCGCGCAGCCATTGGATGCCGGAGGAGGCGTTCAAGCGCTGCACCAATCCCGCGTGCGGAAAGGAGTTCACGCAGCGCCGCCGCAAGTAAGAGCCTCCGCGCTGGCGTGCGGCGCGGTGGAACTCGATCCAGGCCTCTTTCTCACTCCTTCCGCTCCTTCATCCCCTCGTGATTTCGAGCAGCCGTCGTCCGCGTGTATGCGTTCTTCTCTCTGACGCTTGGCGCTCTGTGTTTGCTGCATGGTGCTTGCTGCATGGCGCGTGCTGCATGGTGCTCGGCGCGCAGGCACCACTGTCGGTGCTGCGGCAACGTGTACTGCAGCAAATGCACCAGCTACGTGCTGCCGCTCAACCCGCTCAGCGCCATGGTGAGACGTTGACACGTGGCACGTGCGGAACAGGATTGCCACGTGGCGTATTGTCACGCTCATTGTGGTCAACCATGATGTGATCATCTCGCTACTGTGATCACCCGTTAAACTTCACTCTACCCCACTGAATCCGATTCGGTTGCAGATCGAGGCGGGAGGTGTGAAGGCGAAGGTCTGTGAGCTGTGCTACGAGGTGAGCTGCAGACGTGGACAGGGCATGACTGCCGTTGACCGGGACTGACGTTGAGAAACAGTCACAACGGATCACAGTCTCTCTCAGTCATGCTCATCCGCATATTCCGCTGTCCAGTGCTGTCCTTGCTGCCATGGCCGTGTTCCGAGACTCCGCTCCAACAGTCTCAGGTCCTCACACATGTGCGTTCCCCCATCCTTCTCCCAACGCCTGTCCGCATGTGTCTGCACAGCGTGCAGTGGACGAGGGGTATGCGGAGAGCACAGGCAGCCAGGGCGACGCAGAAGCAGACGGCAGTGTGCACGGCGCACAGGGGTATCTCGGAGCAGAGTCCCCTGCTGACGCACCTGCTGACAGCCACACACACGCATCAGCTGCTAAGTCAGGCCCGTCAGGCTTGACTGCGGAGCAAGCAACCTCCCCCAACTCCATCCTCTCCTCCTCCCCTTCCTCCTCTGCTGCTACCCCTGCTGCCGCCACTGCCAACAGCAGCGACGGCAGCAGCAGCGCCTCAGCGCCACCCCGCTCCTCCTTCGACTCATCCATCCCACGCCCCTCCAGTGCCGGTCCCTCCACTCTCTCCGACCGCCTCTCCCACGCGCGCCCGCCCTCCTCCTTAGAGGAAGACATATTCGGCGCCCGCCCTCGCCTGCGCGCTGCCATGCTGGAGGACCACCGCCCACACTCCAGTGGGGGGCGCGTTGCTTCCTCCGCCTTCCCCCGCTTCAACTCCATTTCGGGTGCTGGCAACGCACTGGGAAGCGGCACCGGGGGTGCTGGTGGGAGGGGGAGTGGGAGCATCAGTATTGGTGGGGTTGGCATGGGAGGCGGGTTGCGGGGCAGTGGCGGCAGCGGGGACTTGTTTCAGCGCAGCACCACGCTCTCTGCCTCGCATGAGCGGGCCATAAGGGTGCAGGGGAGTGGGCTGAGCGTGGAAGGAGGCGCAGACAGCAGCGCCACCATCAGCAGCAGTGCTACCAGCAGCAGCAGTTATTCCGCCATTGCTGTTGCTGCCAGGAGCAGCAGCAGCAGCGCCGTCACCACCAGCACGGGTGGTGAGAGCAGCAGGGGGGCAGGCGACCGCGTGCGAGTGCTGCAGCGCTACCGCCACCTGTCGGTTTCTCTGGATGAGGAGAGGGGCGCGCGCAAGGGCAGGGGCGGCGCAGCAGGCGCGTGGGCAGCCGCGGACAGGGCAGCAGCGGCGGGGCCACAGCATTTGGACCTGGCGGGGAGTGGGGGGAGCGTGGGGGGAACGGGAGGGGGAGGCGGGATGGGCGGTCGAGTGCCGCTAGGGCTGCCTCCCAGGGCGGACGCGAGGCAGAAGCAGCAGCAGCAGCAACAGGGGCAGGGGGAGGGCAGCAGGGGTGGCAGTGGTGGGAGCATGCGGGGGGGGACAGCAGGGCCGGGCAACAAGATAGGGCTGTCTCTCGACCTGCTGGCTAAGATGAATTTCCCCTCTCAGCCCTCCCCCTCCCACCCCTCTCCCTCCTACCCCTCCTCCGCACAACCTTCCCCGTCTCTCACATCGGAACCGTCCTGGAAACGACCTTCGCCACTCCACTCTCCCGCCTCCGCGATTATGTCCCCCCAGCCCTTCTCCCCCTCCCCCTGGGCGCAGCCTGGGCGCGCCAGGGGGGCCAGGGGAAGCGCGGATGTGCTGGTGATTGCGGACAGGGGGGCGGAGGGGGAGGGGGAAGGGGAGGGGGATTGGGACTCCGAGGGCATGGGAATGTTGGGAGGGGGAAGGCAAGCCGTAGAGGAAAGAAGGGGTGGGGGCCAGTTACAGGGAGGGCAGGCTGGCGGGGTGAGTGTGGAGGACCGAGAGCGGGATGAGCGAGAGCGGGAGGAGAGGGAGAGGGAGGAGAGGGAGAGGGTGGAGGGGGAGCAGAGGCGGAGGGAGGAGCTATACGAGGAGCTGGGGGCGGGGCTGCTGCTGGAATCCCCCTCGGCGCACGTGAAGGGCCAAGTGAAGAGCGTGCAGCTGCACGACCTGCTGGCCGCCTGGGAGAAGGGCGAGAGGTGAGTGAGGCGCCTGTTGTTTTCTTTGCCCACATGTACGAGCGTGGCAGCACCTGGCAGCTGCATGATCTGCTGGCGCCATGGGAGAAGGGCGAGAGGTAAGGCTGCTTGCTCCCTGTTATGCCCATTTCTTCCTCTGCCATCTCCGTTTCTCATCCCCCTGTACTCAACCTGAGACGTCTCTCACCCCATTGCTTCTCCCCATCCTCCCAATTCCATTCCCAATTCCCCACTACCCGTGCCCCCATACATACCCCGCCCCCTGCAGCGTTCTCGACTCCACGACCACAACAGTCTCCCCTCTGCCTGCCACCTCACCACTGCCCACCGCCGCCCCCCTGCCTGCCGGCTCACCCCTGCCCACCACGGCCTCCCCTCTCACACTCCTTGCAACCATCTCGCACCGCATGGGCCTCGCTCCCGCCCCCCCTTCCCCTGCCACTGCTCTGGAGCAGCGCCACGAGGGCAGGGGAGAGAAGGGGCACAAAGAGGCAGCGGAGGCAGCAGCAGCAGGGGGGACGGGCAAGGGGCCATCAGCGGAGGCGATTCAGCGCCTGCTGTGGACTGACGGCGAGCCCACTGCCGTCCCTGCCTCTGCCGCTGCTGCCGCCCCTGACACTGCTGCCACTGCCGACCCTGCAGCAGCTGCAGCGTCACCAGGAGACACGTCTCCCCAAGGCAGGGGCGAGGCACTGGACGAGGTGAAGCGCAGCCTCGCCGCCTCCATGGGCGCTGCTGGGGGGGGCGGAGAGGGGCGCACTGCTGCAGCCAGCGGCGCAAGCAGCGCACCTCACGAGCCCAGCACCACCGAGGCCAAGGCACCTGGGGCGGTAGCGCCCGGTGCAAGTGGCGGGGCAGCGGCCGCGCCGTCTGCCTCGGCTGTGCGGGCGGCGCCGGCGTCGCTGCTGCAGTGGTCGTCCAGCGATGTGCTGCACTGGCTGCGCTCCTCCGTGCCCTTCCGCTCCGCCCCCGCCTCCCGTACGTGCCCCGCCTCCGCCCCCATTTCCTGCTCTGCTCGCCTGCCCTCCCGCACCTGCTTGCTGCGTCCTTTGGTCTCCTGCGCTCTCCTGTGATGTGCCCTCATTCATTTCCCTCTGCGCTTCGTTGTACCACCCCCCACTCTGCTGCCTGCATGCCCATACCGCGTGGCAGACTATGCTGCTGATTTTGAGAAGGCGGGAGTGGAGGGGATCACACTGATGGGCATGACACGTGGCCACCCTGCATTGGCCAACATGCGGCCTGCTGACCTCGTGGCGTTCGAGGTGAGCAAAGGACACACGCCAAGCGTGCATACGTGTCTATCACACATGCCAAGCCCGCATGTGTATCACACGTGCCAAGCCCGCATGTGTGTGTTTCCCACATACCATGCAGCTGCCCTCTGCCCTCTGCCCTCTGCCCTCTGCCCTCTGCCCTCTGCCCTCTGCCCTCTGCCCTCTGCCCTCTGCCCTCTGCCCTCTGCCCTCTGCCCTCTGCCCTCTGCCCTCTGCCCTCTGCCCTCTGCCCTCTGCCCTCTGCCCTCTGCCCTCTGCCCTCTGCCCTCTGCCCTCTGCCCTCTGCCCTCTGCCCTCTGCCCTCTGCCCTCTGCCCTCTGCCCTCTGCCCTCTGCCCTCTGCCCTCTGCCCTCTGCCCTCTGCCCTTGGCCTCAACATTATCCCTCCTGTGCACGTCTCTGTGCTTCCCCCTCTTCCATCGTCTGCACCTCCTCCTCTCACTCACCCTGCGCCTCCCCTCTGCTTTTGCCCGGCCCTGCCCATTCGCACCCCCTCCACGTGCACCTGCCCCCCGCCGCCCCCTTTCCCTGTCACCCTCGCGCGCCCATCGCTCTGCCCATCGCTCCCTGCGGGTGCTCGGGTGGGTGGGGGGAAGATGGCGAGTCAGGTGGAGCGCCGGCGAGTCGTGGCGGCACATGCAACAGGCCAGCCCACTCCAGAGCTCGCCCCTCGGCCCGCCACAGCTGTGGGGGTCACCGGGATGGACTCGCAGCACCTCAGGCCTGGCCAGGCGGGGCAGCAGCAGCAGCAGCAGCAGGCGAAGCTGGTGCCGCCGCGGCAGTTCCGTGCTCTGCATCTGGACGGCTTCTCCTCTGCCAGCTCAAGGTGCGTGGTGGCGGCACTCACACTCATTGCACTGTGTCCTGCCCGTCCTCTCCAATGCACACTCCTCGGTCCACCTCGCTTCCCAAACACTTACTCCGCCTCTCCATATCGCCACTCACTCCTCATACCCTCCCTTCTTCTCTTCCCCCTTTCCTCTTCCCCTTTGCCTTTCCTCTTTCCCTTTCCTTCCTTCACCCCCTTTCTCTCCCCCCAGGGCCACCACCCCAGCAGACACACCCCACTCCACAGACTCACGCATTCTCAACCCTGTCCCCGCCCGCCCTGCCACTGCTGCTGCTGGCAGCGGCGGTGGTGGGGGGCAGAAGAAGGGGGCGGGCAGCAGTGGCAGCGGCGGCGGGTGGCTGTTTGGGTGGAGCAGTAGCGCTGCCAAGGACAGCCCAGCCAGTGCGGAGGTTGGTAGTACCACACACACTGCATGGCAATGTGGAGGTGGGAGGGGGGGAGGCGGGGTAGGGAATATGTAACAGGGCTAACTCTATCTTCTCCTGTTTTGCTTGTGTGCTCTGCTTGCCTGCTGCCTGTGCCGTGCGGTGCCGTGGTGCTGTGGCAGGGAGGGGAGGCAAGGGACGAGGTGGCAGCAGCGGAGGAGAGGGAGCAGACGGCAAAAGCCAAGTGAGTGCCGTGTGTGGGCCTGCTGGAATTCCTTGTCTGCCTGCCAGACACATGTTTGACACTCTGTTACCTTGCATGTCATGCCATGCGACACTGCGTGTGCTTTGCTGGGCCTCTCTCCTCCTTCTCCCTGTATCTGCTTCAACAGTGATAAATCACCATATTCGCATTCGCATCTCTCTTCTTCCCTCTCTCCCATCCCTGCTGCACCGCTGCGTCGCACGGCACACACCAGGCTGTCGCATCTGGATGCCATGCTCAAGCGATCGCTGCTGGTGGAGTACCTTCACACGCGCCAGGTATAATGAGTCGTGTTTTGAGTTGACTCAAACCAGTACCTTCACACACGCCAGGTATGCATGTGGGGGACACCTTACCTGCCAGCTTCTTTGTGAATGTATGCAAGTGAGCGAGTGCAAGCAACCATGCCTGCAACCCTGACATACCCACTGTCCCCAACCAACCATGCACCTTTCCCCATCATCCCGCTCCCCTCTCCCCTCCCTTGTGCAGCGGTGGGCGCCCATAGGGGGCGAGGGACCCCTGCCAGTGGATGACCCCGAGGCGGAGGATGAGTGGCTGCCGCGCTTCGTTGCTCTCTCCGCCAACGAGGTCTCCTGCTACCGCCAGGCCTCAGGTGCGCCACTCTGTCACCTCTCCACGTGTTGACACGCAGCAGGTGTATCTACATGGGATTCCCTATGCTTCTGCACAACACCGCCTCTGAAACTTGATCTCCTCTTCCTCTCTTTCTCCCTCTTTCGCTCTATTCCTCCCTTTTCCCGCCCTGTTCACTCTCCTCCCTCCCCACCCCCCTTCCTCATTCTCCCGGACCACCCCCAGACCTGGACCCGGAGGTGAGCATCCCGTTGGACAGCGTGGCGGCAGCAGGGACACTGGAAGCAGGGGGCGAGGCGGGAGAGGAGGCGGAGGACTGGCTGGTGTTCCACCTCACCACGGGGTACGGGCTACGCCTCGAATGCGGCACTCGCAGCCGCGTCAAGGTGAGCGCCCACCCGCTCCGTGCTGCCACGGCCCGGGGGAATGTGCTGCTTTGGGGAGACGGGAATGGGGGTGGGGGAGGGGTGATGTACTTTCAACAGGATACAGCGCACAATGCAGTTGTAGACAGTTTATCCTGATGCATGTCGATTTTTGTGCGTGTGCCATTGGCCTTTCTGCTGAACAAACAGCTGCAATTGTGGCTTGCCACCATCCACGAGGCGGTGGAGAATGTTGCCATGAGGAAACAAAGAGGAAGGCCAAGATCTGCAGCAAGTGGAGGTCGCTGAAGCACAGGCAGCCTGTGATATTAGGGCTTGTTTATGTGCTATACATATAGGCATTGTGTTGTAGTATTTATTGTACGGAATTGTAATATTGCTGCTTTAATCCCACACAACCTGTTACAACACCGTGGTCAACCGCAATTCTCGCTTGTTTGCGAAAGCTTTCGAGAGACATTCTGCAATTTCGTGCGAGCTGCATCGGAATGTTCTTCGCATCCCTCTCGCGCACACTTCGCGCGAGGTCCCCGCAGATCCGCAGCATTCTTCCCCCGCATGAACACAGCTGGCGTGGCGTGTGATGAGCGACAAGCATCACCGTCACCGACATCCCAGTTCACCTCAGTTCTCAGTTGGGGCTGGGATGTGCTGCATAAAAGCCTGATATGCCATAATGCCACTCCACACGGCGATTTCTGCACTAATCACTTCAGCTTCCTCCTGATTCGCGTTGGTATAGCAAGCCCTCCTTTCTAGTTCATCTAACCGTCACCTCGTCTCCAGCGCTCTTGCTTCCATTATTTTTTACCATCAGTCAGTCCACTGCTATTTTCGGACTAGATGCCACTAGAGAGCTCTGCTGGAGGGACTGAGGCGTTTCCGAGCCTCGGTCGGCATTGTTCGCTGTCCTCGTGTCAGCTGCTCGACTTCCTCCCGTTCAAATGCGATGCGTGCCATCAGGTCCGTAGCTAGTTGCAGCGACACAGAGCCTTCCACGTCCGCCTGAAACGCGCCAATTACGAGTCAAATCTCTAGTTTGAATTGCTCTAACTACTCTCCCGCGTAGCCGTTCCGCACGCTCTCTTACGCGATCTCCTTCCACTTATCTCCCCCGATATCGTTCCGCCCATCCCCCGTATTCCGCAGCCTTTTTGTCTGGACCACCGGTCGTACGGCGCGCACGAGTGTCCCGACGTCCACATTAAGGACGTTACCGTTGCCGTCTGTCCCAAGTGCTCCTCTAGCTTCAGGACTTCGCGATTTGAAGACGCCGAGAGAGCCCTCGCGCGCCACATGGGAGGCAGCGACTGCCAGGCAGCATCGGCGGAGCGGAGGACCAAGTGTCCGGTGCGTGGTTGCCGGCAACGACTGACCACTTCGAATCGCGCCAAGTGCAGGTAGGCTCCCGATCTTGTGAATTCGCGATGTTTGAGGTGACGACTTTTTGTAGCGCTCGCAATCTTTCTTATCCGTGCTACTGGACGTTTTCCTGCAACCTCTCTCTCTCCCTGTCCTCATGCCCACCCCATCAGGTCGTGCGCGGAGGACCATTGCCTGCAGCACCGCCTCGCTTCTGACCATCACTGCGCACACCGCGCCACATCGTCCGCCACGAGGCCCACACGCGCGGAGGGTAAGGGGGCGGGGCAGCGGTTTCTGGATGCGCTAGCAAAGCGCACTGGCGGAGAGTGTGCGCAAAGCAGCTCTTCTGGTTCATCCTCGGATAGCACGAATGCGGGAGTCGGTGTCAACCCAAGCGTGAAGGCCCATTGACATACATTTTCCATTTTATGGAGCAGCCTGGAACCTACCATGTCTACCAATGAAATTCCCACTATAGAGCGGTATGTAAACATATTATTGCTGGATCCTGACTACTTTGACTAATCAATCACGTGTCTTGCTGGTAATGACGTGATGTCTCTAATTTGGTCCACTTCACAATGCAAAACATGTTTAGTTCCACGGACCACAGCATACATTGCACTAGGTGCAATGTAGTCACAAGTACGCTCCAGCTGAAAAGGCTCCCCTGGAATCTGATCAAAGGAACAACATCAAAGCATGTCCAGACACGGATAGTGAAGGCATGTCCGAAACAGAGGGACCAGCACAAATGGAAATGGCATGAAACACAGCAAGCACCGAACCTGATAGCCGGAGTGTATTTGCACGCCAGTGATGACGGCATAGTCTGCAGTCTCGGGGTTCACAGTGCGCTTCACCAGCCTCTCTATGTCCTCGGTGATTGCCCCCAATGCTGCCTTGGTTACTCGCACCAGCGACGGGCCACTCGATCCAAAGGAATGCACCTGGGAGAGCGGACTGGCCATGGAGAAAGCAGGGAAAAATCGGTGGGTGCAGGTTTGTGGAAATAACTCTCAAGAGTTACAGATGTTTCACAGGCTATAAAACTGGGGGGACTCGCCCCTGGGGGACTTCCCCCAGGAGGGACTAGCCCCTGGGGGGACTCCCCCCTGGGGGGACTCCCCCCTGGGGGGACTCGCCCCTGAGGGGACTCGCCCCTGGGGGGACTCGCCCCTGGGGGACTCGCCCCTGGGGGGACTCGCCCCTGCGGGGACTCGCCCCTGGGGGGACTCGCCCCTGGGGGGACTCGCCCCTGGGGGACTCCCCCCGAGGGGAGGGACTCGCCCCTGGGGGGACTCGCCCCTGGGGGGACTCGCCCCTGGGGGAACTCGCCCCTGAGGGGACTCGCCCCTGGGGGGACTCGCCCCTGGGGGGACTCGCCCCTGGGGGAACTCGCCCCTGAGGGGACTCGCCCCTGGGGGGACTCGCCCCTGGGGGGACTCGCCCCTGGGGGGACTCGCCCCTGGGGGGACTCGCCCCTGGGGGACTCCCCCCGAGGGGAGGGACTCGCCCCTGGGGGGACTCGCCCCTGGGGGGACTCGCCCCTGAGGGGACTCGCCCCTGGGGGGACTCGCCCCTGGGGGGACTCGCCCCTGGGGGGACTCGCCCCTGGGGGGACTCGCCCCTGGGGGGACTCGCCCCTGGGTGGACTCGCCCCTGGGTGGACTCGCCCCTGGGGGGACTCGCCCCTGGGTGGACTCGCCCCTGGGTGGACTCGCCCCTGGGGGACTCCCCCCGAGGGGAGGGACTCGCCCCTGGGGGGACTCGCCCCTGGGGGGGACTCGCCCCTGGGGAGACTCACCCCTGGGGGGACTCGCCCCTGGGGGGACTCGCCCCTGGGGGGACTCGCCCCTGGGGGGACTCGCCCCTGGGGGGACTCACCCCTGGGGGGACTCGCCCCTGGGGGGACTCGCCCCTGGGGGGACTCGCCCCTGGGGGGACTCGCCCCTGGGGGGACTCGCCCCTGGGGGGACTCGCCCCTGAGGGGACTCGCCCCTGGGGAGACTGGACTCGCCCCTGGGGGGACTCGCCCCTGCGGGGACTCGCCCCTGCGGGGACTCGCCCCTGGGGGGACTCGCCCCTGGGGGGACTCGCCCCTGGGTGCCTCCCCCCGAGGGGAGGGACTCGCCCCTGGGGGGACTCGCCCTTGGGGGAACTCGCCCCTGAGGGGACTCGCCCCTGGGGGGACTCGCCCCTGGGGGGACTCGCCCCTGGGGGGACTCGCCCCTGGGGGGATTCGCCCCTGGGGGGACTCGCCCCTGCGGGGACTCGCCCCTGGGGGGACTCGCCCCTGGGGGGACTCGCCCTTGAGGGGACTCGCCCCTGGGGAGACTGGACTCGCCCCTGGGGGGACTCGCCCCTGCGGGGACTCGCCCCTGCGGGGACTCGCCCCTGGGGGGACTCGCCCCTGCGGGGACTCGCCCCTGCGGGGACTCGCCCCTGGGGGGACTCGCCCCTGGGGGGACTCGCCCCTGGGGGAACTCGCCCCTGGGGGGACTCGCCCCTGGGGGGACTCGCCCCTGGGGGGACTCGCCCCTGAGGGGACTCGCCCCTGGGGGGACTCCCCCCTGGGGGGCTCGCCCCTGGGGAGACTCGCCCCTGCGGGGACTCGCCCCTGGGGGGACTCGCCCCTGGGGGGACTCGCCCCTGCGGGGACTCGCCCCTGGGGGGACTCGCCCCTTGGGGGACTCGCCCCTGGGGGACTCCCCCCGAGGGGAGGGACTCGCCCCTGGGGGGACTCGCCCCTGGGGGAACTCGCCCCTGATGGGACTCGCCCCTGGGGGGACTCGCCCCTGGGGGGACTCGCCCCTGGGGGGACTCGCCCCTAGGGGGACTCGCCCCTGAGGGGACTCGCCCCTGGAGGGACTTGACCCTGGGGGGACTCGCCCCTTGGGAGACTCGCCCCTGGGGGGAGTCGCCCCTGGGGGGACTCGCCCCTGGGGGGAATCGCCCCTGGGGGGATTCGCCTCTGGGGGGACTCGCCCCTGGGGTGACTCGCCCCTGGGGGGACTTCCCCTGGGGGGACTCGCCCCTGGGTGACTCCCCCCTAGGGGAGGGACTCGCCCCTGGGGGGACTCGCCCTTGGGGGAATTCGCCCCTGAGGGGACTCGCCCCTGGGGGGACTCGCCCCTGGGGGGACTCGCCCCTGTGGGGACTCGCCCCTGGGGGGATTCGCCCCTGGGGGGACTCGCCCCTGCGGGGACTCGCCCCTGGGGGGACTCGCCCCTGGGGGGACTCGCCCTTGAGGGGACTCGCCCCTGGGGAGACTGGACTCGCCCCTGGGGGGACTCGCCCCTGCGGGGACTCGCCCCTGGGTGGACTCGCCCCTGGGGGGACTCGCCCCTGGGGGGACTCGCCCCTGAGGGGACTCGCCCCTGGGGGGACTCGCCCCTGGGGGGACTCGCCCCTGGGGGGACTCGCCCCTGGGGGGACTCGCCCCTGGGGGGACTCGCCCCTGGGGGGACTCGCCCCTGGGGGGCTCGCCCCCGGGGGGGCTCGCCCCTGGGGGGCTCGCCCCTGGGGGGACTCCCCCCGAGGGGAGGGACTCGCCCCTGGGGGGACTCGCCCCTGGGGGGATTCGCCTCTGGGGGGACTCGCCCCTGGGGGGACTCGCCCCTGGGGGGACTCGCCCCTGGGGGGACTCGCCCCTGGGGGGACTCGCCCCTGGGGGGACTCGCCCCTGGGGGGACTCGCCCCTGGGTGGACTCGCCCCTGGGGGGATTCGCCCCTGGGGGGACTCGCCCCTGGGGGGACTCGCCCCTGGGGGGACTCGCCCCTGGGGGGACTCGCCCCTGGGGGGACTCGCCCCTGGGGGGACTCGCCCCTGGGTGGACTCGCCCCTGGGGGGACTCGCCCCTGGGGGGACTCGCCCCTGGGGGGACTCGCCCCTGGGTGGACTCGCCCCTGGGGGGACTCGCCCAGTCCGCTATGACAATGGACCTGAAAACGAGATTTCACCAATAACGCCCCTCACATACCCGAGCAGCGATCTTCTTTTTGAGCAGCACATACTCCTTGTCATCAGCATCATCCTCCACCAAGCCTCCCTTCGATATGTCGTTCTTGATGGCAATCAACGCCCCACACGCACTGGACGGCTTGCCCCGGCCTCGCCTGAGCAGCGACCCCACCTGGCCTGACTCCCCCACTGACACGTGTGGAAAGCCAAAGAAGACGTCTGGCAGGAGCGCAAGGTGGGCAAGCAGAGAAAGGTCAAGCAGAGTGGCTACATGGTCAAGGAACGTGGAGGGCATTGCAGCTGAGTACAATGCATGCTAGATAGTAAGCATCTGGAGCGAATGCATGTGGACTGCCATGGATGCATGCATGTGACTCACATCTCTCGCGCACTTGGTCACCATTGACTTCACAGGGAAACTCTGGCGAGTGCGACATGGCGGCCTTGAACCCTGTGGTGCCGCAGTTGACGAGCCCTCCCAGCCCCGCGATGTTGAACGACAGCCCAAACTCGCGGTCTATCAGCTTCACTATCGGCCGACAAACTTCGTCTCGGCACGTGTTCACGAGCGCTATGCAGTTGTCCCTGGCATGTGCGACGTGTGTGAGGGGGTGCATTGAATAACAGATACGAGTACGTTGAGGCAAAAGCATGCTTATACCAAGACTAGCGCTGAAAAGCGGTTGTGAATATGGTGTGGGGGTACCTCTTAAAGCCGAGGTTGGCGAGTTCAAGGGCGAGCGCGTGGATGAAGGTGTCCTCCTGCATGGCGTTCGGGAAGGTCACCGCCATTGTCGCCAGTGCTGCTGGTGCCGCCTGACGGCGGAGCAGATGAGAAGTAAAACTGGGTGCGAACGGTTTGAATCGAATGCAATGTATATGCATTGCGATGCCCTGAATATTGTGTGAGTCCAACAAAATGTGCATAGCACGCGATGGTTTTGTACGTGTTGAATGACTTCCAACTGAACCCACCTGCTTGGTGTACGCAAAGAAATATCCATTCTCGGAAGTGGGAGAGGCGGATGGAGCGCTTTCAGGGGAGGATGGCGACAGCGAGGGTGGTGGTGATGGAAGCAGGCTGGCGATGGGATAACAGGCGATGGAGAGGAGAGTCGAGAGGGCGTGGAGCAGACTCGCGTTGAGGGAAAGGAGAGAGAACGTGACCCCGCCAGCTATAGTCGCGGCGACAATGCTGGGAACGATGAGGTGGATGCCGGAAAGGGAAGGGGGAGAGACAGGTGCTGGTGGTGTCACAGATATCCGCGCAAACAGTGGCTCCTTGTTCCATGTGTCGCCGCATTGTCTTTCATTTAGCGGATTGTTGTTGCTGTGGGAGGAATTGCTCCAGCTGTTTCTAGACTGCGTGCTGCCATTGCGGGCCTGACAGAAGCTGCGGCTTCGTATTTTTGCTGGAACCGTTCCTAAAACGGAGACGCCTATCGGAGTCTGTCTCGGCGAGGGCGGAGCTGGTCGGGTGTGGAGTGACTGGCGGTAAGTGGCAGCTCGTAGCATCGCACCCCGACGTAATCCAATGGAGCAGCTAGGAATCGTGATTTGTGAAGCACAAGAACACAGCAAGTAGAATCAGTCACTCGACTGTCAGCAGGCATCCTACCCATCATTTTATTTCCAGCAACATTTGAAGTTAGAGATTACGGTACATCAATCCTTGATTGGGGGGGTGTGATGTGAAGCGAGAAGCGGCCTTGATTCGGAAAATGTCCTGTGACTTCCAGCTACTCGCCTGGGTGGGTGGGGGGTACCACTGGGGACTCGAAAGGCTTCGTGCAAGCGAAATTTGTAGAGTGTGGGCGAAACTGCACGACGGAGCAGAAGTTCGCCCGCAGAGGCACGAAATTGTGTAGCATGTAACTTTCTTGCCATCGCAGTCCTGCCCAAGCACCTTCTTCCCCCCGCCCCTGATGGCCAATCTTCCCATGCAGACCAGCTGGGCAGCCGTTCTGATCAGCTTTTTGGTCTTATCCTTGTAGAGCTTCCCTCACGCAATTGGCTGCTGTACCTGGTTGTGCCATCCACCACACGCCGAAGCTAACGCTCTTCGCTCGGCCAGGTTCTCTGATTTCCGTGAGTTTCTGTTGATTACTTAAGGTTCTTCTTGATCTCATATTGTTCATCAGTTTTCTCTTGAAATTTGTTTTAGCGAGCGCTAGGGTAGTCGCAACCTTTTCTAGGGCTGCATTTTTCTCGTCTCCTTGATACAGCATTTTGGTGCGTTTAATCATAGTGATAGCTAGCCTTCCTTCTGGGTTCTCCGGCATTTGTTTTGCGGATTTATCGCAGGCGCTCCGGTCCAGGTTCAGCGACTTTCAATCATGGAGACTTCTCTACGGCTTAACGCTGAAGACAGGAGCCTGGTCATGCACGCAAAGGAGAATTTCGTGAGTGACGGCAACATCGCGCTTCAGGTCCATGCGAAGCTGAACACGCAGACAGGCAAGCCTAGCTGCTTGATTCAGCTCAAGAAGAAATTCTTCCCGGAAGTTCTGACAAGCATTGACGTTGGTGCTAAAGTGGACGTTGAGTCGCGAGAAGTTACTTACAGCATTCAAGGAAAGAAGACCTGGGAGCTAACAGATAATGGCCTTCTGTGTCTCGATCTCAAAGGCGCGTACAATTACCAGCCTCACACCCAGTCCGGGAAGCCGAAGGCTTCAGTGGAGCTTAGCCAGAAGGTGTTTAATTTCACAGAGGATCAAGATCTGAAGGTCAAGCTGGGGTACAACGTCGTTGCGAGAAAGCCTTACTTGCAGCTGCGCGAGAACAACTGGACCTTAAATGCTGAGTTACGGGAGACTGCTGGTAAGCGCATTCACTGGAGCATTGCTTATGACTTGTAATCCATGGTGTTAGGATATTGTAGGGAAAACCTGTTTGCCACCTTGGCCTAGCTGCTGTGTCCGTCCCCTTCGTTCCCTGTTACGAATCTCTGAAGTAGGCTGTAGTCTTCAGCCTGTTATGGTACCATATTATACTCATGTGTGCTTAGGATGCACAGATCTGTGAATGTTGAATGCCTTTGTGATAATGTAGGGTTTCAGGAAAAGCAGGTGCAAGAGATCATCATAATCAGCAAAATACTTAGACATTTCACGTGAAATATACACCAGACATTCCAGAGGTTATGGCTAGCTGCCACTCACCAACTCCCCTCTCATCCTCGTCCTCTCTATCTTGATAAACATTACGTTGTAGATGTACAAATGCTGCCATAAGTATATTGTACACATTGGCCTGAAACGGGGGGCAGAGACGATGGGAAAAGTATAGTTGAGACGGAAGTGTGGGTGTCTGTCTACGAGGGGTATTGGCAAAAGCTTCTGACAATGAGGGAGGGGTTCATACCTTGTGCTGACAACGGAGCACAGATGCATGCAATGCCTCTGCATGGCCGATGATGATAATGTTCTCCTCAGGCCACTGCATGAATACAAGATAGCACAGTGCCAACGAAAGAGGATTGGTGCTCAGTGCATGACATAATATTCCACTGATCACTCGAATCCTGTGACTTGGGCCCCCGACCCTTTCCTTACCTGTTCTGCGATTCGGTCAATGGCTGCCACCAGTCTCATTGCCGCCCTTTCCACTTCCTCAGGTCCTCTTGGGACCCTCAAGTCTGCGCCCCCTGTGACAGCCCACCCCACCCTCTCCACACACTCTGTTGGCAACAATGCCTCCAGCGCCGCCCGACCCGCCAGCGCATGGGACAAACGCGGCCGTGCTGTTCCGGGCGGGATAACCTCACAGAGGGAGTAGTCAATGCAGGCGTGGATGAGGGGCAAAGGGACAGGCATGCCTGCCTGCCACATGTCAACCGCTGATGCTGGTTCGTGGGCGCTCCGATCAGCCGGGTCGTGGTATGAACCGGCTAGAGAGGTGCCCATGTCTCTTGCATGCTTTCGCTTCCGGTGCTGCAGTGCCTGGGCGGGCGTCAGTGGTTGCTGCGGGATGTGGGAGGAGCGATGGGCAGTACACGGGAGAGAAAAGGGTCAGGGGAAATGTCACGCGGTTGCAGCCAGTCTTGAAATCTGCTGAGCATAAAGACTTTCCCTTGCATACTCCCACCTCATTTATCATAGGCATACTTACCCAACTCTCCCACCCCTCACCCGAGCTTCACCCGAGCCTCAACCCAGACCTGTGTGCACCTGCATGGCTCGGAGGATGTGCCGCTGCACGCCCACCGTCCTGCACCCCTCCGCACCACCGCGCCCCACGCGCGGCAGCGGTAGGCACGGTGACGAGGAGCGCCCGTACCCGGGGCCCGAGGGCGCATAGTCCATGTCAGGCGTGCTGCTCATTGCAGCAATCAGCTCCGCCGCCGTCTCCGCGCAGCGCACGTACGGCGCGCACACCACGCGCGTCACCCCCCACCCCTCGCGTCTCAGCCGCACCCCCACTTGGTACGCCTGGTACCGCCCCCATTCCGACAGCGGCGGATCCCACGGCCGGCTCGTGGGCTCCCGTTGCGCCCATCGCGGATCGACGGCGTCTAGGCGCTCCGCGTGGCGCATGACGAAGACGTGCTGGCGGCGCTGCAGCACGGCGGACTGGAACCCGCAGATGCGGAAGAGCATGGCGCGCCAGGGGGAGTCGAACTTGCGCCTGTCTACCTGGCGGGGGAGCGGCGGCATGCCCGCGTCGGGGGGATGCGGGAGCCCCGCGGAGGAGGTGGGGGAGGCGCAGGTGGAAGTGCTACAGGAGGACGAGGGGGAAGGGGAATCCGCGGACCTGTGGCGGAAAATAGGTGCGGAGGTGGCGGAGGAGGAGGCGGAGAGGTACGAGGGCGCAGGGGAAGGCGGAAAGGAGGAAGGGGGAGTGGAGATGACAGAGTACGCGGGGAGGCGGAGGTTGCGGAAGAAGATGGGGCGGAAGGAGGCGGAGAGGGGCGGGCAGACACACGGCGAGGGAGAGAACGAATGCCATCGCCGGGCCTTTGCTGCGCCGCGACGGTGTCGATTACGGAATCTGATGCTGCTGCTGCTGCCGGCGCCCGGGGTGCGCGTTTCACTCGCTGTCGGCAACGCCAAGGGAGAATGCGTTGGCTGTTCACCCGCTGACGTGCCGTCCTCCCATTCGCCGTCCAGCTCATCCACTACGTCCGCGATAGTAGCAAGCCCCGAGAATCCGAACTCGTCGTTCCGCCAATCGTCGTCCGTCCTTTCCGCCTCTTCCCCCAATTCCTCCCCATATTGCCCCCCTAACCCCCTATGCGCTTCTTGGGAATCCCGCGTGGCCAATCGGCGCTGCAGGAACCCGGGCAGCAGCGCCATTACCGGAGAGGAATACGACGAGCTGAAAGCTACCTCCGACGAGCACGCTTACGCGCTCCACTAGTACAATGCTACTGACGCCGCTAAATCAACCCGCCTCTAATACGTCTCTAAACGCCTTTGCCCCAACCTGGTTCGTCCCAATTTATGCCGCATAGTTGGTTTGGTTGGGTGAGAGCTGCTGAGTGCTGCCAAAAGGAGGCGAGGCGAAGCGAGGACGAGAGGCGAGGTGAACCAAGCAAAGGAGCAGTTTCATTTCATATCTTTCTCTCACCCACCCCCTCGTTGCATGGTGGGTGGCGCAATGTGCGCACAACATGGGATGGCACAGATTGGACGTGTGATATGATGTGACATGTTTTGCTGGTGATGTTTTGGGCCCAGTTTGGCAGGCATAAAAAAACCGGGCGAGGGGGATGGGCTACAGTGAACCGACCACCCTGGAACCTTCCCTGATAAGCGCGTGGAAGATTATCAAGGTTCGATATAAGCGGACTACGCCGAACCTGACAATAATGGAATGCCAACCAAACACCCCATTATCCGATGGCATTTCGAACCCTACGTTTCTTCAACGACCCCATTTTCCCTAGCAAAGAGCCCATTTTCGGACACCCCGCACCATGCGACCTCGAGGCCCCGCACCATGCGGGGTATCAGAGGGCGTTCCTGGCGATGGCCTGGACATCAGCCGCTCCAATGACGTGTAAATTAGATTTGTGCCGTTGGCAACAGGTGTACATCTGCAGCCACGCACCAATGAATTTCGTGCGCGAACAAACGTCTGCGACCTGTTCGACGTTGAACAAGCCAGGAAAAGCACCCTCGAAAATATTCCTTGCTGAATCGACAACCCTCGCACGCATGGGGTATGCAGTGCCAAATTCACTACCAACACAAACACCTGATACTTCAATGCAACCATCTCTGTGGTTTTTTATTTTTCCTGTGCCCCAAATGGTTTTTGCCCTCATTCTGATGTTTACAACAGCGCCATTACAGTTGCACGCTGCGTCAACTACACTACTGAACATCAGTTGTGCGAAAACGTCGCACGGCCGTTGGTGGGCTACCTCGTTGAAGGCACGTGGCCCCAACCCTCAGATGTCCAGACGTTTGGCGTTTGGCCATCCCCAGGAATGCCATCTAAGTGATTCGGGGCAATCAAAAGTGACTGCCAGCCAATCACATGATCACGCGCAACTGCCTACCATCTTCTGCGAAACCCTAAATTTCGATTGATGCCATCAATCTACACCCAATAAATGCCAACCAAACACTCATCCCGTTTTTTGGAAGGTGCACTGCAGCTTTCGAAGCTGTTTCTAGAAATGCCCAGGCGGCATTTTTTGGGGGCCCGTTAAAAATGCCCATCATGGCCATAACGGCCATGATGCCTGCCAAACACGGCCATGGTGCGCCCAGCTGGTAGAGTGCGGGTTTCTTTCCAGGGTCAAGAGCGGTATTGCGAGATGGCGTGCGGCGAAAAAGGGTTGAACGCTGGCACTGTAGCGAACGCATTCGTTGCAACGGCGATCTGCGCCGCGTGCACTGGCATGCAGCTGTGCAAAAAGGGGGGGAAATGCGGGGGTGCTAAAGCGGTTGATGGCCCCGCAAGGCACTACATTCGCGCTACAAAACGATTCGACTGTGTACAAGGTGAGGCATTCTACAACGGATTTCACCAGAATTCAAATCTACAAACGAGTTACCTGTATGCATAATACTTATGAATGTCACAATCCTGAGCCCAGTGATCCGAATTGTGACAAGTCAAGGCGATGCAGACGGACACAGGCAAGAATTGGCTCTGGAAACTCCTCTGGGCTGACACCCTGCTTGACAGGAATGGTGTGGCGGACGAGAAAGAAAACAAACAATGAAGGTACTGTACACGCCGAGCAGGCAACACGGAAACGCACATGAACGGTGCCTAAAACAAAGGAGTGAAGCATACCTGAAGGATGATTGCGATGTCAAAGACACAGGAGGAGAGGTGGCGGCGCAGGGGGAGGAGGCCCCTCTTGACCTGGTTGGGGAAGCGGTGCACATCAATATCCATCTCCACATATGGCTTGCTCTCGCCCTGAGACAGACACACACGAAAAGGAGGGAATTGATGAGAGCAGGGCCACACGGGCCACACTACATGCGAAACAAGCACCTTTGTGTGGACCCTTAGTGACTGTTAAAAGTCAAGCTGACTTGCAGAATGGAGGCTGAGAAACATCAGGCTTGACAAATCACTCACTCGGATGAGCGAGTGGTGTGAGCGAGTGAGGATGGGTTGCCCGCTCCAGCTCTGCACTGTCTTCTTTGTACCCGAGCCTAGCCCCATGCCAGCCTCGTTCACCACCCGAGCCAGCAGCTTCGGCCGATCCCACTTGAACGCGTTCGGCGACTCTTTCCGCCCAGCCTCACTGCTCCCAACTGCCTTCCCCCCACGCCCCCCACTGCTGCTGCCGCCCGTGCCACTCCCCTTGCTGCTAGAGCGCGAATGCCCCGCATCTGTAGCACTGTACCCCACGCCAGGCCCTGCTACAGCCGCTACAGCTGCACTGCAGTCTGGAGCGCTTCCCCTCACAGCATCTGTGTCCGTGGGCACATGTGTGCTGCTTCCCATCCCCGGCTGGGATGACAGATGTGCGGGTGGCGGCTGGCACAGCGGCTGTGGGGGTGATGGGAGCCATGCGGCAGGGCAGCAGAGCAGAGGCGCAGAGGCGCAGAGGAGGGGAGGAGGAGCGGAAGGAGAGCAGAGGAGGAGCGGAGGGAGAGCAGAGGAGGAGCGGAGGGAGAGCAGAGGAGGAGCGGAGGGAGAGCAGAGGAGGAGCGGAGGGAGAGCAGAGGAGGAGCGGAGGGAGAGCAGAGGAGGAGAGGGGGCAAGGGAGTAGAGGGGAAAGGGCAAGGAAAGAGGGATGGGAGTTAGGTGAGGGTGAAGCTTCGGGGAGGAGGAGGATGGGGCAGACAATGGTGTGATTTGGAGGTCGTCGCAATTGTAGCACGTGATTGGGTCATGGTCATCAGGAAACTAGGCTGTGCTTACCTGGAGCATGGCAGCGAGGCAGGGTGGCACGCCGCGTGCATAAGCAGGGCTGAGCTTCAGATACAGCACTAGGCTGATACCCTCCCCGTCCTGCTCCTGCTGTAGTAGAGGCAGTGTGGTGTAGAGTGGTACCTGCAGGTTCACCACGAGCACCTCTGGCAGCAACCACCCTTCTCCCCATTCCCCTTCTCCTCCTCCTTCACCTTCTTCTACTCCTTCTGCCTCTTCTCCTATCCCATATACCTCTGCACAGACACCATCCATGGGACCATCTCCATCACCTCGCCCTCTCTCCCCCCTTTCCATTCCCTCCTGCCGCACCTCCCCACTCTCCCCCACACCGCCCCTCCCAAAGAGACTAGCAGGGAGCTCCACATGCTCTGCCACGTGGCGGATTTTGAGTGGTGTGTGAAACACATCCACACCCCACGGCTCGTAAATGGCCGGCGGGCAGGCGGGCACCTTGCGGCGGTCAGATAAAAAAGTTTCTCCGCGCACGTCAAAGGACGCAGGGTCAACGGGCGACCATGAGTTTTCAGCAGAGGAATCACCTGGGGCGCAGCGGGACACCTGAGATCCCGCCTGGGGCCACATGAGCAGGCGCTTGACAGCTGAAGGCGGGATGGAGGGGGGTAAGTGGAGGGGAGTGTAAGGGCAAAGGAGAGGTGTGCTGGACTGGTTTGGAAGGGATAGATGGAGGGAGGTGGCGGAGGAGATTATGAGGTCAGGACGCAAGCCCAGGGAGGGAGAAAGGAAAGTGAGCAGAAAGGGGAGGAGAGATGCGACGAGCAGGGGATGTTAGGGAGGTGGCAGGCACTCATGTTGATCAGACAGCCTTTGCTCCCTTCCCCATGCGTCCCAGTTCAACCGCCTTCCGATCCTCCTTACCAACTCACACTCCTTGGGCATCACGGTGCACCTCTCTCAACCGCATTACATCCCCCCCCCCACCCCACTCACACTCCTTGGGTGTGACGGTGCGGCGCCACAGCCCTCGGCGCCGGGCGCCTGCTATGAACGCCAGCCCCCTGGGGCTCATCCCGCCCTCCTCGCCACTCTCGCCTGCTGCCATGCCATGCCACCCCGGGGTGGTGGAGAAAAGGGGGGTGGAAGGGGGTGGGAGCGTGGAAACGGGGAGCAAAGGAGAATCAACCGCAAAGGATGGGTACGGAAACCAGCAGGAAAAGACAATCAGTTTCAGTCAACGCAGTCCATACGGCCACCAGCGCGAGCCATTTGGGGCGCACGTGGTGCACACATGCATACACATTCAAAGAGGCGGTTCACGGTGCGGCATACCAGCAAAGAGCAGCCCGCGGGCGAGTTTATGGCGGTGGGCTTGCATGGACTTCCATGTCTTGAGCGTGCCGGGCCTTGGCACGCCCACCAGCCCGTCCCCTGCTGCCAGCGACCCACTGCTGCTGCCCACGCTCTCATTCCTGGGGATATGTGCGCTCCCGTACATCCCAATCCCCGCCCCTCCTTCCATCCCTTCCCCCTCCCCTAGACCTCCCCTCTCTGCTGCACTCCCTCCCATCATTCCCCCCATCATTGCCCCCTCCAGTCCCCCCCTCGGCCCTGCCCCGGCAATCCCAAGGCCAGGGAGCGGCGCCAGCTCATCGTCGGTGGAGACGGACGGCGTGGACGGCGACTTGTGGATGATGCTGGGTGACGTGGCAGTGTCTGAGTGGACGAGGGGGAATGAGGGGGAGGTGAGCGTGAGGGGCGTGGTGGGGTAGGGGGGCGGGAGGAAGGCAGTGGTTGGTGGGGTTGCTGGGGGCAGGCCGGGGTTCAACACCGGAGCAGATGGGGTTGTAACGCTGCCAGTAACATCGGCGGCAGCAGAAGCAGCAGCAGCAGCCGTACCAGAGGCAGCACCACCAGGACCGCCAGCAGCAGCACTAGAGCTGTGGACTCCAGCCGCAGCAGCAGCATCGGCGACGGCAGTAGCCGCAGCGGGGGGGTGGGGGGAGAGGCGGGGCGTCCTGGCAGTGCAGACAGAGGTGTCTAGAGGGCTGCGGGAGGAAAGTCCCAGGAAGCTGTCGTCTGTTGACAGCTTGCGCGCATGGAATCCCCCTCCCCCCGCTCCCCCGCCTCCGCCACTCCACCTCCCCCCGCTAGACACCCCACTGCGCCCACTGCCCGCCCCCGCCGTTCCCCCCCGCCCCTCCCTGCTCATCCCCCTCTCGCCCCCCTCTGGTGACCCCCTTCCCTGCTGCTGCCGCGGCTGGCGGGGGTGGGGGGGAGGGCGTGGGGCGGGCGGGGGAGGGAGGATGCTGCGGCGGTGTGGGGGCGAGGGGGGGGCGCGGAAGAGGTGGAAGCAGCAGACACGGAAGGTTGGGGGGCGGAAAGGCTGGGGAGGGAAGGGGCGGTGGCGGAGGGGGAGGTGGGGGGCGGAGGACCCAAGGGGGCGGCGTCGGTGGAAGGAGCAGCGGAGAGGGGTGGCGCAGAAGGGGGGAGGGGGGAGGTGACGGCGGGGGGGAGGGCGGAGGCGAGCGCGGGAGGGGAAGAGGCGATTGCGTCAGGGTGAGTAGAGAGTGAGGGAGGGTAGGGAGGGCAAGTGAGGGAGGGATCTACAGCGACAGGGAGGACCTGAGTGCGCGCAGTGGTGGTGAGCGGCGGATACCCACCAGTGCCAGTGGCAGCACAAGTGCTCCCTGCTGCCACATCCCCATTGGCTAGCAAGTCACCCTCCCCAGTCCCACGTGCTGCTTCGCCCCTGCCCCCCTCGCCCACGCGTCCCTCGTGTGGAACCTCATGTGCTGCAATTGTGGGATGCACTCGCATTGAACCTGATTCTGGATCCCACCCGCCTCCGTCCGCCGCCGCACGCCTGGATGAAACGCTGCCAGGGTTCAGGCGTGCAGATGAAACGCTGCCGACCGTTGCTGCGTCGGATGAAACCGTGTCGTCCGTACGCACTGAGAGGTCAAGCGTTTCATCAGTCGCCACGACAGCAGCAGCAGAAGACACGATACCGACACAACCTCGCTCCTCCGCTCCTACCGCCCTCTCCTGCTCCCCCCCCGCCCCTGCCATTAACTCACCTCTCCCCCCAACCCTATCACTGCCGCGCTCGTATCCCCCCATGTCCTCCCCCTGTCCGTGCGCGCCCGTCGTCCCCGCGTGCTCCCCCCTTCCACTAAAATCCTCCACGGTGTACCCATAATGCGTTCTCACCTCGTCATCTCTCCGCCCAGGATCCACTACAAGCACCTCCGCTACACCGCCGCCTTCTAGTTTAAGCACGCGCGCGCCGTGATCCTTATGGAACACGCCGCGCCAGCTGAAGCACCCCTTCCCCAGGATGTCCGGGCTGCTCACCGGCATTCCGCCCGCACCCATTCCGCCGACAGCTTCCGCCAAGTGCGCGTCTCCGGCGCTCACGGCCTCCGCAGTTCCGCTCCATTCTCCGCTGGAGTGGGTAGCGGCGGACGCCGCGGCCTCTTCCGGGGGCCATCCCCTCGCGCCGTCGGAGTGATGGAGATGCTTGGACTTGTGCGCTTTGACACGTGGCTTGTACATAACTGCTGACGTGGCGCTCCTACCGAATGGTATTACGTAGCAGATTTACGCAAGGGTAAGAAGCTGCTTCGATACGAGCTGCCTTGAGAAGAGCTGCTTGGCAATCCGAAAAGACCAGGTCAGGTCGGAAGCGACGTGGCATCGGTCAAGCGAACGGCTAATGCGCAGCGCATGCATGTTCACGGGCGCTGATGTCCCGCAGGCATGATCATGAATAAGCTTGGTCAACCATGAATCCATGATATCCACCCTCCGTTTTGGAATGATGATGCGGAAATGACTGGTGGATGGCAAGCAGGCAGTTGTGTATGCAGGGTTAAGTACACTGCAAGTAATCAATGCTTCTCTATAACGAGGCTGGCTCTGAGCAGAACAGCCTGGCGGATTGCACCGCCATCTGGTGCAGGGGGGAGGGGGGAATCCTGCATGCGCGGCAGTCTGTCTCTGTGGCCTGGCGGGCGCATTGGTCATTGTCGAATTCCCCCCAACCCCAGCAGGCATTGTGGGGAATGAAAACGCGGGCGGGCTTGCACGTTGCCCAAATCCCCAGGCTTGTCGGACCTCCTTCCCGCGACCTCCCGCGACCTCCCGCGATTTTATGAGGGCTGTGGCCGACCTGCGGCCTGCCCCAATCCCAAGCTTCGTCGCCACGCGAACCTCTGGTTGTTGTGAGCTAAATATCGTGAAAAAGGATGGACGAAACATTTGGCGAAAGTCGGCGAAGGTTCGTCGCCACGCGAACCTCTGGTTGCTGTGATTTTGGGAGGTGAATCCAGAATATCCTGACATCTGTCGCAGGGCACGGTTACCAAAACACTTCATGTCGCCAACTTTCAACCCTGTGTCCTCCTTTGTCACGACTACGGCAGCGAGTCAGTTCGCCTCGGGATTACCGAGGCACCGCATTCAACCCGCTTCCGCCAACAGCCCACCCTCTCCCTCCACACTCTGCCTCCTAGCCCACCCTTAGCACATCAGACTCCGGATTAGTCAGCAAGATCCTAGCTTTCGTAGGGAGTTCTGGGCGAAGTTGTTCAGTCGTCCAGTGCTGTGGATATTATTACTCGTAATCTCATATATGGATGGTTTCACTAGAGACTGTCGCTGTCGTTGAGACATCGGTCGTTATTCTTATTTGAAAGACTGGTTCATGCAATTCTCACCACGATGTCTCGGGGAGACGATGCCGACCTGGAGATCCCTCTCGAGTTCATCTGCCCTTTATCGGATCGCGTTATGGCGGAGCCCGTGATTATCGCCTCGGGATTGACGTACGAGCGCGAGTACATCCAAGCCTGGTTCGACGCTGGTCACCTCACCTGCCCGCGGTCAGGAGAAAAAGTCCGCCACACCGAGTACTTTCCGAATGTGGCTCTCAAGGCGTTGATCATGGAATGGTGCGCCAAGCACAACGTTAAGCTTTCTGCCGGTCAGAAGCAGGCCGTTGGTCGGAAGACCGCAGGTAATCAAGAGGTCCGACATATGTTATCACTATCGCAGGAGCAAGGCGATCAATCCGCTCACGTGAAAAGCCATCGTAGAACTCGCTCCGCAGCAGATTCCGCGTTCTTCGGGAACTTCAACTCCGGCAGTGCGCTCCGCCCATCTGGTGCGCGCGAGGGGCCGCGGAGCAGCGATGAAGGCGGGGGGAGCAGCGGGAGCGAGATGTCCGCGCGCAACCGACGGCAGGCCCTTTCGACAATGTCCGCGCGGGAGCGCGAGGCTCCTGGCGGTCGAGAAGCAGACGCGCAGCGGAGACGCAGTCACGAGCAGCAGAGAATGACCGTCGCCGGGTCGAGGGAAGCTGCACACGAGGGTTCAGGCGCAGCCAGTCACGGCAGGGGCCCTGCTTCGTTATCGGACAAATTCGCTTCCGGGGGAGGTAGGGGTGCAGGGTTAGGTATAAATTCAACGGCCGCACGGACAATAGGCATGGACTCGGGAGCCCCGGGCATGGCGCGCGCGGGAACTGCGCCGGTAGGGGGAGCGCATCCGCTGGAGCGGAAGAAAGGGCCCGTTGCGGCGCCGCATTTGCGCCCTGACCGCCGGCGCACTATGAGCTGGGACGGCAGCCACGACCCTCTGGCTGCCGGCCGGCTAGACCCGTCTGTTCTGGCCGGCGCTGTGGTGTATGACCGAGCAGCGTCCCCGGTAGCGAAATCAGGCCCGCATCCGGGCAGAGAGCCGCGCCCGTCCTCCAGTGGAGCTAGCTCGTTAGCAGCGCGCAGGCAGCGCAGATTGTCCCCGTTACAAGCCTCAGGCCTGCTCACCACCAGTCCGCTTGGCAATTCTGAAGCGGTCGCCTCTCCGCAGCTGCCGCCGCGCGCAGGCGGGGGGACTTCAGGGACGGGAGTTAGGGTTCCCGCGCGGGAAGGGGCGGGCAGCGGGGTGTGGTCACCTCAGGAGCAGTCAAGCGGGGGCCACGGCAGGGGGGGCAGTGGCGGGGCGGCGGCAGGGGCGGTTGGAGCAGCTGAATTGCTGGCAGGAGTTGGGATTCCAAGGTCAGGGTCGATAACCGCTAGCTCACCCAAGCACAGGCTCTCTAAAGGCAGCAGTGGGGGCAGTAGCACAGGCGCCGCCCTCCCTCCCTTGTCCCCCCAGGTTCAGCAGGCGATCCCGCACGGACATGCAGGGCAGCAGCAGGGATCGCAGGTACCTCCGCCACGTGCAATGACAACCGTTGATGGGATGGTTGAGGCGATGGATCGAGGGTCAGCAGAGCAGCGGGTGGAGGCGGTGGTGCAGCTGAGAGCAGCAGTGAAGGAGAGCTGTGAGAACAGGCAGCGGCTGCTGGAGCGAGAAGACGGAGTGCCCATCCTTCTTGACTTCCTCGATGAGGCCATTGCTGCCCTGGGCGGAGGGGGAGGGAGGGCGCCAGGGCGGGAGGGGCGCGGGCGGGGGGTGATGGATCCTGCACTGGTGGTGGACTGTGCAGTGGCCGTGGTGCTGCAGCTGTGCCAGTCGCGAGATGGCGCAGCGGAGTTTATTGATGTGGGCGGCGTCCCTTCCCTCGTGGACGTGCTCTCTCACACCGGGCCAGCTGGCACGGCAGGAGTAGTGTCATCAGCAGGGGGGGCGGCAGGCATTTCAAGCATGGTGAAGGGGAATGCAGCTGCGGCGCTGTTTGCCCTTGCCTCATGGGACGACGTGATGGACGAATCAGCGAATGGGGGCAGGAACGGGAACAGCGCTGGCCCAAGCAGGAACATCCACAAGACTAAGATTCAAGCTGCGGGAGCAATCCCCTCGCTTGTCCGTCTGCTCACGAATGAGACGGCGCGGTGCAGGAAGGATGCTGGGCTTGCCCTCTTCTCCCTCTCGCAGGACCTGTCCTGTGCGAATGAGATCGTGAGGGAAGGCGCTGTGAGCATTCTAGTGGACCTTCTGGGCGATAAAAGGCCAGGGGTGGAGGAGAAGGCTATGGCTGTGTTGGCCAATCTTGCAAGGACACGTGACGGGCAAGAGGCACTGCTGGCTGTGGAAGGGACTCTTGTGATATCGGATGTGCTGGAGAGTGAGTCCGAGAGGGCACGGGAGGAGGCGCTGTGGACGTTACACCATCTGGTTACCACAGGGGTTGTGGCGCCTGCGGTGCTGCTGAATGATGGAGCGCTGTTTCCCATTGCGAAGCTGGCTTGCAAGAAAGGGGCCCTTGCGGAGGCGAAGGAATTGCACCGGATTTTGATGACTGCACGAAAAGGGGGTAGTGAGCAATGAAATGGTTAGTGGAGGTAGGGAGACTGGTGGAAGCTGCATTGCTGTTCTTGAGGCTTTCAAAACAGTTATCATACGTAGCTCGTCTAGAAGCTTAGGCTGCAGTGCTCGTTTTTAGTAATTGAGCATGTCAGGATCACCGTACCGCACTATACCTCCATGTGATTCGGCGTGATGGTTGGGTGGATATTTGTTTGACTGTCGTGGCAGTGTGGTCTAGAGTCCAATCCAAACCAAACCCAAGCCAACTGTGTGTCCCAACTGTTAAAGCCGGGGCGCAGATATCGGCGCTCCAGTTCAAAGTATTATACCGTAGCTTGAAACCCGCGTAACCCAGTATACACTGGAAAGCGAGCAGGCAGAGGCTTCTGCCAGTGGGGGAAGGGCGTGCGGAAAAGTGCTCGCAGTATGATGTGTTGGGGGAAAGCGGCGGAGGGCTTGGGAAAAAGCTGCGCACAACGGGATGAGGGGGAGCGCAGGCAGCAAACTAGAAAGTAACTTGGAACTCAAAACAGCTCAAACTCTCACGCTTGAACTAGGTTCCTAGCTACTAAGTAGTACTTGAAGTGCGTTTTTAGAGCTCCGCAAAGCCATTTGGCTCAGATTAATCGCCCTGCATCTTCTCTTGGTGTGCAATCGAAATTCTGTGCTATATCGTACCTCGTAAACACCTTTTTTTTTCGTACCCGAAGCGCATTGCTCTCGTTTTCTTCCGCTGCCGTCCTTCTGTTTTCCCTCTCCCGTCCCTCCATTCCTCACGTATCTGCGGTAGCGAAGGCGCGAAGGTAGCAGCGAGGCGACGGCTGCTAGCAGCGAGGCGACGGTAGCTAGCAGCGAGGCGACGGTAGCTAGCAGCGAGGCGACGGTAGCTAGCAGCGAGGCGACGGTAGCTAGCAGCGAGGCGACGGCTGCTAGCAGCGAGGCGACGGTAGCTAGCAGCGAGGCGACGGTAGCTAGCAGCGAGGCGACGGTAGCTAGCAGCGAGGCGACGGTAGCGAGCTGCGGGGAGACTGTTGCGAGCAGCGGGGCGACGCATCGGTTCGACAGTGGCGAGCGGTGGCAAGTGGCCGACGAAATGGGAGCGAGCAGCATCATGGACCAGCCCCCGCCCCGTCGTCGGCCTGTCCCCCCTCCAGCCGTCCCTCCTTTCCTTCATTCTCGTCCCCGTTACGCCCTTTCTTCCCTCATATTCCCACCCCACCGTCACAAGGAATTTAGGGTACCCACCCTTCTATTTCCTCCTCTCTCTCTCTCTCTCTCTCTCTCTCTCTCTCTCTCTCTCTCTCTCTCTCTCTCTCTCTCTCTCTCTCTCTCTCTCTCTCTCTCTCTCTCTCTCTCTCTCTCTCTCTCTCTCTCTCTCTCTCTCTCTCTCTCTCTCTCTCTCTCTCTCTCTCTCTCTCCCTTCTCCCTCCCTTTCCCCTCTCCCCCTTCTCTCCCCTTTTCATCTCACTCCACTTTGCAACTCTCCACTCCCCTCTCCTCTCCCCCCCTCCACTCTTCCTCCCCCTCTCTTCCCCCCCTCTTCCTTCCCCCTCCCACATTCACCCTTCTCTCAGCCATCCCTTCCCCCCGTCCCCTGTCCCTCGCCTCTCGTCCCTTCCCTGTCCACTACGTTCTCTCGTCCAGCCCAGCCGACAGCACCAGCTTTGCTTGGCCACTGCCCCATGTCTTTCATATCTCAATGTCCATGCTCCCTTCACTTTCCCTACCTAACATTCTTCAATTATACGCAACGTGTCCTTCCCTCCTCCTCTGTCCCCCCCTCCCCTTCCCCCCTTCTTTCCTACCCCTCCCCCCTCCTTCCTGTAAATGGACAGCTGCACCAATAGTGGATCGGAGTGTAAAAATTGGCTCTCTTTGGATGATGCCATGTTGTTTGCCTACTATGCTTTGCATAGTATCTCCTTCAGGATGACATTCCAAGGATTGCATATATAAACAGTTGATGAATTTTCTCCCCACTAAAAAAATTACTCTTGCAAGTGTACGGAGAAATAAACCTCGTAAGTGAAAATAGTATTCTGCTCAGCTTTTTTGACAGATAAGGTTTCACATTTTGCAATGTGGAGGTGTTATTGGCAGACTAGAACAATCAGCAAAAGGGGGTATGGGCGTGTTGATGTGGTTCCATTTCTCGGTTCGTGTTTCCCCCCTTTCCTTCCCCCCTTTCCTTCCCCCCACCCCTTCCCCCCCACTTTTCCTTTTGAGGTTCGCGACATTCGCCTTAGCTGTTTTCATCGCAACAGAACTTACACACTCGCTAGCCAATTGACGACCAGTACGGAACAGACAAAAAACGGTTTGTCACTATTCCTAAGATAGTTGCACCCCGGCTTTAAGGTGCTCTCCACGTGACCTCTACAGAGCAGGCGTGACTGACAAAGGCCCACTTTCTCCATTTCGCGCGCACTGTCGCGTTACATCCACCTTCGCGAGAGTTCGTCGACTCGTGTGACCAAACCCAAAACTACCAACCACTCTTCCACCCACACGGCGCCTACTATGGTAAGGCCTCGTCGCGTGGGTACGACTTGTCCTATCTGCCACCACAAGCCAATCATTCGTCAGCGGATCCTGGTCGATTCATCTACTCCGTACGCGGCGGGTGCCTCCGGTGATTCACTTATGGCCTAAGCCGCTTAGGTTAAAGATTTAAACTATTGGAGTGTCGTTGTTTACATTATTCCACGGTTCTCCATGCTGCATTGCTCAGGGCTTTCCGTCCTCGCGTCGCATGCTGCCGAAAAACCGTGCGCCTTAGCGCATGATGTAGGTTAACGCTTCAGCAGAACAAGCATTAGTGTTTATTCCCAGGTATCACCTTACAGTTGAACCGGTCCCTTGAAATAATGGCGCCACCTTAACTTCCAGCTAACGCAGCCGCGCCTGCCATTTCGTTTTCCGTTTCCTCTTCTCGTCTCCGTCTTGCTTCTTCTCAGCAGCCATCGTAGCCGTCAATCAGCACCTCGTACACAACATCTCTTCAAATTGTCTCGCTGGCAGCCTTCACTGCCGGTCAGTATGGGGTGGAACAACCTATTCGGCAAGAAGGGCGACTCGCTGATTCAATCCAACTCCCAGCGCAATCTCAGCAAGGCTCGCCGGCAAAAAGGCGGAGAGGCGGAATCGTCCTCTCCAGGGGGAGCGCAAGCGGCGGAGGCGCGTCTCGGAGCAGGCGCGGAGCCCGCGTCGTGGGAACGGGAGCCGCTGGAAGCGGCGCAACGATCGCCGCAGCCGCTGGCGGCGCCCGCGCAACTTTCCCCGAAGCCGACGGGCGGGGGGGTGCAGCAGGGGGGTGTGCAGGGGGGAGTACGCGACGAGCAGCAGCAGCGCCAGCAGCAGTTTGCGCAGCGCCCGCAAGCGCAGTCGTCGCAGGCGCAGCCGTCGCCCCCTCCGCAGCAGCAGGCGCCGTTCTCTCAGCCGCTCATGCAGGCTCCCCATTGGACGGGCGGAGGCTCCGCCGCCGCCGCCACTGGGCGGAGAAGCGCGGAGCGCAGCAGAGCGCAGGAGGGCATGGGCGGAGCGGGCCCGGGGGGAACGAGCCCAATGGGGGGAGGAAATATGAGCGCATTGGGTGGGGGGGCAATGGGGGGGGCAGTTGGGGGAGCAACTCCGCCCAGGGACGCGCGGGTGCCTTCCGCGGGCTCGGGGGGAGCGCAGGCGAAGGCGCAGCAGGACGAGGGCCTGGGGAGAGGCGCGTACCCCGCCTCGCGCGACTACTACCCCTCGCAAGGCGTCCCCACGCCGCATGGCACAGCCTCGGGCGCAGCTTCGGAAACCTGGCGCCAAGCCAGCGAGGCAGGCTCGGCGGTACCTCCGTGGGAGGTGCTGGGGGGGATGAAGGAGGAGGAGTGGGCGGCGTTCAAGGCGTGGGTGGAGTCCACGTGGCGATGCCGGCGCTGTGGCAGCCCCAGGGACGATTTCACCGACCATCCTGTAGCCATGGCCCTGCTGCAGCGCTGCGGTATCACCCCCCCCAGCAGCGCCGGCCAACCCACCTCCTCCCCTCTCCACTCGGACGGCAGCGGAAGGTTCTCCGCACCTTCCTGGCAGCAGCAGCAGAGAGGAGGGGATGTGCAGAGGGGGGCTGTGGACGCGCGCAGTCACGGGGGCGGGTCTCCCCTGAACCCGTCCTCCAAGCGCCACTCCTTAGACGCTTCCCCCCTCGCCTCCACCACCACCGCCAGCACCTTCACCGCCGGACTAGGCCCGGACGCGTGCCCGCACCTGCGAGGCAGCAGCGGGGGGGACGGGGAGGGCAGCGGGGAGAACAGCGGGAGGCTCGCCCCCGGGGGCGGGGGAGACTACCAGGGGCAGGGGAACAGAAGCTTCGACGAAAGCGCCCTGCAGGAGGTGCGCGCGCGGCTGGAGATGGGGGGGGTGGGCGGAGGCGGGGGAAGAGGCGGAGGGGGGCCCGGGGGCGGAGGCGGGCTGGCGCGGACAATGAGCAACACGGAGGTGCTGCAGAGGAAGCTGTTAGCGGCGATCACGCGCGCACACCAGGTGTATTTTATTGACAAGGAGCCGAACGGCAGCCTGGTGTTTGACTACCTGCTGTCCGCCCTGCTGGAGGTCACCGAGTCCATGTTTGGATTCATCTCGTCCGCGCTGCTCAAGGCCGATGGCACACCGTACCTCAAGGTGATGCACCAGGCTGTTAGCAGCCTGTCAGCAGGCTGTGCTTGCTGCCGTGCCGTCTCTTGTGTTTCTGTGTTCACATCACATCACACCATGATCGTGCACACACCTTCTCATACTCCCTCCCTTTCCCTCCTCCCCTGCCCTGCCCTGCCCTGCTCCACCCCCCGCCCCCCCAACAGACGCACGCGATGACAAACGTGGCGTGGAGCAAGGAGCTGAGGGCGTGGTACGCGGCCAACAGCCACAAGGGGCTTGTCTTCACCAACCTCAACACGCTGCACGGCACCGTGGTGCTCACGGGCCAACAGGTGGGTGGCACTGCCTAGCTGGCACGTCCTGTGCTGTTGATAGGGCAGCAGGTTTGTTGTGGCTGGCATGTGCTGCTGATAGGGCAGCAGGTTTTTTGTGGCTGGCATGTGCTGTTGATGAGGCAGCAGGTTTGTTGTGGCTGTGCTGTTGATAGGGCAGCAGGTTTGTTGTGGCTGGCACGTGCTGGTTATAGGGCAGCAGGTTTGTTGTGGCTGGCATGTGCTGTTGATAGGGCAGCAGGTTTGTTGTGGCTGGCATGTGCTGTTGATAGGGCAGCAGGTTTGTTGTGGCTGGCATGTGCTGTTGATAGGGCAGCAGGTTTGTTGTGGCTGGCATGTGCTGTTGATAGGGCAGCAGGTTTGTTGTGGCTGGCATGTGCTGTTGATAGGGCAGCAGGTTTGTTGTGGCTGGCATGTGCTGTTGATAGGGCAGCAGGTTCGTTGTGGCTGGCATGTGCTGTTCAAGTGAAGGGCACTGTAGTGTTCTAAGGTAGCAGGTGGGCAAGACACTAGCAGGCAGGCACCTCTCGTCGTTGATTCGTTTTTTGTAAAGCACCACGTTATCTCAGAAACCTCAAGTGACGAATTCCGAAGCAACACACCACTTGCTCTCTCTGCTGCTGCCAATCAACGCCATCAGCAGTTCCACTGCCAATCCCAAATCCCATCCATCCCCATCCCATGCATCCAAATGCCTCTCCTCTCTGCCCCCAGGTGCTAACAAACGATGCTCGCAACGACCCTAGGTCCAGGGGCGTGCCACCAGGCCACCCCATAATAGACAAGTTCATGGGTATCCCTCTCTACACCGGCACCGAGCTCATCGGCGTCTTTGCCGTCGCCAACCGGGCGGCGGGGTATGACGAGCAGCTGGTGAAGGAGATCGAGCCGCTCACCATGACCATTGCCCAGATGATCTATGCGGTCAATGAGAGGAAGAGGCGGAAGGAGGCGGAGCTGCACCTGTCGAGCGTTGTGCAGGTGAGACTGGCAGGCTGTAGCACGTGTGCTGACCGAGTGGTGTTTTGTATGCATCGCTCAGACTCTGCTCTCCCCCACTCTCCACTGCCTGCTACTCGGCCTGCACTGTTCTCATGCGCTGCGCTGAGTTGTGTTCATTCCGTCACTCGTGCTCACTCTCTGCTCTCACTCCCTCCCGATTTCCTCACTTCCCATCCCCTCTCCAGCCCCCAGGTGGCGAAGGAGGGATCATGTTCCTGGCGCACAGCACAGCATAGCGGGCATGGAGGTTCAAGGAGTGGCGTCCATGAACCTCTCATTATCTGACTCTCTGCTCTCACTCCTCTCTTGCTCCCTATTGTCTCACTCACTCCTCAACCCTATGCCCTTCCTCCAGGTTGCGAAGGAGGGAATAATGTCCCTAGCGCACAGCGGGCATGTGACCTCCATGAACCTGTCGGCGCGGCAGATGTTTGGCTTTGCCCAGCCGGGGGACGCGCCCCTGCCGGGCAGCATGCGCGAGGGCGTGGCGGCCCCGGCCAACCTGCAGCTGAAGGACCTGCTGGTGGAGATAGACGGTCATCGCGACATGCTGACGGCTGGAGGTGCGTGCGTGTTGTGCAAGGATTCACTCTTGAGTGTCATGGGGTTTCCTTATTGAAAGGGCGTAGCGGCACCCGCAAACCTGCAGCTGAAGGACCTGCTCGTGGAGATTGATGGGCACCGGGACATGCTCACTGCTGGAAGTGCGTGTTGTATTGGGATTGATTCTTGAGTGTTATGGGGTTCCTTATTGAGAGGGCGTGACCGCCCCCGCCGACCTGCAGCTCAAGGACCTGCTGGTGGAGATCAAAGGTCACCGCGACATGCTCACCGCTGGGGGTGCGTGTTGAGTTCCGTTCTTGCGGGGGAAGGAGAGAGAGTGGGGTTCAGCTCTTGGGAGCTGTGGTAGGACTTGCTCGTGTGGGATTAGTGGTGCGGTGGTGCTTGGTTTGGGTTTGGAGCATGCGCCATTCCCTCTCTCCCATCACCCCTCGCCCTCCCTGTTCCTCATATCCTCCTCTCTTCCAACCCCGTCTCTCTTCCATCCTCTCATCCTCTCTGCACCAGTCCTGGACCGCGCGTCTGGGTAGGTACACAAGGGCACAGGGCTCACCGCGAGCAGCAACAGCAACTCAAGCCACCGCTGTCCGCTTCCACCCCTGATTATTATCAATCGTTTTCGTCGTCATGCCACCTGTCGCCAGGTTACACTCATCAGGGCACATGCACAAGGGCAAAGGTCCGTGTACAGGCAGCAACCTGAACAACCCTCCCGTCCTCTTTCCATCTATATCCCTCCCCGCACCAGGCCTAGACCACGCGTCAGGGCAGGTGCACAAGGGCACGGGGTTCCGCACGGACGGCAGCACGTTCCCCCTCGAGATCTCCCTGTCCAAGGGCAACTACGATACCGTCTTCTACGTGGCTGTGTTGCGAGATATCTCCGAGAGGCTTGAGGCGGAGAAGAAGCTCAAGGTGAGAGGAAGGGCGCAGCAGAGAGCATACACACAACATCGCTCTCCAAGGGCAGCTACAACACCGTCTTCAATGTGGCTGTGCGGTGATACATCTCCAAGAGGCTCGAGGTGGAGAAGAAGTGCAAGGTGGGAAGAAAGGGTTGTGAAAGCACGATATAAAACACAACATAAGGCAGTGGTGACGGCATGTGAGACTGGACTGGACTGCTTTGATATGCATCCCCCCCTCACCACGTCTCCATGTGCCACTCACCATTGTCACATGCCCTACTCTTGCACCGTGCATGCGAGCAGGAGAGCGAGGAGCGGTGGCTGTATGCCCTGTCGGGCAGCGATGATGGCGTGTGGGACTGGAACGTGCGCGACAACACCATGTTCTTCTCCGACCGGTGGAAGCAGATGCTCGGGTGAGTGGCGTGTGGACTGTGCATGGGCGCATGCATGGGCATGTGGATGGGCATGCCTAGAGTGTGCTGTTGAGAAGAGAATGGTGACGCAGCAATAGTGTGGGACTGGAATGTGCGAGACAACACCATGTTCATCTCCGACCGCTGGAAGCAGCTCGGGTGAGTGGAGGGAGCGTGGGCGCATGTACGGGTGCATGCATGGGCATGGGATAGAGTGTGTGGTGTTCACAAGAGCATGGCGGCGTGTGGGACTGGAACGTGCACGACAACACCGTGTTTTCTCTGATTGCTGGAAGCAGATGTCCGGGTGAGTGCAGTGTGCAGAGTGGATGGGGTGAGTGCAGGGAGGCACATGCTGGGGTGGATGCCGGGCAGCAAATGATGGGTTGAGTCCGGTTCAACTGTCTAGTTCAATCAGACCAGCTGGACTCCGCCCCATGGGCTGTAATTTGCTTTCGCAACCCCCCCACTCATGCGCCCCCCCCACTCATGCGCCCCTCCTACTCATGCTCTCCTCCCACCCATGGATACCCCTCCCCCAGCTACGAGCCTGGAGACATAGGATCAACATTGGATGACTGGGAACGACTGCTCCACCCGGAGGACAAGGACCGCGCGTACGCGGACCTGAAGGAGCATCTGGACGGCGTGACAGCACAGTTTGTGAATGAGCAGCGGCTGCTGCACCTCAACCACAAGCATCCCAAGGAGCACCTCAACTAAACGCCATCCTCCCCACACACCTCTCCATCTCCCATCCCCCGCTACCTTCTTTCCCACAGCTACGAGCCTGGAGACATAGGCTCAACACTGGACGACTGGGAACGCCTTTTGCACCCCGAAGACAAGGACCGCGCGTACGCGGACCTGAAGGAGCATCTGGACGGCGTGACAGCACAGTTTGTGAACGAGCAGCGGCTGCGCTGCAAGGACGGGTCGTGGCGCTGGTTCCTGCACCGCGGCAAGCTGCTCTCCAAGACCGATGATGGCGAGCCGCTGCGCTTCGTGGGCACACACACAGATATCACGGATAGGAAGGTGGCGGAGCAGGCCATGATGGATGCTAAAGAAGAGGCTGAGAGGGTGTCCCGCGCCAAAGCAGGTGCGTGGGGGTATCTCCCCGACCTTTCCCCCCCATCAACACTCTCCACTGGTTCGTGGGCACGCACACGGACATCACGGACTGCAAGGTGGCGGAACAGGCCATGATGGATGCTAAAGACGAGGCAGAGAGGGTGTCGCGTGCAAAAGCAGGTGCGTGGGGGTGTCGGGTGAGGAGGGCCACTCTGGTGTGTTCCTTTCTCCTGACATTCGCACATCCCCTGCCCCCACTTCCCCATACGTCAACCTCCTAACCTTCCCCCACCTTCCCCCTGTCCCCCCACCTTCCCCCTGTCCCCCCACCTTCCCCCTGTCCCCCCACCTTCCCCCTGTCCCCCCACCTTCCCCCTGTCCCCCCACCTTCCCCCTGTCCCCCCACCTTCCCCCTGTCCCCCCACCTTCCCCCTGTCCCCCCACCTTCCCCCTGTCCCCCCACCTTCCTCCCGACGGCAATGAGGCACGAGATGTGCACGCCAACTAGCGGCGTGCTGGGTGGGTGTGACGGCCCCGCTGCTCAACAGGTGTGCATGAGTCAAGTCAACCCAAGGTTTCCCGCTGCTTCCCTCCCTCTCTTGTTCAGATTTCCTTGCGACCATGAGCCATGAGATCCGAACCCCCATGAACGGCGTGGTGGGCATGACAGCCCTTCTACTCGACACCGACTTGACCCCCGAGCAGCGCGACCGAGTGGTCACGATCCGGGACTCGGGCGACATGCTGTTGCAGATCATCAACGACATCCTCGACTACTCCAAGATCGAGTCGGGCAAGCTCGACATGGAGCAAACGCTCTTCAACGTCGTTCAAGCCGTGGAGCGCGTGGCAGAGCTGCTCATCCACAACGCCGAGTCCAAGGGGCTTGACATCGTGATAGAGATCGAGCCGGATACTCCTGTGTTCCTGGTGGGCGACGCGGGGCGCACGCTGCAGGTGCTGATTAATCTTGTGTCGAACGCGATAAAGTTCACGGAGAAGGGGTATGTGAAGTTCCGGTTAGAGGCAGAGATCGGCGCGCCGTGCCTGCTGCAACTCCCCTCCTCCGCCTCCGCCTCTTCCGCTGCTGTTGCTGCTGCTGCTTCTGGTTCTGGTGCCTCTGGTGCTGCGGCAGCTGGGGGAGCGTCTGGGTCGCCTGTAATAGCCTCTGCTGGTGGAGCCAGTGGCAAGGACAGTCCCGCGCACGGGGCATCAGGGAGCATAGGGGCGGCCATGCTGGCAGCGCAGCAGGAGGCAGCAGCGGCGCAGGAGGCGGGCGTGCTGTACTGGGTGTGCCACGTCAGCGACACGGGGATTGGTATTCCCAAGGAGCGCATCGGCCGCCTCTTCACCAAGTTCTCGCAGGTGGGTCCCACTCACTCACCTAATCTGAAGGTTTCAGCCCCTCTCTCATCCAAACTCTCAGCCCCTGGCCCCTGGCCTTGTTGCCATTCTGCCTCGCTATGCATGCCGTTCCTGCTCTTCCATCTGTGACCTGCCGTGCGTCCTGTGCCCCGTGTCTCATGACGTGCCGCACCACCCTGACCAGGTTAGTGCGTTCACAACCAGACGGTTCGGAGGCACAGTGCTTGGTCTAGCAATATCAAAGCAGCTGGTGAAGCTGATGGGGGGGCGCATCTCTGTGCACAGCGAGTTGACTCACGTTATCCCTGCCATCAGTGCCTTTTACCCCTCCCCTTCCTCCCCCCCTTCACCTCCCCTCCTCTCAGGTGGACGCATCCACAACACGGAGGTTCGGAGGCACAGGACTCGGTCTGGCGATATCAAAGCAGCTGGTGGAGCTGATGGGGGGGCGCATATCAGTGCACAGCGAGTTCCGCCGGGGCTCCACCTTCACAGTGCGCCTGCCCGTCAACACCCACCACCCCGCCTACGCCGCCGTCGCTGCGCTCAACCCGCCGCTCCTCCCCACGCCCTCCACGCCCTCCGCCGCCCACTCCTCCTCCCACTCCGCGTCGCTGCTCTCCCCCGAGTCCCCTGCTGCAGCCGGCACGCCCTCCAAGGCGCCGCCCTCGTCGTCGGGCCCACTGCCCGTGCCGCTGGTGGTGCCCCCCGAGTTTCAGTCTATTCGCGTGCTGCTAGTCAGTCCTCTTGAGGTGAGGAAAAATCTTCAAGTCTTCGCTCTCCCCCGAGCCTAGTCCCCTGCTGCAGCCAGCACGCCCTCCAAGGCGCCGCCCTCGTCGTCGGGCCCGCTGCCCGTGCTGCTGGTGGTGCCCCCAGTTTTCCAGTCCATCCGTGTGCTGCTCGCTAGTCCGCTCGAGGTGAGTCTCTCTGCTGAGGCACTCTCACTTTCTTTCCCCCCTCTCACTCGCTTTGATTTGAGGTCCCTTTTGAGGTGCTTCAAAAACAACCTCACTCGCATTAATTTTCAGACGTGTAGAGAGGGTGTTTTTGAGACGTCTCAAAAACACATTGATGTTCGCATAATCCCCTCCACATCCTTCCCATCCCACGTCCCATCAACCCCCTTCCTCCCTTACTCGCAGGTGACAGTGATCCCCATGCAGAAGCAGCTGGAGGCATGGAAGGTGCCGCATGCTTGCCTCACCTGCACGCCAGAGGAGGCCTTCCTTAAGCGCCTCCCGGCCGGCACTCTGCCGCCCGCGCCCCCCCTTCCACAAGGCCAACCCGCGCCCGCCACGTGGCGCGACGGGTCGGCGCGCAAGGGGCTGGCGGAGGATTACGATTTGATCATCATTGACTTTTCCAGCAAGCCACAACTGATCGACCCCATGTCCTCTGTAAGTGGGGGCCATAGCGTGCTGCTGTAGCATGCTGTTTCTGAGCCGACTCAAAAAGGGGCTGGCGGAGGGTTACGATTTGATTGTGGTTCACTTCTCCAGCAAGCAAGCCACAGCTCGTTGACCCCATGTCCTCCGTGAGTCGGCTGTAGCGGGCGGGCTGCTGTCTGTCATGTTTGGCATCAGCCGTCTGCCGTTGTTCTGTTCTGTTCCCCGTGAATACTCCTGCGTGTGATAAGTCGATTTTTTAGTCGACTCAAAAACCGTTTTGTTTTGTTCTGTTCTCTATCGCCCACGAAGTGTGTGTGTGTGCACATGGTGTCTGCACATGCTCGTGCTTCTTTGCTCCCTCCCTTGTCCCTTGTCCCCCACACCACTGCAGGCTGTCTTGGAGATGCTGGGTCGGGAGCGAGTGGGGTGGTGTTGCTGCTGTCCCACGAGGCTGCCAAGACCCCATCCCCCCATCTCATGCTTCCCTCCTCCCTCTCCTCCCCTTCCTCCCTCCCCCTGCAGGCGGTATTGGAGATGCTGGGGCGGGAGCGCCTGGGGGTGGTGGTGCTGCTGAAGCGGTCGCAGGTGTCAGAGAAGACAGAGGGCGAGCTCAAGGCCGTGCGCTACTGGCGCGACCGCTGCCCCGCCATGCTCAATAAACCCATGGTACGTGCCATGGTTAATAAACCCATGGTATGTGCCATGCTCAATAAACCCATGGTATGTGACATGCTCAATAAGCCCATGGTATGTGCCATGCTCAATAAGCCCATGGTATGTGCCATGCTCAATAAACCCATGGTATGTGCCATGCTCAATAAACCCATGGTATGTGCCATGCTCAATAAACCCATGGTATGTGCCATGCTCGATAAACCCATGGTATGTGCCATGCTCAATAAACCCATGGTATGTGCCATGCTCAATAAGCCCATGGTATGTACCATGCTCAATAAGCCCATGGTATGTGCCATGCTCAATAAGCCCATGGTATGTGCCATGCTCAATAAACCCATGGTACGTGCCATGCTCAATAAGCCCATGGTACGTGCCATGCTCAATAAGCCCATGGTATGTGCCATGCTCAATAAACCCATGGTATGTGACATGCTCAATAAGCCCATGGTATGTGCCATGCTCAATAAGCCCATGGTATGTGCCATGCTCAATAAGCCCATGGTATGTGCCATGCTCAATAAGCCCATGGTATGTGCCATGCTCAATAAGCCCATGGTATGTGCCATGCTCAATAAGCCCATGGTATGTGCCATGCTCAATAAACCCATGGTATGTGCCATGCTCAATAAGCCCATGGTACGTGCCATGCTTAATAAGCCCATGGTACGCCCGCGCCCATGGCTATTGCAGTAAGGACTGGGAGACGAATGGTGTTTTCACAACTGCAGGGCCATAAGTCGTGTGCTGCTCAGTCATAGCATCCCATGTTCACACAACAGCAGCGCCTTTCTTTCCCTCCGCCCCCGCGATGCATCCCGTGCTCCGTTCCTCCGTTCCTCGCGATGCATCCCGTGCTCCGTTCCTCCGCCCCCGCGATGCATCCCGTGCTCCGTTCCTCCGCCCTCGCGATGCATCCCGTGCTCCGTTCCTCCGCCCCCGCGATGCATCCCGTGCTCCGTTCCTCCGCCCTCGCGATGCATCCCGTGCTCCGTTCCTCCGCCCCCGCGATGCATCCCGTGCTCCGTTCCTCCGCCCCCGCGATGCATCCCGTGCTCCGTTCCTCCGCCCTCGCGATGCATCCCGTGCTCCGTTCCTCCGCCCTCGCGATGCATCCCGTGCTCCGTTCCTCCGCCCTCGCGATGCATCCCGTGCTCCGTTCCTCCGCCCTCGCGATGCATCCCGTGCTCCGTTCCTCCGCCCTCGCGATGCATCCCGTGCTCCGTTCCTCCGCCCTCGCGTTGCATCCCGTGCTCCGTTCCTCCGCCCTCGCGATGCATCCCGTGCTCCGTTCCTCCGCCCTCGCGTTGCATCCCGTGCTCCGTTCCTCCGCCCTCGCGTTGCATCCCGTGCTCCGTTCCTCCGCCCTCGCGTTGCATCCCGTGCTCCGTTCCTCCGCCCTCGCGATGCATCCCGTGCTCCGTTCCTCCGCCCTCGCGATGCATCCCGTGCTCCGTTCCTCCGCCCTCGCGATGCATCCCGTGCTCCGTTCCTCCGCCCTCGCGATGCATCCCGTGCTCACGCTAGCAGGCTCACTTCTACCTTCTCTGCTACTACCCCTCACTCCGTTTCCCCACTCCATCCCCCCTCCCCTGCCCCCAGGTACGCCCCAAGGCACTGCTCGAGGCGATGGAATCGGCCATGCAGAGCACACCGGGCGGTGACGGGCTGTTCCTGTCTGCTATCCCTTAGTCTTTCCCCCTCATCTTCCCCCCATGCCCCCAGGTGCGCCCCAAGGCACTGCTCGAGGCGATGGAATCGGCCATGCAGAGCACACCGGGCGGCGACGGGCTGTTCCTGTCGTCAGGGCGGCACCGGCAGCAGCCGCGGCCCGCTGCACGGAGCATGGGGCCGAAACTGAGCGGGCGCATCCTGCTGGCCGAAGACAACCTGGTGGGTGGCAGGGTGGTATGTTGGGAGGGTGACAGGACGGCAGGGCGGTGTTCATGTCATGTGTGAGTGTAAGGGCACTCTCTGCTCTCATAGCAGGCAGCAGCCGCGACCTGCTGCGCGGAGCACGGGGCCGAAAGCGAGTGGACGCATCCTTCTGGCAGAGGATAACCTGGTGGGTGGCAGGGCGGTATGCTGGCAGGGTGGTGCAATGATGGCAGTGACGCAGGGTGGCAGGGCGTTGTTAGTGCGTGGCAAGTCCATGCTGACGCATCTGGGGGTGAGCATCGTTCTGACTCTCAAATCTCCGCCTCTCGTTTCTCTCTCCCTCCCCTGTGTGCCTTTCTGTGTGCTGTCTGTCCTATCACTCACAGATCAACCAGAAGGTGGCCAAGTCCATGCTGGCGCAGCTGGGCGTGAGCATAGACATCGCCAACAATGGCGTGGAGGCCGTCAGCCTCTTCCAAAAGAACAAATACAACCTCATCCTCATGGACTGCCAGGTCAGCAGCCTTATCCTCATGGACTGCCAGGTCAGCATCTCTGATGCACACACTTACACAAATCGCCCATTTGTTCGCACAGCTGCTGCTCTGGTGTTGTGATTCCTCATTGTGTGCTCCTCGCGGGCAAGGTTCAAAATTACGACCGAATTATTGAAATTCTACCGTATAATACGGAATAGTAAAAAACGACCGTAAAATACGGTTTAAAGAATTTCAGTGATTGCTAGGAGAAACAATGCGTTTTTTTTAAGTCTATCAAAAAAACGGCGTATTTTTTGACATTTGGCCGTAAAAAACGACCGTATTATACGGACCGTATGATACGATAACCGTAATTTTGATCCTTGCTCGCGGGTGTGTGCCATTGCATGCTCATGCCACATGGGTGCTGTGCTGTGCTGTGCTGTGCTGTGCTGTGCTGTGCTGTGCTGTGCTCTGCTCTGCTCTGCTGTGCGGTGCTGTGCTGTGCGGTGCTGTGCTGTGCGGTGCTGTGCTGCACAGATGCCGGAGATGGATGGGTGGGCAGCGAGTCGCAAGATCAGGGAGCTGGAGGCACAGCAGGCTCAGCCCAACGTCACCATCGTCGCTCTTGTAAGCCCCTCCCCTTCCCCCCCCGCCCCCCTCCTCCCCCTCTCCCCCTCCCACCTGCTCCCTTCCCTCCCCCCGTCTCTCTCCCCTTCCCTCACTTCCTCGCCTCCCGCCCTTCCTCCCCTTGCTTGCCCCTCTCCTTGCTCTCTATGACCCTCTCCCCAGCCCACACACTATTTCCTCTTATCGCTACGCTTTTCTTCCCTCTCCCTTGCAAACCCGTCTCCCCACTGTCAGCATTCCTCCCTTGCTCACTCTGTGTCCCCCCATGCTTCCGTTGCACATGCTCGCAACATTGCCCATCCACCCTGCGCTCATCGCCCATTGCCCCCCTCGCCTGCCCCCCACGTGTGCGTGCATGGCAGACGGCCAATGCTCTCAAGGGCGACAGGGAGCAATGCCTCGCTGCCGGCATGACAGGTGAGGGGGTGAGATGTGAGAGCATGACTGACAGGTGAGGGGGTGAGAGGTGAGAGCATGACTGACAGGTGAGGGTATGGGGCATCAGGTGTGTGTGAGGGTGAGGTGCGCTTACGACTGCTATACAAGCATCTTCTGCTCCCTTTCTCGCGAATCCTCTCCCCGTTGCTCCTCCCTGCTTTTTTTCTCCTCCCCTCAACCCAGACTATATGTCCAAGCCTGTCAGCAAGGCAGCTCTGGAAAAGGTTCTTAGGCAATACCTTGACAAGGCATGAACTGAGGGAGGCAACAACTGATGAAGCATTGAACAGAGGGAAGCATCAACTGATAAGGCATTAACTGAGGAACCAGTGACTAAAAAAGGCTTGAATGGAGGGAGCATGAGCAGTGCATGAATGCATTTGCTCGGAACGAGCCTCCTTGGTCTGCCATCTCTGCTGGGCCCTGTCGCCTGTGCTTCCCTGTCAGGTGCAGCTTGTCTCTCTGCAGCTTGTCAATTACGGGTATAACTACGCCAACCACCCATCTTGCACCACATGGCATAGCAAGAGCATCAATCTGTATGCACTGAAGCAAAATGGCTAGTCTGATCAATGTACTACGATAACCTGATCAGTTTGGTTGGGTGGAGCCGTTATTAGGTACCTCAGCGGCCATGAAGTTGAGAGGGAGTTTTGTAGAGTACCAAGGTTATAACACTTGTTTAGGATTACTGTTGATCGGAGTTGTCAGAAAAGACAGGTCTTCTACAGGGTTACTGAATATTTGCAAAATTACAGTAAGGTAATTTAATACACATGTACAATTCGAACAGCAAATTTAGTTATGTACGAAGCGATTATCGAACGACGTGCAGTAATTCAGGACCCTTGAGGGCAACAGCGATTCTGCGACCACCAGGGGGACCGCCCAGTTCGAAGGGAAAATCTGCGGAAAGGAGAGGAGCGGAAACGAAGAAAACAGAGGAAAGCTCAGTGAGTGTCAACGCCATGGTCAGTGTCCGAATGTGTGAAACGCTCTTTCGCATCCAGCAGAGAAGGCTGGTGCGAAACGGGTATGCAGCAGTCACTGAGTGCGATGTGGCCGCTGCTGTGATAAGGACCCTCTTGGCGACGGAGCCTGGTAGCTTGAGCAAGAGAGGCTGGTACGCGGCTTTAGACATTCCCAGCGAATATGACAAGAAAGAAAGACTCGGAATTCTGATCGGATAAGCTGGTAAAAGAAGAGAAAAACAAGCGGTGCCTCAGCCGGAGGATGCGGCATCGGAGACAGCGGCAAGCGCAGGGGTAGGTTCAGCTGCTTTCGCAGCAACCCCCGCAACCGCTGCTCCTACCACTCAATTTTCTTTCATCACAGGCATCGCCAGAATTAACCAGCGCACATTGAAAGCATAGAAGAAAAAAACAAAACAATGAGAAAGCAATTAGAGCGCGTATAAACAAGTCACGACCATCAGTTGGGAGCATTCGTGTCGCCAGTGCCAACCCGTAAGAGCGGCGTCAGACTTCAACAAGGACAGGTAATAGCACTCATCACACGGGCGTGACCAGTAGCACACATAGAAAAATGTGAGGAGATACATGTGATGCGTTAGTGCATCTGAAGAAGAGACTACTGGAGGCGAAAGCACGGCTCCCATCAGAAATAATCCATCGTCAGCGGCGCACCGTCTAACTGCAGCGAGTGCAGTGCGGGGCCATCGGAAACGGCGGTGAGATGGCATCGCACGGGAGACGACGGATTTGCCGCATGAGGGATCGAATAGTCAGACTGTGAGCACACCGACTCGATAACGGAAGAGAAAAACTCACCTCGATAAACTCTTGAAAAGTCTGTCACGGCTGCGTTCCGCACATAGTATCGAGCGCATCATGCGCGGGAACACGGCTGCATATTCACAATGGCACAGAGGAGCTTACACTCGTCTGGGCCATGGTGTCACCGTGGCGGACAACGGGAGCTTACTGAGACATAACCGTCCCAGAGGGAACGTCCTCATCCTGTTCACATACTCACGACAGATGCGGAAATCTCAATACCAAACCATTGTGAAAAAGTGGTTTCATATACGCTCAAAAGAATGACTTGGAGCAGGGCAGCAATAAATGGGCAACGGTGGCTAACCACCAGTCGGGTCTGTTCCTTCTTGTGGTTTGCTCGCGAAGGCTCTTGAAATTCGCTTATCAGAAGTCATGCGTGAAAGTTGCTTGTTTCGGTATAAGCTGCGCTTCTTTCCGCCACACTGCGTCAAATTATCACTGCATTCAGCTTATCGATATTGTTTGTTCTCTTAGTAATGTCCTACACAGCACTCATTACCCTAAATATCCAAGGAAATCGCAATGTTGGGTACATATTGACATATGTGGCATTAGAATGCTAAGTTTTTTGGCATTCCATACATGGTAAAACATTTGAATATAAGCATGAGTGCTATAAGTATACACACTCCCACTCGCTGCAGGGATGGGGGGGGAGGGGTGTTAGGGGGGGTTCGGTTGGTGGTGAGTGTGCATGCTCATGTTCTTCCATGTGGTGGTTAACATTTGTGGGAGCGCACATTAGCAGGAACGATGAACTGAAGGCGCATCTTCGACGCTACATTCAATAACTCTAGATGCATATATTTCTTCTACCAAGGCTGCATTCATCCCTACATGTTTGCACCAGAAGCGTGCTATTCATGAACTAGGGTGGGATGTACCAAGTGATGAAGGTATCTGCAAACCTTCATTACACTTCCATTTCACTCATCTACACGCGACCGCTTCTTAGAAGCCGAGGCTCTCCCGTCTCCCTCCCCATCTGCTCTCCTCTCGCCTTCCACCTCCATTGCACTCATCTCCCCTCCACGCCCTTTCCTCCCCGACCCACCACCAGCACTCCCAGGCGTTGATCTCGTACCCGCAGCAGCAGCAGCAGCAGCAGCAGCAGGGGAGCCATCTGGAGCGTCCATGTTGAGATCAAACACAAACCCCTTTGCGCTGGGTGTGCCTTCCCCATCGCCTCCTCCTTCCGCTTTCCCATCCTCCCCACCAGCCGGACCAGTCTTCTTGCCAGCTGAACCACTCACACCCTTAGGAGCAGCCAGTGGAGTCCCAGTGGCTGTAGAAGCCGTTAGAGGTGTAGACGGAGCATCGGCGGCAGCTGTAGCACCGACAGCGTGGGGGCCTTGCGGAGGAGTCACAGGAGTAGCTGCATTTGGTGCAGGGGGCAGGGCGTTACCAGCTGCAGCATCCTTCCCTGCATCGGCCGTGGCCTCTTTATTAGCCGCTCCTTTACTAGCATCCTTGGCTGCATCCCTATCGCCATGAGAGTCCTTCTTGGGCTTGCTCTTGTGCAGCCTCACCCGCACCTCGTCTGGTAGCATGTCCGGTGGCACCACCCCCTCCATGCCCAGATCACCAAACTGGAGAGAGAGACACAAGATAAGATAAGGTTGGGAGAACAACAGACGTGGGGACAGGCAGGGAGGGCGGAGAACTGTGCTTTCTGTCAGGCAACACCATGCCCTTTATGCCCGGGTCGCCAATTTGGAAACAGGGGAGAGGAAGGAAGGACAGGGGAAATAAAGGCATGCATCCATGCATGAGCTCACCCTGTTGAATGCTTCTATGTCCGATCGAGCAGCCAGGCGAAGGGCTCTCCAGCAAAACACCTGCAGAGCGCGTTTGGGAGAAAGACGGGGCAGGAGAGAGGAGCATGGGGTAAGAGCAATGAAGGAGAAGGCAAGGAGAGAGGAGCATGGGGTAAGAGCAATGAAGGAGAAGGCAAGGAGAGAGGAGCATGGGGTAAGAGCAATGAAGGAGAAGGCAAGGAGAGAGGAGCATGGGGTAAGAGCAATGAAGGAGAAGGCAAGGAGAGAGGAGCATGGGGTAAGAGCAATGAAGGAGAAGGCAAGGAGAGAGGAGCATGGGGTAAGAGCAATGAAGGAGAAGGCAAGGAGAGAGGAGCATGGGGTAAGAGCAATGAAGGAGAAGGCAAGGAGAGAGGAGCATGGGGTAAGAGCAATGAAGGAGAAGGCAAGGAGAGAGGAGCATGGGGTAAGAGCAATGAAGGAGAAGGCAAGGAGAGAGGAGCATGGGGTAAGAGCAATGAAGGAGAAGGCAAGGAGAGAGGAGCATGGGGTAAGAGCAATGAAGGAGAAGGCAAGGAGAGAGGAGCATGGGGTAAGAGCAATGAAGGAGAAGGCAAGGAGAGAGGAGCATGGGGTAAGAGCAATGAAGGAGAAGGCAAGGAGAGAGGAGCATGGGGTAAGAGCAATGAAGGAGAAGGCAAGGAGAGAGGAGCATGGGGTAAGAGCAATGAAGGAGAAGGCAAGGAGAGAGGAGCATGGGGTAAGAGCAATGAAGGAGAAGGCAAGGAGAGAGGAGCATGGGGTAAGAGCAATGAAGGAGAAGGCAAGGAGAGAGGAGCATGGGGTAAGAGCAATGAAGGAGAAGGCAAGGAGAGAGGAGCATGGGGTAAGAGCAATGAAGGAGAAGGCAAGGAGAGAGGAGCATGGGGTAAGAGCAATGAAGGAGAAGGCAAGGAGAGAGGAGCATGGGGTAAGAGCAATGAAGGAGAAGGCAAGGAGAGAGGAGCATGGGGTAAGAGCAATGAAGGAGAAGGCAAGGAGAGAGGAGCATGGGGTAAGAGCAATGAAGGAGAAGGCAAGGAGAGAGGAGCATGGGGTAAGAGCAATGAAGGAGAAGGCAAGGAGAGAGGAGCATGGGGTAAGAGCAATGAAGGAGAAGGCAAGGAGAGAGGAGCATGGGGTAAGAGCAATGAAGGAGAAGGCAAGGAGAGAGGAGCATGGGGTAAGAGCAATGAAGGAGAAGGCAAGGAGAGAGGAGCATGGGGTAAGAGCAATGAAGGAGAAGGCAAGGAGAGAGGAGCATGGGGTAAGAGCAATGAAGGAGAAGGCAAGGAGAGAGGAGCATGGGGTAAGAGCAATGAAGGAGAAGGCAAGGAGAGAGGAGCATGGGGTAAGAGCAATGAAGGAGAAGGCAAGGAGAGAGGAGCATGGGGTAAGAGCAATGAAGGAGAAGGCAAGGAGAGAGGAGCATGGGGTAAGAGCAATGAAGGAGAAGGCAAGGAGAGAGGAGCATGGGGTAAGAGCAATGAAGGAGAAGGCAAGGAGAGAGGAGCATGGGGTAAGAGCAATGAAGGAGAAGGCAAGGAGAGAGGAGCATGGGGTAAGAGCAATGAAGGAGAAGGCAAGGAGAGAGGAGCATGGGGTAAGAGCAATGAAGGAGAAGGCAAGGAGAGTGAGCTATAGAGAGATGCAGGATAATGATCTGTCATCCCACCCAGCTGTGACACGATCCATGCTGCACGTGCTGCTCGTGCTTCCCATGCTGCCCCTGGGCTACCCATGGTGCCTCTCACCTTGTCGTTGGTCCTGTGGTACTCCGCCTCTATGCAATTCTCTGGGTCCATCTGCTCGTATGCAAGCAAGAAGAGAAGAAAGCAGCGGCGGCACCAGTGGCACAGGAAAAAGCAACTGGTGAGGCAAATCTGAACAAGGAGAAAAGGGGGCAATTTGAAGACAAGTATACGAGGGCAGTACAGAAAATGCACTCTGAAGGAATGGCAGCATTCACCTCACCCTCATATATACACCATGTCTAGAGGAGTGCCGCATACAGGGTCAGTGGCACTCACATCATCCGCAGCACTCACATCATCCGCAGCACTCACATCATCCGCAGCACTCACATCATCCGCAAGCGGTTGGATGAAATCTCGGAATGCCGGTACTGCCACCTGCTCTGGGTCCGTCAAGGCGTCCTGCAGGCAGGGGCAGGCCAAGAGGGGGCATGGACAAGGCAGGGTTGGCGTGCAAGGCAAGTGTGGTGCGGGCAATGAGGGATGATGCGAAGAGGGGGTAGTGGCGGTAGCATGGGTGGCTGATGAGAGACGAGACGAGAGAGACGAGAGGGCACTGGATGAAGGCAGGCCCAAGTCCGAACAGAGACGAGCGATTGTGGAGACGAGGGCGAGGGTGGAAAGAAGAAGCCCTTGCTGAGCAGGGAGGGGCAGGAAGGAGAAGAGCGGCTCACAGGGTGCTTATCTGCCCAGCGAAACAGCCGGTCCAGCTCCTTGTTGCCCATCAGGTAGCGCGGCCTGGGGGAGTGAGGAAGGGCAGACAGAGCGCAGTTTGACACGCCTATCAGACCAGCCTTCAATTTCGCATCACAACGCTTGGCCTGGGGGTGAGAGGAAGAAGACAGAGGGCGAGTCAAGCAGAGCCATCAGGACCCATGAGGAAAGCGAGAGCGGAACTCCAGGGAATGGCAGTGCACAGAGTCGCAGAGCTCATGGACCCGGACAGCATACCTGCTCATGGTCCCAGACAGCATACCTGCTCATGGTCCCAGACAGCATACCTGCTCATGGTCCCAGACAGCATACCTGCTCATGGTCCCAGACAGCATACCTGCTCATGGTCCCAGACAGCATACCTGCTCATGGTCCCAGACAGCATACCTGCTCATGGTCCCAGACAGCATACCTGCTCATGGTCCCAGACAGCATACCTGCTCATGGTCCCAGACAGCATACCTGCTACTCTGCGACCTCTTGGGGCATACCTTTTGGGGGTTGGGTCCCGGCGGGGAGTGAGGTCAGCTGGAGGGCGGTCGAACGGCGGACACACCTCCTTCTTCCATGCCACCTGCCAGGGGTGCAAAGCGGTTCAGAGGTGTTCAAAGGAATGTGAATGGGGTCAACGACAGTCATCACTCTTCCCCTGCATACCCCACCCCTTTAACCCCCTCCCCCCTTTTCAATTTCCCCTCCCCCCTATTTCAAACTCTCCTTTCCCCAGTGCCCCAGTGGCTTCAAACGCACCCAGTGCTTCTCCCGCCGCATCACATGCTCCACAGTCGACAGAAAGTCCTCGCCGCCCGGCGGTAACCTTCTGAGAAGCTTCTTCACTCGCGCCTCAAACTCCCTGGCCTCTGCTCTCTGAGCAATCAGCAGGCAACACAGGGGAGAGTGGAAACAACCGATGAGATGGAAGAGCGTGTGGTTGGTAGAGCGACAAAGGATGGCAAAGAGCGACAGAGAAGGGCAGACATAGTTCGATAGATCGTTCTTTATCTCTTAGAAGGCTTGCAGCGGCCGAAACCACCCGATATAAACTGTGACAGAGAAGGGCTGAAAGAGGGAACACTTACCATGGCTTCTCTCTTATCGTCCTTCTCTGACTTTCCTGGAATCTGCAGCTCGCATGTCGCACACACACCACAGTAAGAGAGGATAGACAGACAGCTGAGTTTGTGGCCCCTTCACACTCTACAGCGCAGAGCACTGATCAGCAAGAACCAGCAGGGAGCAGCATCGCACAGCACCGCACAGCACCGCGGAGAACGCACCATAAGATACTCGAGGAGGATGAGGCACTGAACAAGGAACTGGCGCCTGAAGCTGCCATCCCTTAGTTCCAGCTCCAACAGGCTAGTGCTCGTCAGGTACTTCATGTTGTACGCCCCCAACATCTCCCCCACCGCCTCCCCTGACCCGCCCCGTCCCCCTCGCCCTGTCCCCCCTGCACTTCCTGCTCCCTTCGCTCCCCGCTCTCCTCCCTCCCCGGCCGCTCCTGCTCCCACACCTGCTCCGTCCCCTACTCCGCCCCTTGCTCCTCCTCCCACTGACGTGCCTGCTCCATCTGCTTCTTCCCCACCTGCCCCTGCGCCTGCCTCGTCCCCTGCGCCCGTCCCTGCCTCTGCCCCTGCATCGGTATCAGTGCCCAGCGGCTGGGCTTCGAAGGTGTCGAGAACGGTGCGCAGGTGTGACGAGAAGACTGCCCACTTGGGTAGTGCTATAGCTGGGTTGCTGAAATACTCCTGGGGATATGTGGTGTGGGGTGGAAGGAGGGGGGAGAGGGCACGCGGGCTGACTTTTGAGTCAACCCAAAAGTCAGCTTGCTATAGCCGGGTTGCTGAAATACTCCTGGTGATATGTGGGGTGGAAGGCGGGGGGAGAGGGCAGGCGGGGAGGAGGGGCTCGGCTCGGGGGCAGTGAAGCAAGGAAGGCAGGAACTATAGTCAACTGGAAGAATACCACTCGACCGCTGCTAGAGGAGGGTTGCTAAGCGACACAAGGATTGCGTGTGCTAAGCACGAGCGTGACGCTGCGGTTACCTGCAAGCTCCAGAACGTGGTGTAGAACGTGAAGTTTTTGAGAATTCCTAGTTACCTGCAAGCTCCAGAAGGTGGTGTAGAACGTGAAGTCCAGGAGAGGCCCCCCTGTGTGTGTCGAGAAAGTGGAAGAGGGAGGAGGAGGAAGAATGAGAGGAAGGGAGCCAAGCACACAACCAAAGAGAGAGCGTTTGCCTCACATCACAGGAACAAATCGTACAGCACTGGCAGCAGTGCGATCATGGAGTGACCAGTTCTTCACATCATGGTTTAGCAATAACAACCTCCAACTGGAAAGAGCAGATTCAAGGGGTCGGCACAGCCTCACAACCAAAGAGAGAGCGTCAGCAACAAATGCATGTAATCAAAGCCTCAGTTCAATGGAACATAGAAAATCGCTCTTTACATCCAGCAGGCATCCCACCATCCCCAGCTATCGCCTCCCATCTCACCATCCTGGGGGGGATCTCGGGCGTAGTCGGTCTTATTGGACGCGTTGAACGCGCCCTTGATGTTCACCGCTGTTGGGGGAGATGGGAGGGGAGAGGAGATGGGAGGGGAGAGGGGATGGGAGGGGAGAGGAAATGGGAGGGGAGAGGGGATGGGAGGGGAGAGGGGATGGGAGGGGAGAGGGGATGGGAGGGGAGAGGGGATGGGAGGGGAGAGGGGATGGGAGGGGAGAGGGGATGGGAGGGGAGAGGGGATGGGAGGGGAGAGGGGATGGGAGGGGAAAGGAGATGATGAATGAGGGGCCTGACGGAGAATGAGAAGGTAGAGAAAAGAACGTGGCACTGCGAAAACTGGGAAGTGAGGGAGAGTGAGGGAGACAGAGGAGAGAGAGGTGACAAGTAGGGGTTTGTTTGCAGTGCAGCGAGACAGCCAGACCTGATTTCTCCGCGATGGGGAAAAAGTAAGCGAGGAACATGAGCACCCGCCCGCAGAACACCAGATCGTTCGCCTGCACGCATGTACACAGCATGCCCACACGCATGTACACACACAGCATGCACACACGCATGTACACAGCATGCACACACGCATGTACACAGCATGCACACACGCATGTACACAGCATGCACACACGCATACCCACACACATGCATGCACTCACATACGCACACAAGCACACATACAGCAGATTCGCGAACGCACATCCACAGGGGGGAAACGGGCCACTTAAACCAACCTGCCCTCATCTACAACGTGAAGTCCCCCACCTCCAATCACTCACTCACCCTCAACTTCTATTAAATTCCCCTCACTCGACTCTCTGCCGTGCTGTGCCCTCACCTTGGACAGCCGGCGCAAGAGCTGGTTGCACGCGCGCAGCAGCACCAGCTTGCCTCGCTGTAGGATGTGCTCCTGTGGGGGGTAGTAGGAGGAGCGAGCAGTCCAGCAGACAAGGCAGGGAACGCTTGCGTCGACTTACAAGGCACCCTGCGGCACGAGTTGGTTGCATGCGAGCAACAACACCAGCTTGCCTCGCTGCAGGATGTGCTCCAGTGTGGGGTCGTACGAAGAGGGGTGTGTGTGTGTCACACAACGTATGGGGACGAGACAGGACCTTGGCAAGGATTAGCTATTTGAATTCAATGAAAAGTAGTGTTCTCAAAGGGGCCTAGAAATTGGACAAGACCTTGGCGAGCACGTGCTGCTTGGATTCGATGTAGGAGAAGACGAGGTGGCAGTCGGCAATGGGCGACTGGTCCATGAGGTCCTCTAATAGCTGGAACACCACCCCTCCCTCCATGCGCCCCGCCTCGCACAGATGCAGCACCACGTCTGGTGGCGGGTGGGGGGGGAAAGAAATGACGGGGATGGTGCAATGGAAGGACTTTTGGGTCAGCTGGAACACCACCCCGCTCTACATTCGCCCCGCCTCACACAGATGCAGCACCACGTCTGGTGGCGAGGGGCGTGCGTGCGGGTGGGTGAGGTTGGGTAGGTTGGGGAAAGCAAGCATGGGATGTGGAAGAGGCTGGAAAGGCACGGAAGAGCGAGGGACAGAGATGAGGACGAAAGTGGCAGGTGATGAGAGTGGAGTGGACGCGTGGAGGAACAGCCAAACATAGTGGAACGGGCAGACACAGAGAATAAGAGAGGAATGGCGTCAGGCTGGGACCAGCCCGGCAACCCACCTAAAAGTCGAATGACCGCTGCTGAGCTGCCTGGAGAACCAGGCGGACCCGTGGGGCTGTAACTCAACACTGACACGCCCTGTGCTGCCGCACTCTCCTGCTCTCACAACCGCAGTGGAGTTGAAAGGGGACGGGACGTTGGGCGTGAGGTAAAGGTATGGATGGGGTGATGATATGGCGTGGGAAACAACGGATAAACTTCACTTTATTTTTCTTTGGACAAATTCCGACATCCTGACTCGCAGCATTTCGCTTCTCTGCACCTCGCAACAACCCTTCTCACCGCACAGCATCTCACAGCAGCACTTCTCACCACGAGGCTCTGCAGCAGCGACCGCAGGCCGATCTCCAGCAGCTGGTTCTGCTCCGCTGTCAGCTTGCCCTCCTTCTACAGTAGCACACACAATAACAACGCGGACGATAACGATGCATGCTTTAACGAGGACGATGGGGGCAACAAAAATCTGAACTGGAAAAAAGGCATACAACTAGCCCTGAAAATTTACCAACAGTAACCAACAAAGAAAAGGAGGGTAGAGCAACCCAATATGGAGCAATACCAGGACCTGACACATTCAAGCGCCACAGGATGGTAGTGTGGTTACCGGCAAGGTTGTCCCCGCGGCTGCGGTGCCAGTTCCCCCACCGCTCCCCGCACTTCCCCCAAGTTGCAGCGCTTCCGCTAGGGTTGGCAGCGCCAGATGACTGGGGGGGAGTGGGGACTCTAAGGCCTTGCGGAAGGCGTTCTGGGGAAGGGGGACGGGAGGGGGAGGGGAGGATGAGGGGACAGGTAAACATCGAGCCTGGTGAGTCGTCTCCATATCTTTTCTAGCTCAACGAAGGACGTGATATGATGGGCGACGACCGCGCGAATGTCCAGCCCGCTGCTTCACAATCTCTCTAAATTCCACGATCGCGTTCTTGTTGCAACAGCCCCGTATCACCACCGAACGGCTGTCGGTTTCGCAGCCTATTCAGCCTTCACACCCTTCGCACCCTTCGCAAACTTTCGCAACATTCGCGGATTTCGCAACATTCGCAGCATCGATGTCAGGCTATGGGATCCACCGACTCGACTGCAGGAACAGACTGACGCTAACGTTCGCAAAGTCGCCGTCGCTTTGTCTACCAGAGAAACGGTAACCTTTCCGCCTGGGAACAGATGTCCTAGTCTTTTGAGTCGACTCGAAGACGGCGGGATATTTGCGTACCAAAATCCGTTGATGCTCCGCCGCGACCAGACGGACGACGTCAGCGCTGCCGGCAGAAACACCGGCAGCAAGAGGCTGCTGCAAGTCGATCTCCATGAACGGATCAAACGGACGGCGAACGTTGATTTCAGAACATCCGCCCGCACCGCACCACCCGCTTCGCAAAACTTCCACGCGGGAAACAAATGACCAGCACCAGCACTATCGGACTCTGAAACAACCCCGTTGTCAGAAGATTCGCTTTACAACCCCGAATGGCGCGAAAGTTTTGTGGAGATTGAAGGGAAACCTGATTTTCGCCAGCATGCGTAACATATACATCTCTATGTTCTACTTGACACACTTCTGCACTAAAAAAAATCTAAACACAAAGCTTCTCACTTACGAGCAGGCTTGTTCATCTCTTTGCGTTCTACAAAAGCAGCCCTTGAAACCACATGCACCAAAATCGAAGCCACCTCATTCAAATCAAACTTGATGCTACTAAACCGCTCCTGCTTCAACGGAGAAAGCAGCTCCTTCACTTGCTCTAAATCACACGGATCATCTCCAGAGCCTTCAAGACCATCCGAAAGGACTAGGAGTGACTTAACCTTCAAGTGCAATAGCGCGTGGTCGTCCTCATTAACCTCCGACTTGCATATGATCTCGTGGAAAAGCTGATGAGCGGATTGCGCCACCTTGTACTGTATGAACACCTGATTCGTGCAAGAGAAAAAACACGAAGTTAGTGGAGGATGGGAAAGGAATAAGAGGAAGTGATATAGTTTAACGGCCTCATACTTCCTCTAACAATTGTTATGGACGACTCAGTATAAAATGCTAGCCAAAAACCGTGGAAAAGCAGAGCGTAGACTCAGCAGCAGATAAGAAGAACAGGTAGATGGAAATGGCAGTGAAAAAGCACAGATCACGCGTTGGTACATTTTCATGGCGCTCGAGGCCGGTGAGGTCATGCAGAGTGGCTGAGAGCAGCCTGTCGTCAACCATGTGGTGCACGTGCTGTGATGCCCTCACTGCTAGCTGCCAGCACACAGACATGCGAGACACACACAAGGGCAGAGGATGACAACGAGGAGGGGGACACAGACACGCGTGCATGCGAGCAGCCTGTCGCCCACCATGTGGTGCACATGCTGTGACGCCCTCACTGCTAGCTGCACACGGGGAGGGGGGCCAGGCATGGAAGAGCAGAGGATGAACGCAAGTTAGGGAAACGAAATGAAAGAGCCGACTTGAACGGTTCGACTTGAAACGGCAGGGAACATTAAGCATGAGACGGCGTGGCCATGTGTTAAAGAATTGGTTGGGGGGAGGGGATGGGATCACACTAGCTTACAAGAGATGCCGCCCGGATGATATCGTCCTCCGTGGTAGGCCACCAGGCATTCTTCTTCCGTCCTGCCACCCGCTGACTGCCACTGCCATGCGCATCATCACCAGCAACAGCACGAGCAGCAGCACCAGCAGCAAACACTGCCCCTTCTTCCCCTTCGCTACTGTCACGCTCACCACCATCACTCACACCATCACCACTAGAACCTTCCTCTGCCCATGCCACCACAGCTTCACCCCTCCTACCCTCCCCCGCCTTCCCCTCATCCCCCTCGCATCCATCCACTCCCATACCACCCCCTCCTCCTCTCCCCCAATCCATCCTCACGTCCCCCATTCCGCCCATCCCTCCCATGCCTTCCACTCCCATGCCTTCCACTCCCGTGCCTTCCAGTGCGACCAGCAACTGGCTCACATCAGACAGCATCTGTTGCTCCTCCCGCCACTGCTGCCCCCATGCCCGCACCCTCCCCAGGCTCTCAGCCACTGCTGATGCCAAATCAGGCGTCAACACCTGCCCTGCTGCCCTGCCTCCCCCCTCTGCCTCTCCTCTACCTCTCTCTCTTGAAACAATCAACCCCAAATCTTCTATCGCTTGCCTATGATCTTGTTTCTCCCCCTTCTCCCCATCCCCCCCCCATAGCCCCTCCCCTCCCCCTTCTCCTACCCCCCCAAGTCTAGCAGCGAACCTACCGATCCCCCCCCCTCGGAGCATCATCTCAGATACCACCTCCCCCAGTTGCCCCTCCACCGCTGCCAGCTCTTGCAGTACCACCTCCCTCCTCATCGTCAGAGCCCCCACAGCCCCCCTCACCGCCCTTGCCACATCCCCTCGCCCCACCCCCTCCATGCCCTCCTCTCCTCCCCATTCCGCCTCCCTAAATCCCTCCCCTTCCATCCCCTTCCTTCCCTCTGTTGCCCACTGCCCTCTTCCCGCTTCCTCTCCTCCTCCAATGCTTCCATCACTACTGCTGTCTCCTATCTGTCCCTCCTCTTGCTTCGGCCCAAACCTGCTTTCCTTCTCTCTCCTGCCTTCACCAGTCAGGCTCGGCATCTCCCCATTCGGCCAGGCCAGGCCCTGAATACCGAGCCTCCGGCACAGGTTCGGATGGGAGGACTGGGCGAAGAAGATGGCGACACGTGCCGCAATACGAGCGGATGGACAGGAGGGGTGAGCGGCGAGGACAGCTGTCAGGAGGGCGAGAGGACGGAGGTGGTTCGGCAAATCAGAGGCCGCCAGGTGGAGGGCGAGGAGAGAGAGCCACGTGGATGGGTGGCAAGGGTTGTCTGCTTGCACTAGTGCGTCCAGCTCGTGTAGCAAGTCCTGCAGAAGAGACAAGGGAGCAAGCGGGGCAGCAGAGGCCGGCAGCGGGAGAGGGTGTTTAAGGGGATGAGGAATGACGGCTAGGAGGATGAGGAATGGGAGAGAAACGGGTGTTGACAGGGCCAGGGAAAAGTTGACGGGTGTCACCAGAAGGGAAAAGTGACAGAAGGGAATGGTGGCACCGGATAGCAGAGGACAATGCTTGAGAAGGGTGAGAGATGAAAAACAGCTGACTGTGAGTCAGGTCAGGTAGCATGGGCACACGGGCACATGGGCACACGGGCACATGGGCACACGGGCACACGGGCACACGGGCACACGGGCACACGGGCACACGGGCAGACGGGCACACGGGCAGCTGGTTGGTGAGGGACTCACAAACATGAGGTTGGGGCGGTCTGTCATCGCCTTCTGAGAAAACTTCTTTGCCCGCAGGTACTGCGCCTGGTGGGGAGAGACGGGAGAGAGGGAGAGGCACCGAAAAAGAGGGTTGGGAAGAGGAGGCAGGAAGGGACTGCCACCAGTGGAGGTAGTATCTAGTGCAGGCAGTAGTAACAGGCAGTAGCTGGCAGTAGCAGGCGGCTCTTACCTGTAACGGCAGCAGCAGAGGGAGCAGGTTGAACTGCCAGAGCATGCGAACGGACGGCTCAGATGCTCCGTGAGACATCATCTGCACGAGCTCCATTTGCATACGTGACTGGCATCAGCAGGAGAGAAGAGAAGGAAAGGACAGAGAAAAAGGATTTAGGGTTTAGGGTTTAGAAGGGAAGATGGTGAGACACATGACATGCGATTATGAAACTGGCTGGCAAGTGGGATCAAAATGCAAGAGAAAGGGAAAGGCGAGCAGGCAGAGGAGAGATATGGACGGATAAGGCGATGCGTGAGAGTGATTGCAGGGAGGCACGTGGCAGCACCTGATCGAGCGTGGCAGCACCTGATCGAGCGTGGCAGCACCTGATCGAGCGTGGCAGCACCTGATTGAGCGTGGCAGCACCTGATTGAGCGTGGCAGCACCTGATTGAGCGTGGCAGCACCTGATTGAGCGTGGAAGCACCTGATTGAGCGTGGCAGCACCTGATTGAGCGTGGAAGCACCTGATTGAGCGTGGCAGCACCTGACTGAGCGTGGAAGCACCTGACTGAGCGTGGAAGCACCTGATTGAGCGTGGAAGCACCTGATTGAGCGTGGCAGCACCTGACTGAGCGTGGCAGCACCTGATTGAGCGTGGCAGCACCTGACTGAGCGTGGAAGCACCTGACTGAGCGTGGAAGCACCTGATTGAGCGTGGAAGCACCTGATTGAGCGTGGCAGCACCTGACTGAGCGTGGCAGCACCTGATTGAGCGTGGAAGCACCTGACTGAGCGTGGCAACACCTGAGGTAGAGTGGCGACAGCGGCCAGGGTGGAGGAGGCCTTGAGAGCTCGGCTCACCCCCGTGCTGAGACGGAACCCCAGCCGCGCTGCCAGGCGAATGGCCCTCACACACCGCGCTGATGGACGCGGTGATGTGCGGTGATGCATGGTTGGGGGAGAGGGGGGGGAAGGGAGGGTGGTGAGGAGAGCATTCAAGCACGGGTCACTCCCGTGCTGAGATGGAACCCCAAACGCGCTGCCAGGCGAATGGCCCTCACACACCGCGCTGATGGGCGCAGTGCAATGGCGAGAAGGTGGGATGAGAGGAAGGAGGTTGCTCAGGAGGGTGTTAAAGACCATGCTAGTGGATGCGGTCAAAAGAGGGGGAAGGGGAGGGGGAAAGGCAGGTAGTTCAGGAGACCATTCAAGTCCTGCGGGTTATCTATGTTTGTGCTATTTACTCTGCCCTTATTTTCAGGAAAACAATGCATAGAGCCGACCACAAGGGCGATCTTGACTTGGCTGGGCTTGGGCTTGGGCTTGGGCTTGGGCTTGGGCTTGGCTTGGCTTGGCTTGGCTTGGCTTGGCTTGGCTTGGCTTGGCTTGACTTGAGTGCAACTCACCAGGGTCCTCCTGAAAGCTGGCTCGCGTGTCTCCAATGATTCGCACCTGATGGTGGCATGGCAGGACAGACCAGCACAGACGAGCACAGACGAGCACAGACGAGCACAGAGAACGTTTTTGAGTCGACTCAAAAACATGGCAGGACAGACGAGCACAGACGAGCACAGAGAACGGCATACAGAAACAGAGCAACAGAAAGTGAACCTCAAGGGGGGAGACCAACGGAGAGGGTGCAAAGCAGAGAGAAGAGAATCACATGTGCTTCTTGCAAAGGCAAGGCCTTCAACAGAGAGACATGCATTCGTCTAAGCATGCATGCAAGCAATGTCACTCACAGTCTGTTTGTAGAGGTCGCGGGTGCCGCCCACATAGTCAAACAGCATGTGGCGATGCGGGTCGAAGAACAGGCTGTGCGGAGGGTGAGGGAGCGGAAATATGCGGCAAATTATAAGTCAACTCAGAAGTCACGACGAGGGTGGGTGCAAGAGGGGTTGTTTGAGTTGGCAAAGACAGGACAAAAGCAATTATTTGCTAACCCAGCACCAGCTTTCACAACTGGTACCCTCACCTCCAGCATCAGAATCAGCATCAGCATCAGCATCAGCATCAGCATCAGCATCAGAATCAGCATCAGCATCAGCATCAGCATCAGCATCAGAATCAGCATCAGCATCAGCATCAGAATCAGCATCAGCATCAGCGCATCAGCATCAGCATCAGAATCAGCATCAGAATCAGCATCAGCATCAGCATCAGCATCAGAATCAGCATCAGCATCAGCATCAGCATCAGCATCAGCATCAGCATCAACATCAGCATCAGAGCATCAGCATCAGCATCAGCAGCATCAGCATCAGCATCAGCATCAGCATCAGCATCAGAATCAGCATCAGCATCAGCAGCAGCAGCAGCAGCAGCAGCAGCAGCAGCAGCAGCAGCAGCAGCAGCAGCAGCAGCAGCAGCAGCAGCAGCAGCAGCAGCAGCAGCAGCAGCAGCAGCAGCAGCAGCAGCAGCAGCAGCAGCAGCAGCAGCAGCAGCAGCATCAGCGGTGGCAGCGTGGCGGCGGCGACGGCGGCATCATCATCATCATCATCATCATCATCATCATCATCATCATCATCATCATCATCATCATCATCATCATCATCATCATCATCATCATCATCATCATCATCATCATCATCATCATCATCATCATCATCATCATCATCATCATCATCATCATCATCATCATCATCATCATCATCATCATCATCATCATCATCATCATCATCATCATCATCAGCAGCAGCAGCAGCAGCAGAAACAGCCCAGCAACCCCCGGCACAGGCAGCTCACGCGTTGACAGTGAGGTCGCGCTTCATGGCGTTGCGCCAGCGCCGCTCGTCGCCCTCCGACCACACATACGCATGCCGCTGCACCGCTGGCCGCACTGCCGCGCTCCTCCAATCCACCTGAACCCCGTCCGACTCCTTTTGACACAAAGCCTCCGCCTCTGCTGCTGGAGCGCTGCCAGCTTTAGTTCCCTCATCAGCAGCAGCAGCGCGACCAGTGGTGGTTCCGGTATCAGCAGCAGCAGCACCAATACCTGCTGCAGCAGCCCCAGCAGTGCTAGCATCAGCAGCAAGTGCTGCAGCAGCCCCAGCAGTGCTAGCATCAGCAGCAAGTGCTGCAGCAGCCCCAGCAGTGCCAGCATCAGCAGCATGTGCAGCTGCAGCATCCCCCGCCTCCTCACCGAACCCTGCCTGCACTGCTTCTGCTGCACCCCTTTCCGCCCTCGCCCCTCCCCCCTCCTCGCCTTCCTCATCCTCCCCCTCATCCGCCCAGCCGTCTGTCTCCACAGATACAACCTTCACCAGTTCTACCTCCTCCCAGCGAACCCTCTCTCCCGAATCTACTGGCTCCTGTGCCCTGTCTGCTGACCTGATTGCGCTCCCATCCTCCCCTGCTGCTGCTGCTGCTGCTGCTGCTGTTGCTGCTGCTGCTGCTGCAAGCTGTTCTTCTTCTGATGCAGAGGGGGGCTGGGCGGCCGGTGCTGCCAACAGTGCATCGTCTTTTGAGGGCACAGCAGGGGGAATCACCGCTGTTGGCTCGCTGTCAAAACTGGAAACCTGCACTCGTATAGACAGGAAGAGCAGGGCGGGAAGCTGGGAATCTGCACTCGCATGGGCACGTGGAACGTTGCTTTGTGCATGCTGCACGATTTACCATGCAAGTGAAAATGGGTCAAGTGCATGGCAATGCATGCCCGTATGGATGGCAGCTGCACTGGATGCATGCACAAACAATGCGACCCATCCACTCGACTCTCCACTCTCCACCCCTCCCATCACCCTCCTCCCTTCACTCACATCCAAACCCCTTCCCCCACCTCCTCCTTTCACTCACGTCCACGACCCCACCCCCCACTCCTCACTCACGTCCACGACGGCGTTTTTGAGGAAGACGCGGCAGATGGGGAAGCGACGGCCAATCACGACGGGGCGGAACTTGCGCTCGCGGAAGATGCGTGCCACGTGGGCTGGTGACGCGTCCACGATGATGTCCACGTCCTTGGGGATTCGGCCCAAGAATAGGTCGCGCACTGCGCCGCCCACGAGGTACGGCTCGAGGCCTGGGTTGAGGGTTTAAGAACACAGGGTTGAGGGGTCCCCAGGGATTTGGAAATTCTACACGCGTCCACGATGATGTCCGCGTCCTTGGGGATGCGGCCCAGGAACAGGTCGCGCACTGCGCCGCCCACTAGATAGGGTTCCAGGCCTGGGTTCAGGGTTTAGGGTTGAGGGCGGAGGGAATGGGTTTCTGAACATGGGCATTTTACACGCGTCTACGATTGTACCCACATCCTTGGGTGTGCGCCCCAAGAATAGCTCACGGGCTGCGCCGCCCAGCAAGTAAGGCCCAAGCCGAGGTGTAGGGTTTCGAGATGCAAGGTTTTCGGGTTCAGGGGTTGGGGACGAACGAATGGGGAAATTCAGAGCGGAAAAAAAGAGCGCGATAGAGACAGAGGAAGAGAGCGAGGAAGAGGGAGATATGGCCGTTGACAAGGCAGGGGCGCGCACCGGCATCTTTGAGAACCTTGAACGCGATCCACGCGTGCAATGGCAGGCTGCCACGTCGGATGGGATGCTCGAACTCCCCGAACACCCACGCTGGCACGCGCTTCTGCCTCCGCCTCTCCTCCGCCTCCCACCACCCGCTTCCCCCGCCTTTCCCGCCGCCCTTTCGCCCAGCGCCCTCCGCGCGGGTCTGCACCCCGTGTTTCTCCGCTTCTCCCTCTGCCGCAGCAGCCTGTGGCGTACGAGTTTCCGCTATCCGCCCCACCTCGTCCGCATCCGCCGCTGGCGCAGCTTCAGCTGAACTTGTCAATCCCCGCGACCCCCGATTATCCAACTCCCGCGAACCGTACTCTCGGCGGAAAATTCCGCCGCTCCCAGTAGGCGCGCCAGTGGGCGGAAGCCATGTGGGCGGAAGAACAGCGCTTGCGTACCCGGCTGGGGGAAAGTACGTATTCAGCTGTGCAGTATCATTTGCCGGTTCATCTAGTGCCACGTGGCCCGTACGGCTGATTGAAGCGCCCCATCTGCTGCCTTGCTGTCGTCGAAAGCGAAGGGAGCGCGAGGCAGCGCGCAAGACGAGGTGAGGCTGCATGCCCACAAGAACATCGCTGAGCTATCCTCGGCGGTCCTCCAAGATTCTCCAACCTCTTAAAAGATCCTTCGAGATCGTTAGAAAAAGGTTCGGCGAACGCTCGAGAAGGACTCGATGGGGAGTGACCGATGGTGTCGCGTCTAGTAGTCACCTTCCATTGCAAGCCTGACTGATGGCGAATGAGGGTGAGTGGGCTTTGCTGTGCCAGATCCCGATTATGCGCTTCAGGAGGACCCGACAGAGAAGACGTGATAAGTGCAGATGAGCCAAGCCTGATCCACAACTGAGAGTGCGAAGTGGCTAGGAATGAAAAAATATATTTAATAAAGCAAAAATATCGAGATTAAATTGCAAGGGCTTGAAATCTGAACTGCTGATTTTACTCATCAATGGTTTAGGCACTCGGACAACTCCAACACAAGCTCTATTCTAACTTGGCTCGTATCCCCGTCCCTCACTTGTAGCTTCACCAACTTTTCTCTATCCCAATCCACCTGCAAAGATGGGGATATAGGACCAACACAACAATAATCAGGAGAGCACTGTGAGATAAACTACTGAATTGCATAAATTACTTTCACTTATCTCAACACTATTGAAAAGAAAACCACCACCTCCACCAACGCGAAGCTAGAAAAGACTTCAGTGTGGTATGTGGTCCTTAATTGTGGCACCACAGCAGCATATCCACCCCGCACCAGCACTCACCTCCACCATGCCAAAGGAGGGGGCGGGGGCAATGGAGCACTCGGAGGGGTGCCGCATCTTGAGCGGGTCATGTGTCCACGCATTGCCTGCCCACACACACACGCACACACACAGCCACACAGCCATAGGGAATGAGCACTCTAAAGAAGCTGCAGTCTCCCTCCCACTCCTATAATTCTGTTTGAGGCACTTAAGAAAAACGCTTCCAAAAGATACCGTATGCGTTTCCAAGGCGAGAGTCTGACTAGAGAGGGTGACAGCGGTACGGATGGGCCTGGGTGGGTCAAAGAGATGGTGATGCCCACGCAAAGTCATGAGGTTGGTGATGCCCAAGCCAAGTCATGAGGCTGGTGATGCCGGGAATGAGAATCCCCAAACCAGCTGGATCGATGGAATCTCGATTGACTGCAGATTGACTTGCTTGACCGAAGTTTGACTCTGTTGGACTACATTCTGATCAACTTGACTCCAACCTGATCCGACTTTGACATCAGATTGACTCACCTGCACTGCAGGACGTGTCTATTCGTGGTCTCCTTGTCAAGCCACTTGCCATGACCTGCCAATTCAGACAAGACAGAAACAAAAAGACTGCAGTGACATCACAGAAACAAAAAGACTGCAGTGACATCACAGAAACAAAAAGACTGCAGTGACATCACAGAAACAAAAAGACTGCAGTGACATCACGAAAACTATACGCGATGCAAGAACATCAGGCCGCATGGGGGTAGATGGAGCAGCAATGCCCCAAGGCGCAATAGAGTTCTGAGTCAATTCAAGGGTGAAGCGCGTGGGGGTGACAGACCTGGTAGATGGGGCGATAGTGGTGCGAGCTGCGGTAGAGATCCGTGTACGGCCGCCCTGGACCCGGCCGGAACACCTGGTGGGCTCCATGAGGATGGATGCACGCAGCCATGCAAGCAGCCATGCAAACAGATACACATGCATGGACAAGAAGGCTTTTCGGATAGCAGCTTTTGCGGCCTCAAGAAATGATCAAGAGCATGCACATATGGCAGAAACACCAAACACAATTGACAAAATAAATAAAAGAAGAAGAAAAGGAAAAAAAAAGGAGCAACCTGATTAGAGCGCACCTGTTGAAAGCCATACCTTGATGTCTGAGTACCCCATGTCGCCAGTCAGCAGAATCACACACCCCTTCTCCACCCGCGACAGCATCTCCAGAAAGTGCAGCTGTGCCGGCTTGTAACACTCCCAGTCATCCCCCGAGCACGTGCATTGCGTTACGTTGGTAACCGGGTCCTCCACAACTGGCACCACAGGAGGAACGGACGTAGAAGGAGGCTCGGAAACCGAACCATTGGCACTGGAAGGAGCTGCTGCTGTCACCGAGCCTGCAAAATCCGGTTCGGCAGGCGGCTCGGACCCATACGGCCCAGTAAGCGTGGCAGCAGTGGAGAGCTCTGCTTCGGAAACGGCGAGCAGGGCTGCGGCAGCGGATTCGTGAAGAGCGGGGAGGGCGAGACAATGACCTTGATGGGCGCATTGGAGTCGTGCAACTCGTCCTGCAGCCACAGGCGCTGCTGCCTCCCCAGCACCTCACAGTACTGCGAGTTATGCGGCTCCGGTTGTTCTTCTATGTAGATGTCCCAGAGCGCGGGGTCCTTGCCCTTCTTGCGCACGCTGATCTTCTGCGATCCGAACGCGTCGTGCGCTGGACTGCACGCCTCCTCCCACAGCGAGTGGTTGCGGTGCGCCTCGTGCCCACACCACGCTGCTCTGTGCCAGAGGGGGGAGGAGGAGGAGAGGGAGAGCGGGAAAGCAGGGCGATGGGGAAAGAGAGGGAAGCAAGGGGGAGACGAGGAGCTACGGAGGTTGCTTTAAGGGGCATTAGTCTCAAAAATCGCTGTCAAGCTGCACCAGTGTTTGCAGTCTTTGCCTTGCATCCGATTCTTGGACATTTTCCAGTGAGCGGCAGTACTTAGGTTCAGGCTAGAGCAAGTAGGAAAAGACAGTGAAAATAGCATCCGATTCGATAAGGGCCTTCCAAGAAGCTTTCACATTCATGTTTGGTACCCTACAATTTTGAAACAGCTTTCATTTTCGTAATAATCTCACCTTGAAAGAGTTTCTCGTCCTTGTCGCAGCACGACCACCGATTCCGAGGCACCTCCCGTCCAAGAAAGTCCCCGCACCTGCATGCAGGCACGGGAGAGGAACAACGGGACCATGAAGCTACAGACATGGACGGCCAGAAGAACACAGAGGAGCAACGGGTTTTCGCTGCAAAAAGACACACCACACCTGGCCACCAGGGGGGTGCATCCGAGGGGTGGGGTTTGAGGTCTGGGTTGAGGTCAGGTTTGAGGTCAGGTTTGAGGTCAGGTTTGAGGTCAGGTTTGAGGTCAGGTTTGACGTCAGGTTTGACGTCAGGTTTGAGGTCAGGTTTGACGTCAGGTTTGAGGTCAGGTTTGAGGTCAGGTTTGACGTCAGGTTTGACGTCAGGTTTGAGGTCAGGTTTGAGGTCAGGTTTGAGGTCAGGTTTGACGTCAAGTTTGAGGTCAGGTTTGAGGTCAGGTTTGAGGTCAGGTTTGACGTCAGGTTTGAGGTCAGGTTTGAGGTCAGGTTTGAGGTCAGGTTTGAGGTCAGGTTTGAGGTCAGGTTTGACGTCAGGTTTGAGGTCAGGTTTGAGGTCAGGTTTGACGTCAGGTTTGATGCCAGGTTTCAGGTCAGGTTTGAGGTCAGGTTTGAGGTCAGGTTTGACGTCAAGTTTGAGGTCAGGTTTGACGTCAGGTTTGACGTCAAATTTGAGGTCAGGTTTGAGGTAAGGTTTGACGTCAGGTTTGACGTCAGGTTTGAGGTCAGGTTTGAGGTCAGGTTTGAGGTCAGGTTTGAGGTCAGGTTTGAGGTCAGGTTTGACGTCAGGTTTGAGGTCAGGTTTGACGTCAGGTTTGAGGTCAGGTTTGAGGTCAGGTTTGACGTCAGGTTTGAGGTCAGGTTTGAGGTCAGGTTTGAGGTCAGGTTTGAGGTCAGGTTTGAGATCAGGTTTGACGTCAGGTTTGAGGTCAGGTTTGACGTCAGGTTTGAGGTCAGGTTTGAGGTCAGGTTTGACGTCAGGTTTGACGTCAGGTTTGAGGTCAGGTTTGACGTCAGGTTTGACGTCAGGTTTGAGGTCAGGTTTGAGGTCAGGTTTGAGGTCAGGTTTGAGGTCAGGTTTGAGGTCAGGTTTGAGATCAGGTTTGACGTCAGGTTTGACGTCAGGTTTGAGGTCAGGTTTGAGGTCAGGTTTGAGGTCAGGTTTGAGGTCAGGTTTGAGGTCAGGTTTGAGGTCAGGTTTGAGATCAGGTTTGACGTCAGGTTTGACGTCAGGTTTGAGGTCAGGTTTGAGGTCAGGTTTGAGGTCAGGTTTGACGTCAGGTTTGACGTCAGGTTTGAGGTCAGGTTTGAGGTCAGGTTTGAGATCAGGTTTGAGGTCAGGTTTGAGGTCAGGTTTGAGGTCAGGTTTGAGGTCAGGTTTGACGTCAGGTTTGACGTCAGGTTTGACGTCAGGTTTGAGGTCAGGTTTGAGGTCAGGTTTGAGGTCAGGTTTGAGATCAGGTTTGAGATTAGGTTTGACGTCAGGTTTGAGGTCAGGTTTGAGGTCAGGTTTGAGGTCAGGTTTGAGGTCAGGTTTGAGGTCAGGTTTGAGGTCAGGTTTGAGGTCAGGTTTGAGATCAGGTTTGACGTCAGGTTTGATGTCAGGTTTGAGGTCAGGTTTGAGGTCAGGTTTGAGGTCAGGTTTGATGTCAGGTTTGAGGTCAGGTTTGACGTCAGGTTTGAGGTCAGGTTTGACGTCAGGTTTGAGGTCAGGTTTGAGGTCAGGTTTGACGTCAGGTTTGAGGTCAGGTTTGAGATCAGGTTTGACGTCAGGTTTGACGTCAGGTTTGACGTCAGGTTTGAGGTCAGGTTTGAGGTCAGGTTTGACGTCAGGTTTGACGTCAGGTTTGAGGTCAGGTTTGACGTCAGGTTTGACATCAGGTTTGAGGTCAGGTTTGAGGTCAGGTTTGAGGTCAGGTTTGACGTCAGGTTTGACGTCAGGTTTGAGGTCAGGTTTGACGTCAGGTTTGAGGTCAGGTTTGAGGTCAGGTTTGACGTCAGGTTTGACGTCAGGTTTGAGGTCAGGTTTGAGGTCAGGTTTGAGGTCAGGTTTGAGGTCAGGTTTGACGTCAGGTTTGAGGTCAGGTTTGAGGTCAGGTTTGAGGTCAGGTTTGAGGTCAGGTTTGAGATCAGGTTTGACGTCAGGTTTGACGTCAGGTTTGACGTCAGGTTTGAGGTCAGGTTTGAGGTCAGGTTTGACGTCAGGTTTGACGTCAGGTTTGAGGTCAGGTTTGACGTCAGGTTTGACATCAGGTTTGAGGTCAGGTTTGAGGTCAGGTTTGAGGTCAGGTTTGACGTCAGGTTTGACGTCAGGTTTGAGGTCAGGTTTGAGGTCAGGTTTGAGGTCAGGTTTGACGTCAGGTTTGAGGTCAGGTTTGAGGTCAGGTTTGACGTCAGGTTTGACGTCAGGTTTGAGGTCAGGTTTGAGGTCAGGTTTGAGGTCAGGTTTGACGTCAAGTTTGAGGTCAGGTTTGAGGTCAGGTTTGAGGTCAGGTTTGACGTCAGGTTTGACATCAGGTTTGAGGTCAGGTTTGAGGTCAGGTTTGAGGTCAGGTTTGACGTCAAGTTTGAGGTCAGGTTTGAGGTCAGGTTTGAGGTCAGGTTTGAGGTCAGGTTTGAGGTCAGGTTTGAGGTCAGGTTTGAGGTCAGGTTTGAGGTCAGGTTTGACGTCAGGTTTGAGGTCAGGTTTGAGGTCAGGTTTGAGGTCAGGTTTGACGTCAGGTTTGAGGTCAGGTTTGAGGTCAGGTTTGAGGTCAGGTTTGACGTCAAGTTTGAGGTCAGGTTTGACGTCAGGTTTGACGTCAAATTTGACGTCAGGTTTGAGGTCAGGTTTGACGTCAGGTTTGACGTCAGGTTTGAGGTCAGGTTTGAGGTCAGGTTTGAGGTCAGGTTTGACGTCAGGTTTGACGTCAGGTTTGAGGTCAGGTTTGAGGTCAGGTTTGAGGTCAGGTTTGAGGTCAGGTTTGAGGTCAGGTTTGACGTCAGGTTTGAGGTCAGGTTTGACGTCAGGTTTGAGGTCAGGTTTGAGGTCAGGTTTGACGTCAGGTTTGAGGTCAGGTTTGAGGTCAGGTTTGAGGTCAGGTTTGAGGTCAGGTTTGAGATCAGGTTTGACGTCAGGTTTGAGGTCAGGTTTGACGTCAGGTTTGAGGTCAGGTTTGAGGTCAGGTTTGACGTCAGGTTTGACGTCAGGTTTGAGGTCAGGTTTGAGGTCAGGTTTGAGGTCAGGTTTGAGGTCAGGTTTGAGGTCAGGTTTGAGATCAGGTTTGACGTCAGGTTTGACGTCAGGTTTGAGGTCAGGTTTGAGGTCAGGTTTGAGGTCAGGTTTGAGGTCAGGTTTGAGGTCAGGTTTGAGGTCAGGTTTGAGATCAGGTTTGACGTCAGGTTTGACGTCAGGTTTGAGGTCAGGTTTGAGGTCAGGTTTGAGGTCAGGTTTGACGTCAGGTTTGACGTCAGGTTTGAGGTCAGGTTTGAGGTCAGGTTTGAGATCAGGTTTGAGGTCAGGTTTGAGGTCAGGTTTGAGGTCAGGTTTGAGGTCAGGTTTGACGTCAGGTTTGACGTCAGGTTTGACGTCAGGTTTGAGGTCAGGTTTGAGGTCAGGTTTGAGGTCAGGTTTGAGATCAGGTTTGAGATTAGGTTTGACGTCAGGTTTGAGGTCAGGTTTGAGGTCAGGTTTGAGGTCAGGTTTGAGGTCAGGTTTGAGGTCAGGTTTGAGGTCAGGTTTGAGGTCAGGTTTGAGGTCAGGTTTGAGATCAGGTTTGACGTCAGGTTTGATGTCAGGTTTGAGGTCAGGTTTGAGGTCAGGTTTGAGGTCAGGTTTGATGTCAGGTTTGAGGTCAGGTTTGACGTCAGGTTTGAGGTCAGGTTTGACGTCAGGTTTGAGGTCAGGTTTGAGGTCAGGTTTGACGTCAGGTTTGAGGTCAGGTTTGACGTCAGGTTTGAGGTCAGGTTTGAGGTCAGGTTTGAGATCAGGTTTGACGTCAGGTTTGACGTCAGGTTTGACGTCAGGTTTGAGGTCAGGTTTGAGGTCAGGTTTGACGTCAGGTTTGACGTCAGGTTTGAGGTCAGGTTTGACGTCAGGTTTGAGGTCAGGTTTGACGTCAGGTTTGAGGTCAGGTTTGACGTCAGGTTTGAGGTCAGGTTTGAGGTCAGGTTTGACGTCAGGTTTGAGGTCAGGTTTGAGGTCAGGTTTGAGGTCAGGTTTGAGGTCAGGTTTGAGGTCAGGTTTGACGTCAGGTTTGAGGTCAGGTTTGAGGTCAGGTTTGACGTCAGGTTTGACGTCAGGTTTGAGGTCAGGTTTGAGGTCAGGTTTGAGGTCAGGTTTGACGTCAAGTTTGAGGTCAGGTTTGAGGTCAGGTTTGAGGTCAGGTTTGACGTCAGGTTTGAGGTCAGGTTTGACGTCAGGTTTGACGTCAGGTTTGACGTCAGGTTTGACGTCAGGTTTGAGGTCAGGTTTGAGGTCAGGTTTGAGGTCAGGTTTGACTTCAAATTTGATGTCAGGTTTGAGGTCAGGTTTGAGGTCAGGTTTGACGTCAGGTTTGACGTCAGGTTTGAGGTCAGGTTTGAGGTCAGGTTTGAGGTCAGGTTTGACGTCAGGCTTGAAGTCAGGTTTGAGGTCAGGTTTGAAGTCAGGTTTGAGGTCAGGTTTGAGGTCAGGTTTGAGGTCAGGTTTGAGGTCAGGTTTGAGATCAGGTTTGACGTCAGGTTTGACGTCAGGTTTGACGTCAGGTTTGAGGTCAGGTTTGAGGTCAGGTTTGACGTCAGGTTTGACGTCAGGTTTGAGGTCAGGTTTGACGTCAGGTTTGACATCAGGTTTGAGGTCAGGTTTGAGGTCAGGTTTGAGGTCAGGTTTGACGTCAGGTTTGAGGTCAGGTTTGAGGTCAGGTTTGACGTCAGGTTTGACGTCAGGTTTGAGGTCAGGTTTGAGGTCAGGTTTGAGGTCAGGTTTGACGTCAGGTTTGAGGTCAGGTTTGAGGTCAGGTTTGACGTCAGGTTTGACGTCAGGTTTGAGGTCAGGTTTGAGGTCAGGTTTGAGGTCAGGTTTGACGTCAAATTTGATGTCAGGTTTGTGGTCAGGTTTGACGTCAGGTTTGACGTCAGGTTTGACGTCAGGTTTGAGGTCAGGTTTGAGGTCAGGTTTGAGGTCAGGTTTGACGTCAAGTTTGAGGTCAGGTTTGAGGTCAGGTTTGAGGTCAGGTTTGAGGTCAGGTTTGAGGTCAGGTTTGAGGTCAGGTTTGAGGTCAGGTTTGACGTCAGGTTTGAGGTCAGGTTTGAGGTCAGGTTTGACGTCAGGCTTGACGCCAGGTTTCAGGTCAGGTTTGAGGTCAGGTTTGAGGTCAGGTTTGACGTCAAGTTTGAGGTCAGGTTTGACGTCAGGTTTGACGTCAAATTTGACGTCAGGTTTGAGGTCAGGTTTGAGGTCAGGTTTGACGTCAGGTTTGAGGTCAGGTTTGAGGTCAGGTTTGACGTCAAGTTTGAGGTCAGGTTTGACGTCAGGTTTGAGGTCAGGTTTGACGTCAGGTTTGACGTCAGGTTTGAGGTCAGGTTTGAGGTCAGGTTTGAGGTCAGGTTTGAGGTCAGGTTTGAGGTCAGGTTTGACGTCAGGTTTGAGGTCAGGTTTGACGTCAGGTTTGAGGTCAGGTTTGAGGTCAGGTTTGACGTCAGGTTTGAGGTCAGGTTTGAGGTCAGGTTTGAGGTCAGGTTTGAGATCAGGTTTGACGTCAGGTTTGAGGTCAGGTTTGACGTCAGGTTTGAGGTCAGGTTTGAGGTCAGGTTTGACGTCAGGTTTGACGTCAGGTTTGAGGTCAGGTTTGAGGTCAGGTTTGAGGTCAGGTTTGAGGTCAGGTTTGAGGTCAGGTTTGAGATCAGGTTTGACGTCAGGTTTGACGTCAGGTTTGAGGTCAGGTTTGAGGTCAGGTTTGAGGTCAGGTTTGAGGTCAGGTTTGAGGTCAGGTTTGAGGTCAGGTTTGAGATCAGGTTTGACGTCAGGTTTGACGTCAGGTTTGAGGTCAGGTTTGAGGTCAGGTTTGAGGTCAGGTTTGACGTCAGGTTTGACGTCAGGTTTGAGGTCAGGTTTGAGGTCAGGTTTGAGATCAGGTTTGAGGTCAGGTTTGAGGTCAGGTTTGAGGTCAGGTTTGAGGTCAGGTTTGACGTCAGGTTTGACGTCAGGTTTGACGTCAGGTTTGAGGTCAGGTTTGAGGTCAGGTTTGAGGTCAGGTTTGAGATCAGGTTTGAGATTAGGTTTGACGTCAGGTTTGAGGTCAGGTTTGAGGTCAGGTTTGAGGTCAGGTTTGAGGTCAGGTTTGAGGTCAGGTTTGAGGTCAGGTTTGAGGTCAGGTTTGAGATCAGGTTTGACGTCAGGTTTGATGTCAGGTTTGAGGTCAGGTTTGAGGTCAGGTTTGAGGTCAGGTTTGATGTCAGGTTTGAGGTCAGATTTGACGTCAGGCTTGAGGTCAGGTTTGACGTCAGGTTTGAGGTCAGGTTTGAGGTCAGGTTTGACGTCAGGTTTGAGGTCAGGTTTGACGTCAGGTTTGAGGTCAGGTTTGAGGTCAGGTTTGAGATCAGGTTTGACGTCAGGTTTGACGTCAGGTTTGACGTCAGGTTTGAGGTCAGGTTTGAGGTCAGGTTTGACGTCAGGTTTGAGGTCAGGTTTGACGTCAGGTTTGAGGTCAGGTTTGACGTCAGGTTTGAGGTCAGGTTTGACGTCAGGTTTGAGGTCAGGTTTGAGGTCAGGTTTGACGTCAGGTTTGAGGTCAGGTTTGAGGTCAGGTTTGAGGTCAGGTTTGAGGTCAGGTTTGAGGTCAGGTTTGACGTCAGGTTTGAGGTCAGGTTTGAGGTCAGGTTTGACGTCAGGTTTGACGTCAGGTTTGAGGTCAGGTTTGACGTCAAGTTTGAGGTCAGGTTTGAGGTCAGGTTTGAGGTCAGGTTTGACGTCAGGTTTGAGGTCAGGTTTGACGTCAGGTTTGACGTCAGGTTTGAGGTCAGGTTTGAGGTCAGGTTTGAGGTCAGGTTTGACTTCAAATTTGATGTCAGGTTTGAGGTCAGGTTTGAGGTCAGGTTTGACGTCAGGTTTGACGTCAGGTTTGAGGTCAGGTTTGAGGTCAGGTTTGAGGTCAGGTTTGACGTCAGGTTTGAGGTCAGGTTTGACGTCAGGTTTGAGGTCAGGTTTGAGGTCAGGTTTGACGTCAGGTTTGAGGTCAGGTTTGAGGTCAGGTTTGAGGTCAGGTTTGAGGTCAGGTTTGAGATCAGGTTTGACGTCAGGTTTGACGTCAGGTTTGACGTCAGGTTTGAGGTCAGGTTTGAGGTCAGGTTTGACGTCAGGTTTGACGTCAGGTTTGACGTCAGGTTTGAGGTCAGGTTTGAGGTCAGGTTTGAGGTCAGGTTTGAGATCAGGTTTGAGATTAGGTTTGACGTCAGGTTTGAGGTCAGGTTTGAGGTCAGGTTTGAGGTCAGGTTTGAGGTCAGGTTTGAGGTCAGGTTTGAGGTCAGGTTTGAGGTCAGGTTTGAGATCAGGTTTGACGTCAGGTTTGATGTCAGGTTTGAGGTCAGGTTTGAGGTCAGGTTTGAGGTCAGGTTTGATGTCAGGTTTGAGGTCAGATTTGACGTCAGGCTTGAGGTCAGGTTTGACGTCAGGTTTGAGGTCAGGTTTGAGGTCAGGTTTGACGTCAGGTTTGAGGTCAGGTTTGACGTCAGGTTTGAGGTCAGGTTTGAGGTCAGGTTTGAGATCAGGTTTGACGTCAGGTTTGACGTCAGGTTTGACGTCAGGTTTGAGGTCAGGTTTGAGGTCAGGTTTGACGTCAGGTTTGACGTCAGGTTTGAGGTCAGGTTTGACGTCAGGTTTGAGGTCAGGTTTGACGTCAGGTTTGAGGTCAGGTTTGACGTCAGGTTTGAGGTCAGGTTTGAGGTCAGGTTTGACGTCAGGTTTGAGGTCAGGTTTGAGGTCAGGTTTGAGGTCAGGTTTGAGGTCAGGTTTGAGGTCAGGTTTGACGTCAGGTTTGAGGTCAGGTTTGAGGTCAGGTTTGACGTCAGGTTTGACGTCAGGTTTGAGGTCAGGTTTGAGGTCAGGTTTGAGGTCAGGTTTGACGTCAAGTTTGAGGTCAGGTTTGACGTCAGGTTTGAGGTCAGGTTTGACGTCAGGTTTGAGGTCAGGTTTGACGTCAGGTTTGACGTCAGGTTTGAGGTCAGGTTTGAGGTCAGGTTTGAGGTCAGGTTTGACTTCAAATTTGATGTCAGGTTTGAGGTCAGGTTTGAGGTCAGGTTTGACGTCAGGTTTGACGTCAGGTTTGAGGTCAGGTTTGAGGTCAGGTTTGAGGTCAGGTTTGACGTCAGGTTTGAGGTCAGGTTTGACGTCAGGTTTGAGGTCAGGTTTGAGGTCAGGTTTGACGTCAGGTTTGAGGTCAGGTTTGAGGTCAGGTTTGAGGTCAGGTTTGAGGTCAGGTTTGAGATCAGGTTTGACGTCAGGTTTGACGTCAGGTTTGACGTCAGGTTTGAGGTCAGGTTTGAGGTCAGGTTTGACGTCAGGTTTGACGTCAGGTTTGAGGTCAGGTTTGACGTCAGGTTTGACATCAGGTTTGAGGTCAGGTTTGAGGTCAGGTTTGAGGTCAGGTTTGACGTCAGGTTTGAGGTCAGGTTTGAGGTCAGGTTTGACGTCAGGTTTGACGTCAGGTTTGAGGTCAGGTTTGAGGTCAGGTTTGAGGTCAGGTTTGACGTCAGGTTTGAGGTCAGGTTTGAGGTCAGGTTTGACGTCAGGTTTGACGTCAGGTTTGAGGTCAGGTTTGAGGTCAGGTTTGAGGTCAGGTTTGACGTCAAGTTTGAGGTCAGGTTTGAGGTCAGGTTTGAGGTCAGGTTTGACGTCAGGTTTGACGTCAGGTTTGAGGTCAGGTTTGAGGTCAGGTTTGAGGTCAGGTTTGACGTCAAGTTTGAGGTCAGGTTTGACGTCAGGTTTGAGGTCAGGTTTGACGTCAGGTTTGACGTCAGGTTTGAGGTCAGGTTTGAGGTCAGGTTTGAGGTCAGGTTTGACGTCAGGTTTGAGGTCAGGTTTGACGTCAGGCTCGAGGTCAGGTTTGACGTCAGGTTTGAGGTCAGGTTTGAGGTCAGGTTTGACGTCAGGTTTGAGGTCAGGTTTGAGGTCAGGTTTGAGGTCAGGTTTGAGATCAGGTTTGACGTCAGGTTTGACGTCAGGTTTGACGTCAGGTTTGAGGTCAGGTTTGAGGTCAGGTTTGACGTCAGGTTTGACGTCAGGTTTGAGGTCAGGTTTGACGTCAGGTTTGACGTCAGGTTTGAGGTCAGGTTTGAGGTCAGGTTTGAGGTCAGGTTTGAGGTCAGGTTTGAGGTCAGGTTTGAGATCAGGTTTGACGTCAGGTTTGACGTCAGGTTTGACGTCAGGTTTGACGTCAGGTTTGAGGTCAGGTTTGAGGTCAGGTTTGAGGTCAGGTTTGAGATCAGGTTTGAGATTAGGTTTGACGTCAGGTTTGAGGTCAGGTTTGAGGTCAGGTTTGAGGTCAGGTTTGAGGTCAGGTTTGAGGTCAGGTTTGAGGTCAGGTTTGAGATCAGGTTTGACGTCAGGTTTGACGTCAGGTTTGACGTCAGGTTTGAGGTCAGGTTTGAGGTCAGGTTTGAGGTCAGGTTTGAGATCAGGTTTGAGATTAGGTTTGACGTCAGGTTTGAGGTCAGGTTTGAGGTCAGGTTTGAGGTCAGGTTTGAGGTCAGGTTTGAGGTCAGGTTTGAGATCAGGTTTGACGTCAGGTTTGACGTCAGGTTTGACGTCAGGTTTGAGGTCAGGTTTGAGGTCAGGTTTGACGTCAGGTTTGACGTCAGGTTTGAGGTCAGGTTTGACGTCAGGTTTGACGTCAGGTTTGAGGTCAGGTTTGAGGTCAGGTTTGACGTCAGGTTTGACGTCAGGTTTGAGGTCAGGTTTGACGTCAGGTTTGACGTCAGGTTTGAGGTCAGGTTTGAGGTCAGGTTTGAGGTCAGGTTTGAGGTCAGGTTTGAGGTCAGGTTTGAGATCAGGTTTGACGTCAGGTTTGACGTCAGGTTTGAGGTCAGGTTTGAGGTCAGGTTTGAGGTCAGGTTTGAGGTCAGGTTTGAGGTCAGGTTTGAGATCAGGTTTGACGTCAGGTTTGACGTCAGGTTTGACGTCAGGTTTGACGTCAGGTTTGAGGTCAGGTTTGAGGTCAGGTTTGAGGTCAGGTTTGAGATCAGGTTTGAGATTAGGTTTGACGTCAGGTTTGAGGTCAGGTTTGAGGTCAGGTTTGAGGTCAGGTTTGAGGTCAGGTTTGAGGTCAGGTTTGAGGTCAGGTTTGAGGTCAGGTTTGAGATCAGGTTTGACGTCAGGTTTGACGTCAGGTTTGACGTCAGGTTTGACGTCAGGTTTGAGGTCAGGTTTGAGGTCAGGTTTGAGGTCAGGTTTGAGATCAGGTTTGAGATTAGGTTTGACGTCAGGTTTGAGGTCAGGTTTGAGGTCAGGTTTGAGGTCAGGTTTGAGGTCAGGTTTGAGGTCAGGTTTGAGGTCAGGTTTGAGGTCAGGTTTGAGATCAGGTTTGACGTCAGGTTTGACGTCAGGTTTGAGGTCAGGTTTGAGGTCAGGTTTGACGTCAGGTTTGACGTCAGGTTTGACGTCAGGTTTGACGTCAGGTTTGAGGTCAGGTTTGAGGTCAGGTTTGAGGTCAGGTTTGAGGTCAGGTTTGAGGTCAGGTTTGAGGTCAGGTTTGACGTCAGGTTTGACGTCAGGTCTGAGGTGAGGTTTGAGGTCAGGTTTGAGGTCAGGTTTGAGGTCAGGTTTGACGTCAGGTTTGAGGTCAGGTTTGAGGTCAGGTTTGAGGTCAGGTTTGAGGTCAGGTTTGAGATCAGGTTTGAGGTCAGGTTTGAGGTCAGGTTTGACGTCAGGTTTGAGGTCAGGTTTGAGGTCAGGTTTGACGTCAGGTTTAACGCCAGGTTTCAGGTCAGGTTTGAGGTCAGGTTTGAGGTCAGGTTTGACGTCAGGTTTGACGCAAGGTTTGAGGTCAGGTTTGAGGTAAGGTTTGACGTCAGGTTTGACGTCAGGTTTGAGGTCAGGTTTGAGGTCAGGTTTGAGGTCAGGTTTGACGTCAGGTTTGACGTCAGGTTTGAGGTCAGGTTTGACGTCAGGTTTGAGGTCAGGTTTGAGGTCAGGTTTGACGTCAGGTTTGACGTCAGGTTTGACGTCAGGTTTGACGTCAGGTTTGAGGTCAGGTTTGAGGTCAGGTTTGACGTCAGGTTTGACGTCAGGTTTGACGTCAGGTTTGAGGTCAGGTTTGACGTCAGGTTTGAGGTCAGGTTTGAGGTCAGGTTTGAGGTCAGGTTTGAGGTCAGGTTTGAGGTCAGGTTTGAGGTCAGGTTTGACGTCAGGTTTGACGTCAGGTTTGACGTCAGGTTTGACGTCAGGTTTGACGTCAGGTTTGACGTCAGGTTTGAGGTCAGGTTTGAGGTCAGGTTTGAGATCAGGTTTGAGGTCAGGTTTGACGTCAGGTTTGACGTCAGGTTTGAGGTCAGGTTTGAGGTCAGGTTTGAGGTCAGGTTTGAGGTCAGGTTTGAGGTCAGGTTTGAGATCAGGTTTGAGATCAGGTTTGACGTCAGGTTTGACGTCAGGTTTGAGGTCAGGTTTGAGGTCAGGTTTGAGGTCAGGTTTGAGGTCAGGTTTGAGGTCAGGTTTGAGGTCAGGTTTGACGTCAGGTTTGAGGTCAGGTTTGAGGTCAGGTTTGACGTCAGGTTTGACGTCAGGTTTGACGTCAGGTTTGACGTCAGGTTTGAGGTCAGGTTTGAGGTCAGGTTTGAGGTCAGGTTTGAGGTCAGGTTTGAGGTCAGGTTTGACGTCAGGTTTGACGTCAGGTTTGACGTCAGGTTTGAGGTCAGGTTTGAGGTCAGGTTTGAGGTCAGGTTTGACGTCAGGTTTGACGTCAGGTTTGACGTCAGGTTTGACGTCAGGTTTGAGGTCAGGTTTGAGGTCAGGTTTGACGTCAGGTTTGACGTCAGGTTTGAGGTCAGGTTTGACGTCAGGTTTGAGGTCAGGTTTGAGGTCAGGTTTGAGGTCAGGTTTGAGGTCAGGTTTGAGGTCAGGTTTGAGGTCAGGTTTGACGTCAGGTTTGACGTCAGGTTTGACGTCAGGTTTGACGTCAGGTTTGACGTCAGGTTTGACGTCAGGTTTGAGGTCAGGTTTGAGGTCAGGTTTGAGGTCAGGTTTGAGGTCAGGTTTGAGGTCAGGTTTGAGGTCAGGTTTGAGATCAGGTTTGACGTCAGGTTTGACGTCAGGTTTGACGTCAGGTTTGAGGTCAGGTTTGAGGTCAGGTTTGACGTCAGGTTTGACGTCAGGTTTGACGTCAGGTTTGACGTCAGGTTTGAGGTCAGGTTTGAGGTCAGGTTTGACGTCAGGTTTGACGTCAGGTTTGAGGTCAGGTTTGAGGTCAGGTTTGAGGTCAGGTTTGAGGTCAGGTTTGAGGTCAGGTTTGACGTCAGGTTTGACGTCAGGTCTGAGGTGAGGTTTGAGGTCAGGTTTGAGGTCAGGTTTGAGGTCAGGTTTGAGGTCAGGTTTGACGTCAGGTTTGAGGTCAGGTTTGACGCCAGGTTCGAGGTCAGGTTTGACGTCAGGTTCGAAGTCAAGTTTGACGTCAGGTTTGACGTCAGGTTTGACGTCAGGTTTGACGTCAGGTTTGACGTCAGGTTTGAGGTCAGGTTTGAGGTCAGGTTTGAGGTCAGGTTTGAGGTCAGGTTTGACGTCAGGTTTGACGTCAGGTTTGAGGTCAGGTTTGAGGTCAGGTTTGACGTCAGGTTTGACGTCAGGTTTGAGGTCAGGTTTGACGTCAGTGTGACGTCAGGTTTGGGGTCGGGTTTGAGGTCAGGTTTGACGTCAGGTTTGACGTCAGGTTTGAGGTCAGGTTTGACGTCAGGTTTGACATCAGGTTTGAGGTCAGGTTTGACGTCAGGTTTGAGGTCAGGTTTGAGGTCAGGTTTGACGTCAGGTTTGAGGTCAGGTTTGAGGTCAGGTTTGAGGTCAGGTTTGAGGTCAGGTTTGAGGTCAGGTTTGAGGTCAGGTTTGAGGTCAGGTTTGAGGTCAGGTTTGAGGTCAGGTTTGACGTCAGGTTTGAGGTCAGGTTTGAGATCAGGTTTGAGGTCAGGTTTGACGTCAGGTTTGACGTCAGGTTTGAGGTCACCTTTGAGGTCAGGTTTGACGTAAGGTTTGACGTCAGGTTTGACGCCAGGTTTGAGGTCAGGTTTGAGGTCAGGTTTGACGTCAGGTTTGACGTCAGGTTTGAGGTCAGGTTTGACGTCAGGTTTGACGTCAGGTTTGAGGTCAGGTTTGAGGTCAGGTTTGAGGTCAGGTTTGAGGTCAGGTTTGAGGTCAGGTTTGAGATCAGGTTTGACGTCAGGTTTGACGTCAGGTTTGAGGTCAGGTTTGAGGTCAGGTTTGAGGTCAGGTTTGAGGTCAGGTTTGAGGTCAGGTTTGAGGTCAGGTTTGAGATCAGGTTTGACGTCAGGTTTGACGTCAGGTTTGACGTCAGGTTTGACGTCAGGTTTGAGGTCAGGTTTGAGGTCAGGTTTGAGGTCAGGTTTGAGATCAGGTTTGAGATTAGGTTTGACGTCAGGTTTGAGGTCAGGTTTGAGGTCAGGTTTGAGGTCAGGTTTGAGGTCAGGTTTGAGGTCAGGTTTGAGGTCAGGTTTGAGGTCAGGTTTGAGATCAGGTTTGACGTCAGGTTTGACGTCAGGTTTGACGTCAGGTTTGACGTCAGGTTTGAGGTCAGGTTTGAGGTCAGGTTTGAGGTCAGGTTTGAGATCAGGTTTGAGATTAGGTTTGAGGTCAGGTTTGAGGTCAGGTTTGAGGTCAGGTTTGAGGTCAGGTTTGAGGTCAGGTTTGAGGTCAGGTTTGAGGTCAGGTTTGAGGTCAGGTTTGAGATCAGGTTTGACGTCAGGTTTGACGTCAGGTTTGAGGTCAGGTTTGAGGTCAGGTTTGACGTCAGGTTTGACGTCAGGTTTGACGTCAGGTTTGACGTCAGGTTTGAGGTCAGGTTTGAGGTCAGGTTTGAGGTCAGGTTTGAGGTCAGGTTTGAGGTCAGGTTTGAGGTCAGGTTTGACGTCAGGTCTGAGGTGAGGTTTGAGGTCAGGTTTGAGGTCAGGTTTGAGGTCAGGTTTGACGTCAGGTTTGAGGTCAGGTTTGAGGTCAGGTTTGAGGTCAGGTTTGAGGTCAGGTTTGAGATCAGGTTTGAGGTCAGGTTTGAGGTCAGGTTTGACGTCAGGTTTGAGGTCAGGTTTGAGGTCAGGTTTGACGTCAGGTTTAACGCCAGGTTTCAGGTCAGGTTTGAGGTCAGGTTTGAGGTCAGGTTTGACGTCAGGTTTGACGCAAGGTTTGAGGTCAGGTTTGAGGTAAGGTTTGACGTCAGGTTTGACGTCAGGTTTGAGGTCAGGTTTGAGGTCAGGTTTGAGGTCAGGTTTGAGGTCAGGTTTGACGTCAGGTTTGAGGTCAGGTTTGACGTCAGGTTTGAGGTCAGGTTTGAGGTCAGGTTTGACGTCAGGTTTGACGTCAGGTTTGACGTCAGGTTTGACGTCAGGTTTGAGGTCAGGTTTGAGGTCAGGTTTGACGTCAGGTTTGACGTCAGGTTTGACGTCAGGTTTGAGGTCAGGTTTGACGTCAGGTTTGAGGTCAGGTTTGAGGTCAGGTTTGAGGTCAGGTTTGAGGTCAGGTTTGAGGTCAGGTTTGAGGTCAGGTTTGACGTCAGGTTTGACGTCAGGTTTGACGTCAGGTTTGACGTCAGGTTTGACGTCAGGTTTGACGTCAGGTTTGAGGTCAGGTTTGAGGTCAGGTTTGAGATCAGGTTTGAGGTCAGGTTTGACGTCAGGTTTGACGTCAGGTTTGAGGTCAGGTTTGAGGTCAGGTTTGAGGTCAGGTTTGAGGTCAGGTTTGAGGTCAGGTTTGAGATCAGGTTTGAGATCAGGTTTGACGTCAGGTTTGACGTCAGGTTTGAGGTCAGGTTTGAGGTCAGGTTTGAGGTCAGGTTTGAGGTCAGGTTTGAGGTCAGGTTTGAGGTCAGGTTTGACGTCAGGTTTGAGGTCAGGTTTGAGGTCAGGTTTGACGTCAGGTTTGACGTCAGGTTTGACGTCAGGTTTGAGGTCAGGTTTGAGGTCAGGTTTGAGGTCAGGTTTGAGGTCAGGTTTGAGGTCAGGTTTGAGGTCAGGTTTGACGTCAGGTTTGACGTCAGGTTTGACGTCAGGTTTGAGGTCAGGTTTGAGGTCAGGTTTGAGGTCAGGTTTGACGTCAGGTTTGACGTCAGGTTTGACGTCAGGTTTGACGTCAGGTTTGACGTCAGGTTTGAGGTCAGGTTTGAGGTCAGGTTTGACGTCAGGTTTGACGTCAGGTTTGACGTCAGGTTTGACGTCAGGTTTGACGTCAGGTTTGAGGTCAGGTTTGACGTCAGGTTTGAGGTCAGGTTTGAGGTCAGGTTTGAGGTCAGGTTTGAGGTCAGGTTTGAGGTCAGGTTTGAGGTCAGGTTTGACGTCAGGTTTGACGTCAGGTTTGACGTCAGGTTTGACGTCAGGTTTGACGTCAGGTTTGACGTCAGGTTTGAGGTCAGGTTTGAGGTCAGGTTTGAGGTCAGGTTTGAGGTCAGGTTTGAGGTCAGGTTTGAGGTCAGGTTTGAGATCAGGTTTGACGTCAGGTTTGACGTCAGGTTTGACGTCAGGTTTGAGGTCAGGTTTGAGGTCAGGTTTGACGTCAGGTTTGACGTCAGGTTTGACGTCAGGTTTGACGTCAGGTTTGAGGTCAGGTTTGAGGTCAGGTTTGACGTCAGGTTTGACGTCAGGTTTGAGGTCAGGTTTGAGGTCAGGTTTGAGGTCAGGTTTGAGGTCAGGTTTGAGGTCAGGTTTGACGTCAGGTTTGACGTCAGGTCTGAGGTGAGGTTTGAGGTCAGGTTTGAGGTCAGGTTTGAGGTCAGGTTTGAGGTCAGGTTTGACGTCAGGTTTGAGGTCAGGTTTGACGCCAGGTTCGAGGTCAGGTTTGACGTCAGGTTCGAAGTCAAGTTTGACGTCAGGTTTGACGTCAGGTTTGACGTCAGGTTTGACGTCAGGTTTGACGTCAGGTTTGAGGTCAGGTTTGAGGTCAGGTTTGAGGTCAGGTTTGAGGTCAGGTTTGACGTCAGGTTTGACGTCAGGTTTGAGGTCAGGTTTGAGGTCAGGTTTGACGTCAGGTTTGACGTCAGGTTTGAGGTCAGGTTTGACGTCAGTGTGACGTCAGGTTTGGGGTCGGGTTTGAGGTCAGGTTTGACGTCAGGTTTGACGTCAGGTTTGAGGTCAGGTTTGACGTCAGGTTTGACATCAGGTTTGAGGTCAGGTTTGACGTCAGGTTTGAGGTCAGGTTTGAGGTCAGGTTTGACGTCAGGTTTGAGGTCAGGTTTGAGGTCAGGTTTGAGGTCAGGTTTGAGGTCAGGTTTGAGGTCAGGTTTGAGGTCAGGTTTGAGGTCAGGTTTGAGGTCAGGTTTGAGGTCAGGTTTGACGTCAGGTTTGAGGTCAGGTTTGAGATCAGGTTTGAGGTCAGGTTTGACGTCAGGTTTGACGTCAGGTTTGAGGTCACCTTTGAGGTCAGGTTTGACGTAAGGTTTGACGTCAGGTTTGAGATCAGGTTTGACGTCAGGTTTGAGATCAGGTTTGAGGTCAGGTTTGACGTCAGGTTTGACATCAGGTTTGAGGTCAGGTTTGAGGTCAGGTTTGAGGTCAGGTTTGAGGTCAGGTTTGACGTCAGGTTTGAGGTCAGGTTTGAGGTCAGGTTTGAGGTCAGGTTTGAGGTCAGGTTTGAGGTCAGGTTTGAGGTCAGGTTTGAGGTCAGGTTTGACGTCAGGTTTGACGTCAGGTTTGAGGTCAGGTTTGAGATCAGGTTTGAGGTCAGGTTTGACGTCAGGTTTGACGTCAGGTTTGAGGTCAGGTTTGAGGTCAGGTTTGACGTCAGGTTTGACGTCAGGTTTGAGGTCAGGTTTGACGTCAGGTTTGAGATCAGGTTTGAGGTCAGGTTTGATGTCAGGTTTGACATCAGGTTTAACTTCAGGTTTGAGGTCAGGTTTGACGTCAGGTTTGAGATCAGGTTTGAGGTCAGGTTTGATGTCAGGTTTGAGGTCAGGTTTGAGGTCAGGTTTGACGTCAGGTTTGACGTCAGGTTTGACGTCAGGTTTGAGGTCAGGTTTGAGGTCAGGTTTGAGATCAGGTTTGAGGTCAGGTTTGAGGTCAGGTTTGATGTCAGGTTTGAGGTCAGGTTTGACGTCAGGTTTGAGATCAGGTTTGAGGTCAGGTTTGATGTCAGGTTTGAGGTCAGGTTTTGTTGTGAGGTTTGAGGTCAGGTTTGACGTCAGGTTTGACGTCAGGTTTGACGTCAGGTTTGACGTCAGGTTTGAGGTCAGGTTTGAGGTCAGGTTTGAGATCAGGTTTGAGGTCAGGTTTCAGGTCACGTCAGGTTTGATGTCAGGTTTGACATCAGGTTTGAGGTCAGGTTTGAGGCTATGTTGGAAAAGTCGCCAGCCTGGGCATGCGTACAGCGTAATTACGTAGACAAATATACGCTGTACGCAATACGCACGTACATTCGTTCGGGAAAATCCGGGCTGCCCGGCTAAATAAGAAAAATATAAAGTTCGCGCACGAAATTGGAAAATGCGTCGCGACATACATTGTGCGCACGAATTTTGCAAATGCGACGTCAAATTGTTTGCACATCAGAGCAATTCGCCAACCCCACCAACACACAAATTTGGCAAGGGGACATTCAAATCAACCGCATTGCACCGTCCGTTACCCCGCAACTCCAACTCAGCTACACGAATGTCTCCTACCAGCCTTCCTCATCGAGGACAGAAAGGTACGTCCCTCCCAACCCTAAACATTCTCATCAGTCACGTCGTCCAATTCTCTTTCTCCAGTTCTCTCGATCACCTCGCAGCTTTTCGATGATGGCCCCTACTGGCACTGGCACTCCTGCGAGTGCGACTAATGAGGTTCCTAGTGCCTCCTGACCGGAAAAAAAGTTTTACCTGCCCGGGCAGCGTATTTTTCACGCATTCTTGAGTCACCCATTCAGCGCATCCCGTATTATACGCAAGCGTATATATGCTTGCGTACAATACGCTGGGCGCGACTTTTCCAACATAGGTTTGAGGTCAGGTTTGACGTCAGGTTTGAGGTCAGGATCGAGATCAGGTTTGAGGTCAGGTTTGACGTCAGGTTTGAGGTCAGGTTTGAGGTCAGGTTTGACGTCAGGTTTGAGATCAGGTTTGACGTCAGGTTTGAGGTCAGGTTTGAGGTCAGGTTTGACGTCAGGTTTGAGGTCAGGTTTGAGGTCAGGTTTGACGTCAGGTTTGAGGTCAGGTTTGAGGTCAGGTTTGACGTAAGGCTTGATGTCAGGTTTGACGTCAGGTTTGACATCAGGTTAGGGGTCATGTTTGACGTCAGGTTTGAGGTCAGGTTTGACGTCAGGTTTGAGGTCAGGTTTGACGTCAGGTTTGACGTCAGGTTTGAGGTCAGGTTTGAGGTCAGGTTTGAGGTCAGGTTTGACGTCAGGTTTGAGGTCAGGTTTGAGGTCAGGTTTGAGGTCAGGTTTGAGGTCAGGTTTGAGGTCAGGTTTGAGGTCAGGTTTGACGTCAGGTTTGAGGTCAGGTTTGACGTCAGGGGCGTCAAGGTCCATCAGAGAACTCCATCACCCATTCCCCTTCCTCTCACCCTCCCCCCTCCGCTTTCTCCCTGCTTCAACCACTCCCCCTCTCCACACTCACCACGAGCGCCAGCTGTGCGGCCGGTCAAGGTCCATCACGGAGGAGCAGAATTCGCGGCGCACGTGGCAGGGCAGGTTCTCCCGGTAGTACCGCTCGTCCAATAGGAACACGTCTATCTGCTGACCTGGCAGCGCCTCGTTCAGGTGGTACTGAAGGCGAGGGGGCAGCGGTGGTGAGGGATATCAAACGATAGATAAAGGGTGTGGAACGGTTAGTCTGTTGGAAAAGTCAAGCAGCAGAGACAGAAAGCCATCTTTAGGGAACGGTTGATAAGAGGTGTGGAACAACCAAGTGGTTGGAACAGCCAGTCAATGCCTGGATATCATCCCCCTCCCGTTCCCCGTTTCTCCACTTCTCCCTCTCCATTCCCTTCGCCTCTCCCACTCCAGCCCACTTCCCCCTCCTCCCTTCCCCCCCTCACCACGGCCTGTATGCCATCCCGCTTGCTCCCCCTCTCTCCACTTTTCCCTCTCCATTCCCGTCGCCTCTCCCATCCCAGCCCGCTCCCCCTCCCGTCTCCCGCCCCTCACCACGGCCTGGATGCCATCTCCCCGGTCGCGCCGCGGGTCCTCTTTAGGTGCGCCCAGGGCGTCAAGGAAGACAGTCTTGAGCGGGTCCTTGTGCATCAGTCGTTTGTACCCGTGCGCCCTGCTCACAGCACGGAGAGGGTGGTGTGGGCGATAAGGAGTTTGAGTAAGGAGGTGACAAGTGAGAGTGGGACAGGGCGTCGAGGAAGACGGTCTTGAGCGGGTCCTTGTGCATCAGCTGCTTGTACCCATGCGTCCTAGATGCAAAGAGATGAGGTGAGGGTGGGCGTGAGAGGTGAGAATCTTGAGTGAGGCATGTGGGTGATGAGTGCGAGTGAGGAGTGTGCATGATGAATGTGGGAGAGGAGTGTGAGTGTGGGGCGTGAGTGAGAAGCGTGAGAGAGGAGTACGAGCGAGACGTTTGAGTGAGGAGTGCGAGTGAGGCGTGAGAGCGAGGAGTGGGAGTGAGTGAGAAAGGGCGTGAAGGGACAACGCACCAGCCGAAGTCCCGGTCGTCATACACGCCCAGGATGCTGCGCGGGCACGCAGACGGATCAGAGCCGTCAGGGATCGGCGTCACGTTGCTCGGCTTATAGCGTGGACACATAAACTGCAAAAACTGGCAACACGGACATTCCAACCCCCCTCACATCCATCCAACCAACCCATGACCCCCATCCAATTGAATCCATTCAGATCCAATCCACCCAGCACATCCAATTCTCACTCCCTCCCCCCAGAGACAGACAGAAACCATCGACAAAGCATGAATGCTTTTGATGTGGTGCTCGGTTTGATGCTACTCAGGTAGCACGCAGAGGGATCAGCACACCATCAGTCAGGCCAAGAGCAGAACACAGCAGAGAACCAAAGCAGCACGAACAGGCACGAGCAGCGCACAGAGCTTGATCAAAGCAGAGTGCTCATGTCAGAACGAAAAGGAATGGAAGTGACACAATGCAAGTATGCAATATTACTTTTATATAATCTGGGTTCTGAAGCTGCTGCTGCATCCGAGTGATGGCATACTTGCTGTTTCCTGGAGAGTCAGGGGAAAAGGGGAGTCAGAAGAGAGTGGGACCAAGGGTAGGACAGGTTCAGGTGAGAATGTGGACAAGGTTGAGGTGCTTGAACTCCCAGAGAAGTTAGAATTTCTGCATATAGTTGTCAAAATTTTGGCATTGTTTCAACTCAGAATTGGGGAATTTTGAGAAGTAACACCTCAAGTGCTAACCTCTGACACATGATATGCCCCGTTGTTGAAACCAGTCGCTGGTACAGTTACATTGCGGATGTAACGGCCACCGTGTACAGTTCACCTCGGGCTCATCCAGATACGCCATGTCACCAAGCCTGATCAGATGCCACGTAGGACGGGAAGACAGAAAGCCACAAGATTTTGAAATTTAGGGTTTCCGAGCAAACGACGTCACCGTCCCTCTGCGAATTACGCACTGACAAAGATTAGGGTTACGTGAAGAAGCAATCCCAAGGGCGTGACGTGGCTCACCATATCCACACGTCAGGCGAGGAGGGAATGACGCCTCGCGTCCACACAGGCTGTGACGTGTTCTCGGGAGTCGTCCCAGACCCGAACGCTATTCTACGCACTCGGCGAGTCGTCAGAAACGCCCACATCGCGCTAGGGTTTCCTAGAAACGGAGCGATCCCGGACATTAAGAATGAGGAGAGAGCTACCGCAATGACGACGGCGACAAAGAGAAACCGCAGCAATCTCCATGTTCTGGGAAGCATGAGCGGCGGTCGGCGAGAGAAGGACGGGCGTTGCTTAGGCCTCTGCTTCTGCTTCTGCTTTATCGCTTCGCTCTGCTTCTTGTGGCTCGCTGCTAGAGTGAATCCGCTACCCATTCTGCCGGTTGCTTGCGAGTAGGAGGGAGAGAATTGGGCTCCGCTTGACAGGATATGTGTGTTGTCTCTGCTGGTGCCGATGTGCAGATCGCCATTTCTGTGACCTGACGACGACATCGAAGCGAACCCCTCGATGTCCTTTTTTCAACGACCTACCTAGTACGAACAATTAAGGAAACTACCGATCCGTAAATTGATGTAGGTGTCGATTGGGTTGGTTGATGGGTTGATCATTCGTGACTTGCCTAGCGTAGGAAGTATCTGATTGCGAAACTGAAACGGCTTGGATGTTTAACACAGGAATCCATGCCTTGATATCCAATGGCCGCGACAAAGGAATCTGAATACAGAAATAAGACTCTGATTGATGCCGCGCTGCATTGTCGTAGAACCCGATTTCTCAAGCAAGACAGTGGATGCAATGGTGGAGTATGGCCGCCATTTTTTATAGAAACAGCCTGACAGAAGCGGTGCAGTTGAAGCCTGTCGACTGGCAGAAACAAGTAGAGCCCGCGAAGCATTCTTATTGGTTCACAAAAGCAAAAACAAGAGCGAGAAAAGGTTACGTTTGGGCGATGTCAGTAACACGCTCGCAGCTGCTCGTTCGAAACTGCCGTTGAGATACGACGCTTGCGACTTCTGTTCTAAGAACATGGGTTGTTCTCGTCACATTCGCGAAACAGTTCCGTGTCCTCGGAAACTATGTCTCGCTAAAGGTTAGAACAAACACTCGAGAAACACTCATCATCAAAGAAGCGATATACGCATAATGTTTAAACGAGTCATGGGAATGCGAGGCCTTTTGCTTGCTGAGGGGCCGTGGTCACTTCTCGCAGCGAAAGGGCAAGCAAAGCGGGGGCGGGGCAATCGTGGATGCTGATTTTTGCGCGTGCTGGGTTTCTGTGCTGTGCATTTCTCCGCCGCACCCCCCTCCCCTTCGCAACGCTGGCATCACAGCACAGCACGAACTGAGTTGCGGTCCTCCCCGCCACGGGATCCCCGCATACAATCAGCGTCACTTGCAGTTACGCCAGCGCGGCCGCTGACGTCCGCCAGGCCCCGACAAACCTCGTCGCAGGGGCAAACAACACTCGTGCTCTTGGCTGTTTGCCGAATCGCCAGTCGTGCAAACATTCACACGCGAGCGATTCGGAGAAATTGAAGGGCCGAGCAGAGCAGTTGGGTTTGGTTGGTGGTGGGGTCGGATCGGATGGTGGTGGTGATGTGTTGCGGCCAGGGAACACGTCTGCCCCGGTCTGGGTGTGATGGACGGATTACTGTATGTCATAGCATCGTTCATGAGCGTTGACCATGGACGGCGGTTCTTCTCATGCTTTGGCAGTCGACCTGAAACATAGCGTACATAACTCGCTTGCAAGGGAGGACTTTCGGTGTGACTAGAGTTGATAACCACAGTAGCCAGCCTGAACGATCTCTACCGCTCGGCCTTCGCGCTTCTTCCTAGTTCCCAGTTCGCTCGAACGTCTCGTCCCGTTCCACTTCCTCCCTTCGCCGCGTTCTTCCTACTCTTTTTGTTCCTCGTCACAGTGCAGCCACACAAGTCTCCGCGAGCTGGTTCGTAGATCCTCCGGAAATCTCACGTTGCACGTACAAGGGTATCTCCAACCGAGAGGCCGACATTCAGAATGGACTTCGTGATGCGAGCGTCGTTAGCGGATCCCTCTATATCGGGACCACCGATAAGTACCAGTTCCACGGACGAGAAGCCGCCGTTGCTGACACCGGAGCAGGGTCGAATCGTGCGGGAAACGTTCGCCGAGTTCATTCAGCCGAACGCCGATCAACACGCCATCATTCTCTTCCTCATGTATGCCCCGCCTCATAGACCCATCTGTAACGAATCGTGATTGTTTTTCGCAGCACTTCGCTCGACCAGCATCCCCCCTTGCCTCTCCCTTACCCTGTTCTCCCATTTTCCGCATTCCGCCCGTCCTGTTTCCCCCCTCCCCCCTTCTCCCCTCCTCTCTCCAGTGTTTTCGACATTTCCCCCGACGGCCGGAACCTCTTTTCGTACGTTCGCAACTCAACGGAACCCGCGCCGCTGAACAAGCGGCTGCAGGAGCACGCGACGCACGCCTTCGGGCTCATGTGCGAAGCGATCATGCAAATGGACGACGCGGATGTGGTCGAGAAAAAAGTCACGCCGAAATTCATGTCCCTAGGGTGTAGACATCTAAATTACGGTGTAGCTGCTGACGATACGCCGATTTTCAGAACAGCATTTTTGAAAACATTGGGGAAGGCGATGGGGGCCAGGTGGCGGGGGGTGGTGGAGGATGCATGGAGTCAAGGGTTCGACCTTTTGGAATACATCGTGTGTAAAGGCATGGACAAATAGAGGAATCTCGTTTCCTTGTCGCCTTTAGTTTGCGAGTTGCACTTAGGAAACCGTGCCGTGAGCTGCAATTTTTTGAATGTACGGTACCTTAGTTGCTATCTTGTAGTCAGCCCTGTGTGGTCTCCCTCCTGTATGTAAAATATGATGCATTAGTGTTCCTTCAGGTTGGAAGAGAAGTATTGCAGCAGCAACTGATAGAAAACAGTGCACAATACAATATGGCTGCCCATAGGAAGGATGGTGTACACATGGAAATTACGATGTAAAGTTCAGAGTTATGTGGTAACTGCCTGGCTAGCTCTCTCTTGGCTCTTGGTAAGCGACACGACAGCACACACTAGTAGCGAATAGGCCCATCCAGACTGCCGACAGCAAACTGCAAGCACACACAATAATAGTAGAGAAAAGGTAACTGGTCATGCGAGCAATGAGAGCATCCAGTGTAGCAGCACACGTACGTGCACCATCACATGCACATGCAGTAGCACACGCACATGCAGCAGCACAGGCACATGTGCTAAAAGGGACTTCCTCTGACAGGCATCACCAGTTGCATCTACTACTCACCTGTCTCACTATCGGGTTGTCAGTGGTGTCAAACTCCTCTGTAGGCCCCTCCCACACCACCTCCCCTCCGTACAGAAACAGCAGCCTGCACAAAACATGCATGGCAACACTCAAAACAGGCAGGAGCACTGAGATGTGAGAATCAAGTTTGAGATGTCTACACCTAACCCCCATACAGGAACAGCAGCCTGTATGGAGAACTCAAGTCAACTCAAGTCCCAGGTGTCCTACATATTCAGTACTCATCCCAACACAGGTACAGCATTGCCATGGGATGGGATAGCCTGCCATGCTGACCTGTCAACAGCTCGCCGGATCGTGCTGTGCTGATGTGTCACAACAATGTACGACGACACCGACGCCATTCTGCGAGCCTTGGACCCCCCACCGCTGCCGCTGCCGCTACCATCCCTGCTGCTCCCACCCGTAGCACCACCCACCCCTCTCCCTCCTCCGTCCTCATCCTCAGAATCCTCAGACTCTGTTTCAAAATCCGACTCCAACCCAGCTGCAATCTCCGCAGTCACAGGCACCGGCACCGACGACCCCACGTGCAGCGAGCGAATCAAATCTTCCACCACAGTGGACGCGATCGGATCTAGCCCCGCGGTTGGCTCATCATACATCACCACCTCCTCCTCTAGCTGCGGTGCATCACTGTCTGATACAATTGCCCGTGCCAGTGCCACTCGCTTCTTCATGCCTCCTGACAGCTCCGAGGGGAATCGCTCCTCCACGTTCTGTGGGGCGGAGGGCATTCAGGGTAGGAGGATAAGGTGGGTGGGTGGGTGGGGGGTTGGATGGATGGATGAATGGATGGACAGACGGACGGATGGACCGATGGATGGACAAATGGGTACATGTTCCTCACCTTGAGCCCCACTGCCTTGAGGCTGTCCTTCACTCGGAGCCGAATCTCCTCCTCCGACAGCCGCGAGTGCTCGTATCTGATGTGACACAAACGAGACGAGGGAAAACTCTGGTTTGATAGCTGGGGGGAACAGATCCAAAGATGCTAATAGAGCTGAATGAAATCAGGGATATAACTTTTGGCTACAGAACGCCGCGGATGAGAGGTTCTTATGGTATGGGTATGGATGGAGTAGCCCGGAGACGCAAGCGACTCACAGCAAGAAGCCCACATTCTCACGCACGGTCAACGAGTCAAAGAGAGCTGCGCTTTGAAACACCTGGTGGAGGTTGAGAAGGGATAGGGGCACAAACGGGTGTGTTGATTCGACTCAAACACACATGTATAAAAGAGAGCTGCAAGTATTCGAAAAACAAGGACGATGCATATACCAAAGACACGGAAGCACGGCTACCAAGTTACAGTACAATAAGTGACCCCTCTCTAAAAAAAGGAAGCATGCAAAAAGGTTTCACATCCCTCGGCCCACATTCCACAAGCAAAACCAGGCTTCTCAAAAATAAAGCAAGTCATTAGGACACCTTACCAGGCCAATTCGCAAGCCCACGTTCTCCTGATCACTAATCAGCCCCTCTCGCTTCTTGCCGCATATCCAAACCTCACCCTGCCACGGAGAGACAGACAGGAAACAGGGTCGTCGGGAGGCAAGTGGATAGGCGAAGCAGCACGGAAAGCGCATGTGCATGCTGAGTTTCACATCCCTTGGTGCTGCAGGGTACTTTTTAGAATTCTCAAAAATATCCGGGAGGCAAGTGGACAGGCGAAGCAGCACAGAAAGCACGTGTGCATGCTGGGTTTCACATCCCTTAGCTTACGTGCTTACCAGACCAACGAGGAGTTCATATGTGATGAACTGCATGGGATGAGATGTACACGAGGATAAGGAACATAAATTTTTGCCCTACCAGGCGCCAACAGCCCCGCCATGATCTTGAGAATGGTTGACTTGCCCGTGCCAGACGGGCCTATCACCCCCACCGCCTCGCCCCTCCGGATCTGCACCATGCAATTGTGCATTCAGGGCGGTGGGTGGGAGCAAAGGGAAGGAGGGAGAAGGAAGGGACGGTTAGAAATGCAAGGTTGGTGTGGTGGAGCAAGGAATGGAATGGCTGCATGCAAGGACACATAGATGCACGCAGAAACAGGCAAAGGCACGCCTGGATGCGTAGAGAGAGCCGGCCAGGCGGTAAATCCACACCTTGAGCGACGCGCCTCTGAGGATGTGTTTGCTGCCGAACGACTTGTACACGTCCTTGAGCTCTATCAGCACGTCGTCATCACTCCCCTCCTGCGCTGCCCTCTGCCCGCCAGCCTGACTCGTGCTCTGCGTGTGTTGGACGGCGGGGTGGTAAGAACGGTGAGGAGACAAGGGTGATGGGGACGGTCGGGGAAAGCTGTGGTGTCTGTTAGGGTGAGGCGCATGAACGCAAAGGGGGGGGACGAGAGCTGACGTAAGGGAGATAAAGGAAGGCAGGAAGTCAGGAAGGCAGGACACTGGTTGCTAACCTTGAGCGATCCATTCTCGCCAGATACGGTCGCGACGGACGGAATCGAGGCCCTTGGATCATCTGCTGACGCGGCGGAGCACCGCACTGCACCGCAACACCGCCGTCTCGACGACCTCACCACCCCGACATTCGCATGTTGAAATCGACATCGTTTTTCGCACGCGACGCTTAGTAACGCACGCTTGTGTTTTCGAAGCGAGAGCGATTGTTGTTGCTGTCGGCGCGTGCAACAGGCGACGGAAAAAAGCGTCGTCGCTCCACGGATCGCGACACGCGAGAGGCAGGCACACGCGGTCATGGCACCGTAGGGAACAGCGGCTACGGTTGCTAACGAGGAAACGATAGCTTATTAGACTCTTGTGAGAACAGCAATGGCTGAACAATTCACAGGAGCATAAAGCGACGATCCCCTGGGGTGAGAGTAGTGACACTCTGGCTCGTTTATCGGCGTAAATTATGGGATGCGACGTAGTAAGCTCAAAGGATGTTTAATTCCACTGCACGACCATGGATTGTCTGGATAAGAAGAAACTACACAGACCACCTTGGTCGCTGGCCTTGATTCTACTTGAGCAGTGGGAGCAAGAATGCCTTTCCCTTCACAGATGAAGGTGTGTTGTGTTGTTTGAGGGGCTGGCGGAGAGGAGTCGGTGTGTTGCGGTTTCGAGGCGAAGGCGGGAAAAACAACTGTGCAGGCGGAGGAGTCGCGTGACAAAATCTGGGCTGGATCGCATCGAGGCTGACGTGTCAGAGTGCTTTATTCGAAACTGAGCACATCTACACTTATTTCCTAATAACAAAAAACATATACCTATGTCAGAATGAGGAATGGATGATGCATTGATGTTGGTTGGGGTACATATAGCTAACCCTAAGTTTTGTACCCCCTAAGACAAACCTCACTATAGGCTACAACATTTGACACACCCCCATAGCCTAAGTGAGGGGTGTCTAGCAGAACCAAACGAGTACGGTCACAAGACCAGTCCAAGAAACGAAGCTCAGGGTGGATCACAACGTCACCACACAGTCTGAGCACAAACAACAGTGGCCACAAGGCCAGTCCAAGAAGTAACAGAGGTATATAGAAAGCAAAGTAAACAGTACACTCAAGCCTAAGCAACACGAGAACCAGTGTCAACAAGGCCTAACTGCACACAGCACCTCTGGTGGTCACAAGGCGGAAGCGCCTTGGTGAAGATGTCTGCAGTGTTGGCCTCGGACTCCACAAACTCAAAGCGAGCCTGTCCACGCCTCTGCAACTCTCGCAGAAGAAAGTACCTGACGTGAATGTGCTTCACTCTGCTCTCCAGTCGTGGCTCTCGACAAAGGAGAATAGACGCCTTGTTGTCAGTGAACAAGGTCGGTGCAGAGCTCGGCCGCTCACCAAGGTCGGTGAGCAAGAAGGTCAACCAACGCAGCTCCTGTGCCGCCATGGCACCAGCGTAGATCTCAGCCTCAGCTGTAGAGGTCGAGACCGAAGAGGAGCGCGTGGACCGCCAGGAAACAGCTCCAGAACCCAGGCTGAAACAGTACCCCTGAGTAGACCTGTGAGTCTCAGCGTCGTCAGCGTAAGAGGAGTCACAGTGACCAGTAAGTACGACAGACTGCTGCCCTCCAAGAACTAGCCCCACGCCTGACGTCGTCGCTAGGTACTTCGCCACCCTCACAGCTGCTGTCCAGTGAACAGGACGGTGTCTCCCTGGTGCAACAAAGCGCGCAAGAACGCTGAGAGGGAAGGCGAGGTCCGGGCGAGTACAAGTCATCAGGTACATGAGGCAACCCACAAGCTCTGCGTAGGGACCACTAGGCTCGAACGGCTCGTCAGGAAAGGGTCCAGTGAGTCTGTGGTCAACAGCAAGAGGTGTGCGCTGTACTGTGGAGTGCTGAAGCCCGAACCGCTGAAGGACCTGCTGCACCATGTGCGACTGTGAAAGTGTAATGGTGCGAGCAGCTCTGTCCCTGGTGATCTGCAGGCCAAGGTAGTGGCGCAGCTCACCAAGATCAGTGCAGGTGTGTCTCTTCTGCAGTTCGGACTTCACGTGTGCCAAAGCAACCCTGTCAGGGGTGGCGAAAACAAGGTCGTCAACGTAGACCAGAACAAAGAAAGGTGTGGGGCCACGACGAACGAACAGCGACGGGTCAGCAGAAGACGGCTGGAACCCAAGGTCAGACAGGGTAGAACGCAGGGTGTCGTGCCACTCACGAGGAGCCTGACGAAGACCGTAAACCGGTCGCCTCAGCCTCCACTGGGTCCCAGGAGGGAAAGAGCCAGTGAAGGCAGAGGGACGACGTAACCAGACCTCCTCGTGAAGACTGCCCTGAAGGAAAGCAGTAGAGAAGTCGAGAGAGTGTAACTCGTAGTCTCTCTGTGCTGCTACGTGTAGTAACACCCGAAGAGTGGTCATCTTCGGGGTGGGCGCGAAGGTCTGAAAGAAGTCAACTCCCTCGCGCTGACTGAAACCTCTAGCCACGTAGCGCGCCTTGAAGACCGGAGGAGATCCCGGTGGCCGCTTCACCCTGTAGATCCACATGCCGTCGACTACGTTCGCCCCCGGAGGGGGAACCTCATCGACGTAGGTGCCTGTGGATCTGTAGGAGGCCATCTCTGCGTCCATGGCAGCTCTCCACTGAGAGGCCCAAGGCCCTGACACTGCCTCAGCGTAAGTGCGAGGAGTCGGAATGTCAAGGGCGTCGGGGTCACCCTCAGGGGCGAGGAGCATGGCACAGAGATGAGGGGAAGCGGCCGCCAGGAACTCTAGCTCAAACTGCCTGTCCTCTAGGGCGTCACAGCCAAGGGCAGACACACCCCCGACGGCCAGAGGACTGGAAGGAGGAGCTGCCACAAGAGCGGTGGCGAAGTCAAGGCGGCGGGTAGAGGCAAACTCAGTGACTGCGGCAGTAAGAGCGGACACAGAGGACACAGAGGCACGAGGGTGGGTAACAAGAGAGGCGAGAACACGAGAGAGAACAGGACGGTACGTGCGGTAGTAGTCAGTGACAGGAGAAGGAAGCGACACAGTGAGGGCCGACTCAGGAGGAGACGGAAGCACAGACGGAGACGGACGAGGTGGACGAGAACAAAGGAAGGCTGTACGAAGGTCAGTGAAGGGAACAGGAGACGAGGGACGAGCACGAGGGGAGCGACGAGAGGCCCAAGTCTGAGAAGGAGGAGGAGACAACGAAGACTGAGAACGAGGGAAAACAGCGGGAGAGGGGTCAGGAGGAGGAAGCGGAGGACCAGAGACGGGAGGAGAGGGGGAGGAGGAAGGAGAGGGAGACGGGAGACCAAGGGTCCGAAGACCCGAGACAGGAGGAGGAGACGGCAGCAGCTGCTGCTGCTGCTGCTGCTGCTGCTGCTGCTGCGCGGCTGCTGTGGCTGCTGCTGCTCCAGCGGCTGCTGCCTCTGCTGCTGCTCCTGCTGCTGCTCCTGCTGCTGTCGCTCCTGCTCCTCGAGCCGCTGCAACTCTCTCTCCTCTCTCTCCAACTCCAGCTGCTCCTCACGAGCACGGCGAACACGAGCCTGGAACCTGGTCGGGTAGGGGTGGGGGGAAGGAGTAGTGTCCGGGGCAGCGGCAGCCCCAGAGTCGACCTCCGAAGCACCAAGCACACCACCCCCAGAGGCAGCACCAACACCAGCTCCAGACCCAGGCTCTCCAGAAACCGAAGGGACACCCTCACCCCCAGACGCAGCACCCCCAGACTCCGCACCAGCACCCCCAGACTCCGCACGACCAGTACCAGCCCCCGGAAGACAAGAGTCCTCTGCAACCCGCGGCTCAGCTCCAACTCCAGCACCCCCAGAACCAGAAACCGGTACAGGGACAGTCGCAAGACCAACCTCCCGAGAGGGAGCACCTGCAGGAGGCGGCGAGGAAGACTGTGGGGAGGGAGGCTGTACAGGGGGGGCTACCGAAGGGGGAGGGCTAGCCTGAGACACACCAGACGGGGCTGGACCAGGGGGGGGAGGCTGTACCGGGGGAGCAGGCGGGGGAGCGGCTGTCAGGAAGAGGGGGGGAGGAGGAACCAGGAGACCTCGACTGGGGTACCTGACGTAGTACGGGGTGGACTCCTCGAAACGGACGTCACGGGAGTCAAAGAACCGGTGAGAGGGAGGGTGGTAAAAGGTGAAGTCAGAGGAGTCCTCAGGGAAACCAAGGAAGACACAAGGAACGGCGCGAGGCGAGAGCTTGTCCGCGGAGGTGTCGCGGACAAGAGCCAAGCACCCCCAGACACGAAACCTCGACGCGACACCAGGGGACCCTGTCCAAAGACTGGTCGGTGAAGCCTCCGGCCGAGAGACGCGTGGCCAGAGGTTCAGCTGGTGCGCGGCGTACCTGACTGCGTATGGCCACAGGAAATGGGGGGCACGGGCGTGGTGCGGGCAATCTCCATGACCAGGCCTATGCGACGCTCAGCAACCCCATTCTGCTGTGGGGACTCCGGAAGCGTCCAGGACTGACGAATGCCCTGTTCGCGACAGAATCTAGCGAGAATGCCGGAGCGAAACTCGCCCCCGCGGTCGGAGTGGAGACAGCTGACACGACGACCACGAGTGTCCTGGGTGGTAAGCAACCACCTGATCAGCGTAGAAGTCACCTCAGACTTCCTCGCCAGGGGGAACACTGTGGTATAGCGGGAGTAGTCGTCAACGACCACCAAAAAGAAACGCTCACGCTCAGGGCCAGGGCAAGGAGAGGGGCCCCAGACGTCCAAGTGCAGCGTCTCAAAAGGCTCGGTGGCCGGACGAAGGGAGGAGGAGTGAGGGGTGGCACGCAGCCTACCCTCGACGCAAGGACCGCACGGTGGTGCAAGGGACGGCGGCAGCGACGGCAAGACACGCGGGAGACCTAAGACCAGACGCTGACTAGACATAGCACGCAGACGTGGAAGAGAAGGGTGTCCCATCCGGTGGTGCCACAGAACGGTGGGGTGGGCAAGCGACCGACAGGAGCAAGACGCAGCGACTGGACTGGACGCGACAACCTGAGGGGACGGAACCACCTGGTGAGACGCAGGGAGGAGACTAGGGGGAGGGACAGGAACTGGGAGGAGTGGCTGCTGCGACGGCGGCCGCTGTGGCTGCGGCTGCTGCTGCTGCCGCTGCTGAGGCTGCTGCTGCTGCTGCTGCAGTCGCTGCTGAGCGCGCGGGCCAGTGTGAAGAGTGTAGAGACCGGAGCCCGGCTCAGCAGCAAAAGTGGCGAGAGGCTGGTAAGAGTCCCCGTCAACACACACCGCAGTCTCTCCAGAAGGCTCAAACCACACACCCACGCGCTGACCCACAAGGGGTCGCACGCCCACCAAGTTCCGGGAGAACGAGGGGACGTGAAACCCAGTGAGAGACCCAGAAGGAGCAGCCGGACACGGCAAGGTGGTAGTGTGACGCGCGGTGACTGGTCCCGAAGTGGGATCAGCCAGCGCCACAGAAACAGGCGCAGGAAGAGGCGTAAGTGTCGTGCTGTCACGAAAGAAGCAGTGAGAGGCTCCAGAGTCCAGCGTGAACGACAGCGAACCGTCCTCTGAGGTAGCCGCTGGACTAGAGTCTACACAAGAACCTACACTAGCAACAGGCAACTGAGCAAGGCTAGCACCTAAGCTAACAACACCAGAGTAAGCAGAGTCAGAAACACTAGAGTCAACAACAGCATACATAGCATGAGGAGCACCAATCAGATCAACTAACTGCTCAGCAGACATGCCCCACAGAGCGGAGCCGTAGCGCTGAACCAGAGGAAGCCAGTCAAGGGCAGGACCGCCAACCCCGTAGGCCAACCGGACCGTGTCAGTGAGCTGAGCAAAGCACTGACCAGGGGGGTGAAAGCGGCCACAAGGGTGGCCCCGACGAGGACCTGTCAGAACCTGATAGGTGCAGGGAGGGTAAGCAGCACCACGCTGGGGCTGACGCAGCCCCGACCCCGGAGCCAGCTGCTGACGCTGCTGCTGCTGAGGCTGCTGGGAGGAGAGGGGCTGCTGCTGCTGCTGAAGCCGCTGCTGACGCTGAGCCTGGTACCACGCCGCTGCTCCACCTAGCGGGGCCGGCAGTACAGGAGACGACTGACGAGCTCGGGTGTCGCCACCACCAGCAGGCGCAGTGGAGTCACCAGCCGCTGCACGAGAGGTCTCTCCAGACGCTGCACTCCCACCACCGCCAGTCGCAACAGCACCCCCACTACCTCCGCTACCTCCGCCTCCACCTCCACCAGAACCACCTTTCTTGCCCCCCTTGCCGCGGGACCGCGACGCAGTCGTAACAGCAGCTGCAGTCGCGTCAGTAGCGGCAGTGGCAAGAGAGGCAGTGAAGGTGGGTAACTGCGGGACTGTGCACCCGTGGAAGAGTGGGGGGGGCACAGCACCAGAGGCGGCAGCTACCGAGCGAAGGTTGCTCTCGACGTCCTTGAGCGCAGACTCAAGGACCTCAACTGTCAGCTCACTAGGGTGCTTCAGCAGGAGCGCGTCACGTACGGAGGCAAGGCGGTCAGGGAGGCTAGTGGCGATGAAATAGATAGTAATCGCCATGGGGGGAGGAAGCAGTGCAAGCTGTGCCTCAGTGCAAGCAGCGCGGTAACTAGCGTCGAGCGAGCGGAGGTGAGCGATCAAGTCAGCAGAGCGCTCAAACGAGGCGAGATCAGGAAACAGGAACGGGAGGAAAAGACGGCCAAGAGAGACAGTAGCGGGAGTAGAGTAGCGGGCCTTAATCGCAGTGAGGTACGCAGCAGCGGTGCGAACCTGAGTGAAGTGGACCTCCTCTGACTCAGGGAGGAGGCTGCTGAGTGCGATGCAGGCCGCAGCGTCACGCGACGTCCAAGCCGTCCTGTCAGCGCGCTGACGGGCAAAGCGAGCCGTAGCAGCATCGTCAGGGGCAGGACCTAAAGCGGCAGGCTCGGGGGGCTCGGGGAGGTCACCAGTAGCGTGCGACCAGAGGGTCTCGCCCCCCTGGACTTGACTCTCTAACAGACGGCGAGCGCGAAGGAGCCAGACGGAAAAGTCAAGAGGTCTGCCGTCAGCGTCGAAACGAAGAACTCGCGGAGTCGCCATAGCGAAAACTAACGCGAACGAGCAGGCGAGTAACAGCAGGAGGTAAGAGGCAAATTAGGGTTCAGGTGGGACTTAGTCGCAGCGGAAGAGCGGGCTAGAGCGACGGGCCAGGGCGTAGGGTCGACGGGACGGGGGAAAGGGCGGGCACGATGCGACGGGGCAGGGCGACGCGACGGGGGAGGGCGACGCGACGGGGTAGGGAGACGGGACGGGGCGACGGGACGGGGCAGGGGCGACGGGACGGGACGGGGCGACGGGACGGGACGGGGCAGGGCCGCGGGACGGGACGGGACGGGGACGGGACGGGGCAGGGGCGACGGGACGGGACGGGGACGGGACGGGGCAGGGGCGACGGGACGGGACGGGGCGACGGGACGGGACGGGGCAGGGCGACGGGACGGGGCAGGGCGACGTGACGGGGGGAAAGGGCGCGACGCGACGGTGGGAAAGGGCGCGACGCGACGGGGGGAAAGAGCGCGACGCGACGGGGGGAAAGGGCGCGACTCGACGGGGGGGAACGGGCGCGACGCAACGGGGGAAAAGGGCGCGACGTGACGGGGGGGAAAGGGCGCTAGGCGACGGGGGGAAGGGCGCTAGGCTCGGCACTAGGCGCGGTAACAACGGAACCGGTACGAACGAGAGGTAGGATCAGGCTCGGGAGATACGAACGGAGAACGGAGGAACGGGATCCCACAGGATCCTAACCTAACTGATACCATGTCAGAATGAGGAATGGATGATGCATTGATGTTGGTTGGGGTACATATAGCTAACCCTAAGTTTTGTACCCCCTAAGACAAACCTCACTATAGGCTACAACATTTGACACTATATACAGGCCTACCGCATCCTACCTACCTACGCTTAGTGCTGCAGCCTATATCCTAGAGGACTTTGCACGACGTCATCAAATCACGCAAAATAATATTAATACTCAATGGCCGGAGACCCGGCCAATGGCTTGGTGGCAGATTGCCTCTAGCGTTCCCAAGATCTGTGCCTGGTCTCTTGACGAGCCAGTCTCACCGCCCTCAGTCAACGCCACCATTGTGCGCAGCAATGCCGACACGTCTTCTTCCCACTGCGAATCATCACCCCTCCCCACACCTTGCGATGCTGTCACTCCTAGCGTGGCCTGGTGGGCCCTATGCGACTGTTCACGCGAATACGCCGCAAGTGCAAGAAATTTCACAGAAACCAGAGCTGAAGCAGGGTCCGATCGACCACCAGCACTTGCACTCGCCACTTGGCAAGTCGTCAGTATCGCATCCAGATTACGCCGCACCTCTTGCCGCTCCTCCCTATCCAACTGAGTCACCCTTGCCGCCACGCCATTTGCATCCTCGCTATAGTCATCCTCGTCACTGTTGTCCTGGTCCAAATGTGCTGCATCCATATCCACATCTTCATGTATTACAGCATGCTTGCCCAAATCGTAACATCCTCCTCCTCCTGCTGCTTTGCCCCTGCGAAAGCTGCTTTTCCTAGCTCTGGCCGGAGCCGAGCGGCTGTGTGTCAGTTCTGCAGGAGCCTTGCCCTTGTCAGCTGCCCTCCCTGCACCATCTCTCGTATTGGCTTGCTTTTTCCAACGTGTCGCTGCCGTTGCAGCGGCGGCTCCACCCGACACACTCACCACATGAGCCGCCTCAGAAGCCACTTTCTCCTCCTCTGCCTTTTCATCCTCCTCCTGCTCCTCCCTCTGCAAGGACAACGCCTTAGACAGAGATGACTGCTTCCTGTTATGGGCTCTCCCAGTGCTACCACTGGAGCCCCCACCACCACCACTGCTCGGCCCATCAATGCCAGCACCAGTTGCTTTTCCAGGCCTCCCTGCTGCCTTGCCGCTGCCAGCACTCAGCTCAGACACGTTTCCAGGGGATTGAGCAAGGCGGAGCGGGGACGGGAGCGAAGGGGAAGGAGAGAGAGCAGGAGTGGAACCAGCAGATGGGGGGCGAGAGGAGGATACTGACCCATCAGCTGCAGCGCCGGCAGCAACTGGCTCACGGGACGCGTGGCGGGGGGTCGATGGAGACGAGGAGGACTGGAGTGTGGCGCGAATGCGGGCTAAGTGCCGGTTGAGCTTAACTAAAAGCGCCATGTGGAGCTCGCGGGTTGTGGTCTTGATGACCTTGCGTGCGGGCACGCGCAGAGGGAGCTTCTTGCGTGCGATCACCACGTCTGCCTCGTACAGAATTATGCTCTCCAGCCGCCCCTCCATCCCCATCACGGAGGTTATGTCTGCAGCCAGAGTGGACAAGGGGGGGGGAGGCGAAGAAAAAAAGGAGAGGTGAGGAGAAATTTGATGATGGATGGTTTTATTGCAGGTCAGGAAAGAAATTGAAGGGAAAAGAAACAAAACAAGCAAACACGAACAAAACTCAAGCATCGTGTGAGAAAAACTCACCCTTGAACCTACCCCTGGGGGAGATCTGCCAGAAGACGTTGCGCTGGCAGTCGTAGAAGAGCAAGTGACAACGGAGAAGAGCACTGCCTTGAGCATTCTAAGGCCCCTCAACGCTATGAAAACAATCACTAGCATAGCATCTGGTAAACCTACCTTTGAGGGGAATCTGCCAGTAGAAGACGTTGCGCTGGCAGTCATAGAAGATGAGGCGCACAACAGTGAAGAGCAGGGCCTTGCGCCCCGACGTCTGCAGATGGTCCAAGAGGTGCTCGTCACGGTACCGGCCAAAGTCCAGGATGGCCAACACAAGCTTCAGCTCCACACTGTCCTCTGGCTCCAACTGCAGGGGGAAGAGTTGGAGGGATGTAGTGAGTTCGGGGGAGTGGAAAGGGGTCAACAGGTGCTAACTGCGGTACCGCCCAAAGTCCAGGTTGGCCAGCACCAGCTTCAGCTCCACACTGTCCTCTGGCTCCAACTGAAGGGGGGGGGTGGAGGGGTAGCAGGGGGTTTGGGGGAGTGGAAAGGAGTCAGGAGGTGCTCGCTGCTCCTCTGCGATACAGGAGGGTGGAAGGTGGTGCAAGTGATGCTTGCTGCAATTGTGCCTAGAGTCAAGGCTGGCCAATACTAGCTTTTGTTCCCAAGGGTTTTTAGGTCAAGCTATGAGAAAGTTGGAAGAAAGGGGGGAGTGGAGGGGAGCAGATCACCAAAGAGGATGGACAAACAGGAGAGAAGGAATGCCAACCAACATCCTCACTGACCTGACCGCAGCGCAGCCGCAACTCACCGCGATGGCATCATTCCGCCCAAACGTGCTCGGCAGCCGAATCCGCGGGACAGTCCGCCGTGACACGTCCCCCCCAATCGCCCGGATCCCGTGCCGGCGCTCTCAGTCAGCGTCGACGCAAACCCCAGCAGCCCCGACAGCGGCTTGGTAACCAGCCCAACCACCCCTTTGCCCACGCCCTTGACCGCGCCCACGGCCCCCTCCCTGCGTGCGCCCTCCAGAGGCTGCAGCACCAGCCCTGTGACCGCACCCACAAAGCCCAGCCCCAGGTCCTGCGCCCCTCGCAGCACCTGCTGCGATGTTCCCTCCGGTCGCTGGCTGAACCTGAAGGGGGTGTTTGGGGGACGGGTTGGCGGTGGGCGAGAGGGGAAGGGGATTGGGTGGAGGGCTTGGGGTTGGTAGAAGAGAAATGATACACGGACCGGGAAGGATAATTGTGGAGTGCTGGAGGAGAGAAGAGGTTTCAAATGCGTGGTAATGGTGCACGCCCATGCACCAATATCTCTGAAAGAAATCACATCCGCCAATTTTTTTCCAATAGCCCACCCTTGTTTGAATGAAGGCGTCTTAGAAGTTATTTTTTAAGGCGACTGAAAAAAATTACCTCTGGATGTAGGAGTCGTCGAAGGTGAGCTTGGCGAAGCCAGTGCCGATGCCGCCAGCAAGGGAGCTGATGGAGTGCAGCACACCGTACGACGAGTGCTTCATCAGACTCACCGTGCCCTTCACCGCCCCGCTCAGGAACTCCTCCGGCCTGCCAGGAGGGGCGGAGGGGGATCGTGCAGATGGGGAGAGGGAGAGGTGTTACGGAGGGTAAGACAGGGAGAGGAGGACAGGGGGAGCAGGATAAGATCAGGGGCAAAGGGAGAAGGTTTTGAAACTTCATGACTTGACGACGCTCGCTGGGCCTATCACCACCCTGTTGGTGAAGCCCTCAAGGAGTGAGAGCGGCTGCGAGGAGAGGAGCGCAGAGGGTCTCTGTTCAGAAAGGCATGGGAGAACCATTACCAGAGGGAAACATGTGACGAGAATGGGAGCGAGAAGAGACAAGATTTGAAAGGTTCAAGGGGGGGGGGGGGGGGGGAAGGCAGTCACTCACGTGGTGGCAGAGGCGGGCTCAACAAAAAAGTCCATAACTCCTGTAGCGAGATTGTCCACCAGAGATAGCTGGGGAAGGTCGCATTTGGGGCACAGGGGTGGTGTATGGAGGGACAGAAGTTTCGAAAACATAGTTCTGATGACGTTCGGATAAAGGAAGGCAGAGGGGATGGAGGAGTTGAAAAGCAGTGGAGAGACCTGATCGATGCTGACAATGTTGCTTGCGCGCTCAAGGCTGCGGGACGAGGAGCCTCGGTGTATCTCAGAGGCACAGCAGACAAGCCAATCGATGAGAAGGAGTCATTTGGGCCGGCAGGTGACGAAAAGCCAGTTGCATGGCTCGCCACGACGGCACGACGACCCAACGCCAAGCTAAAAAGGCGACATGAGTTGCAAGAGATTGCGAGACTGAAGAAAAAGCTTCATTTTCCTCGCGATCTCTCACGAATCTTGTCGCCTTTTCAGCCTGGCGTTGGGACGCCATGCCGCCATGGCGTGCTATGCAACTGGCTCCTCGTCTCCTGCATGCCGCAATGACTCATTCTCGTCGACAGGCTTGTCTGCAGTGCCTCCGAGGAACGCTGAGGCTCCTTGTCTCGCAGCCTCGAGCGCGCAAGCAACCTTGTCGGCCTCCATCAGGCCTCTCCACTCCACTCCATTGGGCATGAATGAAAAGCAGGGGGGGCATACCGGGGCGCCGAGCAGCTCGACAGAGCCGAGGATCTTGTGGAGGCCCTGCAGCAGCTGCACGCCGTAGTGGCGCAGCACGTACGTCTGCAGCGTGCTCTGATTCTGAAACGCGTTGTCCAGCACCAGACTGGCGCGCATGAAGGGAGAGGAAAGAGGGGGGAGGGGAGGGGCGGGTTTCAAGGAGGGAGGGAATTCAGAGAAGGCAGCATGTACGTAGGCAGTGTTGTCTGGTTTTGAAACACGTTGTCCAGTACCAGACTAGCAAACGTGCAGTGAGAAAGGTTAATGGGAGAGAAAGGGTAACACGAGAGAGGGGTTCACGGGAGAGGGGGATGAAGAGGCAGACAGAAGTGGATTTGAAGGGGGTGCAAGAGATGCGGAGACCAGCAGTAATGATGGAACAAGTAAGGAGGGCAGACAGGGGATTGAGAGAAAATTGGGAAACAGCAAAAGGCCACACATGAATACAGCAAAGGAGGGCAGGAGGAAGGACGGAGAGGAAGATAATGAGGTCAGGGAAGAACGTTTCTTGACGTGCTAAGACCATTCTCCCACCTGTTGAGTCCCAACAAAGCTCAGGAGAGCAAAATCAAGGGACGTCCAGCCGAGGCCGCCGTGGTCCAGCTGAAGTGCCACCTGGATGGAGCCGCTCTGCTCCCTGGGGAATGCAATGTGTGTTACACACCTGTTGAGCCTGAGCGGGGCTCGGGTGAGCGGAATGAGCGGGAAGCCAGCAGAGGAGGCGGTGGTGCGGAGGTGCCACTCGGAGCTGCTCCCAGAGGGCGGCGGCGCGTCGCTCTTGATGGGGTTCATGACAAGCGTGACGTTGATGCGCATCGGCTGCACCTGGAAGCGCTCAAAGTACCACCGCAGGCCCTGGTTGCCCGCCACCCAGCTGCTGCGGTTCACCAACGGCTCCAGCTGCTCCGACTTAACTAAGTGCCGGCGGGACGACGGGGAAATCATGGTTGCGTCGCGGGTCTGGAGAGAGGGGTGGAGGGAAGAGGAGCGGGCACGGAGAGGGAAGAGGAAGAGGGAAAGGGGAGCGGGAAATGTGCTTTCACTAAGGGAGCTTTGATGGGAAACAGGTGAAGGAAGAGAGGTTGAAGCAGGGTGTATGGACGCGAAACCCTACAACATTTAGGCAAAAACGTTCCAACATGAGTTCCAGACTGACCAGGTAAGTCCTGGCGATGGGAGCACCGGCCATGTCCTCCATCATATCCTCGTCGTCTTTCTTCTCCTCCTCCTCCTCCCCGCCCCGCTTATCCTTCTCCTGCCACAGGTCATCCATAGGCAACTGTTGCAGGTATGCCACCACCGTATCCACGAAATCCTCCTCCAACACCAGGTCGAACTCTTGAAGTTGGAAGAGGAAGCGGCGGTAGTAGACGATGGAGGGGTGCTGCAGCAGCCGCGTGAACTCCACTGATATGAATGCCTTCTCCTTCTCCTTGCTGGCTGAGGGGTCTGTGTTCAGCATGCCGGCCAGCGCTGCCTGGTTCGCCAGCTCCTTGCCCTGCTCCATGAACAGGGCCTCTGCTGGGAAGGCCTGGGAGCGAGAGAACTCGGGGCAATGCAAAGAGAAGAATTACTGTAGGGTTGAAGTGAAAGTCAGTATGCCGCGAGTGTGAGAGAGTCGACAGATTTCTTACAATCGCAACAGGGGGATGGGGGGAGGTGAAACTCAAGCATGGTGCAAGAAAGCACAGGGAAATCTGAGCTGAGGCTCTGACCTGGGTGCGCGAGAGCACAACGGGGTTGCGAGCCGTGAGCAGTTGATTGTCCACCTGCAGTTTTCCCACCTCCACCTTGCCTGCCACCTCCTTCACCTGCTCCCCATACATCGTGCGCCAGGCAGGGGGAGGGGGAGGGGGGGTGGGGGAAGAGGGGTGGGGATTGGGGAGGGAGTGTGGCAAGGGTTGATGGGTGGGTGTGAGCAGCTCGTTGTCCACCTGCAGTTTTCCCACCTCCACCTTGCCTGCCACCTCCTTCACCTGCTCCCCATACCATACATCGTGCGCCAGGCAGGGATGGGAGAAGGGAAGGGGGAGGGAGAGGGGAGAGGGGTGGGAGTTGGGGAGGGAGTGTGGCGAGGGGTGGTGGGTGGGTATGAGCAGCTGGTTGTCCAACTGCTGCTTGCTCGCCACCTCTCACATGCCTCGCCAGCCCCTCCCGTTTCCCCCTCTCTACACTCCGCTTTCCCCTTGTGCCTGTGCGGCTCACTGACTCCTCCCAGGAGCAGCAGATATCTTCCAGCACCACGAGCATGATCTCTCTAACGTACCCACCCTCAAACCCAAGCACCTCTCACATGTCTAGCCAACTCTCTCCCTCGCCCCCTCACCCCCCCCCCCTTCTCCCCCATTCCGCATGTGGCTCACCGACTCCTCCCAGGAGCAGCAGATCTCTTCCAGCAGCACCAGCATGATCTCTCGGGGCAGGCGGTCCACTATTGACACGGTCATCCCGTGCAGGTTCACCTGGGGGAGGTTGACAGGTGGGAGGAAGGGGGAAGAGGCCGAGCAGGGGGGAGGGGGAAGGGAGAAGGGAACGAGGGAGGACAACGAGCGGAAACAGGAAGATCGTGATTCGAACGGTGCGTCGCACAGGTTGGCAGAAGGGAAAAGGCGAGGAAAGATGAAGTAAGGGACAATGGGCATGGATGGATGGCCCATGGAGGTTCACCAGGAGGAGGCCGGTGAAGAGGAGATTGGAGGAGAATGAGATGCAAATATGGCGAGAGGGGGTTTCAAGGTGAGGAAAGAATTGGAATAATTGGTGACTGAGAGGGGAATGATTTGAGAACAGGGACGAAGAGAGGACGGCAACATGTGGGGGACCTAGTGGTGCGTTGTGGGAGGGAAGGGAAGAAACGGCAAAAAGAACGAGGGTGGATCTTCGAAGAGCGTGTCACTTGGATCTTCAAGTGAAAGCGTTCTGTCTTACCATAAAGTTGACTCCGGTCTTCTCCTCTGCCTTCTTCCCGTGATCCACCATCCAGTGCACTCGAAGACGAATGCTGCCGCCCACCGCCTCCTGCTCCTGCAGTTGAAGGAAAGAAAGAGTGGCATGCAGTCCGCATAAGGTGCAGGCATTAGTAAAGACGGCCAGAGATTGAGGAGGGAAAGAGAAGACACAAGAGTGAGTGAAGTTGAGGGCGGGAGGGGGATGAATGGGGAATGGATTGACAGGGGTCATGGGCGAAAGGAGAGGAGGATGGAGCAGAGCAGGCAGTTACGCACCCCTTCTCTTGCAGCACTTCGCTTGAGAGTCAGCAGCAAGTACTGTGGCAGCCCATCCTGGGAAACAGCAGGCGGAGAACAGCAGCCAAACACACAAGGCGAGATTAGCCGCTGCCCAAAATGAGCACCAAAACACCACATGGTACAACACGCGGCACAAGAAATGGCCATGGCTTGAACCTGAGTGTAGCTGGCTGCCGGGGGCATCTTGAAGGTGGCTGCTAAACGCACCTTGAAGGTGGCTGCTAAACGCACCTTGAAGGTGGCTGCTAAACGCACCTTGAAGGTGGCAACGTCCACTGTAGCTTCGCCCAGGAGGTTGGGGCTGCCCAGCTTTGGCTTGTCAAACACCTGCAGGGGATGCACGGGGCATGGGCAGGAGGGTGGGACGAAAGTTGGTGATATACGTGAGAGGACTTTTGAGACGTCTCAAAAGTCGCCCAGGAGGTTGGGGCTGCCCAGCTTTGGCTTGTCAAACACCTGCACTGCAGGGGATGCACAAACAAGGGTGATTCGCGCGAGGACACCACAGAGAGCGGCGCAAGCAATGGCATGCATTCGGTGCTCAAACATTCTCTGACCCTGCCTGTACCTGCACTGCACCGGTAACACGACCCGGCCAATACCCTGCACCAGAATCAATCATGCAATGACTCCTCCGACCATACCTGCCATACCGATCAATCATGCAATGACTCCAAGTTCCAACCATACCTGCACGCGCAGCGAGGAGGTGAGAGCAGCATCGTTGATGGTGAAGGTTTCGTTCCACTTGGGGAAGAAGCTACCCTTGATGACGCGCGTCTTCACAGGGAGCGTGCTGGTGCCCGAGGGGGACACCACGGAGAGCGCAGCAAAGGCATGCATGCGGTGCACCGAGCGCAGCCACTCCGCCGGCACTGCCAGGTGCCTCGCCTCCACCACCTTCACCTGGTGAGAGAGTAGAGAGCGGTGAGTAGAGAGCGGTGAGTAGAGAGCGGTGAGTAGAGAGAGGTGAGTAGAGAGAGGTGAGTAGAGAGAGGTGAGTAGAGAGAGGTGAGTAGAGCGGTGAGTAGAGGGGGAGTGCAGGCAGAGGTGAGAGATGGCGTTGGAGTGAAGCCACCCTTCTGGCACTCTCCCCCGGCCGGAAAAGAGAAAAGAGAGGTGGGTCTGGCATGTACTGTTTGTATTGTAACAGAAACAATCAGAGTCGTATGCTTCTGTTCCCTCATCTCCTCTCCTCTCGCAACCCTATACCCCCCTCTCACCTGTCGCATGCTGCTGCACCGCAGCAGGCGACACGGATGAGGCGGCCGCACCCATCCCACCAGGGCCCCGCAGGGTGAACATGCGGCGCAGCATGGCCTCTTCACCCCCTCCACCCCCTCACCTTGAGCTGGCCCTTAGCGGCATGCTGCTGCACCGCAGCAGGCGGCACGGACGAGGCAGCCGCACCCATCCCCCCAGGGCCCTTGAGAGTGAACATGCGGCGCAGCATGGGCCCCCTGTGGGCGTGCGCAGGGCTGAGGAGGGCGTGCGGGGAAGCAGCGCGAGCGGGTTGGCGAGGGCCTCTGCTGCCATGACTGCTTCGCGCGGCCTCGCCTCCCTCTCCTGCGCCAGCCGCTCCTCCAACGCATCCAGCTCGGCTTCTTTCGCGCGCAGCTGCACAGGCCAATGGGCACAGGCGAATGCAAGGGGCAGAAGGAGAGGCAGGGAATGAATGATGGACGGAGGCGTGCACTCCGCTGCAGGGGCAGACGGATGCAGAGGCAACGGTGTGAGTTCGGGTGGTGTGGCACTGCATCATGGCTAGTAAAACAACACATGCATACATGCATGGATGCACGCGCAGCTGACCCACCTGCAGAGCCATGAGTTCGAGCTCTGTGGCGTCCCACGACGTGGACAGGAACACCCTGCCTGTCACCGTCTCGTGCGCCGTGCGCCGACTCAGCTTGTGCCACCCGGGCTCGCGGTTCAGCGCCCTGCCGTCCACCAGCGGCAGCACCACCTGGGGGGAAGGGCAACAGGGCAACAGGGAACATGTCGTTGAGTAAGATTCATTCCAAAGCGCAGCCACGAGCGAGCAAGTAGGGCACCGTAAACAGCGCCACGGATGTTGTGAGCAAAAAAGGGGCGAGCAAGGGAAGCAGCTCCACACCGCAGGGCTCACATGGCCAAGAAACTTATGTGAGACAATGGTTTCCTCGAGACACAGCCATGCTGGACGCAGTAGACACGCCCTTGAACACCAGCAGCTCATCCCACTGCGAGCACACCGTGCCCTTGCACACCGACGGCCGGGACTCACCTGGCCAAGGAACTTGTGTGAGCCAATGGTTTCGCTGCTGAAGATAGAGACAGCCATGCTGGACGTGGTAGAAACGCCTTTGAACACCAGCAACTCGTCCCACTGCGGGCACACCGTCCCCTTGCACACCGACGAACGCAGCCGCCGCCCCTCCACCTGCGCCACCGCGTACGGATGCGTCTTCTCCGGCCGGAGCCCCAGATCCATGGCTTTAATCACATGAACCGTCACGTCGCCTCCCACGATCGCCCCTGCATCATACTCCTCGTCGCCTAGATGGATCCGCTCCTGCCGCAGTTCACTGATGTCCTCCTCCTCCTCCGCCCCTATCCCCGCCTCCTGCATTCGTCTCCGCCAGTCTGCAAGGCTCACTTGCACGTCCTGCTCTGCGTGTTCTTTAATATCCCCCAGCCTACCTCCCATAACGTTCAGCGCTACAGCCGTCCCAGCCACCAGGGCCTTTCCCTCTGCTACAGCCGCCTCAGACCCGGCAACAAGCGCACTCCCAACCGCTCCCTTGACCACGGACCCAGCCTTCACCACCACATCCTGGCCTCGCCTTGCTACTGCTGCCATCTGCCCTGCCGCGACGCTCGCGCTCATGACCAATCCAGATGGCCTATTTTTCCCGATAAATTCCCTCTCCGCAACAGCTGCCGCCCCTGCCATGTTCTGGAGCTCATCAAACGTCGGCACGGGCATCAACTCACTACCTTCCCCTTCCCCGACACTCTCTCCTCCCTCGCTTCTAGACGACGGCAACCTGAAGCTGTCATGGGGCCAGTGTGCCCGCAGCTCTGCAGTTGTTGCGGATTTGACCATGTCAGCAACATGGGAAGCCTTCACCAGCTTATCCGCCTGTCTCCCGAAGAACGACTCCATAGAGCGCACGGTCCTCATCGCCCCCACTTGCGCTTTGAACCCTTCATCCGCCCGCCACTCCCCCGCCCTCTCCTCTGCTTCCTCAAACGCCTCCTTCGCCTCGTGAAACTTCTCCTGAACTTTCTCTGAGGTGCCGTCCAGGAAAGCAGATGCAGCGGAGTGCAAAGCTGATGCCGCTCCTGTCACTCTCTTCCCTGTGTTGACCACAGCAGCAGTGGTGCCAACACTAACCTTGTCCACGACACCTTTCCAAGTCACACGGCCCCGGGTAGGCCTTGCACCGAGTTCAGGAGGCGGCTGGGAGTGGTTCAAAGATGGGTGGACAGCATCGGTGCCTGGGGTTTCAGATGCTCTTGCTGCTTCGCCTGCTGCTCCTCCTGTTGCTGCGTCTTCCACTGCTGGAGCGACTTCAGTTGAGTGCGACCTGTGGTGTTCCGACTTGGCTGACTCAGAAGGCTGGACATTCACTGGCAACTGCAGCTCACTGCTGCTGTGATCGGCGGTACCAGAGCCAGCAGAGGCTGCAGCAACAGCAGCAGCAGCAGCAGCAACAGGAGCACTTGCAGAGGGAGACACGGAAGCAGTTGAATCTGCATCAACAATTGCAGTTGTGGCCGCATCAACAGAGGCACCTGCAGCAGCAGCAGCCGCAGTGCCAGTATTAGCAGCAGTGCCAGCAGCAATGCCAGCAGTACCAGCAGCAGCAGTGGCGGCAGCAGCAGCAGCGACAGTCGAAGCTTCGGCAACATTTGCAGAGAGTTTATCGCTGTTCTTGCCACCACTGCTTGATTCGCCAAGGCTGCGGCTGGAGGGTGAGAGGGAGGCAGCAGCAGCAGTACGAATGTTGGCGTCTGCTGCTGGCGCGCTGAGGGGAGTGGTTTGGTTACGATTGCGATTGAGTGGGGGGAAGGAGGAGAGAGAATCCAGATGAATAGCTGGCTCTGATGCTATGGCGGTTTCTAGCAACACAGGATCACCAGGAGCAGCAGCGGCGGCAGCAGCAGTATTTGCAGAGAATTTATCGCTGGACTTGCCACCACTGCTTGACTCGCCAAGGCTGTGGCTGGAGGGTAAGAGGGACGCAGCAGCAGCAGCACTACGAGCGTTGGGGTCCGCTGTTGGCACAGCAGGTAGAGTGGCTTGGATACGGTTGCGGTTGAGGGGTGGAAAGGAAGAGAGGGAATCCAGGTGGATAGTTGGCTCAGTTTTTGCAGCTGCTGTTTCTAGCATCATAGGTTCACTTGAAGCAGCAGTAGCAGATGCAGGAAGAAGAGGGGTATCTGCAAGGGAGGTATCAGGCCCACCAGAACTGCCCATGGCGGCAGAACCGGCCGTGACACCAGCAACCACCTCGGAGAATTTGGGTCTGTTGGGCTTGGCAGCAGAAGGTTTTATGATTCGTGCAGCAGCTGCTTTGAATGACGCTTTGAAGCTGCTGCTGGACTTGAGCTTGCTTCCTGTGGAGCTGCTGCTACCTGTGGCAGCACCAGCAGTTGATCCCGAGGCCGCATTGGCAGCTGCAACTATTGCTACAGAGGGTGCAGTGGCAGCTGCACCTGCCCCTACAGAGGGTGCAGTGGCAGCTGCACCTGTTGCTACGGGGGGTGCAGTGGCAGCTGCACCAGAAGCAGCTACAACGGGTTCAGTGACAGCAGCGTCAGTTCCAAGCGCACGCTCAGTGGCAGCAGTTGCTGTGGCTGGGACAGAGGCAGAGGCAGTGGTACTACTGCCATCACTAGAATTGACCTGGGCAGCACTAGCATTGGCAGCAGTTGAGGCTGGCACAGTTTGTGCATTTAACGCTCCACGTGTGTTAGCATCAGTGTGCTGACTGGGATGGGCATCAGCATGAGCGTCAGTGATATCAGCATCCGTCTCAGCACCACCACCAGCGAATCCCCGTGCACGCCCTTTGCCGGGATCGGTGGCAGCACAAGAACCAGATGAGCTAGCATCCGCCTCACCACTCTCTGCGACAGCTGCAGAAGCAGCAACTGTAGCAGAAGCAGTGCCTGCAGCGGCTGCACTACCAGCAGCAGCCGCAGAACTGGATGCAGAATCAGCAGCAGGATGGAAATATACCTCAGGATCAACACGTGCTACTTCAGACCTTCGCTCTCCTTCACTAGCACCAGCTGTACGTCTGGCCCTGCCTCGCTTCAACCCGAGGACAAAGCGAGCAGCAGCTAGCGAAGAACCAAGGAGCGATGCAGACACAGGCGCATCCACCCGCTCACTTCCTCCTCCTCCCTCTCCCTCACCCCCTTCCGTCCCTCCTTTCCTGCTCTCTGCTCCCTCCCCTTGGCCCTGTTCCATTGCTGCGTCTGCCCCCTGCCCTTCCTCCCTCTGCAATCCACCAGTCTCTCCTCCTTCCCAATCATCTACCACACGTACGCTCTCCTTCTCTGGTCCACTTGCCCCGTCGTCACTGATTCTCCCACCATCACTACCAGTCACCCCAGCACCAATACCTGCACCCTGCTCTCTGCCTGCATCCCTGCTGCTTCCCTGCTCCCCTCCTTCCTCCTCTCCCTCACTTTCCTCCTCTGATCCTTCCCTCACACATGAAAGGATCCGTGCTTTCTCAGAAAGCTCATCCGTCTCAAGTCCTTCGTGATTCAACTCGCCATCGGCCTCTTGAACAAGCCTCTCTGACCTCCTGTGCTCTCCTCCGTCATACTCACCTTTCTCTCCTCCTGTACTATCGTTCTCCTCTTGTTTCGGCTCCAGCAGCTGTGCTTTTCTCTTCCCCTTGCCCTGACTCATGAACCCCAAACGCCGCTTCACTCTCTCCCACGGCCTCCCACCAGCTTTGGTCGAGGGAGCATCACCATCATCAGACACAATAGCAGCATTCGCAGATGAGCCAGGAGCAGCAGTAGCGGATGCGCCAGGACTGGCAGTAGCAGCTGCGCCAGGAGCACAGGTGTCGGACTCAGCCAGCTCTCCAGCTGAAGCTGCTGAAGCTGAGACACCCTGTATTTTTCCAGCTGCAGTTGACTCGTCTAAAGATGCTGCTGCATCTGCTGCTGCTGTATCTGCCTCCTTGACCACCTCCCCCTGACGCGCCCCTTCCTTAACTGCCACAGCTTCTGCCCCATCTGATTTCTCCTTCGACAATGCCTGTGCTGCCGATTTCGGCATCCCTTTCACATCTGCTGCTGCGGATTCAACATGCTTGGCCATTTCGACAATATTCCCTTGCGATACCTCAGCATCCAATACTTTGACTGCTTCAACGTACAGACCATTCCCTTTCAAAGTCTTCTCTGCCACCCCCCCCACCCCTTCCACCACCTCCATCCCTTCCTTCACAGCCCGCATTCCTGCCTGCACGCCATACGCAGTCACCTCGACCAGTCTCATCGGGTACTCAGGCACGGCGGCCGCGCTTCCAGGGAGGTACAGGTAGTCAAGTGCTTCTTGCCCTCTCAGCCTTTCTGCCTTGCCTGCATACTCCCCAGCGTCGGCAATTCTTAATGCCCCTGGCTTTGCCACTTCGGAGCGTGAAGGGCCAGATCCTCTGGGCGCTTCTTGAGAGTGTGAGCTGCAGCCTGCATGGGTCGCCTCACTGCCCCCTTCCCCTTTAACACCCTTTTCCACCACCTCCGAAGCTTCTGAATCATCCTTCGCTACACCTTTTCCTTTCTCTGCCTTTCCCTCTCCTTTCAGCTTTACAGATGGCCCACCCTTCCCTGCTTGCTGCTCTGCTGTCTCTTGACTCCTGCTCCTACGGTGCCCTGCCTTGCCTGGCTGCGACTTCACCCGCTCAGCATAGGCATCCGAGTAGTCACTGAGGGCCCTGTCGTTGGCATAGCCTGAAGCCCGAGCCTCTTTGGCAGTGGCAGCAGCTGCAGAGGAGGGGAAAGCCGAGCTTCTCAAGAGGGGGGGGCTTCTAGGCGGTGTGGTAACTGGGATAGGATCACCAGCGGCTTTACTAGCAGGAGAAGGCTCAGAACTACTGCCAGTAAACACGGGGAAGGTCTCTGGAGGAGTGCGAGGGGAGGAGCCCTCTGAATCTGCTCTGGAAAAGAACCGCTCCTTCACACTGCCAGCGCCAGTGGCAGTTACGACGGACGCCGAGGGGTTCCTGCTTGTAGAGGCGACTGGAGTGTCGCTGCTGCTGCGACGGAGTTGCCTGGCACTGCGAGCAGAGGAGCTGCTGCTAGTAGAGCGCACGGAGGGGGGGTGGTTGGGCGTGAAGCTGGCCATTGCTGCACTGTACTCAGGAGTCTTGATGTACGATGGCTGCACCATGACAAGACAAGCACAGGAAACCAGGGTGAAACGGGTTGTGACATTGCGTGTGAGACAACATCCAAACAATTGGACAGTTATAAAGTCTGACCTCACTTGCATTTTCTGAACCGAGAGACTGAACCATCAGACAGCCTACTTACGAGCCTCTGCTGCAGATGGCTCACCTCTGCTGCAGCTTGCTCTCTCACCTGTGCCTCCAAAGCATCCAGTGGGGCGTCCCCTGCAAGAGCTCGAGCGCGATGCAGCACCTTGCGAGCGAAGTCGATCCGCTCACTCGTCACCTGCAGCTTCTCCTGCAGTGTGGTGCGCTCGTCCTCCTCTGATACCCTGTACACAGCACGGGCGGATACACAAGAGTGGGGTGGGCGTCGGATGACTAAGAATGAATCTGAGGGGCTTCGAATCAAAGCCCGCCGTCGACTCTAAGTCGTTAACACCATGCATTTAACCCGGGCGGATATACATAAACGAGCGTACAAACGTCTCAGGAGAACACAGAAGGCATGACTTTGATACAGGGTATCATCATCAAGGTGTGTTGGGTGTCTGAATGAAGGGGCTCACTTGGAGGTGTGTTTGGTGTCGGAAAATGAGAGCACTCTGGTGGCTCCGTCTGCATACACGTTCACATACAGCGCTGCCACCGCTCGAGCCTGCGTTCCCACCATCACAAACATCCTGCCGGACAAGTTTGGCCAAAAGATATGCGCAGGGCGATGAAAAGGAAGGGTGAGTAGGGGGGGTTGAGAAAGGGGGAGAGGAAAGGAGTCGTGTGTCCCCTCCCCCAGTTCCTCACCCTCCCTCCGCAGCAGCTTGTGTCACTTCACCAGCAGGCATACCTGTCTCTCAGCGACGCATTGCCAGTGAAATCGTCTTCCAAGAGGATGACGGCGGGCAGCTTCCCCACCACCTCACCATTCTCCCCCCACCCGGCCCCCAGTTCCTTGTTGTTCCTTCCCAGACCTCCTGCCATACCTGTCTCTCAGCGACGCATTGCCAGTGAAGTCGTCTTCGGAGAGGATGATGGTGGGCAGCTCGCGAATGCCGTCCAGGTCGTACTCGCGCGTCACACCGAACCCCTCAATCTCCACCTGCAGCAGCTGGGCCATGCGTGGCTGGCCACAGCAAAAGGGGGAAGTGAGGGGAGAGGTGAGGGGGTTACAGTGGGGTGTAAGACATACGAACGACTCGTTTGAATTCAAATGAACAGCAAAGGAGGCTGCTGGGTGGATTGCTGTCCGGATGAGAGGGTTTGACTCTTCCCATATCCAGCAGACAGCAACTGCCTGATAATGGACGGGCGTGGTGTGGTGTGTGGGCTGCAATCACAGTGGGAGAGTGTCACTTCATCTCAGAGACGTGACAGAGGTTCAGAGAGATTTGAGGCACTTTCGAGGTGCAGATGGTCCTTCCTGGTACGCGAGGAGGGCGTACCTGGTCCCACCTGGCTGGCACACACCTGGTCCCAAGCATAGTTGGTGGAGCGATTGGGAGGCAGCCTTTGCCGTGTGGGGGTGGTGAGCTGCCCGTACTTGATGGTCATGAAGGCCGAGCGGTTCTCAATGCTGCCATGCCACGTGAATGGGAAAGAGAAGCGATGACATGAGTCGTGTGAAGATACGGTGACATGGGAGCTATTATGCAGGAAGAAAGCGCCATTCTGCAGGCACCGAGTGAGCAACCAAGGGATCCGGATCCAAAGACCCACTAGGGAAGGGTTAACCGACATGCGCAATGCAATGTAATGCAATGCAATGCAATGCAATGCAATGCAAGGAAGCATGTGTGCGATGCGAAACAAGGCCGGCACGGCACGTACCGATAGGGCGGAGGCTTGTGCTTGGAGCCGCAGATGCCAAACGTGACGAGAGCAGAGGCGCCATTGAGCGAGACGTCGATGGAGAGAATGGCGTACTTTCCCCTCTTGCGCCTGTGCTTGATGCGCACTGCGGATTCACCCGGCTTGTCGATATCAAACGCACCCGACCAGTCCCAATCCACGTCCATCTCCCCTCCTTTGCTCCGCCGCCCCTTCCCTGCAGTCTTCTTCTGGGATGTTCGCCCGCCTTCGCTGCCCGTTTCATTCTCCGTGTGACTGGCGCTCTTTCCTAATGACTTGCTGCTCCCGGCCAGGCGTCTACTGCTTCCTTCTCCCTTCCCCGAGCTTCCATCCCCCTTTCTACTGCTATCATTCTCCACCTGCTTACTTCTGCTGCCACTGCCGCCGCTGTGGGGCTGCTGCTGCTGCTTCTGCCTGTCGCTGCCAGTGTCCTGCAACCTGACACTTGCCCCGGTCCCCTCCTGGGCCTTTGGTAACCCCATCTTCTTATCACGGTAGCTGTCCCCACCGTCATCACACCCTTCAGACCCAATGCTGCTCGCCCCTGTCTGCACCTGCTCTCTACCCTCCATCGACTCGCACGACACAAGCGAATCCTCTGAGTCCCTCGGCAACCTCTGCATCCCTCGCACCTCATCCCCTGCGTGCCTCTCCTCCACTCCCTCCCCTCTCTCGCCCTCCTCTTCCCCCTCACTATGCTCTCCATCAGAACTCAAGCTGACCTCATCCTCCTCCTCCTCCCCCCCCTCCTCCTCCGCCCCCGCCTCTGTGCCATCATCCATGTCATCCTCTTCCTGCTCGCTGCTCAGCAACCGAGCCACCAGGTACGTCCCGAGCTTCTCGTCATCCCAGTGGAACGGCTGCCGCATCTTGTCCGCCAGAACCTGCCAGACGAAAGGCCACGGACGCGGACATTGAGAATAGTCAAGTCAAAAGCAGCAGGGGAGCACAGTGCCATGCGTGGGGTTCCGAGCCCAAACAGGGAGAAATAAGTGCCATGCTGATGCTGGCGCATACAGCAGAGGGTATATCGGTGAAAGGGCAAAGAAGAAAAAGGTATGTACCCGGGCAGTGGTGGTGCCGATCTGTGCGATCTGCATGGCCTGGCCCGTCTGATTCGAAACCATGAAGCGAGGAGAGATGATGACGAGCTTGGTGCCCTCGCACAGTGATGGCGCCAGCCGCACCTCCACCCCAAACTCAAAGCGCCGCAGGGCCTGGGGGATGGTGGGCGAGAAGGGGAGGATGTGCATCTGGGGTAAGGGCTCGTTTGGGGTGAGTGCTGGTCTGGTCTGGTGCAAGGGTGGAGAGAAGGGAGGAGAGAAGATGCAGCACAGAAACAGGGAGGGCGGTTAAAGTTGTCGTGAATGCGTGCATTCATATGTTTTTTTGTTTGTCGGGTGGGCGGACTTTGTGGTGAATGGTAGGCGTGAAGAGGGAGGGAGATGGGTAAAGAGACTTGGCCCGCGCGCGTGCCCCTTGGTCCGCGCGCGCGCCTTGGTCCATGCAGAGAAGGGGCATGGAGGTGATAATCGCCGGAGCATTCAGAGATGCCTGAGAAGGCAGAGACACTGAGTGGGAATGGTGACAAGGCAGAGGTGGTGTGGCGCGTGCAGTTGTGGTGAATGGGAGGGTTTGAAGAGGGAGAGAGATGGGCGAAGGGGAGAAGGGGACACAGAGGGAGAATGGAGGTGTTCAGGCATCTGCTAAAGCAGTCGAAAGGGCCCGAAGCAGTAGAGAAACTGACTGGGAAAGGTGACATGGCGGTGGTGCGGCGGGAGGGAGTGCCAGCAGGAGCTTCCAGCTGAACCACGTTCTCCCACTCCTCGGTCGTCTGCTGCCGCATCAAAGCATGATCTGACGTATGATGGTGGTGCTGTGACGCTGTGGACGCCGGGCCAGCAACCGCAACCGACCCCTTAATCCCAACAGAATCTATCGAGATCGACTTCGACCAATGGAAGCCATCCAAGCTGATCGCAGTGATCGCCCCGCGGCGCACGTTCAGCAGGGCTGGCTGGCCCTCCTGGTACCGTGGGCAGTCGAGAGGGTTCTGGGAGGATCCAGTGGAGAGCTTGAGGCGGAACTTGGTGAGGTTGATGACCCAGTAGTGAGCGAGTAAAGAAATGCTGCGATTGCGCGACTGCCAGTTGTGGCGGTTGTCGATGGAGAGAGTGATGGGCGAGGCTGATGGGGCGTGCTGTGGGAAGAGTCGGCACTTGACAGCCAGGCGGAGAGTGCGCACGTCGTAGGCAAAAGCACGGCTGCCAAACTGCTTCTGGAGCAACGGGCTGAGGGGGTATGGAGAAGAGGTGCGAGGGGGAGTGAGGGTATGGGGATGGGAAGAATTAGTGATCATGGTGGTGAAGTCACGAGGAGCGAGCAAGTGAGGAGACAGACAGCATGATAAGAGAAGAAAAGACGGACGTGTGAAGGCATTCACGTCAGGGGGGGTTGCTGCGATGCCTGTCAAATGCAAATGGGAGGGCTTGAGGGCTAAGAGGACAGCTCACTTGGGAGGGAAGTGAATGGGGTACCGGCGGCGCGTCCTGTACTCCCCTCCTGGCACAAAGAGCTGCAGCAGAGTGAAGGAGACAATGGAAACATGATGAAGGGCAGCAGAATTTACGAGGAAGCAGAAAGAGCCACAGCTTGCACTCTTTGCAAGCAGTCGGAGCTCAACAAGACAGTACAGCCTCTCTAATCTATGAGCGTCTGCTAGTCACAGACTCAGTGGGAGCTACAGTTAATGTTTTTTGAGAATTCTCAAAAAACGTCTGCTAGTCACAGACTCAGTGGGAGCTACAACAGTGCCATGTGGCTCACCGCAATGTGCATCTGCAGCGTGTGGTCTAGGCTGACGTGGTATAGGTCTCGGGACTCGCCTGTCGGGAATGCAGGGGATGCAAGAGAAGAGAAACAAGCAAGGAGAATGTATGGCCGCTGACGAGTCAGAAGCAAAGCAAGGAGGGATTGCAGCAGCAGTATCAGCAATAGCAGCCGGGTAGAAGTATTGCAGCGTAGCAGCAGCAGCAGCAGCGGTAGTGGCAAAATTGAGGATACTGACCAGAAGGAACGTAGACAATGTGACGCGTGCCCCACTCCACATCCCACACATACGCCTCCAAGTCATACGGCAGGCCGTTTTGGATCGCCACAGGGGGCACAAAGGACAGAGTGAACTCCTCGTACAACCCGTTGCTCGCACTGTGCGCGAGAGGATCCGAGTTCACCTGCAGACAGCAGTAAAACGGCCTCCTCACATCACTCGCACTGTCAAACTCCTCCAAGGAACCCACGCCACTGCTCCTCTCAAACTCATCCTCTCCTTCGTTTGCCATGCTCCCCCTCTTCACACTCCCGAGTTCACTCAGTCTCAGACTCCCCCCGCCATCACTGTGCCTCCGTGTCATGCTGCCGAAACGGGTCAGCAGCCTGTTGCTGCTGGTGCCGCCGCTGCTGCCCACGAGCGGGGAGCAGCCGCCCTGGTTGAGGATGGGGAACTCGAGGAGGCCCTGCTGCTCCAGCAGGTGCTCTGGGTCCAGTGCCACCACGTCCTTCTCTGCCCGCGCAAAGCCCTGCCATGAAGGGTATAAGTGGAGATGGGGCGAGGGGAGGGGGGGAGACGGGGGGAAGGGGGGAAGAAGGTGTGGTGTGGGTGTCGGTTGGGGAAATGACAAGACGGAAGTAAAAAAGAGGTGTGTTTGCTATCGCCTTTCTGGCAGGTGCTCTAGGTCCAGTGCTACCACGTCCTTCTCTGCTCGCGCAAAGCCCTGCCACGCGGTGTGTCAGGGGTGGTGGGGCGAGGGAGAAAGAAGGGAGGAGTGGGAAGAGGGTGGAGGGGTTGGTTGGGTGAATGATAAAGCGGAAGTGAAGTATGCTGTGTTGGGCGTCAGATTGATCCGAGGTGGGTTGCGACTGTACCTGGATCATGCCGTCACACACCTGTGCTTGAGCCATCCTAACACGCACCCATGCCATCACACACCTGTGCTTGAGCCATCCTAGCATGCACCCATGTCATGACGCACCTGAGCCTGAGCCATGAGTTGCCCTCCCAGAGCTGCAAAGATGGGCATGAAGATCTCATGCTGAGGATGTATGGGGCCTGCACAGGGTAGGCACGCCGGAATGGAGGAGCGTCCACACCACACACCGCACATATGGACGAACCAGTAAGTTACCCAAGAGGAGAAACAGACAGCCCGACAGCTAAAAGGAGGAGCACATTGTTAAAGGACACGATTTGATCAAAGCGAGGAGAGAAACAGGAAGCACAGCCAAGCCTATAGGAATACAGCAGCACCAGCAGCATAGTGTGCCAAGAACGGCATTGCAAAAGCAGCGTTGCGGCAGCGCACAGCGACTCACCAAGGGAGAACTTTTTGACTTGCGAGGAGGACTTGGCTGTCTCGCCTCCAGTCTCCTTGGGGCTGGGCAGGAGGGCGAAGAAGACGAGTGGCACGTCGAGGTCGTTGCGGAGGTGCATGGTGGAGTGCACAGTGATGATCTTGGTGCGCGACTTGAGTGTCACGTCAAACACCACCGGCAGCACCACTGTGCTCCCCGGCAGCCGCAGGTCCATCACGTACTTGCCCACCTGCGTGGGGAGGGGCGGGCGGAGGTGGAATTTTGGTTTTAAGAGGCTAGTTTAAGAGCTCAGGTGTACCCCAGTCTCTTTGCTTTTTGAGGTGTGCAGGATTTAGTTAGGCTGAAAAGAAATTGGCAGAATCGGCCCATGGGAGCAGCTCACCTTGTCCATGACAATGTCGTTGATGGGCAGCCAGTCCCCCTTGAGCTTGACACAGATGGTGCGCGCAAGAATCTTGCGGGTGTCCCTGAGAGTGACCACCTTCTGCACTGGCTGCACCTCCAGCACCTGCTCCTCGCCCTCCTCCACTGAGTACGTCTTGGATTTCTCCTCGTCCTTCTCTGCACACCAGAAGCAAACGCAATCATCAACGTTCACTTGGCAACTGTGAGTCAGGGCCCGTCTGGTCTGAATTTAGTGCAGATCAGACAAGACGCTGCCACCCAGGCATGGTTTGCAGCTGACACAGCACGTACCGGTCCAGTAGTAGAGCGTGTGGCCTGAGAGGTTGACCATTCGGTAGCTAACCATTCCCACCGCCACCTCCTGTAGTGACGCCTCCAGTGTCTGCTCGTGGTGGCGGTTTCAGGTATGAGGGGATGAGGGGGTGAGGGGATGCAGGGTTGAGGGGTTGAGGTTGTGAGGGGTTGAGGGGATGATGAGATAACGGGATGAGGGAATGTTGATACATCAGTTAACGGTGTTACACTGGACACGGTGCAGTGCAGTGGAGTTGTGGGGAGGAGGTGGTGCTGGTTAAGGGAACTGAGCAATATGTGAAGGGAGATGAGATGGGGAACATGACGCTGGATTGGAAGAACACCACAGTTGGGCTAAGAATATTTGCATGGAGAAAAAGACAATCGAAACCAAAAATTGCATTAATTTGTCAATTTGGGTGGAGGGGTACGACAAGTCAAACATGGCAGCAGAAATGTCTAATATGCAGACAGGTGAAGGGAGTGTACCTCTGCAAGGGTTCCTGACTTGGGGAAGTACTCGCGTGCCCTCAGCATGCTCATTGCCTGCAGGAAGTCACATGGAGAGGAGGATGGAGGTTGATGTTTATAGAAAACAACGCAACGAGCAATGCCAAAAAACGTTACTTCGTTCAAATCCATCCACACTCATTTTCACTCGAAGTTATTCCTCCAAAAACTATCTCAGGTCCCATGTCCAGGGAGAGGGGAAAGAGGGGAGGGAGGGGAAGGGGGGGGGGAGGGGGAGGGGAGGCTGATCATGACAAGGCAGACGAAATAAGCAACGGAAACGACTGCGCCTCTAACTCTCCCAATGCACACAAGGGATAAATCGTAGGTACCTTCCCTTCCCTCCCTTCAACGAACTTCCCACACCCTGTTCCCCCCCACCCAGCTAGCCTGCTGTTATGTCTCACTCTACTCATCCGGGTGACTTAAGAGTCGACTCAAAAGTCACCTGCTGTTATGTCTCACTCGAGTCATCCGGGCGGAGGTGGCAGGTGGAACTGAGCCTCCATGAGCTGTTGAGGAGGATGCTCCAGAACCCAACTGCAGAGTGGAGAAAGAGGGAACAGGACAGTGGCGGGTAGGGGAAGAAAGGCAGCGAGGGGCACGAAGAGAAGAAAGACAGAATGAAAACGTGTCAAGAGCAGATGTAACGGACGGTAGATAACAGATAAAGACAGAGCCACTAGCCCTGGACAGCTAGACACACACACACCACGCATGTACAGCACCCTTTGTACCAACCCAACTCAACCCAACCCAACCAAACCCAGCTCAACCCAATCCAATACCTCGTCACGGTCGCTTCCATGCAGGCTACCCCCCGGCAGCACGAGCAGCGAGTTGGAGAGCAGCGTGTAGAAGTTGAGGGCGTCTCCCAGCGAGCGCAGCTGCATGGGCGTGAACATGACGTTCAGCAGCTGGTGCGACTGCACTGCTATCGTCACGTGGTTGCCCGTGGACTTCATGTCAGCCCCCAACTGCCATGCTTCTGTCATTGGCTCCATGATCTACGGTGGGGGGAGGTAAAGGAGACGAATGGGCAGGGGGGGTGAGCAGGTGAGAACGACAGAGGAACAATAAAGACAGAAGAGAGTTGCAAGGTTCGAGTGTGGGCAGGGTGATGGATAGACACAGGAGAGAGTGCAAGCGGTTGGGGAGGAGAAGGGGGGAGGCAACTATAGGTGCGAGAAAGGGTAGGTACGATAAAGCGGAAAGAAATAGGCGATAAGGGAAAGGAAGGACCTCGAAGCCGGAGTTGAGGAAGTTGGAGAGGAGAGTGAGGGAGAGGCGGCAGGAGAGCAGCTCGGGTCCGCCATCGGTGAGAATCTGGCTTGTGGCATTGAAGGCGATGTCCTTTGCTACCAGCTCCAGCACCGACGTGGGGTTGCCCATCCTGCATGACCGCACCACGAAAGCAGGTGGGTGCGGGGTGAGGGAGAGGAAGAGGGGAGGGGGGTGGTTGGTGTTCAGGGCAATGTCCATTGCTACCAGCTCCAGCACCGACGTGGGGCTGCCCATCCTGCATGGGTGGGCCGAGGGAAGGGGTGGTGTTGATGATCAAGGGGCGAAAGAGGAAGGCCCCTGGCGAATGTGACTCAGGGTTGAGGGCCAGTGCGTGTGTGTGAGAGCCAGAGCATGAGCCAATGAATGATAGACTAGCCATGGGCAAAGCGGCACACGTCATCACCTGTGGCGCCTTGAGGCACGGCCTCTGCACTTGCTCACCTGTCGTCGATGAGAGCAACAAAGAGCTCGTGGATCTGGAGGTTGACGCCCAGCTTGGACGGCACAAAGGCGGGCGGCAGTGGGTCCCCATACAGGTCGAGGTTTTGATGCAGCAGATTGCCCTGGCTGCGCTTGAGGCGGATGTTGAGCGTCCGGAGGAACGAGCTAAGGACCACAAGATGCTGCTCGGGGTGAGAGAGAGGGAGTCAAAAGTGTGAGAGAGTTGAGAAGTGAAACGGTTCAGAGAGTGGGCTGAGTGAAGAACAGGATGCATAGGCAACGGGAAAGATATACTTTGTTGTTGGGAAGAAACGGGAGGGTGCTGTGGAGAAGACAGGCCCAGGGGGACTCACAGAGAAAACAAAGTAAATAGGCAGACGGCCAGACTTGACGGCACTGCTGCTGGATTGCCCTCCAGTGGCGGAGGCAGGGAAAGCAGCAGGAGAGGAAGAACGTGGAGATGCAGAGAGCGACGGATGGAGATCAGGTGTGATGTGCAGTGACAGCAGGCTGGCCTGTTTATTGGCACACTTGGGAGAGTGCTGGTTAAACAGAAGCTGGGCAGTGAACTCCCCAATGACGTCGTGAGGGGCAAAGTACTGAGACTGGTGGATGAACACACTGCTGACGCGGATAAAGTCTACCAGGAGCTTGCTCTCCCCGTCTCCTCCTGCAAAATGCCCCACCCGCAGAGTCTGTCCCCTGATCTTGAGCCCATGGGCTTTGAGCTCTGAAAGAAAGAGGTATACGTCGTCGCTCCACACCTGCAACTCCGGCACCCACACTGGCTCCTCAAACGTGTTCCTTGCACTTTCAAACTGCCCGCTGTCACCGCTGCCACTGCTGCCACTCCTGCCAAAGCCACTGCCAGCAGGAGCACCCCCAGCACCTACACTGCCGCTGCGTCGGCTCGCAGGGAGAACCTCAGAAGCATCGTAGAAGCGGTCAGGCAGAGTGGAGGGAGGAGGCATGCGGGATTGGGCGGAGTGGAAGGCTGGAGAAGAGTCAGCAGTGATTGGTGACGGGGTGGCGAGAGGAGGGTTGGCGTGAGGAGGGCTGGAGTGGTGGGAGCTGGAGGGAGGCGGGCAGACGTTGATGAGGCTCTCCTCTGGCACTGGCAGCAACAGATCAAAGTCCTATGAGAGGTGGTGGAGGGTGCAGGGACGGTAAGGGAACACGTCAGTAGCGCACTTGTGAAACAGACCACACGCAGACAAGAGAGAAAGGGTCGTTAAATGAAATTGCAGGGATGCAAATGCATACTCAAGCTCTTGGCTGGGAGTTCAATTCAAAACTACAAACCGTTTGTAACAAACGCAATGGTGCAGAACCGTTGCCCAGACCCACAGTTCAGTAAATCCATTGTCAAACCCGTTACTCAAAGGCACTGTTCCAGAAGCATTATCTCAATCTCACATGCAGCAGGATGTTGGCCATCAGCCACGAATCTGGTTGCAGACTGATAGGCCCGAGCGCACACCCCGGCTTCTGAAAGTACCCAGCCACGACCTCCAGAAACTCCCACACAAGTGAGAGGTCCGTGTAGAAGGGCCACACAATGCTGGTGCGCTCAAACACCACCTGCACGCCCGTCGTGCCCTCCGCCTTCATCACCACGTTCACCAGAAACGACCTGTCCAGATCGCACCCGAGCCCTTGCCCGGACTCGCCACCCATGGGGGTGGTGTAGTTGCGGGTGTGGGTGGGAGGTGTGGAGAGGCGGGTGGATGTGGAAGCTGAGGTGGGGGGCGGCTTGGCCCGCGAGGAATTGGTCTCGATGAGGGCCAGCTGGAGATTGGAAAAGGGGGCATCGGGAAAAGGGGGCATCGGGAAAAGGGGGCATCGGGAAAAGGGAGGGGGAAGGTGGAGAATGAGGGAGACGGGGAGAGCAGTAAGGAAACATAAGATGGAGAATAAACAGAAAACTGGTTGACTGACTGAGAGCGGATGTGGGAGGAGTGGAGAGCATGGCGATTGGTAGGATGAATAGAAGAGCAACGGCTTGAACTGAACTGACAGAGGGAGTGTGCAAACCTCTGACTGGGAAAACTTGAGGAAGCGGTCGTCCCTTAAGAGCAGGCGAAACGCCTTCACTGTCACTTGCGAGAACTGGAGAGCAAACCAGCCACACAGGAGGTAGAGGGGTGGGGGGGGGTCGGGTGGGGACGAAGGAGCGGGATAAGTTGGAGAGGTGGAAGAAAAACAGCATGCAGAATGATAAGAACATGGATCGCAGCAGGATACGAAGGGTGCTAATTTCTTTGAGAGACTTGCAGGAGGTGCCAAAGCGTGCCAAAAAATGCAGGGGCAGGTGCGTACGGACCTAAGCTGGATGAGAGAGAAGGAAAGGCAGACGAGTGTGGCTCGGTGCAGCTGGAGTACGGAAGGGAAAGGAGGCAGGCGCTCACATCAGTGTAGTTGGAGTAGACAATGGTGAGGCGATGCGCTCTCAATGACAAAAGAGGGTCACCAAAGCTGGTTGATTGGGGGAACACAGGTGACAGGGTTAGTTGGATCATTGGATGGTTGGCAAAGAGAAGAGAAAAAACCAGGATATTTTTAAAGAGCATATAGCATGGGAGAGCTCATCCGTAGATGCAAAAAAGGGACATCATATACATTGTTCCCCGCACACACACCCGTTCTCAACCAGAGTGGCCGGGTGCTCCATCTCGGCGTGGATGACAGCGCGGCCGAAGTCGAGCTGAATCTCCAAGTCGGGGGTGAGTCCTGCCAGGCTGATGCAGGGGTCCGGAGGAGCAGCCTCGCCGCCCATGGGGCGACCCACCATCGGGTTGTACACTTGGTCGTCTGGTGGGGGGAGAGGAGCGGGTGGAGGAGGGGGGGCGTGGGTGGGGGTTGATTATGGCATGGGCATGGGTACGGGAAAATGACATTGGACAGCATGATTTTCTTGTTGACTTGTAGTCAGCGGGGGCTGTGCTTCTGGTAGTTTGGTGGGGGGTGGATTGGCATGGCATAGGGTAGGGTTTAAGGTGGAACGTGACACGTGTCAGCTAAATTGTTGAGGGGAAAATTTGGATGGCGATGAGATGGTTGGGAGTTTGAACAAGTAGCTGCTCTATAAAGGAAGCCCGTCATACGTAAGTGTTATGGATTCCACTGTGCATACACTACAGCCACTAAAATATAGTTGCCCATGATCCTGCACCAGCACTGCGCCAAAGCCCACCTGTGAAGGAGCAGCCCTCTGCGAGGTTCTGGAAGATGAGGGTCATGATGGCATTGTACTGGGTGAGGCCCAGGTGAATCTCCACCTGAGGCCAGTGCACGTGCACCCGTGATGGGTTCGACTGGCAGGGAGACCGGACAGAGTTCGGGGAGGAAGGGGGCATTGTGGAGAAAATAAAAAGACAGGATCAAATTGTCAGTACTTTGTGGATGGCTGAAGGTGGAGTACTCGTTTTAAGGATTGCGGTGAGAGGAGGAAGGAAACATGCTTCAATTAAACCAGTCAACTATGTTATGCTATCAGTAAACCACACTCCAAATTCCAGACCCATCCGTGGCCTACCTGCACGGAGATGAAGACACCACTCTCTGAGATGATGTTCCGCTCCACCTTGGGCGTGATGGTCTGGTGAGAGCAGAGACGAGGAGGGAGAGGAGACAGGAAGGCATCGGACAGAACAGAGAGTGGACAACCACAAGTGAGCAGCACGTGGTTGCCTTAAAGAACTGAATGACAATGAAGTGACCGTTACAGGAACTGACCTTTGAGGGGGACCAGTAGCCCCCACCACGGAAGAGCTGACAATGACGTGACATCTTCAACGAACTGACCTTGGAGGGGGACCAGTAGCCCCCAACACGGGAGAGCTGAATGCCAACGGAGTCGGGGGAGGCGGGGGGGGAGCGGTCCAAAGCATCCACCAGCGGTTTCCAGAAGGACGGGTCGTGCGGGCGGATGCCTGTTGCGAGTCTGCAGAGGAGGGTAAGAAGGTGGATTCATGGGGAACATATACAGTTATGGAGATATAATGGTAGTGTGAGTGCATGCACTGTGTGGGGGTACCTGGTATCTGTGCAGTGAGCCTCGGGTCGGGCCAGAGACACACAGAAGCAAAACAAGGAAAGGGTTGACTCAGAGTGCAGGCAAACCAAGTATGCACCTGAGCAGTGTGTGCTGGGACAGGCGCTGCGAAGCTGGAGTGGGAACGATGAGATTGATGGTCTCCACTCGCACATCCAGAGATTCCTCGCTCCACGACGACCTGACATGGGGGAGATGGGTGGAGACAAGAGGGGAGACGAGACATGTGCCACATGACAGCATCCAGTAAAGTCAAGATACACAAGCGGCAGCGCACCACATGAGCACAAAGACATTCAAGCATCACTTACACTGGGAGGCAGAGCGACAGGTCCGAGATGTGCAGGAACACCAGCGGAGGCGCATCCTCTCCGTCTGAATCCCCAGCTGCTTTACCCTCCCCCTGCTTTGACCCCTCCCTCTTGGCATCCTGGCCCTTGGTTGAGCCGCCGCCTTCTTTAGATGGACCGGGTGCCTGCTGGCATGTCGGCACAAGCAAGTCAGAAGGGTGTAGGAGACGAAAGGAGAGCCATTCACATGTGTTGGCACGTAGGCAGAGAGGTGGCAGCTGGTTTCCACCAGGTGCACTACCTACCTAGGAGGACTAGGTAAGACTCCAGCACATGTGGGTGAGGAGATGAGATCATGAGAAGCCATTTCGTAATTGAGTGAGAGGCAAAAGGCTTGTGTGTGGGCTGCATACCTGGGGGGGTGAGAAGATGGGCGCCATGCGCTCCACGAAGAGAGCAAAGTCGTTGAAGAAACGGAAGATGGCAGTCATCCTCGTCTGCTGGCTCTCCACAAACACACACACCTGCCAGCTCACAAAAAGAGACAGGGGGGTATTTACGGCGCCTCAGAAGTTGTTTCTTGTGAAGCGGCAGATGGCAGTCATCCTTGTCTGCTGGCTCTCAACAAACACACACACACCTGCCGGCTCGCACAGAGTGGCCCTGGGTGCGGAGAGAAGTTAGTGGTGGACTGTGGAGGGAAAAATTGCTGGGGCTTCACAGCGGCGAGCGCACGTTTGAGAGAGGAGCGGATGACGACGAGTGTGAGAAAATGCTTTGAGAACGAATACAGTCGATCGAGTTCCTGGAATTGTGGCGGATTAGACTCGAACTTTGATGTGAGTGTTTAGTGCCTGATGTCAGACCTACCGTATAGTATCGTGCCACACCCACTTGCCATACCTGAGGTTTGGCAGGTAGGTTCGGCCCTCGCTGCACCATGTTCTGCCGAATGACAAGGTTCAGGCTTGGAAGGTCTCCGTTGGGCTCAAAAATGTGAGAGTAGTGCCTGGTGACGAAGGTGAGGTGGATCAAATCAAGAGTTGGAAAGAAAACCCAAGGTTGGGCATGCATCGGAGGAGGGATGGTTACAGACAAAGAATCAGGGAAGCAGTGGTGAAGCCTGCACCTCGGATCGCCTCGAAATACAGAGAATGTGGTGTTAATTCGGACCGAATACATCAGACAACGGGGGCCTGGGGAGACAGCAGTGTGTTGGGGGGACTCACTTGGAGTTGGCGAGCATGTCAACCACATCCAGATCGCCCACAGTGAGATCCACATCCACTGCATCTGGCTGCGAGGTTAAGTCCACCTTCACCCTCTGCATGATGACGCTGCCAAAGGAAACCCCCCCAATGGACATGATCACCATGCCACATCCCAGCTCTGCCTGCAACTTCCACACTTCACTCGTTGCATTGCTTTTCCCGCTCTCTCCCTCCCCTCTGTTTCCCTGCCAACCCCTCCTCCTCTCCCTCCACCCACTCATTGAATACACACGGCACCCTTCACCTCTCCCGTCCTTTTCTCCACCATCCCTGCTCCGTCCTCGTGTTCGCATCTCACTCATTCCCTCCCAGGGAGCTCCGTTAGAGTGCCATTCAGAACGCGGACCTAAGATGTCCAGAGGGCTATCATCCAGAGACACTCTCTTTCCTTGCTTCTCATTATCCTCGTCAACATCCGTGCCTGCCTCGCTTCCGTCAACGGCCAGCTCTTCAATGCTCATCCGCTTCCCTCCGCCAGTCCTCCGCACGCGAGGCCCGAACTCTGAACCATCTCCTTTTCCATCCCCCACATGCTTCCCAGGCCACGTCTCCCCACCTTGTGCCTCCTCCTCCTCATCTTCCATTTCCACGTCGTCCTCCACTCTATCTCTAAAAGACACACGCGACCGGAAAGACGAAGAATTTGGGCGGACGGAGGGTAAAGCAGTGGGTGTGGGCTCGCCCCACGAGTCCCTCTCTACTTCGCTGCTTCCAGAAGTCAGAGCTTGGGGATTTGAGGGACCCGGTGGAGCAGAGGTGGTCCGAGAGATAGCGGCTTGAAGGTGGGTGAGGAAGGTGAGCACTGCGGAGAGGTTATTGGTGTCGCTGCAGGACAAGGATGAAAGAGAACAAGTAAGATGAAAGAGGGAATCCGACTCGAGCAGTCAGTGAAGTGAAGTGGATGTGGAAGAAGGAAGCAACATCGTCTCTACAGCAGAAGGGTTCAAGTTGGAGGTTGAAAATTGGCTGTTTTAGCGGTGGAAAGGGGGCATACCAGCAGAATGGGAGGAGGGCGACTTTCACAGCCACCTGATGCAATGTTCCTGCCTCCTGCAGCTGAACAGCGACCTGCAGCGCAGCCAGGTAGAACGAGCATTCACCCGTGCACACACACAGAGGACGAGTGTAATGCCAGTCAAGCCATTGCTCATGTCTGTCAGGAAGCACAACTAATCAAACCAACGTGCACCAACACGAACACCCCTGATTTCCAGCACTGAGCTGCAGCCTATTTTTTAGGCGCCTCAAAAATTGATTTCCCCTGATTCCCAGCACTGAGCTGCAGTCTACAGGCAATGAACCCTGCTGCACTGCACCTGAGCCTTGGCCCGCTGGAGCGCCTCGTAGGCAGCAAATATGGCCACATCACTGTAACCCCTCGCCACCACTGTCTGAAGGCGCCACCGGTAAAACACCTGCGTGATGTCGGAAGGGATGGAACAAAAATGAGGTTTAAGAGAATAGCAACAGCGCAGTGGTTGTTAACACAGTCGGACGCAGAAATGGTGGCCCGGATGGTGGACGGTAAACAATTCTAGATGAATTGACGTGCATGTGGAGTAGAGTCACACAGAGAAATTGGTGTTCTGTTCATATTGCAAGCTGAGGTGGGTCCAGCATTATTGGTACTGACCCGTGCCATCATGGCCTTGCCAGGGGGAAACAGTTCCCGCACCATCGCAGTCTGCAGAGAAAAGGGAGGGAAGAGTTAGCGGATGGGGAGAGGAGGAAATGAGGGGGAAAATGCTGAAGAGAAGGAGAAAGGGCCAAAGAGGTAGAGAGAGGTGATGTGCAAAGTGAAGGTGACGAGGGGTGGGTGGGGGAGGAGGGGGGACAGAGGGGGAGAGATAAAACTTACAGGAGGGAGGATACGACCACTGGAGAGACCTCTGAGCAGCAATAGGAGAGATAACTGGTTTGGGAGGACAACGGTTGTTGATGGAAGGAGAAGGGACAGGAGAAGTGAGATTCGAAAAAGACAAGTAACGATTTCAAAGGATACAAGACGGATATCGCCAAATTTCACAAAGCCCAAAAGGCCGGCGGGCCACGGGGTACACCTGAGGTGCTCGGAAAACTACTCACCTTATCATTGTGCTGCTCAGCCTCCACACGAATCTTGTCCAGCCTCACTCGGAACACCACCACCACTGGCTCACGGGGCTGGCCTTCCACCGCAGAACCCCCAGCAGCAGCAGAAGCAGAGGCAGCAGCAGTAGGTGGAGGAACTGATTTGGAAGTGCTGGGAGGGCATCCGCGCAGGTCCTCTGCGGTGGAGACGAGTACCACAGCGGTGTCAGACGAAGGCACCCACTGGCGGCAGTGGCACACGCCGTAGGGGCAGTCAGCCTTGCTGTGCGGCACCATCTCCTGACACGCCTCCACCAGGAAGCCGCCTCCCTGCAGACGGGTGGATGCAAGTGAGAGTGAGCGGTGGGGAGTGAGGGGAAGGGGAGGGTTGTGATACGGGAAAAAGGGAGAGTGTGAACTGGGGATAAGTAATGCGGAACAGGGAGGAGAAAGAGTTGGCAACAGCATCTAAGTCTTTGTAACAAGTTACGGCTGAGATAGGAAGGAGAATTGGGTTGTCACATTATGCTAGAGATCTGTACTTTTAGGGAGAACCTCCACCCCAGCTGGTGTGCTCCAGGTGTAACTGGTGGAGGTGGCGGTGGTTCCTTGCTGGTTGAGGAGAGGTCTCCGGTGCTTGCAAAGGTCTCACTTAAACTGCAAGAGGAGAGTGGGGGGGAGTGCAGCGGTAACGCAGACAGCATAGGCGTGATAAGAGGGCTTTCCAGATGTGATGAGATAAGCGTGCTGAAAGTGGGCTTCCAAGGCATGATGGACCTGAAACCTGTGCGTCTTGCACTAGTGGAAACTGGACTGTGCAATGCAATGCAGATGCCAAAGTCGATTACTTACGTGTGCACGAGGCGGGACACCTCCTTGGCAATGAGTGGGGAGAGCTGAACGATGAAGACTGACGTGACTAGCTCCACACTCAGCAGCTGCACGGTAGAAGGTAAGGTAGGTTGCAGGCGCACGGGTGAAAAGGACAGATGTGGTTGGGATGGAAGAGCACAGGAAAGAGCCTGGCGAGAGGGGCTCTTGAAGGAGCACCAGGAGGGAATGGGGAAATAATGCCATGAAAAGGGGCCTTACAGTGGTTGCGGTTTCTCCAATAGGTTCAGTGCAGCGACAGACAGATGCACTGACTGACACTGACTTACAGAAGTCCACCCTGCAATGAAAAGGATGTACACGTATGGATGTCGTGCATGCATGCATGCATACACAAACCAACCATGTGAAAGGCGCCAAGCACACAGACATCAACAATGCACACGCATGCACCATGAACAACATTGATCCACAGACACAAAGTGAACAAACAAATAGAGTCACATAAACAAAAACGGAAACGGATTCTTCCTCCGCATAGACAAACAAATGAGGTCATGTAAACGGGGGAAAAATAAAAAAGAAACGCCAAAAACAAACGGCACACCAAAAACAATATGATGTAGCTAGGGGGGGTGATGATTACTTTTCCCGCAAGTCTGCAACGTTGGAAAGAGAAGTGCGGGTCAAGTAAGCCTCCATGGTGAGCTCCACGTTGATCTGCTCCAGAGAATTGGGCGGCAGTGGGCCCACATGCTGCCGCTGCATCCATCCCCTGTGCGATGACATGGACGCCACCACCTTGCGCCACCTGGCAGCTAGGGATTGGTCGCTGGACGACGGTGCTGATTCTGAGGTAGCATCCTGCTTCTGGAGAATGGCACTGAGGATCAATCGAGACAACAGAAGAAAAAAGAGGAAAGGGGGACAGGATCAGATCATATGGATGCTCCTCAGCAAAGGCGCAGGGGAAGGCAAGTTTCAGGAGGAAGTATCATGAACCTGGCAGCAAGGAGGAAAGTCAAAACGAATTATTACCTTTCAGTCGGCCTTGTGTCCAGGATGATCTCTGACAAAGATATCACCAGCAGGGGAGGGGTCAGTGCTGCAGGTCTCCTTCTCTGCGCTCCCATGCCCGTTCCCTGGGTCTTCCATGCTTGAGCAATTTTCTGTCGCTCTGACTGCGGCTGGTGTTGATGGCAGTGATGGTGATGTTGCTGCGGCTGTGATGGTGGTGCTTGGTGGTCCATCCCCATACCAAAGAATGCCTGAAAGTCACTGTCACCTCCTGCTGAAGGCACCGACGAGCGCTGAGTGGCAGCTGATCCTGATGCCGATGATGGACGAGGCGTGACGTCCTGGAGAGTTAAGGCGCAGTGCCAAGGGTTAGAATTGTAATAAAAGCAATCTGAATAGAGTCAAACCATGCTGATGCAATGAAGCTGTGATAGACCAGCACGAGCACTTAGCACGCTACGATTGAATTTTTCTACTTCACACTCACAATGTCGCGGCATGGGATGATGAAGAGTATGCTGCCAACCCGGGCGGCGACTTCTGGCAGGTTATCCCTGACATGCTGCACTCGCTTCCTCGCCACGTGCTGCCCAAACTCCTTCACGTAATCCTGCAGATCCGCGAACAGAGCAGGGTTCAGCGGCGCCGCACCACCATCACTGATACCACCACCACGGATCTGCCCCGCGCCACCACCGGGTGTGCCTGGACGCCTTTCAGCAGGACTAGCAGGAGCACCGTTGCTCCTAACATCCAGGCTTCCACAGTCTCCCCTTCTGTGGTACAGGTAGTGCTGCTGCTTGGTGATATCGGGCATCCATTCAGTGTCACCTGAACCACCAGCTGCGTCCCCCATTGCTATCTCCCCACCTTGTCTCCCTGCACCTTCTCCTCCCAATCCTTTCCCTACACCAGCTCTAACCTCTGCACGGCTAGTCACACCCTTCCCGGCCTGTGAGGCCAAGTGGCCAGGCACTCTGCCTTGGCTGGCTACAGTTGACTGTGATTGGGTTGAGGGAGACGAGGAGAGAAGCTGCATGAGCTGGAAAAGCCAGCGGCGGTCGAGGAAGACTCGAAGGGGAGACATGTGTGCCTCCACTCGAGTATGCAGCCGCTGCAACTCGTCCTCGCCCCACCCAAGCTCTAACACGCCCAGTTCACGCTCCCCTTTCCACTTCGCCTCGCCATGCGCTCCCGTACTTCCCCTGCTTCCCTCCGTCCGTTGATGTGTTGTCTGTCCCCTCTCCTCTGACCCTTCCGTTGGATCATTCAAATCCTGTTGCTGCTGCCTCTCTCCTTGCGTCGGCACAGCTTTCTGGCTCTGCTGCGGTGCTTTCGTGTACTTGTCAGACCGGATTGACTGGAGGAACTGGAGGAAACGGCCTGAACTTGGTTTCTTGAGTTCTGAGGGGCAGGAGAGATGCCACCTGCCGACGAGACAGGTGGGCAGTTGGCAGGGACGGGGCTGAGAGCCGTATCGTTGAACAAAACAGACCGCCAAGAAGGGAGTGGAGCCCGAGGAAAGGGAGGAAGATGGAGGAGCCGCAGCTGCTGCAGCAGGCACAGCAGGACTGCCTAGAGAAGGATGCAGTGGGGACGGTTGACTAGAGCCAGGCACTGAAGCTGATAGGGGTGAGGCACGAGGACCAATGGAAGGGGAGGAGGCTGCAGAGGAAGGAAAGGTGGAGGATTGACAGGAGCTGACAGAGTGCACGATGTTCCCTACTAATTCGCTCTCAGGGACATAGAAGTTTCGTACCAGAAGCTCTCTGCATGACACCTCAGCGTGAAGGGAACCCCCCTCAGTGAACCTCAGCGCCACCTCATGCAGCGACACCTCAGCACCCCAATCAAGGTTTGACGCTGATGTCAACAAGACGCAGAGCTTGGGGCAGGTAAATCTGCTGCTGACCTCAATGACCGGCTTCTGTGCCTGAGGCTCAGGAACAGAGCCACCAGAAAGCAAGTAGTTCAGATCCTGGAGTTTGCTTCTCACATCGGCCATGTGCTGATCCCACGCAGGCTCATTGTGGGACAACCCCTCAGATTCGGCTGTCAGTGCCACTCTGAACCGCACAAGCGCACAGTTGAACGTGCCAAGCTGCTGCTCCAGCTGTTGCAGGCGCGTCTGAGCAGCTGTCATGGACCAGCAGCGCCCTGCAACGAAATCGCTGTACTGCTTCTCGTACTGCATGCGCAGGGTGGCCTGACGGGACTGCGACAGCCCTGTCAGCTCAACATCCATTGCTGCTGCTCGCAGGTCTCGTGCCACGTTTCCAATGGCATGGCGCCACCATGCCCTGGGATCCTCCAGCACTGAAGCACGAGGGCGAGTCTGTCTGTACTTGGCATAGTCTGTGAACTCAGTCAGGTCCACAGCCAAGCCATACAGATACTCCACCACCACTTCATTCGCACTCATGATAAGAGCACCCATGTCCAGCGAGGCCGACACCACCACACCACTGTTCTTGCTGCCCTGATGCCATAGACCCCATCCTGCCTCCACAGTCACAGAGAAGCTCCAGCGCTTCACCACAGTCACTGCAGCCCTCGGTGGAGCCTGCCTGGGCAGTCTGCTATACGAATCCGTCTTGCCAGCTGGAGCACTGCCATTTCCCGCTTGAACCCCTGAAGATGGAGCGGAAGGCCTGCTCGGCTCGTTCACGAGCTCAAGCTTGCAGCCCCGCACGTCCACCACCTTTGCCCTGGGAAGCAGCAAGTCAGTGGAGGCTGGAGGGCCGTTGCTGAGGCTGAGGGAGTCGAGGCGGAGGGAGAGAGTGCGGTGGAGATGATCAGGCAGAGAGCTCAGGCTGCTGGGTCGAAACCGAATGGTCACCTGGGAGATGGAAACCTGCACGCACTGGGCTGCACGGGAGGCAACTGCGAAAATGAGAAAGTCTTGAAATTTCTGCATGAAGGAAGGAGGAGGAGTGTTGTCATCCCAAAGCAATCTGTCAATGTCAGTCAACCTCTGCCGTTGCCTGGCCCTTTTCTCTGCTTCCACCTGAGCATCAAGACCATGACAATCCCTCTCAGAGGGGAACTTGCGAGAAGTCAGCTCCACATGAAACCCTCTGATTTGCAGAGAGATGTTTCTAGCGAGGACAAAAGCCAGGAGGGGGAGAGAGAGCTCCAATGTTTCCACCTTTGCTGAGTGTGCTGATACCGGGAGGTCGAGGTCATCAAGAAGCACAGGAGAGAGCTGGAGGTTCGCTATGACCAGCACGCCTCTCTTCTTAAGCTTCCAGCGAGTCTGACGCTTCGGGCTTCCAGTTGCTCTGATCAGTGAATCGGCGAACACAGATAAGATTACATCTCGGACACCAGTGAGCGTGCTTGTCATGACAACCGAAAAGGCCAGCCACCAGCTGATTGCCTGGGTCCACGCTAGCATGCGAGGTGTCAGCATTCTCCAATCCCCTTCCAGCCAGGCTCTGAACAATGAAACGGCCATGTTTCCCAGATGACCGTTGGCAGCACTGACGGTGGTAATAGGCAGGTCCAGAAGATAGCTGATGATACGATCCCATGGTAACAGGTTGTCCGTGTGAAATATGAGGACGAGTAGTAACCATTGGATGGCAACTGGAAATAACGGCTTTAAAAGCCGCAATAAGAGAGCCATTTAAGTTCATGAATCCGAGTGAACGAGCTGACAGGGGTCAGTAACGCTCTTCCAAGCAGCTTTTAAATATATCCTGGAACTCGGAAAACAATAAGAAATCAACAATAGCAAAAAAGCAAGTATTAGCTGCTGGCGAAAGGTGGCGTTTCCTCGACTCGCTGGAAATGAATAAAGTAACAAATTAGCAGGTTTCTTGCTGCTAAGGTAAAGGGCAAGATTGAAATTGAAAACGCACATGTTAGCAACTTGGGAAGCTCTTGAATCCCCATGTCGAAAGTACCTGTCGGGTACAAGTCTTGGATGCCAGAGTGTCACGGCAATGTAAATTCGCGAAGATGAGCATAATAGCAGCAAGATGCAGGCAGTGTTGAATATGTACCATGAATTGCTGCAAAATCCGAAACCAGGATCGACTCAGGAAGTTAACCAGGATGTCATCGGAAAAACAAACTGAGTTAGATAACACTTTAATCTGCGAAACATGAAGCGCCATGAACATCAATCCACGTCAGCGACCTCTAGAAGCTAAACAACCTCAAGGGTACCTGATTGACGATCATGTTTCAGCCTGGCCCAGCAGTCATGGTGGTCGGATAAGAAGTACCCCTTGATATCATTAAGGAGAGTCTAAACACTTGTAAAGGTCAATTACTTTCTTCTGGTGATGTGATTCAGTAAAAGCCTGCGGAAAGGAATCAAATAGCATTAGCTGCTTGCTAGGAGCTTGTGGAAAAAAACAAGAAAGTGCGATATCCTGCACGTTCCACGGTCACGAGGGTACCGGACATGTCCAAGTTATCAGTGACGTCTTACGTAACTAAACTGAAAGAGGCTAACGTACCTAGTTGTCCTCGAGTCGTCGATCCCTATCGCAAGAGTGCCTGGCTGTGCATCCTACTTCAGCCAAGACCAGTGGTAGTCGGAATAGGAGGAGTCAGCTTGGGTCATGAAGGTCAAGGCGCTTTCGTAGGAAATGGTGGAGGTCAGACAAATCTTCGTATTAATTCTTTATTGCTTCCTGCATAAAGCACATTAGAGCCATGCTCAGCAAAATGCAGGCATTGCTGTTAGACGAAAATGAGGAGATCCTTAGGCTACAAGAACGAGAATGAGAAAACTAGCAAGAGAGGAAAACTACCAACCTAAGGAGAGAAACCAAGATCGCCGTGAGCCAACATTCTGATATTGAAAGCGAAAACGGATGTATGCAGCGTCACGGTTGGAGCTCTCAACCACACTCCACAAGATAACGATCCGATACCTCCCTTTTCCGTGGTCTGGTAAAATAAGTTGAAGCTATTGACACAAGAACAAGAAAGAAACTCCACTTCCGTATACTGCTGTTGCAAGGGGCATCAATGTCAAACGGGGAGAGATCAGCTCAGCTCAGCAGCACTCATTCCAGCATATTCGTATTTGTCCGTGTGCAGCGGACCGTTGATCGCGTATGTGTAGTGGTTTCCGAGGTGCCCTATGTATGGAAGTCTTGTACGCGGTTAAGGGAGGAGGTGGAAAGCAATGGCAATTCTTTCTCCAATCTTCCTCAAGTCTCTATGACTATGGCATGCAAATGATTCATTTCCAGTTAATTAATCAGGTTGGGTTCAACCATGATTCACACTAATCCTTTATTTTCTCAACAACCTCATGCTGTTGATTTCTCCAAGGTCTTGGCATATAATTAGCTACCCTTGATATCGCATCCTGCAAGCACAATCGCGTACCCAAGTGTCAGAATCGAAAGTCTTGCATTCACAATGTAAGTTGGGGTACGTAAACCTAACCCTAGGAGTTGTACCCCCTATGACACACATCACTAAGACTACAACATTTGACACACCCCCATAGTCTAAGTGAGGGGTGTCAAGCAAAACCAAAAGTGTACAGTCACAAGACCAGTCACAAAGAAACAAAGCTCAAGGTGGATCACAACGTCACCACACACTCTGAGCACAAGCAAAAGAGGTCACAAGGCCAGTCCAAGAATTCACAAAGATATAAGCAAAGTGTACAAGCAAAGCAAGCAGAGAACTCAAGTCTACACATGATGAAAACTTGTATCAACAAGGCCTAACTGCACACAACACCTCTGGTGGTCACAAGGCTGAAGCGCCTTGGTGAAGATGTTTGTAGTTTTGGCCTCGGACTCCACAAACTTGAAGCGAGCTTGTCCATGTCTCTGCAACTCTCGCAGAAGAAAGTACCTGACGTTAATGTGCTTCACTCTGCTCTCCAGTCGCGGCTCTCGACAGAGAAGAATCGACGCCTTCTTGTCAGTAAACAAGGTCGGTGCAGAGCTCGGCCGCTCACCAAGGTCGGCGAGCAAGAAGGTCAACCAACGCAGCTCCTGTGCCGCCATGGCACCAGCGTAGATCTCAGCCTCAGCGGTAGAGGTCGAGACCGAGGAGGAATGCGTGGACCTCCACGAAACAGCTCCAGAACCCAGGCTGAAGCAGTACCCCTGAGTAGACCTGTGAGTCTCAGCGTCGTCAGCATAAGAAGGGTCACAGTGACCAGTAAGAACAACAACTGCTGCCCTCCAAGAACCAGCCCCACGCCTGATGTCGTCGCTAGGTACTTCGCCACCCTCACAGCTGCCGTCCAGTGAACAGGACGGTGTCTCCCTGGCGCAACAAAGCGAGCAAGGATGCTGAGAGGGAAGGCGAGGTCCGGGCGAGTACAAGTCATCAGGTACATGAGGCAACCCACCAGCTCTGCGTAGGGACCACTAGGCTTAAAAGACTCGTCAGGAAAGGGCCCAGTGAGTCTGTGGTCAACGGCAAGAGGTGTGCGCTGTACTGTGGAGTGCTGAAGCTCGAACCGCTGAAGGACCTGCTGCATCTCATGTGACTGTGAGAGTGTAATGGTGCGAGCAGCTCTGTCCCTGGTGATCTTCAGCCAAGGTAGTGGCACAGCTCACCAAGGTCAGTGCACGTGTGTCTCTTCTACAGTTCGGACTTCACGTCTGCCAAGGCAACCCTGTCAGCAGTGGCAAAAACCAGGTCGTCGACGTAGACCAGAACAAAGAACGGTGTGGAGCCACGACGAACGAACAGCGACGGGTCGGCAGAAGACGGCTGGAAACCAAGGTCAGAGAGGGTAGAGCGAAGAGTGTCGTGCCACTCACGAGGAGCCTGACGGAGACCGTAGATTAGTCGCCTCAGCCTCTACTAGGTCCCAGGAGGGATAGTGCCAGTGAAGGCAGAGGGACAACGTAACCAAACCTCTTCGTGTAGGCTACCCTGAAGGAAGGCAGTGGAGAAGTCGAGAGAGTGTAGCTCGTAGTCTCTCTGTGCTGCTACGTGTAGTAACACCCAAAGAGTGGTCATCTTCGAAGTATGCACGAACGTTTGAAAGAAGTCAACTCCCTCGCGCTGACTAAAACCTCTAGCCACATAGCGCGCCTTGAAGACCGGAGGAGATCCCGATGGCCGCTTCACCCTGTAGATCCACATGCCATCGACTACGTTCGTCCCAACGGGGGGAACCTCGTCAACGTAGGTGCCTGTGGATCCGTATGAGGTCATCTCCGCTTCCATGGCCATCTCTGCTCCCAAGGCCCTGACACTGCCTCAGCGTAAGTGCGAGGTATGTCAAGGGCGCCAGGGTCTCCTTCAGGGGCGAGCAGCATGGTACAGAGATCAGGCGAAGCGGCTCCCAGGAACTCTAACTCAAACTGCCTGTCCTCTAAGGCATCACAGCCAAGGGCAGACTCACCCTCGACGGCCAGAGGACTGGTAGGAGGAGCAGCCACAAGACTAGTGGCGTAGTCAAGGCGGCGAGTAGAGGCAAACTCAGTGACTGCGGTAATAAGGGCAGAGACAGAGGACCGAGAGGCACGAGGGTCGGTGACAAGAGAGGCGAGAACACGAGAGAGAACAGGATGGTACGTGCGGTAGTAGTCAGTGACAGGAGTAGAGAGGGAAGCAGTGAGGGCCGACTCAGGAGGAGAAGGAAGCACAGACGGAGACGAACGAGGCGGACTAGGACGGAACAAGATAGTACGAAGGTCAGTGAGAGGGACAGGGGACGAGGGACGAGCACGAGGAGAACGACAAGAGGGCCAAGTGTGGGAAGGAGGAGGGGACAACGGAGGCTGAGAACGAGGGAAAACAGCTGGGGAGGAGTCAGGAGTAGGAAACGTGGGACCGTAGACGGGAGGAGAGGGGGAGGAGGAAGGAGAGCGAGAGGGGAGACCGAGGGTCCGAAGACCAGAGACAGGAGGAGGAGGGGGCGACTGCTGCTGCTCCTGCTGCAACTGCGACCGCTGCTCCTGCTGCTGCGGCTACTCCAGCTGCTGCTGCTCCTCTAGCCGCTGGAGCTCCAGTAGCTGCCGCTCCAACTCTCTCTCCTCTCTCTCCAACTCCAGCTGCTCCTCACGGGCACGGCGAACACGAGCCTGGTGCCGAGTCGGGTAGGGGTGGGGGGGAGGAGTAGTGTCCAGGGTCGCGGTAGCCCCAGGACCGCTCTCCAAAGCACCAGACGTACCACCCCCAGAGCCAGCACCACCAACAACAATGCGGTCAGACTCACCAGGGCCCGTAGGGGGCGTACCCGCACCCCCAGTCGTAGTACCCCCAGGGTCAGCTCGACCAACACCAGCTCCCGGAAGACTAGAGTCTCCAGCAGCCACGGGCTCAGCTCCAATTCCAGCACCCTCAGAACCAGTGCCCGGCACATGTACGCTCTCAACACCAACTCCAACTCCGCTAGAGCTAGCACCCCCAGGGTCCTCGCCACAAACACCGTCCCCCGCAGGGTCTGCAGTAGGCGGTGAGGATGACTGTGGGGAAGGAGACTGCACCTGAGGGGCCACCGAGGGGGGAGGGGTAGCGTGGGACACACCTGACGGGGCTGGACCAGGGGGGGGAGGCTGTACCGGGGGAGCAGGAGGGGGAGCGGAAGTCAGGAAGAGAGGGGGAGGAGGAACCGGGAGACCTCGACAGGGGTACCTAACCAAGATCCATGGTTTCTGATTGCTCACACCTCTCGTACGGTATCCACAAAATTTTCAACTCTATGCAATCTCAACCTCTTATTCATGTTTTTTGTTTATTGCCATAAGTTATTTCAACAATATCTCTCAGGCTCTTCACCTCACCACACACATTCATGCCTCTTTTATTTTCACTCACCAGGCCTTATATTGGTTTTGGGCTAGGCTGATCAATCAGAGTTGGTACAAATTTTTATTCTTAAAATCAGACAAATATGTCATTTTATGTTATTTTACACTAGGAAACTCGTATTTTTTCCTACTTTCACGAAAATTGCTGAAAAATCAGCCTTGCTTCTAAATGAAGACTGCAATCTCATGCATTTTTTAAAACTTAAAACAACATTTTTTTCGCTGAAATATGAGGCCCAGATTCTGGACCGTCGGAGCAGACAACATCGGCCAACTGCAGTAGAGAGGAAAATGGCGGAAATAGTTTCGTAACTGTACGCGCCGCACGGTTGGGTTTGAATTTGAATAAGGCTAGTACCCCTTATAGTACATGGTTAGACTAGGACCTTTCGTATTCCTTAGTACTCTTATACAAGCCGTTGTATTTGCAAGTTTTAATCATCTTTGTCATTTTACATCCACACTGATCTGAAGTCAATTTCTTCTGCTGCAACACTCTGATTCTGCAAACCTTCCTGAGGTGATTCGAGGCACGATCTACTTTGTGATCACAACATTATTGATAAATCCAAAAGAATACAGGGAGGGGGAAGGGGGGGGTGGGGGAGGGTGGATGTGTAATCAGATCACATGAAAAAGAATGTATAATTCTTCACACATTTACTCTCTTCGTTTCTTGTTGGAAGATTGGCTCGAGGGCAATGGGTTTCAGAGTCCATACCGTGGCTCTAAGGTATTGTCATAAGGGTACCCATCTCCTTTACCAGAACTTCTATTTGTGAGAGCCAGCAAAAGAGAGGACAACAATCCCTTGCCAAATGTACACGTGGTAATCTTAGAATGGCCCACGTCTTCCCTCTGGTTCACCGAGGACCATGCCCTGAGAGCCTCCACGTCACTGGCAAACATCCTGAGGTTGTTCGGAGGCATCGAGGTTTGTGCGCCTGCGTGGCTGCAAGAGCACGTCCTAATTGGCTCGCGAAACGCGAGCAACTATTCGCCGCTCCAAGTGCCTGCACATCCCTTGGGAATTGCTGGCCTCACCACGGCCCGTCAATTTCCGCCCACCCCCCCTTCCTCCCCACTTCCCAAACTGTTCGAGCACCGCCCAGGCACAGCAGGGGAGAACTCCGGAGGGTGAGGGCGGAAATCCACCTCCTCAAGCCCAGCAGGGCACTTCGTAGGGAAAGCGATGACAGGCTGTACCCAGACATATATCCCAACAGATTTTCGCTCTAGATAGATAATTCAGATTTTGATAGCCGACCCTCGAGGGCCATTTTTGGGTTGCGATAACCTGTCGACCAAGTGATTCATTTGCGCTAGTCTTCTTAATTGACGCATTCTTTATTCGCATTAGCTCTAGCGCAATGGCTTCCATCGCTGCCCACGCCTCCCTCGCTCTCCCTGCGCGTGCAGTCCAGAGCAGCGCTGCACCACAGAAGCTGCGGTCGTCAGTTCTCGGCCAACGCCTGGCCGTTACCGTCAAGAAGTACCTCGTCGCAGCCTGCCAGCGCAACTCCTCCCCTAGAGCCGCCGCTGATGACGCCGCTCTCACCCTCGCAAAGGCCCTTCCTCCCGCCGCTCTCACTTCCCTCGTCCTATCCCTCGCAGCATCCCCCGCCGCGTTTGCCGAGGATGTCGCCGCTCCCGCGACCCCTATCTTCGGAACTGAGCTTCAAGCCATTAACCCTGCCGCCGCTCCCTCAGCCCTGGGGCAGTCATCCCTCACTGCCCCTCCCGTGGCCACGGCTAACCGCCTAGACCTGCCTGAGAGCACCACCTGGCGCTACAGTGAATTCATCAACGCAGTGCAGAGCGGTAAGGTGGAGCGCGTGCGGTTCAGCAAGGACGGCGCGTTCCTTCAGCTGACGGCCATCGACGGCCGCCGCGCCACCGTCACCCTGCCGAACGACCCGAGCCTGGTCGACATTCTGGCCCAGAACGGCGTGGATATCTCCGTGGCGGAGAGCGAGGCGAGCAACAACTACATCGGACTCATCGCGAACCTCCTCTTCCCGCTCATCGCGTTCGCCGGGCTCTTCTTCCTCTTCCGCCGCGCGCAGGGTGGCCCTGGCGGAGTAGGCGGCCCCGGCGGGCCCATGGACTTCGGCCGCGCTAAGTCCAAGTTCCAGGAGGTTCCTGAGACCGGCGTGACGTTCAAGGACGTGGCGGGTGCCGATCAGGCGAAGCTGGAGCTGCAGGAGGTCGTCGACTTCCTTAAGAACCCTGGTAAGCCTTACCTTTCCTTGTCTAATCAATCTTTTGTTTGGCACAGCTCGTCAACATACCATTGTCCTTGAAAACCACCATAGATTCAATCAAACTATGCTGCATCAACATATACCATTGGACTTCAACGAATCCTCTGTAATCCTACATCTTTCCTCGGTTCTATTCGTGCTACCTGCAGACAAGTACACCCAGCTGGGTGCCAAGATCCCCAAGGGCTGTCTGCTCGTGGGTCCCCCCGGTACCGGCAAGACCCTTCTCGCCCGCGCTGTGGCCGGTGAGGCCGGGGTGCCCTTCTTCTCCTGCGCCGCCTCCGAGTTCGTCGAGCTCTTCGTCGGCGTCGGTGCTTCTCGCGTCCGCGACCTTTTCCAGAAGGTGAGCATGCGACCACAAATTTTGAATCTAGATGCCTTACCTCCTGTGGCAGCACTCAGTGATTTCAACGTTTGAAAGAATTCTTGACCTGTCGAAAATGTTCTAACATCTGAAAGAGAATAGCATAACTAAGATGTCTGACCCGTGTTAACTTGTCCTCTTGCCCTTCCAGGCCAAGTCCAAGGCCCCTGCATCGTCTTCATTGACGAAATCGACGCTGTGGGCCGTCAGCGTGGCGCGGGTCTGGGCGGTGGCAACGACGAGCGCGAGCAGACGATCAACCAGCTGCTGACGGAGATGGACGGCTTCCAGGGCAACACGGGCGTCATCGTCCTCGCCGCCACCAACCGTCCCGATGTCCTCGACTCCGCGCTGCTCCGCCCCGGCCGCTTCGATCGCCAGGTGACCGTTGACCGCCCGGACGTCGCGGGGCGCGTGTCGATTCTGAAGGTGCACTCGCGCGGGAAGGTCCTCGCGAAGGACGTGGATCTCGACAAGGTGGCGCGCCGCACGCCCGGATTCACCGGCGCGGACCTTCAGAACCTCATGAACGAGGCAGCGATCTTCGCTGCACGGCGCAACCTGAAGGAGATCTCCATGGACGAGATCTCCGACGCGCTGGAGAGGATCATTGCGGGGCCCGAGAAGAAGGGCGCCGTGGTTTCCGCTGAGAAGCGCCGACTGGTGGCGTACCACGAGGCTGGGCACGCCGTGGTGGGCGCGCTCATGCCGGAGTACGATCCGGTTGCTAAGATCTCCATCATTCCCCGCGGCGGCGCTGGCGGTCTCACCTTTTTCGCCCCCAGCGAGGAGCGCCTGGAGTCGGGACTCTACTCACGATCCTACCTTGAGAATCAGATGGCGGTGGCTCTGGGAGGCCGAATTGCCGAGGAGCTGATTTTCGGCGCGGAGAATGTTACCACTGGCGCTTCAAACGATTTCATGCAGGTGTCGCGCGTGGCTCGGCAGATGGTTGAGAGGCTCGGGTTCAGCAAGAAGGTTGGGCAGCTGGCTCTGGGTGGAGGTGGAGGGAACCCGTTCCTTGGCCAGCAGGTGACAAACGCGACCGAGTATTCCATGGCCACGGCTGATCTGATTGATTCTGAGGTGAGGGAGCTGGTGGATCGGGCTTACACGAGGGCCAAGACGCTGCTGACGGAGAACATCGATGTGATGCACAAGCTGGCGGAGCTGCTCATGGAGAAGGAGACGGTGGATGGGGAGGAGTTCATGAGCCTCTTTATTGATGGCGATGCCAAGCTCATGTTGAACTAGGGGAATGAGTGTGCCAAGCTCACTTGGTTGGTGTGTGCTTTGGGTATGGCATTGCTTGATATTTGGCGGAGTAAAACCTTGTAAAAACCTTCATTCTTGATTATTAGGTATTTTGTGTTTCCACTGCCAAGCTAAGACATCATGAAACTAAAATAACCATAGCTTCATTGCATGTGTATGCTAATGCGAAAAACATGATGTGGGCGATAAGAAAATGTACTGGTACAGCTGTCTTGGTTGGTAAGGTGATCATGCAGTCCGCCCTCTTGCCGAATGGAACTGTGTGCTGTGTCCCACACAGTAACCCATAGGCCCTAAATCTACCCTGGCTGGGTTGAGATGAGTCACAACTTGTCAGAATGAGGAATGAATGATGCATTGATGTTGGTTGGGGTACATATAGCTAACCCTAAGTTTTGTACCCCCTAAGACAAACCTCACTATAGGCTACAACATTTGACACACCCCCATAGCCTAAGTGAGGGGTGTCTAACAGAACCAAACGAGTACGGTCACAAGACCAGTCCAAGAAACGAAGCTCAGGGTGGATCACAACGTCACCACACAGTCTGAGCACAAACAACAGTGGCCACAAGGCCAGTCCAAGAAGTAACAGAGGTATATAGAAAGCAAAGTAAACAGTACACTCAAGCCTAAGCAACACGAGAACCAGTGTCAACAAGGCCTAACTGCACACAGCACCTCTGGTGGTCACAAGGCGGAAGCGCCTTGGTGAAGATGTCTGCAGTGTTGGCCTCGGACTCCACAAACTCAAAGCGAGCCTGTCCACGCCTCTGCAACTCTCGCAGAAGAAAGTACCTGACGTGAATGTGCTTCACTCTGCTCTCCAGTCGTGGCTCTCGACAAAGGAGAATAGACGCCTTGTTGTCAGTGAACAAGGTCGGTGCAGAGCTCGGCCGCTCACCAAGGTCGGTGAGCAAGAAGGTCAACCAACGCAGCTCCTGTGCCGCCATGGCACCAGCGTAGATCTCAGCCTCAGCTGTAGAGGTCGAGACCGAAGAGGAGCGCGTGGACCGCCAGGAAACAGCTCCAGAACCCAGGCTGAAACAGTACCCCTGAGTAGACCTGTGAGTCTCAGCGTCGTCAGCGTAAGAGGAGTCACAGTGACCAGTAAGTACGACAGACTGCTGCCCTCCAAGAACTAGCCCCACGCCTGACGTCGTCGCTAGGTACTTCGCCACCCTCACAGCTGCTGTCCAGTGAACAGGACGGTGTCTCCCTGGCGCAACAAAGCGCGCAAGAACGCTGAGAGGGAAGGCGAGGTCCGGGCGAGTACAAGTCATCAGGTACATGAGGCAACCCACAAGCTCTGCGTAGGGACCACTAGGCTCGAACGGCTCGTCAGGAAAGGGTCCAGTGAGTCTGTGGTCAACAGCAAGAGGTGTGCGCTGTACTGTGGAGTGCTGAAGCCCGAACCGCTGAAGGACCTGCTGCACCATGTGCGACTGTGAAAGTGTAATGGTGCGAGCAGCTCTGTCCCTGGTGATCTGCAGGCCAAGGTAGTGGCGCAGCTCACCAAGATCAGTGCAGGTGTGTCTCTTCTGCAGTTCGGACTTCACGTGTGCCAAAGCAACCCTGTCAGGGGTGGCGAAAACAAGGTCGTCAACGTAGACCAGAACAAAGAAAGGTGTGGGGCCACGACGAACGAACAGCGACGGGTCAGCAGAAGACGGCTGGAACCCAAGGTCAGACAGGGTAGAACGCAGGGTGTCGTGCCACTCACGAGGAGCCTGACGAAGACCGTAAACCGGTCGCCTCAGCCTCCACTGGGTCCCAGGAGGGAAAGAGCCAGTGAAGGCAGAGGGACGACGTAACCAGACCTCCTCGTGAAGACTGCCCTGAAGGAAAGCAGTAGAGAAGTCGAGAGAGTGTAACTCGTAGTCTCTCTGTGCTGCTACGTGTAGTAACACCCGAAGAGTGGTCATCTTCGGGGTGGGCGCGAAGGTCTGAAAGAAGTCAACTCCCTCGCGCTGACTGAAACCTCTAGCCACGTAGCGCGCCTTGAAGACCGGAGGAGATCCCGGTGGCCGCTTCACCCTGTAGATCCACATGCCGTCGACTACGTTCGCCCCCGGAGGGGGAACCTCATCGACGTAGGTGCCTGTGGATCTGTAGGAGGCCATCTCTGCGTCCATGGCAGCTCTCCACTGAGAGGCCCAAGGCCCTGACACTGCCTCAGCGTAAGTGCGAGGAGTCGGAATGTCAAGGGCGTCGGGGTCACCCTCAGGGGCGAGGAGCATGGCACAGAGATGAGGGGAAGCGGCCGCCAGGAACTCTAGCTCGAACTGCCTGTCCTCTAGGGCGTCACAGCCAAGGGCAGACACACCCCCGACGGCCAGAGGACTGGAAGGAGGAGCTGCCACAAGAGCGGTGGCGAAGTCAAGGCGGCGGGTAGAGGCAAACTCAGTGACTGCGGCAGTAAGAGCGGACACAGAGGACACAGAGGCACGAGGGTGGGTAACAAGAGAGGCGAGAACACGAGAGAGAACAGGACGGTACGTGCGGTAGTAGTCAGTGACAGGAGAAGGAAGCGACACAGTGAGGGCCGACTCAGGAGGAGACGGAAGCACAGACGGAGACGGACGAGGTGGACGAGAACAAAGGAAGGCTGTACGAAGGTCAGTGAAGGGAACAGGAGACGAGGGACGAGCACGAGGGGAGCGACGAGAGGCCCAAGTCTGAGAAGGAGGAGGAGACAACGAAGACTGAGAACGAGGGAAAACAGCGGGAGAGGGGTCAGGAGGAGGAAGCGGAGGACCAGAGACGGGAGGAGAGGGGGAGGAGGAAGGAGAGGGAGACGGGAGACCAAGGGTCCGAAGACCCGAGACAGGAGGAGGAGACGGCAGCAGCTGCTGCTGCTGCTGCTGCTGCTGCTGCTGCTGCTGCCGCGGCTGCTGTGGCTGCTGCTGCTCCAGCGGCTGCTGCCTCTGCTGCTGCTCCTGCTGCTGTCGCTCCTGCTCCTCGAGCCGCTGCAACTCTCTCTCCTCTCTCTCCAACTCCAGCTGCTCCTCACGAGCACGGCGAACACGAGCCTGGAACCTGGTCGGGTAGGGGTGGGGGGAAGGAGTAGTGTCCGGGGCAGCGGCAGCCCCAGAGTCGACCTCCGAAGCACCAAGCACACCACCCCCAGAGGCAGCACCAACACCAGCTCCAGACCCAGGCTCTCCAGAAACCGAAGGGACACCCTCACCCCCAGACGCAGCACCCCCAGACTCCGCACCAGCACCCCCAGACTCCGCACGACCAGTACCAGCCCCCGGAAGACAAGAGTCCTCTGCAACCCGCGGCTCAGCTCCAACTCCAGCACCCCCAGAACCAGAAACCGGTACAGGGACAGTCGCAGGACCAACCTCCCGAGAGGGAGCACCTGCAGGAGGCGGCGAGGAAGACTGTGGGGAGGGAGGCTGTACAGGGGGGGCTACCGAAGGGGGAGGGCTAGCCTGAGACACACCAGACGGGGCTGGACCAGGGGGGGGAGGCTGTACCGGGGGAGCAGGCGGGGGAGCGGCTGTCAGGAAGAGGGGGGGAGGAGGAACCAGGAGACCTCGACTGGGGTACCTGACGTAGTACGGGGTGGACTCCTCGAAACGGACGTCACGGGAGTCAAAGAACCGGTGAGAGGGAGGGTGGTAAAAGGTGAAGTCAGAGGAGTCCTCAGGGAAACCAAGGAAGACACAAGGAACGGCGCGAGGCGAGAGCTTGTCCGCGGAGGTGTCGCGGACAAGAGCCAAGCACCCCCAGACACGAAACCTCGACGCGACACCAGGGGACCCTGTCCAAAGACTGGTCGGTGAAGCCTCCGGCCGAGAGACGCGTGGCCAGAGGTTCAGCTGGTGCGCGGCGTACCTGACTGCGTATGGCCACAGGAAATGGGGGGCACGGGCGTGGTGCGGGCAATCTCCATGACCAGGCCTATGCGACACTCAGCAACCCCATTCTGCTGTGGGGACTCCGGAAGCGTCCAGGACTGACGAATGCCCTGTTCGCGACAGAATCCAGCGAGAATGCCGGAGCGAAACTCGCCCCCGCGGTCGGAGTGGAGACAGCTGACACGACGACCACGAGTGTCCTGGGTGGTAAGCAACCACCTGATCAGCGTAGAAGTCACCTCAGACTTCCTCGCCAGGGGGAACACTGTGGTATAGCGGGAGTAGTCGTCAACGACCACCAAAAAGAAACGCTCACGCTCAGGGCCAGGGCAAGGAGAGGGGCCCCAGACGTCCAAGTGCAGCGTCTCAAAAGGCTCGGTGGCCGGACGAAGGGAGGAGGAGTGAGGGGTGGCACGCAGCCTACCCTCGACGCAAGGACCGCACGGTGGTGCAAGGGACGGCGGCAGCGACGGCAAGACACGCGGGAGACCTAAGACCAGACGCTGACTAGACATAGCACGCAGACGTGGAAGAGAAGGGTGTCCCATCCGGTGGTGCCACAGAACGGTGGGGTGGGCAAGCGACCGACAGGAGCAAGACGCAGCGACTGGACTGGACGCGACAACCTGAGGGGACGGAACCACCTGGTGAGACGCAGGGAGGAGACTAGGGGGAGGGACAGGAACTGGGAGGAGTGGCTGCTGCGACGGCGGCCGCTGTGGCTGCGGCTGCTGCTGCTGCCGCTGCTGAGGCTGCTGCTGCTGCTGCTGCAGTCGCTGCTGAGCGCGCGGGCCAGTGTGAAGAGTGTAGAGACCGGAGCCCGGCTCAGCAGCAAAAGTGGCGAGAGGCTGGTAAGAGTCCCCGTCAACACACACCGCAGTCTCTCCAGAAGGCTCAAACCACACACCCACGTGCTGACTCACAAGGGGTCGCACGCCCACCAAGTTCCGGGAGAACGAGGGGACGTGAAACCCAGTGAGAGACCCAGAAGGAGCAGCCGGACACGGCAAAGTGGTAGTGTGACGCGCGGTGACTGGTCCCGAAGTGGGATCAGCCAGCGCCACAGAAACAGGCGCAGGAAGAGGCGTAAGTGTCGTGCTGTCACGAAAGAAGCAGTGAGAGGCTCCAGAGTCCAGCGTGAACGACAGCGAACCGTCCTCTGAGGTAGCCGCTGGACTAGAGTCTACACAAGAACCTACACTAGCAACAGGCAACTGAGCAAGGCTAGCACCTAAGCTAACAACACCAGAGTAAGCAGAGTCAGAAACACTAGAGTCAACAACAGCATACATAGCATGAGGAGCACCAATCAGATCAACTAACTGCTCAGCAGACATGCCCCACAGAGCGGAGCCGTAGCGCTGAACCAGAGGAAGCCAGTCAAGGGCAGGACCGCCAACCCCGTAGGCCAACCGGACCGTGTCAGTGAGCTGAGCAAAGCACTGACCAGGGGGGTGAAAGCGGCCACAAGGGTGGCCCCGACGAGGACCTGTCAGAACCTGATAGGTGCAGGGAGGGTAAGCAGCACCACGCTGGGGCTGACGCAGCCCCGACCCCGGAGCCAGCTGCTGACGCTGCTGCTGCTGAGGCTGCTGGGAGGAGAGGGGCTGCTGCTGCTGCTGAAGCCGCTGCTGACGCTGAGCCTGGTACCACGCCGCTGCTCCACCTAGCGGGGCCGGCAGTACAGGAGACGACTGACGAGCTCGGGTGTCGCCACCACCAGCAGGCGCAGTGGAGTCACCAGCCGCTGCACGAGAGGTCTCTCCAGACGCTGCACTCCCACCACCGCCAGTCGCAACAGCACCCCCACTACCTCCGCTACCTCCGCCTCCACCTCCACCAGAACCACCTTTCTTGCCCCCCTTGCCGCGGGACCGCGACGCAGTCGTAACAGCAGCTGCAGTCGCGTCAGTAGCGGCAGTGGCAAGAGAGGCAGTGAAGGTGGGTAACTGCGGGACTGTGCACCCGTGGAAGAGTGGGGGGGGCACAGCACCAGAGGCGGCAGCTACCGAGCGAAGGTTGCTCTCGACGTCCTTGAGCGCAGACTCAAGGACCTCAACTGTCAGCTCACTAGGGTGCTTCAGCAGGAGCGCGTCACGTACGGAGGCAAGGCGGTCAGGGAGGCTAGTGGCGATGAAATAGATAGTAATCGCCATGGGGGGAGGAAGCAGTGCAAGCTGTGCCTCAGTGCAAGCAGCGCGGTAACTAGCGTCGAGCGAGCGGAGGTGAGCGATCAAGTCAGCAGAGCGCTCAAACGAGGCGAGATCAGGAAACAGGAACGGGAGGAAAAGACGGCCAAGAGAGACAGTAGCGGGAGTAGAGTAGCGGGCCTTAATCGCAGTGAGGTACGCAGCAGCGGTGCGAACCTGAGTGAAGTGGACCTCCTCTGACTCAGGGAGGAGGCTGCTGAGTGCGATGCAGGCCGCAGCGTCACGCGACGTCCAAGCCGTCCTGTCAGCGCGCTGACGGGCAAAGCGAGCCGTAGCAGCATCGTCAGGGGCAGGACCTAAAGCGGCAGGCTCGGGGGGCTCGGGGAGGTCACCAGTAGCGTGCGACCAGAGGGTCTCGCCCCCCTGGACTTGACTCTCTAACAGACGGCGAGCGCGAAGGAGCCAGACGGAAAAGTCAAGAGGTCTGCCGTCAGCGTCGAAACGAAGAACTCGCGGAGTCGCCATAGCGAAAACTAACGCGAACGAGCAGGCGAGTAACAGCAGGAGGTAAGAGGCAAATTAGGGTTCAGGTGGGACTTAGTCGCAGCGGAAGAGCGGGCTAGAGCGACGGGCCAGGGCGTAGGGTCGACGGGACGGGGGAAAGGGCGGGCACGATGCGACGGGGCAGGGCGACGCGACGGGGGAGGGCGACGCGACGGGGTAGGGAGACGGGACGGGGCGACGGGACGGGGCAGGGCGACGGGACGGGACGGGGACGGGACGGGGCAGGGGCGACGGGACGGGACGGGGCGACGGGACGGGACGGGGCAGGGCCGCGGGACGGGACGGGACGGGGACGGGACGGGGCAGGGGCGACGGGACGGGACGGGGACGGGACGGGGCAGGGGCGACGGGACGGGACGGGGCGACGGGACGGGACGGGGCAGGGCGACGGGACGGGGCAGGGGCAACGGGACGGGGCAGGGCGACGTGACGGGGGGAAAGGGCGCGACGCGACGGTGGGAAAGGGCGCGACGCGACGGGGGGAAAGAGCGCGACGCGACGGGGGGAAAGGGCGCGACTCGACGGGGGGGAACGGGCGCGACGCAACGGGGGAAAAGGGCGCGACGTGACGGGGGGGAAAGGGCGCTAGGCGACGGGGGGAAGGGCGCTAGGCGACGGGGGGAAGGGCGCTAGGCTCGGCACTAGGCGCGGTAACAACGGAACCGGTACGAACGAGAGGTAGGATCAGGCTCGGGAGATACGAACGGAGAACGGAGGAACGGGATCCCACAGGATCCTAACCTAACTGATACCATGTCAGAATGAGGAATGGATGATGCATTGATGTTGGTTGGGGTACATATAGCTAACCCTAAGTTTTGTACCCCCTAAGACAAACCTCACTATAGGCTACAACATTTGACACAACTATGTCCTCACCTGTCAGTCAGCAGTGGCAGCACATACTCTATAGTTGTCCCTAGACTGTGAGCATGATGTGTAAATACATAGGGATCATACCAGTAGGTTTTGTAAGTTCATCTTAACTCCATCACATATGCAGATTCTTGTGTCTTTGTATTTTTCCAACATCTCAAGCCCCGGTAATCTTAACCATTTCTTTCTGAGGTTTAACGTGAGCCTAACCGTGAATACCCCTGCGTGAGATGTTTGTAAGCTTCCACTTGTGTCTTTCATTGCAGCATATAAAAGTATTTCTACTTGTCCAATTTCTATCAGCTCATTTTGTACAACGATGCTCGAGGACAACAGAGTCAAGCATCAGGTGCTCCCCTCCCCCTGCAAAAAGGCCAGCAGGTAACGTGAGCCGTTCATTTCTTTGCAGACGACGGCACAGCACCATCCGACGACACGGCACCATCCGTCCATCCTCACCCCTGTTCTCTTGTCCAAATTCCCCCCAAACCAACCATCACCACACCCGCACCTGTTCGTCGTGGTTTGGTTGACTGGTCGGTGGAAAGTCATCTACAGAACAGACACGTTGAGGTTGCTCGCAGGTTCATTGCAGAACGGTGGTTGGTGATGATGAGATGATCACCCTGCTGCTTCCTCGCCAAGATTCGCGGTGTTGCCTGGGGGCTTAGCCGTGATAAGTGATGCATTGGCGATTTTAGGAGGTGAAATGCTAGCAGCACTAGCAGCAGCTAACAGATATCCGCGGCTGTGTGTCTCGTAGTTAGTAGCTGCCGTTTCCGCTGTCGCTGTTTCTGCGGAAAAACATTTCGTTTCCCGAGACTTTTTAATTATTGAGTCGCGATCTCCAGTCAGTGTCGTTAATGGAAGCCACCGATAGTTTCCTCGACGTGTCATAATGGCTGAAGTTAGTCCGTGGAGTTTGCGCTGCGTTGTTGGAGTGCTTTGTCGAGTTCACCTCCCATTTTCGCTAATGTGCCATCCGTAAGAGCCGTCCTTATCCAGCTAAGTCACGAAGGGATGTTTCCAGATTTTGTATTATTAGGCCTTCGTGAATGTGCTTCGTTTCAAATCGTTATCAGTCGGAGCGTCTCGTCGCGTAGCAATATTTCTTTAGCAAGTGGGATTTTGCGCTTATTGCTGCTGGAGGAGGCATAAAACCCCAATTGCACGGCAGGATCAACGGCGAACGAAGCAACGACGCAACCCCCGTCTGACTCAGTTACTTCCTGTGCCAGAACTGGTTAACTTGGCAGATTGCAGCGTCACTTGAAAATCGGAAGCATAGACGCATTGACACATTTAACCCTCCAGTGGTGTTTTAGTGATCCTTACATTCACCCTTGAGCCTCCGTCTGACGCGCTGCTCCCGTCATGGGGGGCTGCATGTCAGTCGAGGTAACGGTCGACAAAAAGGGATCTTCTACGAACCTTCGCAGCTCCGCGTCGTCCAACACGTCAGCCGGAAAGAAGAGCTCCACCGGTTCAGATGCTCCTAAGAAGAGCTCCGCAGGCTCCGGCGCAAGTTCCGCTCCCATCGTCTCCAATTCTTCAGCTTCAGGTAGGGTTGGTTCTTGCCTGTACGGGACTTGTCATGGGGTACAGTTACCGTTGTCGCGCATTCCGGGGTGCGCTTGACGCGGATTTTGCAGTTACCATCGTCGTGGATTTCGCAGTTACAAATGTCACTGATTTTCCAGGTATTGTTGTCGCGTCTCGTAAAGTGTAACATTCCGTGGTTGTCGGTCGAACGAATCTTGAATCAGTAGCTACATCGAGTCGCGGTCCTCATTGAAATTTCTGAGCCTTACCGGCGAGCCTTTGGCCACTCTACGCCTCGCACACGTCATAACCCTCTGAGATTCTTCCAAACATAACCCACTCCGCACGTGCACCGCCAGCCCCATTCCGCACGTGCACCGCCAGCCCCACTCCGCACGTGCACCGCCAGCCCCACTCCGCACGTGCACCGCCAGCAGTGCTGGCGCAGGCTTTTGAGCCGACAGAGAGTCGTTCTGCCGTCCCCCCTGATGCAGGGTTTTCCGCTTCTGCTGCCGTCCCGCCTGACACAGGCTTTTTCCGCTTCTCCTGCGGTCCCCCCTGACACCCTCCAAACAGGAACCCCACAACGACCACGAGCTCTAGCCGTGCTGCAATTTTTGAGTTCACTGTGAATCCGTTCTTCTCCGCTTCTCCTCCCGTTTCGACTGACGCCCTCCACGCAGGAGGCGTCACAACGACCAACAGCACCAGCCTGCTGCAATCTCTTGAGTTGACTATAATTCCGTTCTTTGAGACGTCTCAATAATCTCTCTCCCCTTCTCTTCCCGTGTCCCCTTACTCCCTCTCCGCAGGAGGCGTCACGACGACCAACAGCAGCGGGCCTGGCGGTGGCGGCGCTGGCAGCGCGAAGAAGTTCAAACTGGCGGAGCTGAAGGCGGCGACCAACTCATTCAGCAAGAAGGGCGTGCTGGGGGAGGGCAGCTTCGGGGAGGTGTATCGGGGGACGCTGACGGACAAGGTGACGGGCGAGGTGACCAAGGTGGCTGTGAAAATGCTCAACGCGGAGAGCTCCCAGGGCATGGACGAGTGGCTGGTGAGTGGGCGTGGGCGGGCAGGGTTGCATGGGCGGCCTTGGGGAAGTGTTGTGAAGGACTCTAAACGACAAGGCTAGGGGGGGATTGGCTATGGGTGAATGGCATGGGGTGATGGGCTGGTGAGTGGGTTTGTGAACAGTGGGTGGGTGGGTGAGTGGGTTCAAGGCATGTCTGAAGAAGTGTTGAACACCTCAAATGACTCTCGATCCTCTTCCACTCCTTCCTCTCTACCAACTGCCGTCCCACCCCCGCCTGTCACATCCTTCCCTTTCCAGGCGGAAGTGCTGCTCTTGCCGAGCCTGAACCACCCGAACCTGGTGCGCCTGGTGGGGTACTGCGCGGAGAAGGGCGAGGCACTGCTGGTGTACGAGCTCTGTGAGAACGGCAGCCTCGACGACAAGCTCTTCCCCTGTGAGTCGCTCTTTCTTTCTATCGTGCCTACGTCTTCTTGCCCTCCCCTCAACTCGTCTATCGCCTTAATTGACTCAGCCCTCTCACACTTCACCCCCTCCCCCTTCAACCCCCCCCTCCTTCAACCCCTCACCCCTCACCCCTCACCTCTGAACCCCTTCAACCCCTCAACCCCTCACCCCTGAACCCCTCGGTCTTCACCCCCTCCTACGCTACCCCCTTCAACCCTTCAACTCCTCATCCATAATCCCCTCCTCTCAGCGCATGGGACTGGAACTCGCGCCTACGACTAGCTGTGCGTGCGCTCATCTTGTCCCCCCTCTCCTCTCCTTCCCGCGCCCTCTCACACTTCACCACCTCCCCCGCCCCCACCCACACATCCCCCGCCCAGCAAACACGGAGGAGCCGTTTGACTGGAGCCGTTTGCTCTCCCTCCTCAACTCAACTATTTCCCCCTCTTCTCATTCTTCCGCCTTCTCACACTCCACCCACTCCCTCCCCATTCGCCCCCATACCTCCCTCCTCAACCCCCAGCGTGCGTGGAGGAGGCGTTTGACTGAACTCGCGGCTGCGGGTGCTGCAGGGCACAGCCTTGCAAAAACCCCTCACCCCCTTGCACAAGCCCTGCAGGCGTTTGACTGAAACCCCCTTTCCTCCTCCACAAACCCCTCACCCCCTTGCACATCCTGCTTTCCAGCGCGCGTGGACGAGGTGTTTGACTGGAACTCGCGGCTGAAAGTGGTGCAGGGCACAGCGGGCGCGCTGGTGCATCTGCACGAGCACAACGTCATTCACCGCGACCTCAAGCCATCGAATATCCTTCTGGGGGAGGTGAGGGACGGCTTGAGGGGGGGTTGAGGTATGTGAGCACAACGTGATTGATCGCAATCGCACCGTTGAATATTATTTTGGGGGAGGTGAGGGGCGAGCGAGGTGGGTGTGGGAACAGAGAGGGTACGGTCAGTGTGAGAGTGAGCAAGGGAGGGTGAGAGATAAGGGAAGAGATGGGAGGAGCGAGGGTGTGTTGTTGTGGCGTGGCTGGCCCATCTGCAAGGTGTGTGGGTTTGGACGCATTGCCCTTCACGATGCTGGTAGTCCACATGTTTGTGGATTGCCGGCATTCCACACCCTTGATTGGTCACACTCACACACACACACACACACACACACACACACACACACACACACACACACACACACACACACACACACACACACACACACACACACACACTGCTGCACTGCACTGCACTGCACTGACACAATTCCTCACACCCCTCATCTTTTCCACCTTGCACCTGCTGTCGTTGCTGGGCATGGGGCATGGGACATGGGGCGTGGGGCACGGGACGTGGCATGGGTCACGGGGCATGTGGGCATGTGGGCATATGGGCATGGAGCACATGGCGCATGGCAGGGCATGGAGGCGAAGCTGACGGACTTTGGGATGGCGAAGCAGGCAGCGGAGGGAGTGAGCCATGTGAGCACGCGGGTCATGGGCACACTGGGCTACCTCGACCCGGCCTACATGGAGACTGGTGCGTTCGTGTGTGCTGCATGAACGTGCTGCTGTGTTGCCCGTGCCTAGAGGGTGACATCTCACAAATCACTCAGAGATGGCCGGAGGGTGTGAGCCATGTGAGCACGCGAGTCATGGGCACCCTGGGCTACCTTGACCCCACCTACATGGAGACCGGTGTGTCCCGCTGCATTTCCCCCGCTGAGTGCTGCTTGCTGCGTTGAGCGCTGCTGCTCTCGCTGCAATTCAGGTTCCAGATTCCACATTTGTCAGCAAAAGTGCGCTTGTTAGCTCCCTAATCTGCTTCTCCTCCTCCCTTGCTGCCGCTCCCCCTCCCCTTTCACCCTGGACCCTGGGTCCTGCCAGGACTGTCTACGGGCATTTTGCTGCAAGTGATTACAGGGTATGACACCCATTGCACTCCCTGCTTGACACTCTCTTACCTAATTTCCATTCCCTCCTGTTTCCAGGCTGTCTACGGGAGAAGAGCGACGTGTTCTCGTTTGGAGTGATTCTGCTGCAGGTGCTGACAGGGAAGGATGCAGTGGACGATCGGAACATCAAGCTAGCAGCCGCCATGCACAAGCACCTGCACCCCAGCGTGGCGGACCCCGACAAGTGGATCGACCCCAAGCTGCAGGGCAAGTACCCGAGGAAGGGCGCGCTCATGATGGCCGCGATCGCCAAGCAGTGCATTGCTGATAATGCCGAGGACCGCCCGGAAATGAGCGATGTGGAGGAGTTTCTGAATGACATCCAGATGATGTAGTGGGAGAGGGTGCACGGTGATGTTCCCATCTACAGTGCTGGGTTGAGAGGCGAAGTGCCCTAGAGGCTAGAGCTTCACCGCTTGGAGATGAGCGATGTGAAGGAGTTTCTGAATGAGATTCAGATGATGTAGCGGGAGAGGGTGGATGGGTCATAGGTGGGTGGCGTTCCCACTTCCAGTGTTGCAATGCATGATTCTAGAGTCTGGTGGTTTGTGCAGCAGCTGTGTGCTGTGCAGCCCAGGGAGGGCTGGCTGATTCGTGTGGTTCTGCTGCTGTGCTGTGCTGAAAGGTCATACCAGGAACCTAGAGGCTAGACCTTTAGCCGCCCACGCCTGCAGGGGAAGTACCGGGGGAACGGCACTCATAATGGCTGCGATCACCCAGCAGTGCATAGCTGATAATGCCGCGGAGTTGCAGCAGCAGTGGAGTCAGTCGGAAGCTGACAGCTTATATGTAGGGCTGCATGGTTTGGGGGTGGCTTCTGCAGCCGTTGTGTGGTGAGGCATTGGCATCTTTCGGAGAATTATCGGCCTGGCTGGTTTGTCTGAGCTCTGCGGTCTATGATAGGTGGGCCTCTCAGAAAAGGTTGGAATGGAAAACCTACGGCTCCAAGGGCTGTACCTGGCTTTCATTTCGAGCCTGCTTGGGACTAATTTATTTAGGGTAACCTCCATGTGTACAATAGCTGCGTACCATAACATAACGCCCTGAAGGAAAAGCATTTCCTGAAAAACATTTCCCCCAGCCAACACCCACCCATCTCGGAGGTGTTCTGTAAGACCGGCGGGGGGGGAGGAGGGGGGGCGAAGGTATATGATCGTCTCCGGCTCGTAATTCCCGAGGATGGCTGCCTGAATATTTTTTGTGCTTCCCATCCCCTCGCGTTTCCGTCAGTCATGCTAGTGTTTTTGTTAGGTGCGGCGACAGGAATTCGTAATTACCGGCAACGAGAATGCGTGATTATGAGTAACGTCAAGCCGAGCGGCAGAATTGCGTGATTAAAAGCAGCGGGAATGCGAGATTCAGCTTTTTCTCTCGCGACCTCTCCGCGATGCCCACGCGGCTTCTGTACACGTTACTTCGCCTCCTCATCCTGTGCAAATTATTCCATGTCGGGTTACCAGCGTCTCGCGAAAACGAGAGTTCGCTCGAGAGCATTGCGGCTGCGGATGAGATCGTTGCAGGGAGAGTGGATGAACTGGAATCCGAGTTGGAAGAGGCCTTGGCGGGAAGGGATGGGGATGCAGAGGGAATTCAGTCGAGCACCACACCAGTAGTAGAAAAGCAGCCGGCGAGTCTCACGGTCAGCGACAAGCACCGCTCCCCACCTCTTTCTGTTTCCGTAGTCCAGCAATCTCTCGCACCCGTCTCCCCTGCAGCTGGCAATGCCTCGCTCGACTCGTTACCGGCACAAGCACCGCCGTCCCTTCCGGCTCCAGACACAGCAGCGCCAGGAAAAAGCCCGGGTTCCCAGGCCCCGCCCTCTGTACCTACTCCTACAGTCAACAGCACGCCAGGAACTGGGAGGTTAGATGATCCTGACTGGGGAAGGGTGAACTGGGGGAGGGCCATTACCCTGAAGGAGAGGGAGGCGGAGGAGCGAGGCAAGGTGGGTGCAAAGCGGTGCTATGGGATGCAGAGGGCGTACCACATGGGGTTTGAGAGGGGCAGCATGGCGTGGGAGCCGCAGGCTGATCGCTACGTGCTCATGGACTGCCATCGCAACCAGGTGCGTGTGGTAACCAGGTGAGATGTCAGGGAGTCATTCGGCCCTTCGAACACCCGAAGCAACACACTTCAGTCAACGATCAACGAGCTGATCGCTGCCCTTGCTCATGGGCTGCCATTGCAATCAGGTGCGTGTGGTAACCAGGTGAGATGCAGTAACCACGTGGGTGTGGTGACCAGTGGGCGTGGTAACTAGGTGTGGTGTGCTTCCCCTGTATATGATACATCCAGTCCATGTTGAAAATATTGTGTATGGCCCAGCTGTGGCATGCGAAATGCTTTATGTCGTCTGTCTGCCTTCACTCCTCATGGCTCCTGTCCATTGTTCCTCATGAATGCATATATGCATATGTGCGTGAGTGCATGACCCGATATGTGCATGCTTGCATGTGCGCATGTTTCCACGTGTGCATGGGCCAATGTGTGCATGTATCCACGTGTCCATGTGTGCATGTGTGCATGTCTCCATGTGTGCATGTCTCCATGTGTGCATGTCTCCATGTGTGCATGTCTCCTTGTGTGCATGCCCATTGCTGGTGACCGCCCCACTCCCCAGCTAAGTAACCGCATTCGCTGCATCAAGAACCACCTGGTGGTGGCGGGTGTGTTAAACCGCACGCTCGTGGTGCCCCTCCGAGCCGACGAGGTCACCCGCCACTACGACCGCCGCACATTCTTCCACCTCCCGGTGCGCTGCTGCTCGCTGCATGTTGCTTTCTGCTTGCTTCTCGCTACTCGCTGCTTGCTGTTCACTGCTTCTGGCCTGCAGCGGCCTTCTGGCCTGCCAGCAAGCGCTAGAGAACGGCTGTACTGCAGCGTGCGCTGCTGTAAATCTCACATCACCGTTCACTTTCTTCTCTGTTTTGGCATCTTATGTGACCCCACACTGCCCCCACCAGCACACGCGCCTGTGCTACGGCCCACAATCCGTGATTTCCCTAGACGACCTGCTCGCCCTCTTTGTGCCGTTAGGTTCCACACCCGGGTCGGAATTCGCACCAGCAGGTTCAGAAACAGCAGCCACAGCAGCAATACCTTTAGTAGCTGCATCAACAGCAACAGCAGCAGCAGCAGCAGCAGCAGCAGCAGCAGCAGCAGCAGCAGCAGCAGCAGCAGCAGCAGCAGCAGCAGCAGCAGCAGCAGCAGCAGCAGCAGCAGCAGAAGCAGCAGGAGCAGCAGCAGTACCTGTAGCTGCTCCTACTTCTGCTGCAGCACCAGAATCTCCATCTCAGAGTGCAGCAGTGCAAGTGGATCAGGTGTTGTGTCTGCAGAAGCAGTGCTACAACCAGTCTTCTGCTTCCCACGACGACCTCCCCTCCCTCTCCGGCATCCGCTACCCTCCGAACCTCACTCTCACGATCGGCAACGCCTCCGAGCCTCTGGAGATCCCGAAGCTCCTGGCACTGCAGTCTATGATACAGCCAACCGCCAGGGTTGTTCTGTTGGGAGATTTGGGATCCATGCATCTCACGTTCCCAGGGAAACATTACCTGGACGTCCCCTTTAGGCAGTCTCCTGAGTGCCCTAATGCTCTGGCTGTGGCGCCACACCCCGCTATTCTTGAAGCTGCTAGGGAGTTTGTTCGAAGTGTGGTGCTGCCAGGTGCCAGGAGGGCGTGGGAGGCTGCTGATGCTGCTCTGGAAACGGAAGGAGGAAGGGGGCGAAAGCTTCAGCAGCAGCAGGAGGGAAGGCAAGGGAGGAAGGGGCAAGAGGGAGAGAATGCAGTTGGTCGGTACGTGGGGGTGCATTGGAGGCGGACGGACCTGATGCAGCACAGCAATCCCAATGCACGACTCTCTGTGGAGCATGCGGGTGCATGCCTGGTGAAGGCCTTCGGCATGGCTGGAAACATCTCCACCATGTTCCTTGCCTCCGATACTGATGACCGCGAGGTGAGAGACTCCATAATACATGTAGAGCATGCAATTCGGTATAGATAATAACGTAGTATATATATTTATATATTAAATAAGGCGATTGTTGTTGTCTTTTTTTTTTGTGTGTGTGTGTGTGTTTTTTTTTTTCCCTGCTGCTTGTGGTGTTCATTGCACAGGTGGAGGCACTGGAGAAATTTATGAAAGAAAGAATACCGGGCTTCAGGTTGATTCAAAGGCCCAAGTCTTTTGAAGACCAGCCGTGGGCAGTGGTGCTGAAGCCTCACAAATTCCAAGATGATGTGTCGCTGACAGCGACTCTCGACAAGGCGATATGTGCCATGGCAGATGTGTTTCAAGGAACTGCCGCTTCGTCGTTTTCGCTAGATATTAGAAGGTTGAGAACCGGGTTTCGTTTGACAACGTGTTCAGATACTGATATATGCACAAAAACATGATCCTTATCTTCTATGAATGCAGCATTTAATGTGTTGTGTGATAATGTTTTGCTTCGGTTGAGTTTTGCTACAATGTTCAGTAAGTTGCTACACCAAACTCCACAAGACTATTGCACCTCGGGATTGCCGCACCACCCCACAACCTGACTCCCTGCACTTTTTTTCTGACACCAGAATCCTCAAATTGCTCAGTTTGGTTCAGTTCAGAAACTTGTTCTGGTCCTGTCCTCGAGTCAAGCAGGCTGCGAGGATGAACAGCCTTGCATCAACCTGCGTCCCTGGCCAACGGTTATCCCATCTTCCGTCAGAATTGGCGGGAAAATGCAGTTTTCCGCCTCTTCTGAGTTCTTCGGGATTGGAGCCTCACAGGCAACAGCTGCTTCCGCCGCTTGCGCACTGGCGGGAATTTTGCGCCCCCAAGCAGAGAGCATCGGGGCGGCTACGTGTGGGCTTGGATAGCGCTGGCGCGCGGAGTTTGCGCGGAAGTTCCCGCGCGTCCTATCCGACGGGGAGAGAGCAGCGGTATGGCACGCGGATGAACCGGGACGTGTGGACGCGGGACGATGGCGCAAGCGGAAGAGAGAGAACAGGGGGAAGGGAAAACGAGGGGGGAAGACGAGGGGGAGCGGAAAGATGGGAACGAGGTCGTGGGGAACCTGTTTCAGGGAGAAGAGGGTTTAGGGGGGACAGCGCAGGACGAGGAGGCGCGCGCGGGGAGAGGAGGGGGGAATGGAGGCGGAACGGGGGAGGGGAGCGACGGGGGGAGCCGGAGGAAGGACGCGGGGTGAAGGACACGGGTGGATGGGCGAGGGAGGTGGGGGAGGTGGGGGAGGTGGGGGAGGTGGGGGAGGTGGGGGAGGTGGGGGAGGTGGGGGAGGTGGAACAGCAGGGGAAGGAGGAGGAGCAGGAGGTGATTCGGGAGGAGATCTCACCGCACAGAGCAGGTGCGAGGTGTTGGATGGACGGCGAGGATTGACTTTCTGGGTCAATTCAAAGAACGAGGGTTGGTTGGAGGGTGCAGGGTGAGGGTTATGGGAAGGGGCTCAGGGTTGGGGGTTTTACAGCTGTTCTGGGCACACTGCCAGATGGGCAGGATGTTTTGTTGCCTGAAAATATCTGATCCCCGCACACCTCTCATTTCCTGACAACGTTCCATTGCCTGACAACGTCCCATTGCCACTACCAGCTGCTGTCGTGCGTCTGCTGCGAGTGGAGCAAGGAGGGGCTTGTGCCGACATTTGAGAATTCTTAAAAGCGGCTTGTGTCGACATTCACTCAGGGGCAGCAGCAGGGAATGGGCTAATGCATATCCCCCTCCCCCCCCCCCCCCCCCTTTCCTCTTTCCCTCCCCTCTTCCTTCCCTTTTTCCTCCTCTCCCTCGCCATCCCCAGCTGCTGTTGTCCGTCTGCTGCGAGTGGAGCAAGGAGGAGCCTATGCCGACATTCTCTCAGGGGCCGCAGCAGGGGAGGGGGCGGGGGGGTGGGAGCTGGAGATGCAGTATGTGCGGCGGACGCTGGGCTTTGGCGTGTTACCTCTGGAGGGGCGGGGAAGGCGGCAGGTGACTGAGCTCGTCGCAGGTGTCACTCGGTGGAGGCGTTATCTGGACTTTTTGCTCTCGGAGTTTTTTTCGCGCAGCCCAAATGAGCTGGAGAGGATGGAGCCGCTATTGAAGCAGGTTGGTTGGTTGGTTGGCTGGTTGGTTGGTTGGTTGGTACCCTACCCTGTGTGCTGTGCTGTGGTTTGTGATTCTGAGAGAAACAATCCTTCTTGAGTTGCTGTGCCATTGCATCGTGGGGCATGCTGCAATCAAAGGCAACTGGGATTCTCGTTATCCTCGTTTCTACTCGTTTCAAATCGGTGTTTTTTCCCTCCTTCCCCCTTTCCCCCGCATCTCCTGTTGTCCTCGTTTGTAGATTCTCCGATTGGGGATGTTTGAGCTCGCTAAGATGGACACACCGCCACATGCTGCAGTCAACGAGGTGAGAGCAGGAGTCAATGCAGTAGTAAAAAACGAGCTCCAGTCCCGACCAACCCGAGCTATCGTCCGCACATATCACTCACCATCGTCCGCACAAATTACTCACCATCGTCCATAGAAAGATAGTATTGACCTAATCTCATCGTCCATAGTATTGACAGATCCAGCAGATCTAACTCGATCTAATCTCAAAAAACATATCACTCACCATCGTCCTGTCTGCCCGTTGTTTCTTGCAGGCAGTCAAGCTCGCTCGGGCAGCTCTCAGGCCTGGAGCTGCCTCATTGGCCAATGCTGTTTTGCGGGCAGCTGTTCGGGCACAGGTGCGTGACAATTGTGAGAAATGTAGAGAAACAGGGGGTCTGGGAGGGGGAGTGGGGGGGAGAGAGGAGAGGGGGGGGAGAGGGGAGAGGAGGGGGAGAGGGGAGAGGAGAGGAGGGGGAGAGGGGAGAGAGAGGGGGGAGAGGGGGGAGGAGAAGGGAAGGCGGAAGAAGGGGGGAAAATATGGCACTTGCTGATTGAGAGTGCTGGGTCATGGTTGACAAGGCAGTGGCGCTGTTGGCGGGGGTGGTGCTGTCACATTTGCTGGCGGGGGTGGTGCTGTCACATTTGCTGGCGCTACCCTCTCTCCCCCTCTTCTCCCTCCCCCCGAATCTCTCGTTCTTCTTCCCTCCCCCCCATGCAACACCAGGAGGAAGGCCCCCTGCCGGCCCCGTTGCTGCATGATGCAATGACAGACTAAGTCGAGGCGAGGGCGCTCACTTTTGAGTTGTCTCAAAAGCCTCCTCTCCCCCTCCCTTTCCTCCATACGACACCAGGAGCAAGGCCCCCTGCCAGCCCCATTGCTGCATGATGCAATGACAGACCGGGACAAGGCACGCGCCCTTGCCACCCGGCACTCACACCCCGTGGTACGTGTGTGTTGCTGGCACATACACTCATACACACATGCACGCATGTACACAAACACACATGTACACATGTATGCACACACCCACATGCTCAAGAGGCACTATCCCGCGCCACCGTGCATGCACTCACACCATCACCTGGTGACGTCCCTCACACTCCTCTTCACCCCGCCCTCGCTTTTTTCTTGGCGATCCCTTCTCCCCATTCCTCCCTCCCGTCCTCTCTGCTGCAGTGGATGGTGCGCCGGTGGGCCGACAGGCTGGGGTGGCGAGAGGCAGAGAGGCTCACATGTGTGGCAGACTGATTTTGAAAGTTTCACAGTAAAACATAACCCCTCCCTCTCTCCCTCCCCTCCTCTCTGCTGCAGTGGATGGTGCGCCGGTGGGCCGACAGGCTGGGGTGGCGAGAGGCAGAGAGGCTCATGGAGAGCAACAACGCCCGTCCCGTCTTCTCCTTGAGGTGAGACGCCTGAACAAATTCGCCTCACGTTTCGAGGCATCTCAGAAGCCGACAGGCTGGGGTGGGGAGAGGCAGAGAGCTGATGGAAAGCAACAATGCGAGGTTCAGACATTTCTCAGTGAGCTGTTTTTCCTTTGCTTTGCTTTAAGCCTTCTGCACGCACGCAGCTCACTGAGACGTGTCTGAGCCCCGCCTTCTCCTTGAGGTGCGCACTGCTTCCTTCCTTTTCTCCCTGGCTTTTCGGATCCCTCAAGTGTGACCCGTGGGGTTAGTTTAATTGCTTGCTGGCTTGTTTTTGTTTGTCTGTTTGTCTGTTTGTTTGTTTGTTTGTTTGTTTGTTTCCTTCTCTCTTTCTTTCTTTCTTGCTCCAGCCACTCTTCCCATCAATGTCTACCCACCTCTTCCCTCCTGTACACATCCCAACACCGCCATGGCAATGCATCAGGGCCAACACTGCGAGAGGGGTAATACGATCCGATTTGCGCTCCCTGCTGTTGGCGCTTCCTGGGGTAGGTTCCTTCTCCTGAATGCTGCCTCCATGCCACTTCATGCCGCCTCTAGGCCACATCATGCCTCTAGGCCACATCATGCCTCTAGGCCACATCATGCCTCTAGGCCACATCATGCCTCTAGGCCACATCATGCCTCTAGGCCACATCATGCCTCTAGGCCACATCATGCCTCTAGGCCACATCATGCCTCTAGGCCACATCATGCCTCTAGGCCACATCATGCCTCTAGGCCACATCATGCCTCTAGGCCACATCATGCCTCTAGGCCACATCATGCCTCTAGGCCACATCATGCCTCTAGGCCACATCATGACTCTAGGCCACATCATGACTCTAGGCCACATCATGCCTCTAGGCCACATCATGCCTCTAGGCCACATCATGCCTCTAGGCCACATCATGCCTCTAGGCCACATCATGCCTCTAGGCCACATCATGCCTCTAGGCCACATCATGCCTCTAGGCCACATCATGCCTCTAGGCCACATCATGCCTCTAGGCCACATCATGCCTCTAGGCCACATCATGCCTCTAGGCCACATCATGCCTCTAGGCCACATCATGCCTCTAGGCCACATCATGCCTCTAGGCCACATCATGCCTCTAGGCCACATCATGCCTCTAGGCCACATCATGCCTCTAGGCCACATCATGCCTCTAGGCCACATCATGCCTCTAGGCCACATCATGCCTCTAGGCCACATCATGCCTCTAGGCCATCATGGCTCTCCTCCTCCATGCCACTTCATCCCTCCTCAACTCACCACTACATGCTCTCACTTTCACATGGGCTGATCGTGTTCGACTGTGTGTGAGAAGGGGGGGAATGGGGGACGGGGGGATGCGTTTGTGTGGGTGTGATTATGTGTGTGTACATGTGGATGTGTGTGTGAGAGTGTGTTTCTGTGCTTGTGTATGTGTCTGCATGTGTTTGTGTGTGCCCCCTCTCACCAACCACAGGTGGAGGTGGAGGATTCATACAGTCTCTGTGCGTCTGTGTCTATGTGTGTGTGCCCCGGCCCACGTGAAGGTGGAGGTGGAGGATTCACCGTACCTGGATGATTTCATCCGCGTGAAAGCGGGCATGCAGCATGTGCTCACAGCAGGGCTCATAGAGGATGGCTCGTGCAACGTGCAGGATGAGAGCGCAGGTGGGGTTGTGGCGGTAGGGTTGTGCTGGGAGGGCTGTGGTGATGTTGGTGTGGCGTTATTGCTCTCTTCCGCTCCCCTCCTCTCCAACACGTCTCAAAACCCTCCCTCCTCCACTCCCCTCCACCCCCTCCGCCACCTCCCTTGCACATTGATCACACTCAGGGCTGGTGGTACGGGTGTTAGCTCCCCAGCCAGGAGACACGGTGGTGGACTGCTGTGCCGCGCCCGGGGGCAAGGCCATGTATGCTGCTGGGCTCATGCAGGGGACAGGTGGGTGGGCTTACGGATTGGACTGGTGGGCTTGGCTGAGCTGCGCTGCTGGGCTGCGCTGCTGGGCTGCGCTGCTATGCTGCGCTGCTGTGCTTCGCTGCTGTGCTGTGCCTGGGGGCAAGGCCATGTACGCTGCTGGGGTCATGCAGGGGAGAGTTGGGTCATGGAAGGGACAAGTGTGCAATCACGGGTGCGTGCGTGCTGCATGTCGCTGACATAACTCACCGTCTCATATCATCCCATATTGTCACATATCGTCTCATCTCACCTCATCTCTCACCACACCACTCTCTTGCAACCCATCCCTTTCCCACCTGTCATTCCTGCTCTCTCGCACACTCCGCTGACCGGCAGGGCGGCTGGTGGCAGTGGATGTGAACGAGGGGCGGGTGAGAATGGTGGCGCAGGCAGCACAGCGGCAGGGGCTGCACCACATGGTGGAGTGTGTCTCTGCGGACCTGCGATCTTATGCTGTAAGGGTCACGGCCTGGTTTGAGTTATGCGACGAGGTCTGCCTTAGTCGTTTAATGAGCAGTGCAGGCAGCACGCGCCAGGGGCTGGGCCACATGGTGGAGTGCGTCACTGCTGACCTGCGGACCTACGCTGTAAGGCTCACGGCATGGTTTGAGTCATGTGACGAGGTGTGCCCTATTGGTTCCTGCAGTGGCGCAGGCAGCACAGCGCCAGGGGCTGGGCCACATGGTGGAGTGCGTCTCTGCTCACCTGCGGGCCTACGCTGTAAGGCTCACGGCATGGTTTGAGACTTGAGTCATGTGACGAGGTGTGCCCTATTGGTTCCTGCAGTGGCGCAGGCAGCACAGCGCCAGGGGCTGGGCAGCATAGTCGAGTGTGTCGCTGCTGACCTGCGGGCCTGTGCGGTGAGGCTCACTCACCCTTGAGTTGTCTGCCCATTAGAGGCGCCATATCGATTCCCTCAGTGGTTGCAGGCGGGCGGAACAGCGCCAGGGGCTGCACCACATGGTGGTGTGAGTCTCTCTGCTGACCTGCGGACCTGTGCGGTGCGGTGAGGCTCACTCACCCACTTTGAGTTTTTTTTACCTTCAAAGGCGTATTGTATCGATTCACCGAATGGCGCAACCTGCTCAGTGGCGGTGGCTAAACTGTATGGTAGAGTGCGGCACACGGCTTGCATTGAGTTCTTACAACATCTACCACCCTCCTGCTGCAGTCCCCGATGCTGAAGGGTGTTTTTGAGAATTCTCAAAAACTCCCCTCTCCGCCCCTCCCAACACCCCTCTTCCCCTTTCTACCCCACCTGATTATACCCCATCTCACCCAATCGGTCCATTCAAGCAACATCACCCCTGCCTGTGACAGCAAAGCTAATGCTGCTGGATGCGTTTTTGGGAGCTGTAGAAAGTGACTCAAACAATGTCCTAGCTTCCCCCTCCGTCCTGGAACCCCTACAACCCACCCCACCCGGCACCCCACCCCACCAATGCAGGCGTCATCCCCCCTGCGTGGAGCAGCAGACCGAGTGCTGCTGGATGCTCGTCTGCAACCTCTCACAAGAGACTCAAACAACGTCCTCCCTCCCATTCCGTCCCGGCACACCGCCACCCCACCCCACCCTGCCTGCTGCTCCCACCAATGCAGGCGTCATCCCCCCTGCGTGGAGCAGCAGACCGAGTGCTGCTGGATGCTCGTCTGCAACCTCTCACAAGAGACTCAAACAACGTCCTCCCTCCCATTCCGTCCCGGCACACCGCCACCCCACCCCACCCTGCCTGCTGCTCCCACCAATGCAGGCGTCATCCCCCCTGCGTGGAGCAGCAGACCAAGTGCTGCTGGATGCGCCCTGCTCCGGCCTTGGAGTGCTGGCCAAGGTGAATGGCATGAGGTGATTGTATGATGAGGTGAGTGGGGAGAGATTTGATTGTAAGGAATGCTGATGGATGCGCCCTGCTCTGTCCTTGGGGTTCGGGCGAAGGTGAACGGGGGCGAAGGTGAATCGGGGCGAAGGTGAACGGGGGCGAAGGTGAACGGGGGCGAAGGCGAACGGGGGCGAAGGCGAACGGGGGCGAAGGCGAACGGGGGCCAAGGTGAACGGGGGCGAAGGTGAATGGGGGCGAAGGTGATTGGAGGTGAAGGTGAACGGGGGCGAAGGTGAATGGGGGCGAAGGTGAACGGGGGCGAAGGTGAATGGGGGCGAAGGTGAACGGGGGCGAAGGTGAATGGGGGCGAAGGTGATTGGAGGTGAAGGTGAACGGGGGCGAAGGTGAATGGGGGCGAAGGTGAACGGGGGCGAAGGTGAATGGGGGCGAAGGTGAATGGGGGCGAAGGTGAACGGGGGCGAAGGTGAACGGGGGCCAAGGTGAACGGGGGCGAAGGTGAATGGGGGCGAAGGTGAACGGGGCCGAAGGTGAATGGGGGGGAAGGTGAATGGGGCCGAAGGTGAATGGGGGCGAAGGTGAATGGGGGCGAAGGTGAATGGGAGCAACGTGAGTGGGGCGAGAGAGAGGTGATTGTATGCCAAGGTGATTGTTAGCCTAGGTGATTGCCGGTAGTTGTTACAGATGTTGACCGTGTGGCACAAGGCAGAAGCGGTGAATACAGCACGGGCCAATTAAGCCTGTTCTCGCTAGCGTCGTGGTGACAATCTCTCCTTCACCTTGCACACTGCTGGCCTTCTCTGCTGGCCTTACCATCAGTCACCCACCCCCCCCAACACCCCTCCCTCCCTTTCCTTTCCACAGAGGGCGGATCTGAGGTGGAGGCGAACAGTGGAGGGGGAGGCATTGAATAGGCTTCCCAAACCCTCCTCCCCTCCCCCCCCCAAACCCTCCCACCCGTTCTCCCCTCGCCCCACAGAGGGCGGATCTGAGGTGGAGGCGGACAGTGGAGGGGGAGGCGCAGCTCACAGCACTGCAGGACGACCTGCTGGACGCTGCTGCCAGGTGGGATGCTGACGTGGATGCTTATGTGGATGTTGCTGCCGGGTGGGATGCTGACGTGGATGTTGCTGCTGCTGCCACGAAGGATCAGCATGCAAGAGCAAATTTTGATGCTGATGTGCCTAGCGCTGCAACAAGAGGCAAGCTTCTAGCTGGTCTTACCCATCTTCTAGCTTTTAGCTTCATTCCTCTTCCCCTCTTCCACCTTCCTTGTTTCCCACCTTCCCCTCTCCCTCGTGCAACCCCTTCTCTCCCCTTCCCTTTCTGTCTCGCCTGCATTGCATTGGGTAGTCTGGTGCGGCCAGGAGGGCTGCTGGTGTATTCAACATGCTCCATAGAGCCATCGGAGAACGAGGATAGGATTGTCACCTTCTTGCAGACACACCATGTGTGACCCTTGCTCAACCCGTGCTCTTTCCCTGTCTGTCTCGCTTGTCCTGACCAGTTTGGTGCGGCCGGGAGGGCTGCTGGTGTACTCAACATGCTCCATAGAGGCATCGGAGAACGAGGATAGGGTTGTCACCTTCCTTCAAACACACCACGTATGACCCATTCTCATCCCCGCTGTTTCGTACAATTCTGTGCGGAATCTCAACCCTTATGCCTCTGATTGCAGTGTTTTTTTCTTTTTGTTCCCCTCTTAGCTGCGCTGGTTGCCATCGCATCATGCTAAAACTTCATAGCGTATGGTGTACTGAGGTGTCTCATTGATTAATATGGGGCGTTCCATTCAACCAATCTGCTCGTCTGGTGGTCCAATTCTTTAATTGTTGCAGGAGTTTCTGTTGGAACCACTAGATGCTTCAGTATTGCCCGAATCGATGATCTCTCGCCTTCGTTGCTTTGCATCGCTACCACACCGCCATGGAATCGACGGTGCTTTTGCTGCTCGTTTGCGGAGGCGAGAATTGTGATGCTTTTGTTGATTGTATTGTTTCAAGGGGATTTTTGTCAGGTGAAGAGGGATGACAATTACTAGTAATGAAGTAGAGGTGTCTTGCTGGTCATATAAACTACACTCGTATGCGCTGTACTATTCTACGATAACGAGTTACCGCGGTTTCGTTTCGTATCCCCGTGGACCAGTGGCGACGAAGTGGTCAAACGGCGTAACTGGACACTGCGAAATTTGCTAGTTCGCGCCGTCCGTTCTCCTTGTCTGGGGTCCTGTTTGCAAGAAGGGTCTGACCGGCAATTGTCTGTTGCGTTGCGTTGCATTCCATTCCAGCGCGTGCTGGCGTTGACAATTCCCCAATCAAACGCTACGGGCAGCGAGGGGCGGGCAGAATGTGCTGAAATTTGTGATGTCGACAAAGGTGGTGGGTCGAGAGATCTGAACTGTCAGATTAAGGACCCCTGAGATATCGGACGGTCCACCCCTCATGACACCCCCTAATGACGCCCCTCTTGACAACCCTTAAAGCGTGTTCAAAGTGCTGCATTTTTTCGACGTCGATCGACGTCGAGGTTGTTGGGCGTGGTAGGTGAGCTGAGGGGTGCCATTTCCGTGTTCAAAGTACACTTCAAAAATTGCTGACGCCAGCAGCGCCACTTGTACGGATTTCTGCAATGATTCGATTGCAAAAGCAGTCAATAGAGAAAGATTGAGCGCATCTTTTCATGGATGGCCAGACCACATCAGACAATATTATAGATTGGCATCACTGGTAACTTCGGGCATGACGAAAATGTACAGCTTGCTTTCTGAGTTTCGCAGCCAGTTGACGCACGACAGACGGGCATGAAAAAACTTTAGGATTTCAGTATTGGTGTCAATTCAATTGTTCAACGCTCACAATTCAATTGTTCAACGGTCACAATTCAATTGTTTGACTGTTTCGGCCGGCATTTGTCCTGAGTGACAGTTCGTCGCCGGCAATGTGTTCAAAGTGCAGCATTCGACGTCGAATTGACGTCGACCTTGACGTCGGTTGACGTCGAGGCTCTGACGTCAAAGGATGAGATAACATACTTCGAACACGCTTTTATGACACCCCTTTTGACACCCCCTAATGACACCCCTCATGACACACCCCTCGACGTTTTGCAGGAACAAACACGTTTGCTGCATTCGTTATTTTGCTTTATTTCCGCTCCCACCGTCCCTACTGGTGTCGATTCAATCACCTGGGGTGTAGACTGAATGCTGGAGGCAATCGGTGTCGTTGGGAAAGGGTCTCAGGGGAATCCTGGCGGGGAAGCTGATGAAGGAAAAATTGCTGCGCCTGCGGGTGTGCGGAGCGTGTACCATACAGTGTGTTCCGCCAGCAGGCTCGCGCTGACTACAAGCCGCATATGCCACATGGGAACGCGACGCTTGACTAATCACTTGTCACCTTCCCTCGCTCGGAGAAATCGAGGCCGTGCAATCTCATCCACCAATCCTTCACCGCGCAATTCGCCCAACGGTACCGTGTGCAACCTTGGGATCTCATGGAATTATCCATCTGGTTTTCCGCATTCTCCTGGGACCTGCTGGGGTTCCTTCCTTCCTCGTCTCACCGCCCGTTCCTCCGCTCACCAGTGCCCACCTAGCTTTACAGTACCTTCCCTCAGTCCCCCACGCCCCCCTACAAATGCGACCAGGCGAGCAAGGCAAGTCAGCTAGTTGGTCATTCCGACACCAGACCAGAGACGTCAAGAAGACAGACCGTGCACCAGTGTCTCTGAGTTGGGAAGCGTTTTGCGCGTGTTCAGTTCCTGTCAAGTGTCGCAGTCACCAGAGCTTCAGCTTTGGTCGTTGATATACATCTCTTCTCTCTTTTGATTTTGCTAGATTTTGAAACTTCACGTTCTTCTTGCTTGGGTGCGGAAGGAGATCATCCTGGCATTCGTGTAGCTGGCAATGTCGTGCCAGGGACTGGCCATGCTTGATCCTCCTAGAGACAGGCAGGGCTTCCCCGAAGCTGCAGGACGCGGGGAATTTTTAGGTTCGAGGCCAATCGGAGGAGGTTCGGCGAGAGGAGCAGCAGGTTCGGGAGGGAGAACCGACTCCGCGTATGGAGTCGGGGACGGAGGCGGAAGCGGGGAAGGAGGCGGAGCAAGCGGAGCAGGCCCCCCTGCATTGCCTGCGCGCGGAGGCGGTCGAGTTTCCGCTATCCGCAGCTTCTTTCCGCGCAGCCGGTCGGTTTCTGTGGATTATTCCGCCTCCCCTTCCTCTCCGCTGGGTCTCCCCGGAAGCGGCGGCAGTACCAGGCGCAACTCCGAGTCAGAAGATCCCCGCCGCTCTTCTCCCCTCGGGTCCCCTGGTGGTCCGCGCAGCGGGGGAGGCGGAACGCCGGGGGACCCGCGGCAGGCATTACGACCTCCGCCGCGCTACGATCCCCGCATGGGTCGGCATTGTTCCCCCCTCGGCGGTTCCGCGCTGTCCGCCGCTCCCCGCCCCCCTTCCCCGCTTCTCGAGGCATCACTTCCCGTCTCGGCAATCCAATCAGAACCTAGCGCCACCGGCGGCGGCGGCGGCGGCGGAGATGGAGTATCCGGGGGACCAACGAACAGTACCGTTCAACGGCTGCGGTCGAACCGCCACCTCCGCACACAATCCGTTGACGTATCGTCCGTCGATTTCGCCTTCCACGTTCCCGATCAAGGGGGGCTGGAGGCGCAGGGGGCACCGGGCGCAGCGGAAGGAGGCGGCGCAAGGGGAAGCGCGGGGGAAAGGCTAGGGGGTCCACCCCCAAAGTCCCCCTCGGGGTTCAGATTAGGGTTCGGGCTGGGTATTCGACCTAGCAGTAGCCACGGTAGCCGCCCCAACACCAGCCATGGGCGCCTGGGGGGCGGGTCAGCGTCGGTGAGGCCGGGAAGCGGCGGAAGCAGACCAGGAAGCGGGGGGAGCAGACTGGGAGGAGGCGCGTTGGAGGGGAGCGGCGGTTCGGAGCAGAGTCAGGAGCGCGGCGGGCGGGCGCACGGGCGGCGCGCGTCGGTGGACTTTGGGTCGATGGGCGCAGGTTTCCCCGCGTCCGCCAGCGAGTCGCTATCCCCGTTTGAAGCAGCCAAAGCGTCGCTCTTTGCGAGTCAGCAGCGCCAGCGGGCGGGGATGGGGGGAGGGATGGCGGAAGGGATGGGGGGAGGGGCGGGCGGAGGGATACCGAGGCACAGCAGTGTCGACGGCTCTGGGCGCGCGATTGAGTCCCCCCGGTCAGCGGCTAGGCGCGGGCTGCAGTACGGGTTCGGTTCGGATAACCGCGGAATGGAGGTTCGGGGCGAGGCTCGGAGCCCTATATTGCTTGGAGCACGCGCTCGGCACAGGCTCTCCGCAGGTTCGGACTCTGTTGATTCAGGTGGAAGCGAGTCTCCTGGGTTTTCACCTGAGAGTTCGGTGTCTCCACATGGGGGGGTGCTGCCGGGAAGCAGTAGCACGGGGAGCGCGCCGATGGGGGGATTCGCGGGGGGGATGGGGGGAGCGCTGTCTAGCTGGGGCGCTCGGCGCGCGGGGATCAACCCGCCGCGGCTGCAGGTAGAGGTTCACGTGGAAGAGGAGGAGGGGGAAGCGGAAGGGGAGGGGGAGGGGGAGGAGCGTAATGTGTTAGTGATCGAGGAGGGAGAGAACGAAGAGGAGGAGGGGTATTCGAAGGACGCACTGTCGCCACTACCAGGAGCAGAGGGAGAACGACAAAATCGCCCGCCCACAGCGGGGAAGAGCAAGTCGCCTCTTAGGTCCCGAATAGCCGCAGTCGCGCGGTCCTTAAAGCACGGGTTGCACAGCCCCGCGGCTGGCGCCATGGGGGGAGGCGGAGGCAGGTTCCGCGGAGGGGTAGGTGGCATGGGGATGGGGGGGATCGCGGGGGCGTTGGGCGGAGGGGAAGGCGCGGAGGCGGGAGGGGCTGGCGCGGGGGGAAGTCGCAGGCACAGGCGCGCAATCTCTGTGGATTTCAATCAGGCGCCAGTCTTCACTGCGGCTTCCCCCCGTGGGGGGCCGGTGGAAGGGGCGGAACCAGCAGAGGGGGATCCTTCCCTGTCTCTCTCCCCCCCCATGCGCTCTATGCTTCTGGCGCGGACCCCGTATTTGACGCTATGTCTCCCCGCCTGCTGACCCCCAAGGGTTTCAGCACTGGGTTCGGCGCCGCTGCTGGCCCCGGGCCTGCTGGCTCGGGGCTGCTAGGCTCGGCAGCGCCAGGCTCGGGCGCTGCTGCGGTGGCTGGGCGGCAGCTGGCCGGCCAGCACCGCCGGCATCACTCGTTCGCGGATCAGTCTTGGGCGGCAGGGGGAGGGGGAATGGGAGGGGGGGCAATAGAGTCCCCCAGGCGGATGGGGAGCGGGGGGGGCGGGTCCATTCTTCCGCCGCGCAGCCCTTTAACCATGGGGGGAGGGGGCAGCGGGACTTGGGGGGATAATCTGAACATAGGGGAATTTACCCCTTCTGCTGTGCAGTCACCCAAGCCCCCTCGCTCGCCTTACCACAACGAATTCTCCCAAGACAGAGCAGCGGCGGCGGCTGCCGCCGCTGCGGGGAATGCGTCCGCTGCTACTGGCGCAGGGCAGCTCCCCCTCACGCCTGGGCGGAACCGCGCGCTGGTAGCGGCGCGGGGAGGCGGGGGAGGCGGGGGGGCGCTGATGCGGGGCAGCGCGCGGGAGCGGCCGTCCCCTGGGATTGACGAGGACGACGACGTGTGGGGCGCTGCTGCTGCCGTGGCAGGGGTAGCGGGGGGGGGAGCAGGGGGGGCGGGCGGAGCAGGGGGACGCGCGGGGGGGGCGTTTGAGCTGCGCAAGGCGGGGAGCAGCAGCCGGCTGGAGCAGGCGCTACTGCCAGACCACCGCGTGCAGGGCTCCCTTGCCTTCCCCTTTCCCCGCCTGCACTCCGCGCGCGACCCCCACGCCAGCCCCCCGCGCCCGCCTCCCCCCTCACCCCCTCCGGCGCTCCTGGCAGGGCGCTCGGCGGGGGGTACCAGGGGTCCGGGCGGGGGGGTGGCGGGAGAGGCGCGGAGAGGGGCGGGGCGGGTGCAGGGATGGGTGCGGGGCGGGGGGGAATGGGACGTATGGGCGCCACCGCTGCTGCAGCTGCTGCCGCGCGCAGCAGTGGCGGGGGCGCTGGCAGCGGCAGCAGGGGCGGGATAGTGCCTGCGTGCTCCTCCCTGGACAGTGCTGGGCTGGACTCCTCCCCCCTCGCTGTCCTCTCCCACGGGTCTATCCCTGATCGCCCCAGCACCGCCTCTGGCCCTAGTGGGAGGCTCAGGGCAGCAGCGTGGGGGAGAGTGAGGGCGGATGGGGGAAGGAGGGACGAGAGGGGGGGCGGCGTGGGGGGGTGGGAGGGGGGAGAGGGGGAACGTGGGGAGGGGGAAGGGGAGGAGCGAGAGCAGCAGCAGAAGCAGTGGCAGGGGAGGCAGGGGAGAGGGCAGGCGGCTGGTGGTGCTGGTGTGGGTGGGTGGGGGGGAGACATCATTGGCAGTAGCAGCAGCAGCAGCAGCAGCAGATGCTATTGCCATCCACCCTGGCAGTTCTGCTGCTGCTAATGCCAGCGGCGGCGGCGGCGGCGGCGGTAGCAGCAGTGTGAACAGTGGTGGCCCTGGGCGTAACCTGAGGCGGAATATGAGCACGAATTGCCTCATAGAGGCGGGTAAGGACGCAGGAGCGGGAGCGGGAGGAGGAGGAGCAGCAGGTGGAATCTCAGGTGAAAGCACAGAGCTGGAGAACCGGGCACAGGGGCCGGCAGGGCAGAAGGGGGGAGGGGTGCGGAGGGCAGGCAGCGTGGGGGGGGTGGGGGGGGGAGGGCCAGGCGAGGGGGACGGGATGCGGGAGGGGGGAGGTGGAGGAGTGGGGGAGGGGATGCGGGAGGGGGGAGGAGGGGGAGTGGGGGAGGGGATGCGGGTGGAGAGGCGCAACACAGTTGATCCCCATGCGGAGCAGTTCTTGAAGAGCCTGAGTCAGTACATCAGCAGAGGGCTCACAGGGGAGCTGGGGACGTATGCGGGCGAGGGGGAGGGCGAGAAGGGAGATGCAGAAGCCAACATGTGGCAGGTGGGTGTGGTTCTGTGCGGTTGTGTGTGGTTATGTGCGTGGGTGTGTGATGAGGCGGAACACAGTGTATCCGCACGCAGAGCAGTTTCTGAAGAGCCTGAGTCAGTACATCAGCAGAGGGCTCACAGGGGAGCTGGGGACGTATGCGGGCGAGGGGGAGGGCGAGAAGGGAGATGCAGAAGCCAACATGTGGCAGGTGGGTGTGGTTCTGTGCGGTTGTGTGTGGTTATGTGCGTGGGTGTGTGATGAGGCGGAACACAGTGTATCCGCACGCAGAGCAGTTTCTGAAGAGCCTGAGTCAGTACATCAGCAGAGGGCTTACAGGGGAGCTGGGGACGTATGCGGGCGAGGGGGAGGGCGACAAGGGGGATTCAGAAGCCAACATGTGGCAGGTGGGTGCGGTTGTTTGTGTGTGTGTGTGTGTGTAGGGGTGGGTGGGTGTGGGTGTGTGGGTGTGTGTGGGTGTGGGTGTGTGTGTGGGTGTGTGTGTGTGTGTGTGTACGTCCCTGTGAGTGTGAGAATGGATGTGTGTGTATTCATTTGTGTCTGAGTGTGTGTAGGCATGTGTGCGAAGAAGTTCTACTCCATGGGCGCCACCACTGTCAAACCCTTCCCCACCCCACTCCATCCCTCCTCAACCATCCCCAACCGTTCCCACCCCTGCTTACCAGATGATGAGCTCTGGCAGCATGCGGTGGCGGGACTTTATTCTACGCATGCCTTCTGGCGATGTGAATAATCTACTCTGTCAGCGCCACCAAGATCAGCAGTCTGTCATGCCGTAACCAACCAACCCACCCCAACCCCTCCTCACCCATCCCCACCGCGCCTTCAGATGATGAGCTCTGGCAGCATGCGGTGGCGGGATTTCATCCTGCGCATGCCGTACGACGATGTGAACAAGTTTTACTCTGTCAGCGCCACCAAGATCGGCAGTCTATGAAACCCTTCCCCACCCCGTCTCACACCTCCCCACCCCTCCTCACCAGATGATGAGCTCTGGCAGCATGAGATGGAGAGACTTCATCCTGCGCATGCCGTACGACGATGTGAAGAAGTTCTACTCGGTCAGCGCCACCAAGATCGGCAGCGGGCGGTACGGCGTCATTCGGACTTGTCTCTCCCGCAAGACCCGTGTTGTGCTGGCCTGCAAGACGATCCGGAAAGACCAGGTCAAGGTGAGTTGGGGAAAAAGAGGAAAGGGGAGGAGATGGGAGGGCTGGAGGGGAGGGGAGGGGAGGGGAGGGGAGGGGAGGGGAGGGGATGGGCGGGAGTGAGCAAGAGATGGAGGGGACAGAGGGACGGGTGATGCTGACGTTATTCTTGAAATGCTCAAAAGTGGCGCCCGCGAGCATTGCTGGTGTCATCTGCACTGCACGTGCCTGCACCCACCCACCCACACCCTACCCTCAACGCACCTCACAGCATACTCCCCCACTCCCCCGCCCCTTCCTGTCCCTTCCTTTTCCTTCCGGTGTCTTTTCCCCCCCTCCAGTTTCCCTAGTGCATGGAGGACGCAGAGGACGTCACACTGAGGTGATCAGCGTGGGCATGCTGCGCACTGCACCGCACTGCACCGCACCTCACATCACCCCTCCACCCGTTCCCATCCCTTTTCACCCCTTCCTGTCCGCGCCCAACCCCCTCCCCTCCCCCTCAGTGCATGGAGGACGCGGAGGAGGTGATAATACTGGACATGCTGTGTAGCCACCTCATGTCGCAACCCATCCCACCCCTTCCCACCCCTTCCAACGCCTTACCCCTTGTTACCCCTCCCCTTCCCCCCTCAGTGCATGGAGGATGCAGAGGACGTACGCACAGAGGTGATCATTCTGTGCATGCTGCGCAACCAACCCAGCACCCCTTCCCACCCTACCCGACCCTTCCCTCTCCCTTGCATTCTCCTTACACTCAGTGCATGGAGGATGCAGAGGAGAGGACGTATGCACGGAGGTGATCATCCTAGGCATGCTGCGCAACCATTTCATATTGCAACCCACCACCCCTTGCCACCCCTTGTAACCCCCCACCAGTGCATGGAGGACGCGGAGGACGTGCGCACGGAGGTGATCATTCTGGGCATCCTGCGTAGCCATCCCATACTGCTACCCACCACCACCCCTTCCTACCCCTTCCAACGCCTTGTTACCCCCCCCTCAGTGCATGGAGGACGCAGAGGACGTGCGCACAGAGGTGATCATTCTGGGTATGCTGCGCAACCACCCGGGCATTATCAGCCTGCATGACGCGTTTGAGGATGCAAAGGTACATGGGCAGGGCAGGGCAGGGCAGGGCAGGGCAGGCAGCACATTTCTGCTCATGTCATCGCATTGCCTCATGCGCAACCACCCGGGCATCATCAGCCTGCACGACGCGTTTTGAGGATGCAAAGGTGTGCTGCTCGTGTGCCCCTCATGTGTGATGCCATGCCATGCTATGCCCTTACCTGTGCACCCATGCACCACCCACTCACCCACGCACCCATGCACCACCCACTCACCCACACACCCATGCACCTCCCCTCTCCCCCCTCCCCACCAACAGTACGTGCATCTGATAACGGAGATGTGTCGAGGAGGGGACCTGTTCGACCGGGTGAAGCTGCGGGGGCAGTTCAAAGAGACCCACGCGGCCATAGTGTGCCGCTCTCTCGTTGAAGCGCTGCAACACTGTCCTGCCACTGCCGTTCCACTGTGTCTCGCACCACCTCTCACCCCGCTCTCCCCCCAATCCCTCCCCTCCCGTCCCTCGCCCCTGCCTCTCCCCCACTCCTCCCTCTCCCCTCACAGTACGTACACCTCATCATGGAGATGTGTCGGGGAGGGGATTTATTCGACCGGGTGAAGCTGCGCGGGCAATTCAAGGAGACCGATGCGGCCATCGTATGCCGATCTTTGGTTGAAGCGCTGCTGCACTGCCACTCCAATGGGGTAATTCACCGCGATGTGAAGCCCGAGAACGTGCTCATGTGTGACAAGGACGTGGACACCAAGATTAAGCTCATTGACTTCGGCGTTGCTACGTTCTACAAGCGAGGTGAGAGGTGGTGGTGGGGCTGGTGCAGGAAGGCAAGGGAGGGTGGGGAGGGAACGTGCTCATGTGTGACAAGGACGTCGACACCAAGATTAAGCTCATTGACTTCGGCGTTGCTACGTTCTACAAGCGAGGTGAGAGGTGGTGGTGGGGCTGGTGCAGGAAGGCAAGGGAGGGTGGGGAGGGAACGTGCTCATGTGTGACAAGGACGTCGACACCAAGATTAAGCTCATTGACTTCGGCGTTGCTACCTTCTACAAGCGAGGTGAGAGGTGGTGGTGGGGCTGGTGCAGGAAGGCAAGGGAGGGTGGGGATGGAACGTGCCCATGTGTGACAAGGACGTCGACACCAAGATTAAGCTCATTGACTTTGGCGTTGCTACCTTCTACAAGCGAGGTGAGAGGGGTGGGGTTGGCACAGGCGCTGCTGCTACTGCTGGTTGAACGTGCTCATGTGTGACAAAGAAGTGGATACCAAGATTAAACTCATTGACTTCGGTTTGGCGTTGCCACGTTCTACAAGCGAGGTGAGGGTGGGGCAGGCAAAGAGCAGGCAGGGAGTGCACGTTGGGGCACAAAAGTCCCAAGGTGGTACCCATATCTTTGTGGGGCAAGGGTTATGTGGGTGGGTGGACCCATAAAGATGATGCCTTGACTCACCGACTTCCCAAGCGCCCCCTCCCTTCCGCTCCCCCATCTTTTCCCATTCTCCCTGCGCCTTGCCCCAGCAGGCGTCCCCTGCACGGGTGGAGAATAATGCTCCGGAGGGTTGGACAAGAGCCACGGGTCACCTTCCCTGAACCTCCCCTTCCCTTCCCTTCCCTCCCCTCCCCTCCCCTCCCCTCCCCCCCTTTCATCTGGCGTCCCCTGCATGGAAGGAGCAGGGACAGTGGAGGAGTACACAGCAGCAGAGGTGCTGGATAAGAGCTACAGGCTTATGTACTGGGTCACCTGTCAACCCTCCCCCTTCCCCCCTCTCCCCCTTCATCAGGCGTCCCCTGCACGGAACGAGCAGGGACAGTGGAGTACACAGCACCAGAGGTGCTGGATAAGAGCTACGGGCCAGAGTGCGACATCTGGAGTGCGGGAGTCGTCCTCTACATCCTCCTCTGCGGCTTCCCGCCCTTCTGGGCGGCGACCAACGCTGAGCTGGAGCAGAGCGTGCGGGCGGCGGCGGTTGACTTTCGCCACCCGCGCTGGGCGGCGGTGTCGGACGGCGCCAAGGACCTCGTGAAGAGGATGCTGACGAAGGACGTGAGGCGGAGGATTTCTGCGCTTGAAATATTTGGTGGGTTTGGGGGAGTGGTCTCGGGGGAAGTTCTGTGTGAGGGAGGAGTTGCTGGAAAGGGATGGGCTGGAAATGGATGGGCTGGTGAGGTGCTGGAGATTGGAACACATACAAGGGGGTCTAGGGGGGGCTGTGTGGGGGTGTGAGGGAAGGTGCAGGGTTGTTTAGGGATAGAATGGGGAGCAAGTTGATTGCAAGGCCATGTGGTTGTCACTTTCTACTGTTGTCCTTCCGTTCCCACTGTTGCCCTTTTATTACTTCTGACTTTTCCATGTCTATTTTTGCCCTTTCCGTTCCCACTAATGCCTTTCCATTCTCACTATTGCCTTTCGATTCCAACTGTTGCCCTTTCCATTTCCACTGTTGCCTCATTTTGCACTTGGCTCTCGTTATGCCTTTCACATTCGTTCCCTCCGTGCAGCACATCCCTGGATTAGAGCCGCTGAGAAGCAGCAGCGATTAGACAGCAAGCCGCAAGCTCCGAACGGTGACCCACCGTCCTAATAGCGTGCGAAGCCCCATCAGCACAAATGTGCAACGAGACTAACATTTACCTTAGCTTCATGCGAACAAGAGGTACTTGAGATTATAACGATTTTAACGAGACGTACACCTCATTGTGATTCTCATCCCGACTTATCCACAATCGAATCTGACACCTAGTCTAGCTGCTCCAGTGCTCGTGTCGTGTCCTCTCATTTCCTATCAGCATTTCCAAGATCACGACTTGGGAGCTTCTCGTGTGAGCTGGAGGCCTTCTCGAATATTTTGCTGCAACCGTGGCAATTTTCTGTGGTTGTCCGAGCTTGCGTGGTCGTTCCAGCAGGAACCTCCGCCTACCCGCGTCGTGGTCAGCGGGTTTGTAGCAGAATCCTTCACAGTTCCCGTCCCAGCCTGGCCAGATCACCTGACTGCTATTCCCTCTGCTGTGCATCCAAGTGGGGGTGGCTGGGAAAAATGTCAACCTGCCCAACCTGCCCAACCTGCCCCTCTGCTCCACCTGCCAACTAGCCGAGCCAAATATCAGTCACAACAAGATCTTCAGGTCTTGTAGGTTTGTCTGGGCGAAGGGCATCAAATTATGGGCAGCGATTGCGGTACTGCACGGTACTAGGCTCTGTCGCATTTTGCAATTAGCGCAAAATGTTATTCCGAGTTTCGCCGTTTTCAAACCGAAGTCCCACAGTGAGGTGTACCGATGCCGAGTCTAGCTGGTAGGGCAGGTTGGTCCCTTCTTCGCACCGCCTACTGTAGTTCTCAGGCAGGGTCCCAGGAGTTCGAGCGTCGGGATTCGGGAGACTGACGAGCGTAGCGGGGAAGAGCCACGGCATGACCATACCAGAGGGGCTACTGGCGTTTTGTTCCGGCAGTTGCACTGCCCGGAACAGTGTCCATCCATTGCTGTCTCGGTGTGTTTTGATGAATAGCCTCATCCATGGTAATCCGAGCTAGCCCAGACAATATAGGGTAAAAGCGCACTCATTAACAGGAATACACCTCATCAAAAGAGTATTTTGAAATACTTTCCAGCTCCTTCATGTAGAAACATTTCGAAAGAAGATTGCTGTGTTTCGGTTTATGAGCAAAATTTTGTTAGGCTGAAACGATGAGTTGGTGTGAAGCGGCGTGAGTTAGAATCCATGCTCAACAATATGTCGAGTCATGGCAAATATCGTATCACGTAGAGCCTTGCAGAATTTCAGACATTGTCATACACCCTGACATTGTCATCGTCCGGGAAACTACACACTGGTCGCACACAGCCCGCAGTCGAGAGCACAAGCTGGCCCCTCGCGGGAACCACGCGCTCCACCCCCCAACCAATTCATCCCAACCACCTTCTTCCCCGAGTTTTTATACGGGCCGTCACAAAACATTTCGGAGTTATCACGAGCAGTCACATGTTCCGCCAAATCTATCACGGACAGTCACAAAATCTGCCAAATCTATCACGAACCATCACACGGGTATCACCCGCCGTCACTCAAAGGCACTAATTTCTATCACGGGTAGTCACACTCGAAACTTTGCTATCACAGATGAACCCTCTCATCATTTCGTTGACCCGCCCTGAAACACTCAACAGATCTAGGGACTAAATTTCGGATTGCTGGCTTTTGTCTTGTATACGCGACCATTTTGGATGCAAAGATAAGTGGTTACGTTCGAACTGACCGTACTGCTCTGTACCGTTCTCGAACGAGATATTCTCCCAAACTCTAATGAGGATTCCGTCGAGTCGGTCCGCTCCGCGCACCACTTCAACTCATCCGCGTTTTCCTGGAGTACGGCATTTGCGTGACATACCTTCCCCACTAACGGGCAAGACTTCGTGTCGGAACGGATTGCGGTGGCGTGGCGAATGCAGGGCGGCGGAAGTCGTGCGCATGGGTATGCGCAGGGGAGGGGGAACGGAAAGAAGGTTGATGCTTTTGGTTTGGAGGGTGGGAGGAATTGTCAGGGAGGGATGTAGAGATCGAGGGGGAAGTATTCAGAAAAGGCTCCGAACAATTGGTTGAAGCTGAAATAGGCAGGAACTCAAGTCAAGCCATCAGCCCAGTTCGTAGCATTTTTTTGTGTTGTGCCGCCTTCTTACTTCTCTTGTTCTCCCAGCGCCATGAAACTCGAATTGGGCTGAAGCACATCTGTACTTATCTACGAATGAGAGTTTCGCAGCCAGACGCTCTCACAGCAGTTGTTATTCAATTATTTACTCGTTGAACGATATTCAGTATTCGTAGTTACATCCTGCTATTTTTTAATTTACTGCTAGTAGTCCGCACGATGGAGCCCGAGGACGATTTGCCACCTGCCGCTGCGATCTCGCCTGACCTGGAACGGCAGGATGCGAAGGAGGCGACGGATTTCGTTAACTCTGACGGATATCGATGGCTCAAATATGGCTCCAAGTTCCTGAAACGAGGCGGTCTGAAGAGGTACACGCCGCTAGTCACTAAACCCGCTATATCTGAGCCATCGATATCCGTCAAATACGGTACGCTGGCTCCCGCATCGCTGGGCGGGGGATTTGCGGCTTTCGAGACGTATGCGCCGCTTTTTTTTTTTTGGATATGATGATCTCGTCCGACCGCCACGTCAAATCCCAATTGGTTCTTGTAGGCAGATCTACCATCACAGCAGTACTATTTTTTTACCAGTGATAACCTTAAGTCTGTCGTTCGCATGATGACGCGTTACCCCCCTTTCAAATGGCCATACTACCCGAAGAGCCTACTACCGCTGCGCGGCGAGCAACCCGCAGTACCGCACGCCGGGCGCGGAGCCGTGCAGGGCGCGGAAGCTGATCGACTACGACGCGTCCACGGGGATTATCCACGCGTCCACAGCCGTCGTGCAGCTCGCGGGATCCCCGCACAACCACCCTCCGCTGTCAGTCGTCCGTGCAGGCGCGGCAGCGTGTGTCGGCGCTGCGTGTAGCGCGCCTGGAGTTGATTCGCCTCCTCAGCAACGGCTGCAGGAACAGGGTTTGGCGGCTGGTAGTAGAGGGGGGATTCAGGATGCGGCGGAGCAGCAGCAGCAGCAGCAGCATCAACAACTACAACTAGAGCAACAGCAACAGCAACAACATTGGCCGCAGCACCGTCAGCAGCAACGGCATCGGCAACAACAACAAAACCAGCATCAACAGCAACGGCAGCATCAACCGCCGCAACAGCAGCAGCAGCATCAACCGCAGCAGCAGCAGCAGCAGCAGCAGCAGCATCAACCGCCGCAGCAGCATCAACCGCCGCAGCAGCATCAACCGCCGCCGCAGCAGCAGCAGCAGCAGCAGCAACCGCAGCAGCAGCAGCAGCAGCAGCAGCAGCAGCAGCAGCAGCAGCAGCAGCAGCAGCAGCAGCAGCAGCAGCAGCAGCAGCAGCAGCAGCAGCATCAACAGCAGCAGCAGCAGCAGCAGCAGCAGCATCAACCGCCGCAGCAGCAGCAGCAGCAGCAGCAGACATCAACGGTTTGGGCCGTCTCAAACTCTGCCCGTAAACCAATCGTCATCCCCTACTCCCGCATCCCCCCTTCACCTCTCGCCATATCGTTCCGATGTCCCGCGATTCCGTTCTCACAACAGAATCCCTTGTCGTTCAGATGATCCATCACCCGTGGCTTGGCCAATCAGCTGCCTGCAGCACCCAGCAGCACCCAGCCTTGCCAGTTCCAAAGCTTCCAGTCATGGCACCGGCATCGTTAACGGTGACGGAATCCGGAGCAGAACCCTCAGCCTCGCGTCACTCCTGCCGGTTACCGCGTGCAGCGGTGACAGGGAACGTGGGGAAAGAAAACGTCCGTATGGTGCCACTGGTACTATTAGCTCGTGCCAACCAGAGCCATGGGTCGGTAGCAGCGGCGTGAGACGGGAAGGCCCCAGCTCTCGCGTATGCAGCACGAGCATGGGCAGGGATCCGGGTTCTGACAGAACAGGTGGCCATTGCAGTGCTGGCGTTGGCGGCGGCGGTGGGAGTAATAACAATGATGGCAGCGGCAGTCCTGCTCACGTCAGCAGCCTTATGGGGCGGCGGGACGACCCCAGCTCTCACGTGTGCAGTGTGGTCAGGGACCCGGCTACAGCTGCTGTTGCAACTGCTGCTACAGCTGCTGCTGCAACTGCTGCTATAGCGGATGCCGGCGCTGCTGATACAACTGTTGCGGGTGTTGGTGCTGCTGCCCCGTTTGCCAGTGCGACCGTGGCTGCTGCTGCTGCCGCTGCTGCCACTGCTGCCGCTGCTGCCACTGCTGCTGTTCCAGCTTCTGCTGACAATGCTTTCCAGGTGATCAGTCACCCGCTTCACTCTCAACCCACAGGACAATCCGTTGCTGACCCGGTCATTCCCGACTCGAGTTGCCTGCCCATGGCTATCAGCTCCGAGCCTGCCACCGACCCTTCTGCGCCTGCCACCAACTCTTCCGAGCCTGAGGCTGATCCTGCCGAGGCTGCCGCCGGGCCGGCAGCCGGGCCTTCTACTGCCGCGCGTACCAGCAGAGCGGCGCAGGGTGCTTCAGAGAATGCGGAAAGAATGTGCATAAGCAGTGACAGGCACACCTTGCGAGATGGTAGGGCGGCGCAAAGTGCTTTCGAGAATGTTCAAAGAATCGACCCAAGCAGTGACAGACACCCGTTGCGAGATGGCAAACGAGGGGGTGTCCCGAAAAAGGAAGGGAAGGGATGGGGGACAGCAGGGATGATGGTGTCACCAGGTCAACAGGGACATGGCAGGATGGACGCTGTCACGAGAATAGAAGGGCCAGCAGGGATGATGTGTTTCCCTGTAGTGTGGTTCTCAAGTCGAGCCTCGTGGATTGGAGGGGAGGTGCGTCGGAAGCGGAAGGGGAGAGAGGGACGGGCGGATGGGGGTGGGGGGGAAGGGAGGGGGGAGAGGGACGAGGGGAGGGTGGAGGAGAGGGCGGTGAGAATGAGATGTGGGGGGAAAGGAGGAGAGGGGAGGGAGGGGAGGGAGGAGGTGGGTGTAGAGGGTGGGGTGGGATGTGATGGTAGGAGGAGGGGAGAGCTAGAGAGGTTTGGGGAGAGGGTGGGTGACGGAATGGGAACGAGGGAGAGCGAGGAAGAGAGGAGGACGTGGGAAGAGAGACGTGGCGCTCAGAGTGTGGTATTTAGTGGAGGATGCATGGTTGATTCTGCCAGGGGACGGGCAGGAGCAGCAACAACAGCAGTAGCAGTTACAGAAAGAGCAGCAGAAGCAGCAACAGCAGCAGCAACATCAGCAGAAGCAACAGCATGTACAGAAAGAGCAGCAGAAGTAGCAACAGCAGCAGCAACAGCAGCAGCAGCAGCAGTTACAGAAAGAGAAGCAGAAGAAGCAACAGCAGCTGAAGCAGCAGCAGTTACAGAAACAGCAGCAGGGAAGGAAGCAGCGAGTGTTGAGGCAGTCGAGTCTCCCTTTTGCAACGATATGTGCACTGAGCTTGGAGCTTTTGAGGCGCCTCAGGAACATGTTCAAGCTGCCTTTTGCAACGATATGTGCACTGATGCGGGTCAGGTTCGACCTCGGGAGGAGGGAGGGGAGGATCGGGAGAGGAGGGGAGAGGTGGAGAGAGAAGAGGAGGGGATGAGAGGAAGTGGAGAGATGACAGGTGGTGCGGAGATGAGAGGAGGTGGGAGAGTAACTGGCGAGGGGCGGGGGGAAACTGAGAGGGGGGGCAGTGGAGGGTGCGGTAGTGGGGACGATCGGATGTGGGCTGTGGAGATGAGAGGAGGTGGGGAGGTGAGAGAAGGCGGGGAGATGAGAGAAGGCGGGGAGATGAGAGAAGGCGGGGAGATGAGAGAAGGCGGGGAGATGAGTAGGGAGAGGGGAGCAGCACAAGGCGAGGGTGCAGCTGAGAAAAAGGAAGGGTTGAGGAGTGAGGGTGGGTTGAGAGAAGGTGGGTTGAGAGAGGGTGAATCAAGAAGGGGGGGTGAAGAGGGGGAGACAGGAGGTGCAGTTGCTGCGTTGATTGCTCTGGCTGCTGCTGCTGAGGTCAGCTGTGATGCCAGCCCGTCACCACTGGCTGCTGCTGCTGATGCTGCTGCTGCTGCTGCTGCTGCTGCTGCTGCTGCTGCTGCTGCTGCTGCTGCTGCTGCTGCTGCTGCTGCTGCTGCTGCTGCTGCTGCTGCTGCTGCTGCTGCTTCTGCTGCTGCTGATATATCCAGCCACACCCGCCCCTCCATACCGTCAGCACCTGCAGCAGCTGCAGCAGCATCAGCATCATTAGCACCAGAGGCAGCTGCACCAGCACCATCAGCAGTTGGGATACCAGCGGGAGAGGCTGTACCGAGTAAGGCTGTACCTGGGGAGGCCATGCCTGGGGAGGCTGTGCCTGGGGAGGCTGTGCCTGGGGAGGCTGTGCCTGATAAGGCTGTGCCTGATAAGGCTGTGCCTGGTAAGGCTGTACCTGGTAAGGCTGTACCTGGGGAGGCAGAAGCAGGAGGAGAAGAGAGGGAAGCAAGAGGAGAGGGGGAAGCAGGAGGGTCAGGGAAGGCAGAAGGCCGGAGACTGGGAAGGGGGGGAGCGAGAGACAGGGAACAAGGATGGGGCGGAGCAAGAGACAGGGGACGAGGAGGAGGGGAAGCAGGAGTGTTGACAAGAGCAGAAGGGCAGTGCAGAGCGAGTGGCAGATGGGGGGGAGACGAAGTTTGGGGGGCGCAAGGCCATGCATTGCCCGGCCAGGTTGCAGCAGGCCATGCATTGCCCGTCCAGGTTGCAGCAGGCCATGCATTGCCTGTCCAGGTTGCAGCAGGGCACGCAGTGCAAGGCTGGGTGGGACTGGCATTAGCCCCGCACAACAGCGTCTGCACACCCACACCATTCTCACAGCCTCACAGCAACTCCTTAGCTGTTGTTCCTATCCATGGGAAGGGAGTGCCATATGGACCGTTTCTAAGAGAGAGTATGGGGTCCCATGGTCGCTTTGAGTCGACTCAGAACGCACCTGGTCGCATGCCCATGGCTGCTCCTGTTGTTGGCTTCCCCTGTGGGGGGCCTGTGAGGCCGCCACGTGGCATGCCAGGAGGGATGCCACGTGGAGGCCTAGCGCCCCTGGCGTCAGCTCCTGTGCTGCCACCTAGCGCACTGCCATGTGGCGGGATGGCAGCGCCAGCAGTGCGTATTGTGACACCTGGCATGCTGCCACGTGGCAGGGAATGTGGGCCTGTGAACGTCCTTCCAGGGTGGAGGCCAAGTCTTCCTGTGTTCCCAGGCTTTCCCGCTTACCCAAGCCTTCCAGTGTTCCCTTACTCAGCCACGGGAGCCGTGAATGATGCAGCGATTTGGGTAGAGGGGCCCGCAGCAGCAGGAGTAAGGATGGGTGCAGTAGAGGGAGCAGGGAAAAGTGCAGCAGCAGAAGGAGCAGGGAAGGGTGCAGCAGGAGGAGCGGGGAAACATGCACCAGTGGAGGCAGAGAAGGGTCGTTCAACAGGAGTAGGGGTAAGGAAGGACGCAGCAGCAGAGGAGGCTCCACTGCTGCCATACCCACTGCACCTGCAGGAACTGGCATGTGCAGCACTGTCACACTAGTTACACCTGTGGGGACTGGCAGGACAAGCACTGGCAGGACCGGGTCAGGCAAGACTAGCATGGGGAATGGATTGGGCACTAGCAGCATGAGTGCGGGCTGTAAAGTCGAAGAATGTGCATCCTTTTTGCCGGGCACAGCTGCTGCTGCAGCAAGGGGGGCGGCAGCAGTGGGAGCGGCAGCAGCAGTGGCAGCGGCAACGGTGGCAGCGGCGGCAACAGCAGGAGGAGCAGGAGGAAAGGGAGGAGATGGGGAGAGAGGAGGGGCAGGAGGAAGGGCAGGAGGGGGGGCAGGAGGAGTAGGAGAAGCAGTGATGGCTGTGCCAGCTTTGGCAGTAGCAAGACCAGCCACAGTGGCAATAGCAGCAGCGGAGTCTGTTTGCTGCAGCACCATGGACACCAGCAGCCGGGGCAGTAGCAAAGGGAACAAATCCTCTGTTGTTGCTGCGGGTTCTGCTGTTGCTGATTTCGCAGGTGCTTCTGCCAGTTTCGTGAGAGGGAGAGAGAAGGGTGGAGGTGTGGGTGAGGGGAAATGGAGGCTTGATCATGGATTGGTGGACGCGTGTGGAAGGCGCGCTGTGCCTACTAAATTCGCTCTCACGCTGCAAAGCTTGATGCCAAAGCACGGCCTGTGATATCTGTGTACAACCATTGTGCAGTTCTATTGCAACAGTCCTATTGCACGGCCTGTGAATATTTCAGTTCTTTGGTTATGTACACCTCACTTCAATAATATTATTGGTCCAAGAGGGCGCTTGGTCCAAGCGCCATGTTGTGTATCATGTATCGTGCTGTTATTTATTTTTTTTTTTAATAAGCTTCATTTGCGGTCATAAGCAGAGAGGAGGGCTAGTCTTCTCATCCTGCCCATTGCTTTTTCCTGCAGGGACCGCAATTGAGGTGAAATCACTAGCACCTCTTTGTCAAGAATGGAACCAAAAACACTTGATTTTGCTGGATATTGTCGTCACGTTGAAATGGACTCTTCATTGATTTTTGTACCTTATACTAGAAATTTGTGATTTGTTTCCTAGTGTATAACGGCCCTTAGGAAAAGGAAAATCCTTCACGGGTGGAGCGATGTGCCACAAACGCCCAGCGGCCCTTGGCGACTGAACAGTTGATGCGTGCACGAGCTTTCCTGCCAGAACAGAGCTGTCCTGGATGGAAGCAAGTAAAAGTCGAGCAGGAGGCACCCTTTCCCAGCAGTGAAAGGGTGGACCGTACTCTTTCCCTCATCCAACTCGCACTTCTGTGAGATTGGTAATGGCAGCACAGATATTGGATACTTCGCATAATTTGTGTAATGTCCAGTGCCGCATTTTTAGAACTAGTTCGGATGGATAGCCCGTGTGGATGTCACACATAACCACGGTGGTTGATTAGGTTCCTCGAAAGAACGACGACGGCCAACAATGCCATCCGATCAAGCCTCCCGCCGCAATACACCTGATGCCCAGTTGGCCCGGTTACCGCCGCAAGACGCCTGTCACCGCCACTTCGGTCCTTTCTTGAGGAAAGTGCAGGGCTAGAGGTGTCGTTTTTTTCAATTGGACACCGTCAATAGACTGTACACCTCAAAGTTTCCCGTCCCGTCATCCCAACGGTCTGTCGTTTTCATTCAGAACAGTCCAGCTTGAGCGGCAAGCGCTGGAGCAGATTGGGGAAACGGGCAAGTGAATGATTTGAAAAGGAAGATTGCACTTTCTTTGTTGGTGTCATCGCAACATACGGGGAAACACAACCGTCGGGCAGTCGAAGCTAATGCGCCCAAATCTGTTCACAGCGGCGCAACTCGAACGGAAACTGGTCAGGTCAAGAGCATGCATCAGTCAGAGCTCGACGGAACGGGTGTGGACCAATCATTTGAGTGCCCAAAACCAGGAAAAGCAGACGGAGATGGAACCGCTTGGGTCAGAAGGCAGCGCGCAGACGTGGATCTACCATGAATCCCGTCAACTTCCTAACGGCATTCTTCAGGGTTCCAGAATCCATGGCTGCTCCGCTACGTTTTGCTCAGCTTCGCGACAGAGGCAGCAATAAGAGGAGATAGACAACAAAGCAAGACCCGTATGCGTTTTTTGGAAGCAGCAAGAATTGTTTGGTGGGCATCAGCAAGATGAGCAGTGCTGCTGCTGCAGTGGTCTTCAGCAATCTGGACGAACACCCAAACCGGCGGCCATATTCAGCAGCAGCACTGGTGATTGCTCGTGACTCGTCGCGACGCGAACTGCGACTTAGTGTCTTTTGTTCGGTCTGCTGTTTCCCTCTGCTTCTAGAGCGCGAACACTGCTTCTAGATTGCTCGACGTGTTTTATTGGGGAGTCACTGCACTGCCAGATCTCCTTTGCTTCTGTCTCTATTAGTCAAACACCCACTCAGCAATGCGGTCCTTTTTTGAAAAAAGAAAGCAGCTCCGTTGAGAAAGCAGATTACATTCAGCAGGCATCGCCATTCCAGCTCTGTCGCGGACGTTGAATCGTCAGATTGCAGCTTCGCAGCCATAGCTGGGTTATCCCAATTTCCTTGGCTCCTTCGCCTACCTATTGCAAGCAATCATCAGCGCGGTCAGGCGCACATCGGCAGCAGCAGTGAATCACCTGATTGTCAGGCCAACATCCATCGTCGCTTCCTGAACTGAGTCCACTGTTGGGAATACTGTACTAGGACTAATCCACTCATCTTCAGTGGTAGTTCTAGCGACGCCGCTGGAAGCGCTACTACCGCCGCACCACACAGCACAGCACTGCACGACGCGGCAACGATCATAACCGCATCGCAGCTTACCGCATCTCGCGTCGCCGCGACTGGCACCGTGATTGCAGTTTTCGCTCCTGACCCGGCAATTCCACAACCATTTACAATCTCCGTGCATTGTCTTGACCGGCAGCTTCAGGGTTTCGTCCCGCCCAGATCCGTGCTTTACGGTAACTTTCAGGGTTGAGCCACTTCCGTCGAGCCGGTTCGTTGCCAGCCTGCCACTTGGAGCGACGGGCTCGGTCACGAGTCACGCGTCCGAACATCATAAGAGGCGTCATTTTCTCCGCCAGGGTCATTTTTCGGATCTTCTCCTTGTCAGTTCTCGGCCTGACGCGTGGAATCTCCGCGGTAACAACCCGCTTGAAACGCCAACCACTGTTAACAGAACAGCTCCGTGTGATTCTCCCCGGCCAATCAAGAGGTTCGCCCTTCGCCGCCATGAATCATCCGCCGTCTCTCCGCGAGCTAGCAGCCATGGTGTCTCCCGGCGCGCCTTTCGCCCAAGTCCTCGCGCCGAACGCGGCGCGAGGACAGTTCTTCTACGGGTTTACCGCTCCGCCGCCTTTGCCGTCACCGTCGCCGTCGCCGGCGTCAGCGGCCCCAGCGCCGCCATTGCCTGCCACAGCAGCATCGTTCCCAGCGTTGTCAACATTCCCCGCATCATTCGCCATGGGTTTTAAACGACATGGCGGTCCTGAATCGCGCGGCCTTACCCGGAGCGCCGCCGGCGACGATCCCGCAAATGTCGTTCGACGCGATTCCGCAAATGACGCCGGAATTGATTCGCCAGATACACCTCCTCGCGAGCAGCCAATACGGCGCGCCGCCGTGTTCCCCGCAAGGCGGAGGCGTGGACGGCTGCGGAGATCGAAGCGGCGAGCGGGGGAACGGCGGGAGTGGAGACAGCGCCTCCGCGGCGATCGCAGTAGCCGCAGCCGCAGCCGCAGCCGCAGCAGCCGCGGCAGGGAAGACGAATAACCATCTGTCGAGCGCTTATGCTGGCCGCAATGGCTTATTGGGGACCCTCCCTTTTCCGTTCTCGGAGAGCGACGCGGCCGTCAGCTGTCCTGTTGGCACTGCTGCTACTGCTAGCACCACTATTCGCGGAATCGTCGATCAGCCCCCGCGTTCTAATTTTCCCTTGCAATCTCAACATCCATCCACGCCGCTCGTTCCGTCATTCGCGCCGTCCGCGCTCCTCGCTGCATCTCGAGGGCCCCACGTCGTCCAGCAGCCCACAGGCGGAACTCCGCCGCTCGCTGTGGCGGAAACGGATCGACCCGCAGCGCGTCAGCCCTTAACGCGTCGCCCATCGGCGGACGGTGCGACGTCGGCCGATATTATGAGTTCCAAGAGAGGTCTCAAGAGAATCGGCTGCGCTGGTGCTGATTCGGCGGCGGAAAACAACACGAGCGCGGTACTACCTGCGACTGCCGCTGCCTCCGCCTCTGCGGTCCGGCGCCGCCGCGGGAGCAGGGGCTTCGCCGCGGGCGACGGCGCAAGCTCCGGCAGAAGCTCCAGCGGAGGCGGCGATAGCCCCCGGGCGGGGGATGAACCCGCGGAAGCAGCGGGAGCGCCGGCGCCCGCGGCGGCAGCGGAAGCGGAAGCGACGGCGGCAGCAACAGCGGCGTGGGAGCAGCACCAGTGGTCGCGCGGACTGGCGGAGCTGGTGGGCGCGGACGGGCACCGGTGGCTCAAGTACGGCGCGAAGAAGCTCAGCACGAAGAACGGCGGCCAGCGCAGGGCGTACTACCGCTGCGCGGCCAGCTCCCCCCACCACCGCACAGCAGGGTCCGCCCCGTGCCCCGCGCGCAAGGTGGTGAACTCGCACCCTCTGCGCCCCTTCAACCTGAGCGCTGTGACTGTGGAGTATCTATGTGAACACAACCACCCTGTGGACGGGGAGCGCGTGGTTGTGCGTGACTATAAAGGGCGTCGGGTTCCGCGCGCTGGGGAGGAGGGTGCTGCTGGTGAGGATGGGGTGCTGGTGCGGAGTGCTGATGTCAGCCCGACCGTTGCTGCTGATGGCGAAGCCTGGACTGCTGTTGATGGTGGTATTGGTGCTGCTGCTGCTGCTGCTGCTGCTGCTGCTGTTGCTGCTGCTTCTGCTGCTGCCGGCAATGACAGGGTTTTGTTGCATGATGAGTTTCTTTTTGAGGACGACACTCCTCAGCTTAGAGATTTCATGGGTGTGGGTGGCAAGGAGAGCCAAGGAACGTGTGTAAAAGGTGCGGCGGAGCACGATTTTTCTCGCAGCAACAGTAGTGTTACGGAACAATGTGTCGAACCTGTGGAGCAGCTTTTATTGAGAACAGGTCCAGCAGAGGGCAGGGGGAGTGAGGGTGTTGATGGTGAAGTGGATGTGGAACTGCATCTAGCCTACTCGTATGGCAGTGCAGAGCAGCGACTTGACCGTTCTGATTATCAGGATAAACCCTTCGCTGGGAGGAATGAGGGGGTTGAGGGTTGTCAAACAGGTCTCAAAAGAATGAGGTTCAGTGAGGGTGGCTGCTACACTGGGTTTTTTGGAATGGGTGCAGTTGCATAAAGGTGCACAGCATGCACGAAATTTTGACTTATTGATCGTGTTCATGCTTCATTCATGCTTGCCTTTCTTGGTTTTTTTGCTTGTGTTTGTTTCTAGAATTGCTCATAATATAGTGGCTTGCATAACCTTGTAATGGCAGTTTGCGTAATGCATTTTGTTGTGTTCTACAGCAACTACTCTTTGCAACCTGGTCACCTAGAGGTTCGCGAACCACGCATGAGTCGTCGTGGGTCCGAGTCAAGGGTGGCGTGTGCCTTGTAGCACAGGCGTGGGTGTAAGTCAGCTCACAAGTCTGCTGACGCTTTGCTGCTCACGGCTATGTAGGGAACCCACGTTACCACCGACCTATCACAACGGGGTGATACCTCGATGAGAACAGCGAAACCGTTTGCGAGAGTAACATCACTTCTTCCCCTCGTTTCAGTCAACATTCCATGGGGACCATCCCTGGGATTACCGACGGCGCAATCCCTTTCAAGCGAAATCGCGTTCCTCTTCTGCCACCCAGCCTGCCCGTACCGCCTTGCGTGAACTGACTGATCACTCGCCCGACCACGCTGAATGTGTGACCGCAGCAAACTCCGAACCTCGACTAGATCCTCACCAAGCCGCCTTTCCAGCCTCGTGCAGATTGCTGCTTGGGCAACCCCAGGCCTCAAAACAAACAGTTCGGCAAGTCTGTTGCGCGACGAATTTCCGAGCCAAGATGGTTACCATCTCCGAACCCTTGGCCTAACCTCCCGAGCAGCCCGCCGTCCAAGTTTGTTCCAACGGGTTTGGTACTGGATGCCCGTGCGGGCAGCCCAACGAAAAGCAGCACACAGTGTGCGGGTGTGTGGTGGGTCAGCTTGACCCTGCCTGCCTGGCCCAGAAAAAAACTCGGGTCATGCAGCCCATGAAACCCCGCATTCCGGCTAACGCGCACAGACCAATGGTGGAACAGCAGCAGTTGGTCAGAAACACAAACGGACGGACCCGATGAAAACACGCTGAAGCGGATGAATCACGCGACTCACAGCTCCTTTCTCAGATGCTTTTTTTTTATCTTGGGTGGCATGTGTAGTCTGGACTTACGACCCTAGAACCAGCTTACTGGATTGCGGAATATGCTTTAGGTTGCATAGTTGCCTCGTCAGCCAGGTGAATGACGTGGAACGATAACCAGTTGGTTTTGCTTCCCCACCAGCAGCTGCAAGTAGTATACTGGTGACGCGTCGTAGCTCTTAGATTACGGACGGCAGTGTGCTGTCAGGGATGTGACGATTTAGCGAATTACTAGTTAGATGCTACAATGTTTCTCCATAGTTCCATGGTTCGTCATAGACTTCCATGGTTCGTCGTAGACTCTGACATCTAGACACTAGCGCCGGTTTGTGTTGGTCAGCTGAGAGACGCACTGTGATGAGATTTAGGGTTACAAGCATTTCGGTGTCAAAACTCCAGCGATGGCTTCCGACTGTGTAAGAAGAGGGAAACTCGTTTCCGCATTATTGTTCCACGCGAGACGGCCGTCAACTTTCATACTTAGTTTGTTTCTTATTCTTCTATTACTGCCCACACTCCCATTGGGCGTAGATTCGTTCTCCTTCCACAGCTCGCACCATACCCGTCGACCAACTTCTGTAAAATACGTCCGAGCCTCTTCCCGAACCTCGTCCCAATCTTCGTCACGACCGTTGCAATCGTCCTGGGCGGAGCGGCCGCGACACGACAATGACACTAGTTGGCCTCCGCCAGTCATATCCGTTCTGCATTTCTCAGGCGCCGTTGCTCTCGAGTCCAATTCAACGGATCAGATGTCTCCACGTGGACTGTCAGAGATGCAGTCGCGGCTTCATGGAAGCATCCGCACGGACGGGTGCGTTCTTATCGGAGTTTGAACCGCAATAAGCCTGATTTCAGGCATAGCATTCGCGGGGTGGGATTGCTTTAGGATGCATTTATCCGAGGGTTTACTCGATGAATTCCTTCTCTTATGCGAAACCCTAACGTTGCAGCACCATGATTTCCACACTCCTTCGTTTGCTTTATTTGTCTCACCAACACCTCTGTTTCTCTCTCTATGCCCTTCCGTCCCTTTTGCGCCACCTCCCTGCTTTCTACCACCAACCCCGTTCCTTCCCCACATCACCCACCCACCCCCCCTTCAACCCCCCTCCCCTCTCCCCCGCGTCTTGCTTTCCCCCTCACTCTCCCCTCTCTGCTGGGTCCTTCATTCTTTCCCCTCCCCCGTTCCCGCCTCTCCCCTCCCCCTTCCCCCCTTCCGCGCGCAGCTATTACTTTGGACGCGTGTCACCTTATTTTAGGCGCCTCAAAACTCGTCCCCCCACCCTTCCCTTCTCCCCTTCCCCTTCCCCCTTCCGCGTGCAGCTATTACTCAGTGGACGTTTGGATCGGGTCGCCGCCGCGCAAGTTCTCTCTCATGGTGGACACGGGCAGCGCGCTCACCATCGTGCCGTGCTCCTCCTGCTCGCCGTGCGGCGCTCACATGGTAAGGCGCTCGGGTTACCACGTAACATGCGCGTTTCCGTGCCTCGCAAGGTATCCCTCATGGTGGAACCAGTGGAACCATTGCAACCATTGCACGGATGACAGGTGAGACATTATATAAGATTTTATTTGCGCTGCCTCACGTGATTCCTCTGTTCTCCGATTCCACTCCCCCCTCCTCCCATCCGCCCTGCGCCCTCCGCAGAATCCCCCCTATTCCCCTTCCGCCTCCGCCTCCTACCTCCCCGTGTCCTGCCGCGGGGACCCCTGCGCGGGGAACCGCTGCGATCGCCAGCAGCGCTGCGCGTACTCGCGGCGATACGCGGAGGAGAGCACCAGCGACGGCTTTCTCTCCTCCGACCTCGTTTCCTTCTCCGCTCCCCCTCCCCTCCCGCGCCCGCCGCGTCCGCCGCCGTTGTTCCCAAGGAGGAGCGCGCTTCCGCCCGCGAAGGCTCCCGGCCTTCCGCTTCCTCCTCCTTTTCGTTTTTCTCCTGGTGGTGGTGGCCGTTTTCCCCCTCCCCTTCCGCCGTCGCTTCCGCCTCTTCCGCGTCGTCTCCCCCTTCCTCATCCGCCCATGCGCAAGCTTCCCCCGCTTCCCCCTCCTCTTCCTCCGCGACTTCTGCGCAAGTCCAGTCTTCCGCCCCTGGCCCCGTTCCGCCGCTTCCGCGCGTGCTATTCGGGTGCGCAGAGGCGGAAACGGGCGCGCTTTCCCGCCAAGCGGCGGACGGCGTGCTAGGGCTCGGACGGGGGGCGTACAGCCTGCTGGCGCAACTAGTGAGCGCGCGCGCAGTCGCCGCGGAGGTCTTCTCTATTTGCTACGGCGGAGGGGGAGGCGCAGCGGAATCCGCGGAACTGGCGAAAGGCGCGGGGAACGGGGGGAGTGGCTGGGGTTTGTGGCGGCGGAAGGGGGGGATGGGGAGTGGAGGAGGGAAGGGCGGGGGAGGGGCGGGAGGGGAGGGGGAAATGGGGAGGCTGGGGGGTGAGCGCGGGGCGATGATCATGGGGCCTGTGGGGCTGCGCGCGCCTGCGGTGATGCAATACACGGCGTTCGACCGCATGCGCGTGTGAGTAGTGATTAGCGCATGTGAGGGGGTGGTTTTTCCAGCTGAGCGGGTGCTTGCGCATGTGAGGGGGTGGTTTTTCCAGCTGAGCGGGTGCTTGCGCATGTGAGGGGGTGGTTTTTCCAGCTGAGCGGGTGCTTGCGCATGTGAGGGGGTGGTTTTTCCAGCTGAGCGGGTGCTTGCGCACGTGAGGGGGTGGTTTTTCCAGCTGAGCGGGTGCTTGCGCAGGTGAGCGAGTGGTTTGCACGCACCTGCGGTGCTGCATGCAGTACACGGGCTTCGACCGCATGTGCATGTGAGGGGATGGTTTGTGCGTTTGTGGGTGGTTGTTCCCCAAATCGTCATAGCGGGAGATCCTCCCCCAGTGGAGGACGCGCCGCTGCTCTGCTCCTCCAGCTGGTTGCTTACTGGTTGGTTGCTCTCCTCTCCTCTCCTCTCCTCTCCTCTCCCACTTCCTCCCCGCATCCTCAGGGGCACGCTGTTCCATCAGGTGGTGGTGTCGCAGATCCTTATAACGAGGGATCCTCTCAGGTCGTTGTTGACAGCCGCACCTCCTTCTCCTACCTGCCTCCCACTCACTCCACCGCCCCGTTTCCTCCTCTCCCCTCTCCCCTCTCCCTCTCCCCTCTCCCCTCTCCCCTCTCCCCTCTCCCCTCTCCCCTCTCCCCTCTCCCCTCTCCCCTCTCTCTTCCCCCCTTCTCTCCCTCGCCCCCTCCTGTTTCTCTCCCCTTTCCCCGCACCCCCAGAGGCACGCCGTTTTATCAGGTGGTGGTATCGCAGATACTCATAGCAGGGGAGCCTCCCCCAGTGGAGGACGCCCCTCTGCTCTTCTCCTCCGGCTGGTTGCTTACTAGATGCTCTCCTCTCCCTCTTCCTCCCCGCACCCCAGAGGCACACCGTTCTATCAGGTGGTGGTATCGCAGATACTCATAGCAGGGGAGCCTCTCCCCGTGGAGGACGCCCCGCTGCTCTTCTCCTCCGGCTTTGGGGTCGTTGTTGACAGCGGCACCTCCTTCTCGTACCTGCCGGCGCCGCTGTTTGAGGCGTTCAAGCACAGCATCATGGCGCGCGTGGCCAGGGGCGTCAAGATGCTGACGGACACAGAGCCGCAGTACCAGAGCATGTGCTTCCGATCCACCTCCTGGACTGCATTGTGAGTGTGGTCATGGGTTGCGTGTGAGTGACGCTGCTGCTGCTGGCCTATGGGAACCTGTCTTCTGAGTCTTGGCTGTGAGATCACCCAAGGCAACACGAGTGGCCCGCGGGGTGAAGATGCTGCTGACGGACACAGAGCCGCAGTACCAGAGCATGTGCTTTCGATCCACCTCCTGGACTGCATTGTGAGTGCCACAGTGGTCTGTCCGGGTTTTGGGGACACTGCCCGAGTGTCTTCTCTCCCTTAGCTTTGAATGCACCTGGCAAGGAAATGGTCCTTTGAAATCCCTATTTGAAATCCCTTTTTGAAATCCCTATTTGAAATCCCTAATTGAAATCCCTATTTGAAATCCCTGTTTGAAATCCCTATTTGAAATCCCTATTTGAAATCCCTATTTGAAATCCCTATTTGAAATCCCTATTTCCCTCCTCCGTAATTCGCCTTCCCCGTGCAGGCAAGCCTCCACGCTCGGCTCTTTCTTTCCCTCGGTGGAGGTGGTATTTGGGGAGGGCGCCATCTACCGCCTCTTCCATCACCGCAAGCACCTTGCTACCTCCCTCACCGCTCCCCTGCTGCCCCCTTGGGATTCCCCCCACACCCACCCCTCGTCTTCCTGCAGGCAAGCCTCCACGCTCGGCTCGTTCTTCCCGTCGGTGGAGGTGGTATTTGGGGAAGGCGCCGTCTACCGCCTGGACCCCGAGAACTTCCTCTTCCAGCATCGCAAGCGCAGCGGCGTGTTCTGCATCGGGGTCTTCCCCAACCCCGACCAGGGCACCATCCTTGGCGGTGAGTGGCTTGATTGACTTGGGTTGAGTGACTTGCATGTGCACGTCTGCTGCTCATCATATCCCCTCTTTGCCCTCTCATCACCATGTATCCCCACAGGTCTCATGTTCCGCAACACCATGTTGACCTTTGACCGGGTCAACGACCGCCTGGGGTTCTGGAAGACTCCCTGCGACCAGCTCATGTCGCACATTGTCTCACCTGGCGCGCCTGGTTCGGAACCAGGTCCGGAGCCAGGTTTGGATGCAGGCTCGGAACCTGGTTCGGAACCTGGGTCGGGATTAGGGGAAGAATTAGGCTCGGATATACGGCCTGCACCAAGGAGAGTGAATCCGTTAGGAAGGGGCAGGGATCCCCGGGACCCTTACACAGAGGAGCAGGCTCACCCTGGCGGAGGTTCGGCAGCAGGCGTGGGTCCAGGCTCGGGTGGACCCAAACCTGACGACGGCATCCTCCGAACCAGTGTTCCCACTTCAAAGGATGTGCCTGCCAAGGATGTGACTGTAAGAGATGTGGCTGTAGGAGGCGGCAGCAGCAGCAGCAGCAGCAGTGCGAGCAGCAGAAGCAAGCGGGCGCCAGACGCAGGGCCAGCAGGAGGAGACGACGACATGGCGATGGTGTGGGCGGTGGCGGACGCCATGCCGTCATATCGCCCTGTGGACTCCACGGGGTGTGCGGGGTGCGCCAGCCACGTTGACATGGAGCTGCGCTTCCCCCTGCTCTCGTCCGCACAGCTGGATGCTCTGGAAGGGCAGCTGACGGATGAGCTGATTCGAGAATTATTGCTGGAGCCGGGCCAGGTGAGGGCACAGGGGGGCGGGATGGTAGGGGCGTAGGGGTGCAAGGGGTGGAAATGGTTTGACTGGACGCATTGGAAGGGCAGCTCACAGTTGAGTTCATTCGGGAACTGCTGTTGGATCCGGGGCAGGTGAGATAGCAAAGAGAGGAGAGGGGCAAGGTGAGGTTGGCAAAGAGAGGAGAGGAGTTGAGACTTGGTAAAAATACGCTGTTATGTGCTGCCAGGGCAGCTTAGGAACCAGCTCACCTGAGTGCTCGTGTGCGAGCCAGGCCTCACCCCTCCCTCCCCACACTCCCCACTTTTCACCCCTGGCTTTGCCCCCTTCTTCCCTCGAGCAGGTGGTGATTCAGAGTGTGTGGGGTACGAGTCCCAGCGGGGCAGCAGCGGAGGTGTGGTTGGTGCCGTATGCGGGCACTACCTTCCTGCCCGCCATCACCGTGCAGCGAGTGGAAACCACCATCCGCCAGCACGCCATGCATCTCTCTCCCCCGTTTGGCCCCTACAACCTCAGCTCATTCAACGCGCCGCCGCCTGACTTCTCTGGGTGGGTGTCAGAGTGGGTGTGAAGGTGGTGTGAACGTGATGTGAAGGTGGGTGCTTCTCATGCCATCTCTTACCATGCCATGCATCCTCCCTTCCCCCTCTCCGCCCCTCGGTCACCCCCATCCATCTTCCCTTCCCTCGCCCCTCATCCCACCCGCATCCTTCTTCTCTTCCCCCTCTCCTTACCTTACCGTGCCCCTCTCCTTGCGCCTCATCCATCTCCCCTCCGTTTTCCCCCTCTCCTCCCCTCCCCCCTCCAGCAGCGCGGCCCAATCTCACTCCAAGCCGCAGCTGCGTTGGCTGTGGTTCCTCGTGGCAATCCCCCTCTTCCTCCTCTGTATCGCTGCTGCTGTCTGGTTCCGAGTGGGACGGAAGGAGGCCGAGAGCGAGGCCGGGAGGAAGAGATTCGTGACAGTGGGGAGGCGGTTGCAGCAGGAGGCTATGGAGAGTGAGAGGAGCGAGAGGATGGAGCGGCATGATAGAATAGAGCGGTTTGAGCGGCATAATAAGATGATTGCGCTGACTGCTCAAGGCTCGGGCCCGTCGCCGAAGCAAGCCACCGGGCCCGGGTCGATGAGCGGGAGTATACATTGACTTCTGAATGTATGCCGAAGATTTATACGCTAGCTTGTAAAGAAAAGATGATTTAACAACATTCTTGATTAGTTGCATACTGAGTTGTATATGCAGACAAGCATGAAATTGTTTTTATATTACAAAGGCTCACGCGTCTTCCGCCGGCAAAGTATCTGCTGTACCATATCACCATTCTGAGCTTAATGTTACACTTAACTATTTCACCAGGAAATGGTTTTAACGGATATAGCAGAGAAAATTGGGATGTACCGTGATAGTTTCCTGGAACTGCCAGCAACAAACGGTAGAATTACTATACCCTTCAGAAATACATGTAAGGGCGTATCCATCTTCGGATCATGAGCACCGTTCCGGGCATCCGCGATTTGCGGATGACCCAGACAACATTAAAGGCCACTTTGGGTCCTCCGAACTCATGCGACCCCCAGAGAGTCGCGAGGGTTTCGCGCCAAAATCACGCTCCCCACAACAGTCGCATCCAATGGAAGGATGCCTAAACAGTTCGAAAGATCCTTAGCAAAACCATGCGAAGCCCACCGAAAAAACACAATCGTCAAAATTCCTGGCCTGAATCCCCAAATGTTGGGAGGGTGACGCGGGAAATTTTAGACACACTCATGGTCACTGGGGTCAATTTGCCGAGTGGTTGGGTGCAAAGGTGAAAGACGTAGGACATTGCCCACATGCAACCCTCGACTGACGACCGCAAAAAAAATGGCAGTCAATACAGAATCGTGCAGCCAGGTGATTGGTTGGAGGTGGGTCGTGCCCGTCAGTTGCCCAACATCTGCACATTAACCCAAAGCTGGGGCCTCGCGCGGCTCGGTAGCCCACTTCGGGTCATGCGCAAATTCCGCATGACCCGAACAGTAGCCAGAACAGTGCTCATGACACGAACATGGCTACGCCCTAAGGTGATATGTTTCTTTTACTTGCAATCTGACAAGCACTTTATCTCTTACCTTGGGCTGCTGAAGACTCCTCACCACAACAATCTCCAATACGGTAAAAAGGATAGAAAAAGGCAAATGCACAGGCAGTCTCCATCCATCATTCCTGTGACTTAACATATGCTACTCACAACCTCACACGCTTTGGGACCCTCTTGTCATGTTGCTACAATACACCTATCCTGGCCCCGTACTACTAACCACCTATCCATTGCCCAGAATGAACGGCCCATCTGCAGCCTATCTGTTAATAGACCTGTCAAGAGGTCTATCTGATCTTGAGGCCTGCCAGGTGGCTGGCTGTTTGCAGTGCAGCGCAGTCAGGTGTCCTGTTTGCAGCGCAGCGCAATCAGGTGTTCTGTTTGCAGTGCAGCCCAATCAGGTGTTCTTTTCCAGCTGGGCCAGTGCAGGTGTGAGGTAGTTGTTGGCCCGGTCTGGTAGATGAGCCACCTGATAGAGGGAGAGAGAGAGGGGGAGAGTGAGAAGGGGAGAGTGAGAAGGAGAGAGTGAGGGGGGGAGAATGAGAGGGGGAGAATGAGAGGGGGAGAATGAGAGGGGGAGAGTGAGAGAGGGAGAGTGAGAGGGTGAGAGTGAGAGGGAGAGAGTGAGAGGGAGAGAGTGAGAGGGAGAGAGTGAGAGGGAGAGAGTGAGAGGGAGAGAGTGAGCGGAAGAGGGTGAGGGGGAAATGAAGGGTGAGAGGGAGAGAGTGAGGGGAGAGAGAGAGAGAGAGAGAGAGAGAGAGAGAGAGAGAGAGAGAGAGAGAGAGAGAGAGAGAGAGAGAGAGAGAGAGAGAGAGAGAGAGAGAGCGAGAGAGAGAGAGTGAGTGAGAGTGAGAGTGAGAGGGAGTGAACGGGAGAGAGAGGGGAGAGAGTGAGAGGGAGAGGGAGAATGTGTTGGAGAGACATGGTGAGAGGGAGATAGGGTGAGCAGGTGCATGAGGAAAGAGTAACAGCAACTTCAGCAATTGAATCAATGGCGTAAACTAAGTTGCAATAAACGCTCAGGCCTGTTTGCGTATAGCGGATATCCGCTTGCGTATACACGCAACATGCTATACGCAAGCGAATCCGCTATACGCTCGGCAAATTTGTTTTGGGGCAGCCCAGGCGGAAAAAAATTCAAACATACGGAAAGATGCGGAATTTCACGACGTGCGTTTTGCCGAAGGCGAATTGTCGTGTCTTAATCTTATTATTGGCGAATGTGTGTATGGTGTCGTAATCTTATTATGGGAAAAAAAAAACTGTGCTGCAAAACCCCCAAAATGCCCCACCCCTCCTCCCCCCCAAACATCCCCAAGTGGTTTTTTTTGCCCTGCCCGGGAAAGTTTTTTCCCTGCCCGGAAAAGCGTATTCCAAAGTCAACCCCCAAGCGGATAGCGTGTATACGCTAGCGTATAACGATAAGCGTATATACGCTATAAGCGTATATTGCAACGCGTAAAGAGACAAAGGTTGGAGCAGGAGTGTTGCCCTCACCAGCTCATAGAGTCCCGAGTTGTCCGTATACTCATAGCAGATCTGCATGGCAGAGATCAGATCAAAGCAGATTAGATATCAGATTAGATCGACACGGAGCAGACCATAACAGCCCACACCAGGAAAGGGAACAGAGGGATTGAAAGAGTTGGCTTCTTATGGGAAACGAAAAGGTGAAGTGAATAAAACTGACTGACGATTGATATGGATAGCACGCAAGCAGTAAGTACAGGGGATGGTGCAAGTGACCACATTTACATGGTTACCACTCACATGGTGATCACATCTTCGTGGTTACCACTCACATGGTGATCACATCTTCGTGGTTACCACTCACATGGTGATCACATCTTTGTGGTTACCACTCACGTAATGATCACATCTTCGTGGTTACCACATTCACATGGTTGCCACATTCACTTACATCGAAGCTCTTGTTACGCGCTGTCGGGTCGTGAAGAGACTTCACACACACGTCTGCCACGTCAGCACAGCTTATACCCTGACGTATGTGTGCGTGGGGGGGACGAAGGGAGGGGGCAACGAGGGTTGAGAAGTGTTAGCAGGTAAGGTAGCGATGGGGGTTGGCAGGACAGGGTAATTGTAGGCAGCTTTTGAGGCGCCTCACAGATGCACAGAGAACACCCTCCCACCCCCTCCTTCCCTCACCACGCCCACCCACCCACCACACTCACCTGTGTGATTCTGTTCCCCTAATCGAACACCAAAGCCTTCCCTCCCTCCCGACCCTCACATATCACAAAGCATACAGGTGTGTTATGAGTCGACTCAAAACTCACCTCAACACGTGCATTTCCCACCTGCGTGATTCTGTTTCCCTTAGTCGAAACACCAGAGCCTTCCTTCCCACCCCTCCTTACCTCACCCCACACACCGACCACACCCACCTGCGTAATTCTGTTCCCCTAGTCGAACAGCAGAGCCTTCCTTCCCACCCCTCCTTACCTCACCCCACACACCGACCACACCCACCTGCGTGATTCTGTTCCCCTAGTCGGACAGCAGAGCCTTCCTTTCCACCCCTCCTTACCTCACCTCACCCCACACACCCACACACTCTCACCTGCGTGATTCTGTTCCCCTGGTCCAACACCGGTGCCTTCTCTCCCACCCCCTTTTTACCTCACCCCACACACCGACCACACCCACCTGCGTGATTCTGTTCCCTTGGTCGAACACTAGTGCCTTCCTCCCACCCGGCTCCTCCAGCAGCGGCCCTGGGCGCACAATGGTGTATCCCAGCCCGCTGTTGCGCAGATGGGTCTCTGCCGCCTGCAAGTCGTGGGGGGGGAAGACAAAGAGAGGGGAGGGGGGGGGGGGGGAGGAGGGGGGGTTAACCGGCTCGGTCAACAGAGGCCCTGCCTCCTCCAGCAGCGGCCCTGGGCGCACAATGGTATACCCCAGCCCTCTGATGCGCAGATGCGTCTCTGCTGCCTGCTCACACATGGTAGGAGGGGTAATACAGAGCGTTCAGGGGAGAGTAGGCGCATTTCATATGATAGAGTCTTCATAAAACAGATGAGAAACTAATTGTTTTAGGTGCCTTCAATAGGAGGCGTACCCTCTTGGTGTAACCACACTCTCTCGCCTATTGGTGTAACCACACTCTCTCTCGCCTCTTGGTGTAACCACACTCTCTCGCCTATTGGTGTAACCACACTCTCTCTCGCCTCTTGGTGTAACCACACTCTCTCTCGCCTCTTGGTGTAACCACACTCTCTCTCGCCTCTTGGTGTAACCACACTCTCTCTCGCCTCTGAGCTACAATGTCCGCCTCGTTTCTGAAGTGCATAGCACCTGGTCTTTCGACCGTCATTCAGCACTCCAGCTCCAGAACACAAAAAAACCGAGTCTGAACTCCCCCAAACCGTCCTGGCAAGCTGGCATGGATTGCAGAGCACAGAGCGCTCACCATCTTGGCTTTAACCACTCTCTCTCTGCTCTCCTCTGGTACTCCTGCTCCCGAGCATGACACCAACACGAAGTCCGTCTCCTCTCCCCCCTGCAGTCCCACATGCAGGCACACACACATACACCCACACAGAGGGAACACACAGACACGAGCAGACACACAGAAAAAGAGAGGAGGGGGGTAAGCATATGTTGCAGCGTGGTGGCAGCATATGTTGCAGCGTGTTGGCAGCATATGTTGCAGCGTGTTGGCAGCATATGTTGCAGCGTGTTGGCAGCATATGTTGCAGCGTGTTGGCAGCATATGTTGCAGCGTGTTGGCAGCATATGTTGCAGCGTGGTGGCAGCATATGTTGCAGCGTGTTGGCAGCATATGTTGCAGCGTGTTGGCAGCATATGTTGCAGCGTGTTGGCAGCATATGTTGCAGCGTGTTGGCAGCATATGTTGCAGCGTGTTGGCAGCATATGTTGCAGCGTGTTGGCAGCATATGTTGCAGCGTGTTGGCAGCATATACTGGCAGTAATTCTCCCGAGCATGACGCCAACACAAGGACCGTCTTCTCTCCCTCCCCCTCCCCTCCTTCCCCCTTTCATTTCTTCTCAACCCTCTCCCACGTCCTCTCCTCCGCTGCCCAGACACTCACAGGGAAGCCTTGTCGTACTGCAGTGCAGTGCTGAGCTAGAAGCTGTTTGGGTCCGCATGGGCGGCAGCTTGAGTTGAAACAAGCACATAACCCCCCCCCTCCTCCCCGCCCTCCCTCCCCCTGTTCGCACGCGGAAGGCCTTGAAGTACTGCAGTGCTGAGCTTGAAGATGCTTGGGCTAGCACATGCAGCAGCTTGAGTTGACACAATCAAATGGCGCCCCTCCCCCTCCTCCCCCCCTCTCTCCACCTCGCCTCCCCCCCCACGACACTCACAGGGAAGGCTTTGACGTATTGCAGGGCGAGCTTGAAGCTGTTTGGGTCAGCAGGGGCGGCGGCATTGTCCCCTTCCGCCCCGGCCTTGGATGCCGCCCGGCCCGGTGGCAGGGGCGCCGCCACGGATGGTTTCTGGTGAAATTGGAGGGAGAAAGGGGTGAGGAGAGCAGTGAAGAGGGGTACAGAGGGGTGAAGAGGGGTAGAGCAGGGTGAAGGGGGAGAGAGTGGTGAAGAGCGGTAGAAAGCGGCAGTCCGAAAGATTCCGCATACAGTTTTTGCAATTTACCAAACCTATTCTGCACTTCAAAGCTTGTTAAACCCATTCTATCCCTCGTGGCTCATGTACCCCCTCCGCTGAGAGTAATTCATCATGCGAGGTTGCTTGTGTCGCAGTGCAAGGAAGGAGATGAGCGACCTTTATATTATAAAAAAAGCACTGCACATGATGGATAATTAAAAGGTTTGGAGCAAATCTTTAACCCTCAGTGTTTCAGAGTCCTGTTCCACTGTGTGTGACTCACCGTGCGGCGCTGCTGGTATCGCAGGGCGAGCGAGGAGAGGAGGGTGAGATGAAGCAATTTGTTTCCCCATTCAACGCCCAAGGTATATGTTTAACCCACGCCCAAGGTATATGTTTAACCCCATCTTACTGCATCGTGCATCTCACCGTGCGGCGCTGCTCGTATCGCAGAGCGAGAGAGGAGATGAGGGAGGGATCAAGCGGCGGGTCAGATGGGGAAGGTGGGCGGAAGGCGGAAAAGGGGATGCGGATCTGGCGGGGGGAAGGGGGGGGGGGGGGTTGTGGGGAGAGGAGGGGGGAGAAGGGAAGGGAGGAGGAGGGGAGATGAGGGAGGGTCAAGCAGTGGGTCGCACGGTGATGATGGATAGAAGGCGGAAAAGGGGAAGGAAAAGCGCCGGGTCAAATGGGGATGATGGGCAAAAGGCTGAGAAAGGGATGCGGATCTGATGAAGGGCGGAGAGAGGTTAGCAGCGGTTTAGGGAGCAGGGAGGGGAGTGGGGCGGGTGGAAAGGAGGAAGAGTGGGAAGCAGATGGGGAGGAAGGGGAGGTAAGGGATGGGAGAGGGGGAGAGATGGGGAGTTGTGGGCGATCAAGATTTGAGCTAAAACGACCCGAATGATATGTGAACAATTTAGGAAAAGCGACGATGTGTGTACAGTGTACGAGAGACATAATAGCGGAACTTTCCTCATTGCCTCACTCTCTCCCTCTCTCTGTCTCACTCACTCACTCACTCACCGTGTTCTGCCCTCTCCTTGTCTTCACAACAGCCACATACTCATACTCCTCCTCCTCCACCTCCTCCTCTTCCTCCACCACAATCTCCCCGTCCTCCCCCACTCTCTCCACGCGCGTTCCGTCCTTGGCCACTCGCAGAACCAGCGAATATGGCTTGCCATCGGACACGAACCGGAACACCAGACCCTCGAATCTGGGAGTATGAGAGAAGTTGGGAAAGTGGAGAGGGGGGAGGGGGGAGGGCATAGGGGGATGTCGAGAAGGGGAACGGCATCATTCAAAAACCAGCCTCATTAGAGACATTATTACAGAGTCATAATTTCAAAGACATTATTTCTCTTGAAAGAGCCATCACTCACCGTCCAAATGACAATCCCTCTGGAAGCGCGATCCGTCTCTTCGCCTCCACATACCCTCCGCGCGTGAACACGTATCCGGAAAACACGCCCCTCCCGTCCTCCGTGATACTAAACTCCGCATCCATCCCCGCTCCGTACCGCAGGTCTATATCGTCTTTAATAGTCCGCCCCTCTCCTAGCTCCCACCCCTCCTGGAACCGCTCCTTACTGAGTCTAAGCACCAGAGCTTTGCTCTTGCTGCTGCGGCCGGCGCGGCGCTGCGCTAATTGGTGATTATAGTCTAGGAACGCCTTGGAGAGATTAACTACGCCCATGTGGTCGACTCGTTGGAGGTCAGCGGCCATTCCGGATCGAGCCGAGGCGCAGAAGACGACCTTATTGCACCCCTCCACCGCCTTTTGAAGCGCCGCCTCGTCGGCCAAATCAGCGACTGCCACCTGGCACGCACGTGGCAGCTGCTCGAGCGTCTCAGCGTCCGCGCTTCTTACAAGGGCTTTAACAGTGTACCCGCGCAAGAGCAGCTTCCTTACAAGCACCTTTCCGACGCGGCCCGTCGCTCCCGCTACAAGCACAGTCGTAAATTGCGCGCTAGGAACACCGAAATCGGCATCCAAGCCTCCTCGCACGAGCTCGGTATAATCCTCCGCATCCACCGGCGCCGGACGCGCTATCTGGCCCAGCTGGATCAATCTCCGCCACACATCGTCGAGAAATTGTCGAGATCGACGGCCGAGATCCACAGGGTTGACGTCTTCAAGCGACAGCTGCTGCTGCTGCTGCGAAGCTTCGCTCGATTGCTCCTGCTGCTGCTGCTGCTTCACGGCTTGAAGTTGCTGCGCAGTTTCGTCAGCGGCTACGGGGTCAGCCAATGGAACGTCGGCCTTGATTGGACGGCTGGCGGACGGTGCTGTTGCGGAATCTCCGGATTCGGGATTCGCGGAGTTCGAAGTTAAATTAGAAGTGTCGTCGTTGTCTCCGGCTGCACGTGTGCGCACTACGTGAAAACGCCGCGAATGGGATAATGGATGCCTCTTTTCGAGAGGTCTGGCGCGTCTAGTGGACGCGGGAGACGAAGTGCGCGGAGACTTGGGGAGGAAGGCGACCGGAAAACCACTGCGTTGCGCAGTGGCGGAACGCGCGGCAACGGTTACACCCCCCCTGGTGCTAAGGCGCACGGGAACTGCGGGCGAAGCGACGACAGCCATGACAAGAACGGCCCAGCAATGAACCAACTATCAGGCAAACGGGAATGACTCAAAAGACCCGAACAAAATTCGGTCCAACTGCTGGTTAGTCACTCTTCTCACGTCCTCCTGGCAAGTCGGTTTTTGGGAATGTCAGAATGCCGCCTAGTTGGTAGAGCTGGTGTTGGAACATTTGCTCAGGCGGGGCATTGAGATTTGCTCGGTTTGGCGTTGGGTTTGGCTCGGTTCCACCTTGAGATTGGTTCGTTCAGCTTGGGACGCGTCGAAGGGCGACGTGGAATTGCGCGCCAGGCTGGGCTCCCAAAAGTGTGGTTGCAAGGCAGCCGATGGGACCTTCTGCAGGTCCACATTGGATCACATTGACGTGGAATCGAAGGCTTCCACGACACCTGGGCCATTATCGACGGTGCAACGTGGTCAGAACATACGCCAGAAACTTCGCACGACAAAGCGGTTTCAGGTCGTATCCCCGGGCTGGTGGCAAGATACTGTTGGTGGCAAGCGGGAATTTCGCTTGCCACCAGGTGGAGCCGCGCGTGAGTGCGGCTCCAGGTTGGTGTCAATGCTGGGCACATTGCACGATTTCCCGCGATGGGATTGGTCAGTTTAGCTGACACCAGGAGGTTTATTCCTCCATGTGTTTTTTGAGTTGGTGGCATGCCACCTACAGTATCTTGCCACCAGGCGGGGATACGACCTCAATCGGAAGGATGTACTTTCATGGCTAACAAACAGTACGTTAAACAGATGACAAGAGAGTGTGCGTTCCTCAATACCATTTTAATAGCAAGGCAAATATTGGAGGTTGAAAGCATCTGAAGCATTAGTATGTTTTGAAGAATCCTGTAATATCTCATCTTTCTAACCATAAACAAAAAGCCTACAAAAAGCAACTGCTTCTGGTTCAGCAGCACCAGCCACTTGGAACTGTTGCAGACCTAACAACCCTACATACAACCACCAACTGAAAATTACACTGCAGAACAAGCCTTCAACGACCGCTATTTCACAAGCTCAGTGATGAAGACGTTCCATCCCATGGGTGAAGCAATCAAACTGGAAACCCACAATCATGCACCATGCTGATAGAAAACCTCTTCCCATGCAGCTAATTTTGAAGCTCCTCCATGCAAATACTGCTCCTGACAAACCACGGTGCGGTCACCAACTTTGCGAGGCCACATATATCGATCCACCCTGACACTCAAAAGTCTCAGCTGTCCAGCCGCAACAAGGATTACCCCTTTCATCCAGAGAAAACGATGGAGGTCGAGATTGCAGAGATCGCGCATGCATGCACTGGGGGTTAGAGTATGACACATCCACACTTGGCGGACTCAGGCTGGCAAAAAAAAAGGGGGGCAAGATGAGAGGGGAAATATATATCAGACTAGGGAGAAGTGGTGAAGCTTGGTCAAACAAAAGATCAAGATAGAGAGGACGTGACAACGCTGATAACAAATGGACGAAAAGAAAACAACCAGTGAGGCTGTGGAGTGACCTGGAGAAAAAAGAACAGGACCCCGCCTCCTAGTCCAAGAAAGTAGTTTTGCGGACGTACGTACGTCAAAGGAGCTGGGAGTGACGAAACAGTAAAAAAACATATTCTACAACTTTGCTTCGTGTTAACTCATGGGCGTCGGATATCCAAGTCCGGATAACGTAACTCGAGTCCCAAATCGGCAACTTTCGAAGTCGCAGTGGCTTCGGAACCAGCTTGGCATGATGCTAAGTTAATGACGCTTACTTCAGGCGGAGTATCTTTGTTGACCTTCGTCTTGTGGGGCTCCGGGAATGCTGGAACCCCCCCACCCGAGCTGACGTCTCTAAACTGCGCAGTGAACCCGCCTCCGCCCTTCTTGCCACCTCCCCCTGTTGGCGGCATCCCGCCCTCCGACTGCACCGGGAAATGCGGGAATAAGGGGAAAGGGAGATTGGGGAAGATATGGGAGAATGGGAAGGGGGAAATACGTGAGGGATTGGTCCCAGAGGTCGGGAAGGGGTGGGATAGAGGTGGACACGAAGGCAAAACTTGTCTGTCAGTTCACCGATGCCATGGCGGGGACGGTTAGTGCGAGATGGAGACGTGGTTCTCGAGGGAAGAAAGATGGGGTCGTGTTTCTTGAGTGAAGAACACAATGGAATGGAGTCGAGATCATACGGATGGTAAAAGTGGGAGTACGAAAGGTTCAGATCGTTGAAAAGAGGAAAAGAACTGCGTAGTGATGAAGCCAGCAAGAGACAGAAAAGTCAGACTTTGGCAAACTTGGAAGAAACAACTTTCTAAGAGACAAAAGACTATGGTACTCTATGGTAGTAAAAAACACATGGCTGAAATGACGTACCGCCATCGCCTGGGTAGGCCTTCAAGCTCAAGCGCGAAATTGAAGTTGAAAATAACCCTAAAAGGCGTAGAAAATATACTACACTACTTCGCAGCAACCTCCCGTAATGACGTAAACTGCAACCTTATCCCACCCAGCGCGATGAGCATCGGCAGATAGGATCACTACAAACTGTCGACACCCAAAAAAGTTGGAGCAAAACGTTCCAACAGAACGTATCCTAATGGTTCCTAGAGCAGAACAGAAACAGGAAAACACGCAAGTGTATGATTCGGATGCAAAAGAGGTAGTCGTTGGAAGGCGAGAGCGGAAGGTTGGTGAAGGCGGAGAAGTGGGGGGAATATGGGGGGGAGAAGGGCGGGGTGTTTGCGAGAAACTGGGGAAGGAAGGCCTAGTTATTCCCCCCAACCCGCACAACGAATCTTTCCGCCCGCCGTGCCTGCCGCAGCATCCTGTCAAACCCGCGGAACCAGCATTGGGCATACCGATATGCAGCATAACTGCGGAGAACGCAGGCATACATGGGGGTCACCGGGAGGAGGGGTGATGGGAGTTGCGGAAGGCCCAGAGCGTGTTGTGGTTGGTGAGGTGAACGGACTTCTGGAGAAAGAGTACACTGCTTTTCCACGTGTCGCGCGGTTACTGCATGGATGTTGCCAGGCTTTCCCGCTCTCTGCGACGTGCGCGACCACGACTTGAAGTGCTGCTACGGTTCGCCCCCCACCTCCTCTCTACTCGAATGATTCGTGAGTGTGCGACCGTTTTCGCAATAGCGATCATGATAAAGCAGATAGATGGCCACTTATGTTACATGTTATTCAGTAAAACAAAAAATACTCCTTACCCAACTGAACACAAGCAAGCAAGCTTCTAAAAAACAGCACTCTGGGGACCGTCCGTTCCCCGTGGAGTGTTCGCCTCACTCTTCACCGCTTTCTTCCCTAAAAATCCCCCCATCACAGATTTCCTCCACCCAGTCTTGCTACCAGACGTTCCTCGCCTACCCTTGCCTTCTCCCTCAGGTCTCTTCATGCGCAACGGGGCAGGGATCCCCATAGATGCCTTGAGCGAGGGAGGCGGAGTTCCAGCCGCTGAAGCGGGACCGTTGATTGGCGTTGCGACTGCAGAGGACGGTCCTGATTGGCCCGCGCTCATAAAATGCCTTATCGCACGGAGCTGGCCAGGATGGAACTCGGCACTCTTGGCAAAAATCCCACTGTCTTCTCCTGATGCTGTTGACAGAAGTCCAGAGGTGGGAATGGACGGCATACTCGCACGATTGTTGACCGTATTGTAAGACGAGCTCCTTCCTGGAAACATCCTTGCAGCAGACGGACCAGCATCACCGGCACCAGCAGCACCAGCAGCACCACCTGCACCCGCAACAGCAGCAGCAGCTGCTGCAGCTGCAACAATCTCCCCCTCTTGACTCCTCCCAACCAGAGACGCCTCCCTCCACTTCCTCAGTGTATCCGCCGCTTCCTCCTCAACCCGCTTCTTCCGAATCCGAGCCTCCTCCCTCCACTTCCGAACCTCGCCTTCCAGGGCATCCAAGGTTCGGCGGAGTGCCCGAACCTGCAGCCGAAGCTCCCCTTCAGCATCCTTAGCCGTCTTTAACTCTCCCTCAACCGCAGCCAGCTTAGTAGACATCTCAACCTCCATCTTCCCCTTCTCCACCACCACTTTATCCTTCTCCGCTTCTGCAGCAGCAGCTGCCACTGCTGCCGCCGCCGCAGCCTCGGCCGCAGCAGCGGCAGCAGCAGCATCCTTGGCCCTCCGTTTCTCCTCGCCCTCCTTCCACTTGCGTTCCAAGCTTACTTGATTCACCCTGGCTCGCCAAAGACTAGCCGCAAGCCGCACCGAACCCCCAGACTTGGCCTCTTCAGCTGCTGACCTCGCTGCTGCTTCTGACGCTCTCAACCCCTCCATCTCCCTCCGCACCGCTTCCAACTCCTCCTCCGCTTTCTCCGCACGTTCCCGAGCCTCCACAGCTTCGGCCAAAGCCGATTCCGCAGCTAATCTAGCCTCGGCAGCCTCGGCTTGGGCCGCCGCCGCTGCCTGCTTAGCATCTGCAGCTTCGGCCCGAGCCAGTTCCTCACCGTCCTTCGTCCTACCAGCTTCCAACAACGCGTTTTCTGCTGCCACTCGTGCCTCTTCTTCTCTCCCCTTCGCCTCTCCCTCTCGGATCCTCGCCTCCTCTGCTGCTGCCTCTGCTGCCACAACCGCTGCTGCTGCTGCCACTGCCGCTGCCTCTGCTGCTCTCTGCGCTTTTTCTGCAGCTGCTTTCCCCGCCAGGGCTGCTTCTTTCTCTGCCAGAGCCTGCCGCATCTGCTTCTCCCCTCCCGCTGCCACTGCAGCAGACGACGCCAGTGCTGCTGTCACCCTTGTTTCTGCCTCCTCCTCCAGTTCTTTCACTCTATCCCTCTCTTTCCTCAACTCTTCATCAAGCTCCTTCACTCTCTCCTCCTCCTTCCTCAACTCATCCTCCATTCTCCCCCTCTCCTCCTCAAGCTTATCCCTCTCCCCCTGTACCCCATCTCTCTCCCTTTCAAACTGATCCCGTTCCTCCTCCAACTCTGCGATCCTACCAGCCAGTTTCACCCCAGCTGCCTCCAGTCCACTCCTTCCTTCCTCCAGATCCCCTATCCTCTCTGTAAGCTGCCTCAACTGCTCCTCTAATTCGCCCTTCTCCTGTTCCATCTTACACCGCAACTCCTCCTTCTCCCTCTCAACCTCCCCAATAGCCTCCTCCTTCTCTCTCCCCAACCGCTCCACCTCAGCCGCCCACTCCCCTCTCACCTTCTCCAACTCCTCCTTACCCCTCTCCACCTCCTCCTCTCGCTCCTTCAACCTCCCTCTCAACCCCTCCATCTCCCCTTCCATCACCACCACCATCTCACTCGCCCTACCCGCTGCCATCCTCGCAGCTTCCCTCGCCTCCTCCTCTGCTTCCTTAGCAGCCTCCAACTCCTCCCTCAACCCCTCCTCCCTCTCTTCCCCCTCCCTCTTCTCCCTCTCCAATACCTCCAACTTTTCCAGCAGCTCTTGCACCTTCCTCTGCGCCTCTCCTTCAGACATTTTCGCGGATTCTTTCACAGCAGCCGCTGTAGCAGCCGCAGCAGCAGCAGAAGCAGCAGCCGCAGCCGCAGCAGCCTCTTTAGCCTCGGCACTAGCCCGAGCCTCTTTCAACTCTTCCTCAAGCCCTGCTATCCTCTCCTCTTTCTCCCGAACCTCCTCAGTCAAACGTTCCACATCACCCTTCGCCTGCCCAAGTTCCTCCTTCACCTGCCCAAGCTCTTCCTTCACCTGCCCGATCTCCCGCTCCTTCTCTCCCAGCTCTCCATCCTTAGCCGCTGCCGTTGCCACTGCTGCCGCCGACGCAGCAGCAGCTTCCGCCCTGGCAGCAGCCTCAGCAGCAAGCGCCCCCTCCAAATCCTCCTCCGCCTCCTTCTTTCCCTCCTCACTCTCCTCCAACGCCCTTCTCACTTCCTCTAGCTCTCCCCTCACTCCCTCTAGCTCCCCTCTCACTTCCTCTAGAGCCTTTTTTGTCTCTACCAGCTCTTCCCTTGTCTTTTCATGGGCGTACACCTCAGCAGCCAGCCCATGCTTGGTCCCATCCATCCCCTCTAAAAGCGTCTCCACTTTCTCTTTAAGCCGCTCGTTCTCTGCACTCAGCCTTTCTTTCTCATCCCTCTCCCTTGCCAATGCTTCATCTAGATCCTTTCTCTCCCCCTCCTTCTTCTCCAGCTCCCCCTTTACAGTCACAATCTCCTCATTAGCAGCATCCAAAGCTTTCTGGGTCTCCCCAGCCATAGCCGCAGCCTCGTCCCGAGCCTGCTCCAGCTCACCCACCCGCACCTCCGCAGCTTCAGCCCGAGCCAGCAGCTCCTTCTCCTTCCCCTCCGCCTCCCTCCTCCTCTCCTCCGCCTCCTCCCTCGCTCCCTCCAACTCCTTCACCGTCTGCTCCTGCTTCTCCTGCCATCTCTTCAACTCTTCTTCCACACCCTCCTTGGCAGCTACCACCTCAGCCAGAGCAGCAGCATGGCTCACAATAAGAGCCTCTTTCTCCTGGGTCAATCTCTCCATCTCTCCCTTTAATCCCTCTTTCTCCTTCTCCAAAACGTCTATCTCCCCCCTCGCCTTCCCCACCTCCTCCTCCCGCTCGCTTTTCTCCTTTGCCACTCCCTCCAGCTCGGCCCGAACCTCTGCCAGCTCCGCTTCCCGAGCCTCTGTTGCAGCTTCGGCAGCTCCAAGTTCGGTAACAGTAGCGGCGAGCTTTCCTATAAGCTCTTCATTTTCTTTCTTGGAAGATTCCAACTCCCCCTTCAACCCCTCAACCGTCCCTTGTGCCTGCTCGAGTTCAGCAGTCAAAGCCTCTTCTCTCTTCTTTCCCTCCTCCTCTCTCTTCCTCCCCTCCTCCTCTCTCTTCTTCCCCTCATCCCTCTCCTCCCTCACTCTGTTTAATTCCTCCACCAGCCCCCCTGCCTCTCCAGACTTACTCTCTAAATCGCTCTTCATCGCACTGTACCGCTCATTCAGTGCCTCGTGATCTTTCTTCAGGGAATCATACGTGGCAGTCAGCGCTTCCAGCTCAGCATGGATGCCAGCCAGATCAGAATACGATTCTGCCAGCTCAGCAGCTACAGCCACCCGCCCCTCCTTCTCCTCCTCAAGCTCACTCATCAACCCTTCCTTCGCTATAGTCACCTCCTCAATCTTGACTGCCAGAGCTGCCTGCGCTGCCGCCAGCGCAGCGCATTCTGACGTCAGCTTCTCGTTTGCTGACTTCAGCTCCTCATGCTCCGACATCAGCGCTTGGTGCTCTGACGTCAGCACCTCATGCTTCCCCGTCAGCTCTGCCAATTCCTCCTCCCTCCCCCCCAACTCCCCCCTCACTTGCTTCACCTCCTCTTCCAACAAACCCTTCGCTTTAGTCACTTCCTCTACTTCCTTTACTCTCTGCTCTAACTCGCCCTGCGCTGCTGCCAACTGGCTCTCAACCGCCTCCCTTGCTGCAATCTCCTTTTTCCGCTGTCTCTCTGTTTCCGCCTTTTCCAATTCCGCCGCCTCCCTACCCATCCCCAATTCCGCCATACTCCCTTCCATCTCTTCTATCCTCTCATGCAACTCTCCGTTCTCCCCTCTCACTTCCTCTACCTCCCTCCTCACCTCATCTCTCTCCTTTACCAGATCATCCCTCTCTTTCCTCACATTCTCAAGATTTTTCTCCCTCTCCTCCCTCCCTCCTCTCTCCCTCTCCACCTCCTCCTCTAACCCCCTCACCTTCTCTTCCAAACCCCTAACCTTCGCTCCCAAAGCACCCACCTCCCCAGTAGCAACCGCAAGCGCCCCTTCAGCCACACCCTTCCCCTTCCTCTCCTCCTCCACCTCCTTTTCCAACCCCTCAATTCTCTCCCTCAGTTCCCCCATCTCCCCATGAGCCGCGGCCAAAGCCGCCTCGACCTCCACCTTCCCCTTCCTCTCCTCCTCCACCTCTCCCTTCAAACCTTCAATCTCCTTCCCCTGCTCATCTACCCTTTGCTGCAAGTCCCCCACCCTCTGCTCCAGCTCCCCCACCTGTCCGTCTCTCTCCGCCACTCTCTCCCTCAAATCCTCCGCTTCTTTCAATGCTTCTCTAACGGCTGCCTCCTTCGCCTGTATTACCTCCTCCTTCTCCCGAATCTCCTCCTCCTTCGCCTGCATTTCCTCGTCCTTCTCCCGTATCTCCTCCTCTTTCGCTCTTCTCACCTCCTCCAACTCCTTCCCCAGCTCCGCATGCTTCCCCTTCCACTCCTCCGCCTCCTTCCTCGCCTCCTCATTCCTCCCTTCCAACGCCACCATCTCTCTCTCCCTCTCCTCTCCCCTCTCTTTCAACTTCCCTATCTCCCCCTCCGCCTCCTCAACCCTCGCTTTCAGCTTCCCTATCTCCCCCTCCGCCGCCCCTTTCTCTCCCCTCACCCCTTCCAATTCGCCCTTCAAAACCTCCACTTCCCTCTGCAGCTTCTCGTTCCCATCCTCCATAACATGCAACTCGTTATTCGTTTTATCATGCAGCTGCTGTAGCTGCTCCAGCTCCCTCCCTTGCTCCTCGCACTTGCCTCTCATACCCTCCATCGCCTCTTCCATTTCCCCCTTCTCTTTCGCCAGCACCTCTAATTCCTTCCCCCTTGCCTCCCACTCCCCCCTCACCGCTTCCAACTCCTCCGTTACCTCTTTATTCTCACCCCTAAGTGACTCTATTTCCTCTTTAAGCCTTTGTAGCTCCTCACACGTCCCTTTATGCTTCCCTTGCAGCCCCTCCAACTCGTTACAAGCCTCCTCGTGTTTCGTTTTAAGCTCATCCAGCTCCTTTTCCGTCTCTGCAGCCACTTTCCGAGCCCTTTCCACCTCTTCTCTCGCTTCCCCCAGCTCGCCAAGTGTCACCTTGTGATTCGTCTCTTCCTCACTCAGCTGCCCAGAAATCTTCTCATTCTCTGACTCAGCAACCAACATCTCCGCCTCTTTCGCCGCCAGGGCAGCCCGGGCAGCTGCCAGCTCAGCAGTCATAACTTCCGCGGCTGCCCGGAGAGAATCGACCTCAGCCTTCAGAGGAGCCACCTGCCCGTCATCAATATCTTTCAGGGCTGCCCGGATTGCTTCTTCTGTCTTAGCCGCCTGTTCCTCCTCCATCTTCTTCCTCATCTTGGCCTTGGCAGACTCAAAAGACGCCATTTCCTTCTCCATAGCAGCCAGAGCAAGCTGGCAGGTGCAGGTGAGTGAATCAGATCGAAAACGAAGAAAACAAATCACGAAGAACGAAAGGGACAGGGGTGGGCGGGAACAGAGGGGGGAAGGGAGAGGGGAGAGGGGAGCCGGGGAAAGGGAAGTGGGAAGAGAACGAGGGGTTGGTAGGGGAGCATAAGGGACAGATGAGGCTGTGACAGATCGCCAGCCCGCAGATTTTCAAACTTGCACGCTCGCACATTCCCCAGTGCACTGCATGCCACTCTCGAGGCGCCTCACTCGCCCTCGTTCCCAATCTCCTTTTGGGATGCCTCAAACACGCATCTTAATATGTGCCTTTCACACATGTCAGCCCATGCCTTACGCGCAACTCACCCGTACCTGACACGTGTCTCCACATGCGGTCCCATGCGGTCTCCTCTCGTCATTCACACGATCTATCACTCCCATCCACCATCTTACGTGAAGCCTGACGTATCTCAACACACGCGTTCTTGTGTTCCAAACCGTATGCCACCCTTTTTTAAAACGTTCAAAAGTCTTACGAACTCAAACAAGCCACTCGTTATCCAAACCCTAGACTACCCTTCATCACCCCGAACCTTGGCCTACCCTCTCCCACCCCTAGCTCACCCCCGCGCACCTGCAGGCTCTTGTTGCTGCTCGCTGATGACCATCTCCTGCTGTTTTGAGGCGTCTCAAAACACTCCTCCTGCACCACCTTGAGGCGGCTGACCTCCTTCAGCACCCCTCACCCACCCCTCTCCTGAACCTAAAACAATTCTAATTCGAACCTAATCCGAGACTATGCCGAAACTAATCTGAGCCTGCTCACCTGCAGGCTCTTGTTGCGCTGCTCGCTGATGACGATCTCCTCCTCCACCACCTTCAGCCGGCTGACCTTCTCCATGTGCCGCGCCTTCAGCGCCGCCAGCTCGAAGTTGCTCAGCTCCAGGTCCTCCTCAAACTTGCGCAGCATCGTCTCCATCTGAGAGGAAGGTTGGAAAAAGGGGATGGAGGGGAGAGGATAGGATGAGTAGTAAGGGTGTGAAAGAGACATCTTCAAGTTGCTCAGCTCCAGGTCCTCCTCGAACTTGCGCAGCATCGTTTCCATCTGAGAGGAGGAGGAGGGTGGGGTTGCAGACGAGAAATAACGGTATGATTCCGTCCCGCGTGATTGAGCTTCCGAGTTTTGCCACACACATCGAAAGCACAAAATGCTGGATTTTCTTGGTGCACACTTGCATTATCCAGGCCGCGCAGTACCTTACGAATTTCTTCCCGCGTGTAGTTCCCGCCCGGCGAAAACGACCGCTGAGTTGGCGACGCCTTCGCAGCAGCAGGCTTGGCGGACGAGCCTGGGGAAGACAAGCCTAGCGGCTCAGGCTCGGAACCTGCGCGGCTTTTCGCCTTGGTTCGGGAATCCCGAGGCGATTCTTTCGTCCCATCCCTGACGGAATCAGCGGAACCTCCCACAGGATCTTTCACCCCAGTGGATGCGTCTTTTCTCGCTGCCAATGGTTCCTTGTTTCCGGCAGATGATCCGGCAGTCGTGTGACGTAGCTTAACCTGAGGTAAGAAGGACGAGGAGGAGGAGGAGGACGAAGATGGACCTTTCGAGCTATCACCTGACGATGGTCGCGGGCCTTTCGCTGCGCTAGACCCAACCGGCCGGAGCCCTAATCGGCCAGGTGCCGGCCCTTTAGCTTCCTGCTTCAAGTCCCCCTTAAGATCGTCCTTAAAGTCTCTGGGTTCTGACGCATTTCCGTCGTAAGACTGCGGGCTTGGAAAACCGCCTGACGGATGCCGGATTAAATCTTCCGTGCTTACGACCGGTCCAGAGGACCGACGCGTGATTTTCGGAAGTTCGCTGGAGGAGCCAGCGCTCGCATTGGCAGCGTGAAGTTTCGCCACGTAAGCAGCGGGAGCTCCTTTATTGGCTGTGACTCGTTTACCGAAGAGGCTGCTGAGCTCCTTCACAGACTTGTTGCTCGGTTCGTCCGGATCCGACGACATTGTCAAATGATTGAAATAATTAGGTTTTCCAAAACAAAGGAGATGATGAAACCAATAAACCCGCAAACAAGAACGCACACAGGAAGAACAACTAGGCCTGCACGGAGAGCTTCATAAGCTGAAGGACAAGCAAAGGAGAAGTTTCCGAGAACAAAAGCGCGATTCTACCGGAAACCGTCGCGGGCATACGCTATGATGCTATGGCTACCAAGCGTCAGTCCCGGCACAGAAAGTCAACGAAACGAACAGTGCCATGGGTAACGACGTGATTTCAAACGAAAATCTCACACACGCATGCACAAAATAGCATCACCAGCTGAACCAAGCACCTCGGCTGTGGCACCTAGAAACTGTACTAGTGCCACTGCAGCAAGCAAGAAGAAACATTTCCACACGCAAGCACCACAGGGCCTGCAGTATCCCTCTAGGCGTGGGATCTTTTGCGCACTGCCTTACTGACAGTGGCTGAATAATGCTGCAACGGTGGCTCTGTTTTGAAATGGGTGCTGTGAGATGAGATGCGGTGGGGTGGGTCTTTCACAGGCCTTTCTCCTTTGATAAACTGCGACATTACCGTTACGATTGCGAGACCACCAACGCAACAAACCGCTCTGCACCAAAGGATATGCTGTTTGCAACCAGGGTCGTCAGGTTTCTACTTGCGTGGGGATTGGATGTGAGCACATCATGAGCCATTTTTTCGCGGGAAACTCTGGCAAGAGCTACAGGCCAATTCCCGATGTGGTTCAGGCACTGAAGTGATGGCACGGAATTTGGGTGGGACCGAGAAGCCTAGCGAGTGGAAGTTCGAAATTTCTGGGAGTCCACCTTCGGCACTGCCGTGGCGTGCCATCACCGTCCTCCTGACCCCTGACTCACACTCCATGCGAGGTCAGAACGTTCGTCCCTCGTTCATTCTGTGCGGTTACTCTTGTTGCGTCACGGTATTGAGCGGTGAGGCTTGATAACCGCTCTGCACCGTCTGGATTCGTCTTGCACCACGACGGACGAACTTCAGAAACACGCTCCCCCATCACGAGGAATTTGATGGCCGCATCGCCACGTTCCCGCCTCGTCAGCAGCAGTGTTGAGTGAAGTCCCGCCCTCGAGACAACCCTGCCACCCCGTGTAGCTGATTCAGTATGCCTACACAGTGACATAAAGTGTTTGTATGGGAGGTACAAAAATGTTTGACACTAGAAACACATGGAAAATGATGTATCATCTGCACTTTGTGGAAGATGCATCAACGATTCTACACAAGGCACACATGGTGCCTCAAATATATCCTCTTTTTATGCCCGGAAGTCAAGTTATCTACCCACAAGCTTCCAAGTTCATGGTTTGACAAACCTCATTCAAACTGATCTTCGTAATGGGGCACCTTTATTCATGCGCCACCTCTATTCGTGCGAGGACCCTCCTTGAAATGTGACAGACAGCTGTTTAATCCTATGCTTTGTTAGCATCTCCATCAGCCTCCTCCGGCGCAAACAGGTCCAGCACACCGGACCAGTCCCGCTTCTCCCGCTGCTCCCAGTATCCCCCAGTGTACCGCCATGTGTTGTTCGGCCCCATGGGCTTGAACCACCGTGGGCCCCACCCTGGTTCCCCATCTTTGAGCGCCTGTTTGCGGGGGGTATGGAGGGGAGCACGGGACAATGCCGTACCTTTACTACTATGGAATTCGAGGGGCACACCCAGTTTCTTTCCCATATTTGTGGAGAATAGTAAGGGGCAAGAAGAAGGGAAAAGGGCAGTGTAGTTACATAATGGTGCAACAGAGCAGTGTAGTTACATAATGATGCAACAGAGCAGTGTAGTTACATAATGATGCAACAGAGCAGTGTAGTTCTGTGCACGAGCCTCACCTTGCGCTGGCGCTGCTTGAGGCGGCACTTCTTCAGGTTGGCAAAGTCATACCGCCCCTCCTCCAGCGCCCTCTAGTGCTGTTGGCGTCACAGGAGCGTGAATTTCAAAGCACAAGCCTCACCTTGCGCTGGCGCTGCTCGAGGCGGCACTTCTCCTGGTTGGCAAAGTCATACCGCCCCTCCTCCAGCGCCCTCTAGTGCTGTTGGCGTCAAAGGAGCGTGAATCTCAAAGCACAAGCCTCACCTTGCGCTGGCGCTGCTCGAGGCGGCACTTCTCCTGGTTGGCGAAGTCATACCGCCCCTCCTCCAGCGCCCTCTGGTCCTCCCTGAGCCGCGAGTCCGTGGGGGGCAGTAACTCCTGTGGGCAGAAACGGGGGAAGATAGGGGAGGCAGTGTAGGAAGATAGGGAAGATAGGGGAGGTGGTGTAGGGAAAACTGAATGATGGGAGAACTACCAACAACAAGTCAGCAAAGGAGTTCGTTTTACACACGTAAAACATCATCCCCAAATACACCTCATAAATCAAACCACAGAGGCAATCTAGGGCCACCCGCACACACCCGCCGACCCTCTCACCTTGAGCCCAGGAGTGAGCTCGTTGAGCGTGATTGTAAAGGGCGTGAACTTGTATTTCAGGTTGGGCTGCACGGGGTTCTTCTTCCAGATGAGCTGTGCCGTGGCCAGCACCTCACTCTCCTCCTTGGCCGTCTTGCTTGTCAGATCCCCCGGCACGTAGTGCATGTGCTGGTCCCACCGCCCCATCAGCGTGCCCTGCTCGTCCCCTGCCTCGTTCTGCACCAGCCCGCGCACCTGGGCGGGTGGAAGATGAGGAAAACGGAAACAGGGAAGGTGGTAACGGGAAGGGAGGATTCTGGGTTAACAACTGATTAGAGCCAAGAACAAGAAGAGATACCTGTTGCCAGTGAATCAGAGTCACCCGCGGTTGCCCTTGATGCGTGCTGTACAAAGGGCTTTGTGTGTGTGTGGGTGCTGTACCTGCCGTGGGTCGTTTCCTGAACCAGGAGTAGAGTACCTAATGCATGATCCTCCCACACCTAGTGTGGCCCAAACCTGGCGCGCCTCGTTACGATGCGCGGACATTCCCGTACCTGGTGCGGGTTCCGGTCGAAGGTGGAGCGCTCCTTGAAGCGCAGGCGGGCAGAGTAGCCACGGTTACCCTTGATGCGCATGGTGCCGTAGTGCTCCACAAAGGGCTTCCCCAGAATGAGGTTCTGAATCAGCACCGTCACCTGATGGGAAATTCGGGAAGCGGGGAAAGAGAAGGTGATAAAGTGCAGGAAAGATAATGGTAGGGCTCAGAGATCCCTAAACATCTCTCGCATCAGTGTGCGGATTCCTCCACTCACTCACTCCCATTGATTTATTCACAGGGTCAGACCCAAGAGTCAAATCCTACTGTCACAATAACTTTGGTAAGCACTCATCTCAGTGCTTGACACTCATAAAAACTCACATTGCTCCACTCGTGCGTCTCGCCGTCGTCAAACTGCACAGCCAGCACGCCCACAGGGTACGGCCCCCAGAATCGAGCTCCACAGCCACAATTACCTTCATAAACAGTCAGACATACTCCCATGACTCACATTGCTCCACTCGTACGTCTCCCCGTCGTCAAACTGCACAGTGAGCACGCCCACAGGGTCCAGCTGGATGGACGGCCCCCAGAATCGAATCTTGGGGCACACGTCCCCCCAGAACTTCCACCCTGTGCCGTCCACGTGCCAGGCTATCATTGGCGGATAGTGCACCACCTGGTGAAAGGCAAGCCGAGGCGGGAGTGGGAGCAAGATGAGGGGACGGGGGGGTAAATGGAGGGAGGAGCGCAAGGGGGGTAAATGGAGGGAGGAGGGAAGAGAAAGGGAGGGAGGAAAGAGGGAAAGGAGAGAGAAGTCGAAGTCTCCTTTTGTCTTAGTCGTTGTTGTAAATGCATTGACCCTGAGATGACGTGTTTGGGCTTGTGGATAACTCAACGCACCTCACACTCAGAGGTGTAACTCACTGACTCGAAGATGCAACTCACCGACTCGGAGATGTAACAGATGCTACTTGTTACGCCAAGATGTAACTCTGTAACATCATGATGTAACGTACCGCCTCCTCGGAGATGTAATGGATGCCCTTGTCGGGATAGTCTCCTTCAGTGGTCTACCCCAGCAGCGGGTTGAATGGCTTGTGCATGCGCCCCTTGTTGCCCGTAGCCCCGTTGCCTGGAAACAACTTATGCCCGACTCACAACCCGGGTGTCTACTTACCGACTCGGAGATGTAGCGAATGCCCTTGTCGGGATAATCCCCTTCGGTCGTCTCCCCCAGCAGCGGGTTGAAGGGCTTGTGCATGCCCCCCTCGTTGCCCGAATACACCTTATGTCCGGCTCACAACCCGGGTATTTACTCACCGCCTCGTAGATGAAACTCGCTAAGGAGGAGATGTAACTCACTGATTCCAACATGTAACGCACCGACTCGGAGATGTAGCGAATGCCCTTGTCAGGATAGTCCCCTTCAGTGGTCTCTCCCAGCAGCGGGTTGAAGGGCTTGTGCATGCGCCCCTCGTTGCCTGAATACCGCGACACTGCGAATGCCGCCACATGTGCTGCTCGCATTAATCGGTTGCCCTGTTTGGTGTAGAGGGAGAGGAGAGAGGAGCAGCAAGAAGCGGACGGGTTAAAAGGGTTGACGGGCTTGTGAATGCGCCCCTCGTTGCCCGAATTCCGTGACACTGCGAATGCTGCCACCTGTGCTGCTCGCATCAATCGATTGCCCTGCTGGCAAGGGTGAGGGTGCGAGAGAGGAGGGAGGAGGGGAGAGATGTATGACACGTTTGAAGAGGTGTCTGTTTCTGCATGTCCCTGTCAGTATTGAAAATGCAGCCACGTGTGCTGCTCACATCAAGCTGTGGCTGCGCTTGGGAGGGGGGAGAGGAGAGAGGGGGAAGAGGAGGGTGCAGGGAGATGGGAATGTTTTCTACAGCCACTAGAATTCAGGCACCTCCAGGTACTAGCTCCAAGTTCAACTCAACCCAACCCAACCCAACCCAACCCAACCCAACCCAACCCAACCCAACCCAACCCAACCCAACCCAACCCAACCCAACCCAACAGACCTGCGACTCACCCTGCGGCCATAGCCCGCTGCCGTGTCGAGCAGCCACGAGTACTCGAGCATCTCCAGGTCGAGCTGAGGGGCTCGTTGCAGTCAACCTGGTTACCACTAGACCTTGCTTACTCAACCTGGTTACCACCATTCTTCCCTCCTCCCCTTCCAAGCACTCACCCTTCGGCCATACTCCGCAGCCCTATCGAGCAGCCACGAGTATTCCAACATCTCCAGGTACTTCTGGCTCGAGCTGAGCGGCTCGTTGAAGTTGACGGGCAGCGAGACCTTGAACATGTCCTTGCCCATGCACTCCTTGAGCACGGACCACAGGCTCAGCGGCTTCTCCTCCTCCTCTGGGTCGGGCAGCTTCACTCTCCGCGGCACATGCGGGTAGCTGAACCCCACCTGGAGGGGGGGTGGGGCGCCGTGAGGCACACGGGGTGAGGGACAGCCGGAAGGAGGCAGGGAGGAGGGAGGCAGACAGGCAGGCAGGCAGGCAGGCAGGGAGGGAGGGAGGGGCATGAGGGGCTGGGTGTGGTGGGTGGGAGTTGACGGGCAGCGAGACCTTGAACATGTCCTTGCCCATGCACTCCTTGAGCACGGACCACAGGCTCAGCGGCTTCTTCTCCTCCTCCGGGTCAGGTAGGCGCGCCCTCCTTGGTACATGCGGGTAGCTGAACCCCACCTGGAGGGCATGAGGGGAAGGGGGGAGGGAGGGAGGCAGGCAGGCGGGCAGGCAGGCAGGCAGGCAGGCAGGCAGGGAGGTAGGGAGGGGAATGAAGGGCGCTTTGTGCTTGTCCTTGCCCATGCACTCCTTGAGCATGGACCAGACCACAGGCTCACACCTCCCAGCATCTCACCTCTTCGATATCCAGCACGCGTTTCACCATGCCCTGCCCAGCAAACTCCGTCATCGCTTCGTAAAACTCGTCATTACAGTCGCTGTCCGTGTCCCCCTCGTCCTCGTCCGTATCCCGCACCGTCGACGTCAGCCGAGGCTCCTTCCGCGCCCCGCCGCCTTCCCCGGCAGCCAGAGCGTCGTCCCCCTCGTCGTCACCATCGTCTTGATCAAATGTGCTGTCCGCATCGTCGTCTTCCTCGCCCACTGGGCGCAACGTGAGGGGGAATGGGGTGGGCGGAGAATGCAGGGTTATTATGCACCGTCAATGTCAGCTGCGGCTGCTTCCTCGCTCCCCCCCCCCTCCTCTGGCGGTCAGAGTGCACGGATCGTCATCCCTCTCATCCTCCCCATCATCGGCGTCGAACGTGCTGTCTGCATCGTCGTCCTCTTCGCCCACTGGGTGGGGGAGGAGGGAAGTTGGAGAAGGGACAGCAGAGGGGCGGGCGCAAGGTTAACGAGAGGGGGAATGGGTTGGGTGGGGACTGAGGGGGGACATGAGGAGGAAAATGCGCGTAGAGTGGCGGGACGGTTACGGGTGGGGGAGGGGGAGAATGGAGAAGATTGAGAGAGGAATTGGCACACGAAGCAGAGAATGTTCATACTGAAGACGCGGATATGCACACCAAAGACAGTGAAATTTTCAGTGCCGTGCAAACTCACGAAGCATGGCGCTGCTGCTGGGTTGGCCCTGCTGCCTCTTCTCGTCCACCACTGCCGTTTCCAGCTCCACCTTCTCCGCCTGCAATCACCACATTCCGCAATTGTCACATCTGTAGTGTCACATTCCGCCATTGTCACATCTGTAGTGTCACATTCCGCCATTGTCACACCCAACCATTGCCACCTGGTCCAAGTCATCACGTGGAAAATGCAATCATGTAGCACAAAATCATTGCGCCCTTCCCCCTTCAGCCCCCCTCCCTCTCATTACCCACCTCGAGTTGCCGTAGCAGCGTGAGCAGCTGTAACCGCTTCCTCTGCTCCTCCCTTAACTTAGTTTCCAGCCGAACCACCACCTTCCTCCGAACCAATTCCTCCACACCGCTTATAACCTCCTCTTCCACCCCGTTCCGCTGCATGTACGTCCTAACCGCGTCGAAGCACACGTGCGACGACACGTCCACCTTATTCGTCGCCGCATGGAGCCTCTTAATTAGGTTCACGCGCGCGTTTTCTATGGCTTCCATCCAAAGCGCCCTCCCCGCTTTGGATTCCGTTCTAAGACCCAGCGTTCTGTGCCCGAACACGTAAAACTTTCGATTGTCCGTCGTGCTCGCGCGGATGGTTGACACGTGGAGCTCGATCTGCCCGTGCGGCGTTCTGTCGCCCAGCACGCCCAGCGACGTCGCCAGCACGCCGTTCTCGCGCTCGATTCGCACGTAGCGACGAATCTCGTCGCCGATCAGTCGCGCGCCCGGCCGCCGCTGCAGCTCGTGAAGCACGATCGCCTTATCTGGACCGTCCAATTTGAAGAATGACAGAGAGCCCTGGAGGAAGGGGAGGGGGGACAGGAGAGGGGAGGAGGGGGGTGAGGGGGGTGAGGGCGGTAAAAGGGGTTCGGAAGGGTCGGAAGAAGGGTAGGGGTTGACAGAACTAGGCTAGAGGGGTGCGGAGACGGTAAAGGTTGGGGGGACGGGAAGTGACGCAAATGCAAGCAGAGAATGGCAGCAAGAGAAAGAACGGAACACGGGCGAGCGAGCGAGCTTACCCCTTCGAGGACAAACAGTCGCATGCCCCAGCCGCGACCCAGATTGACCCACTTCCACAGTATCCCCATGACCACGTCGGAGCTCTCTTGCGCCATTGCCGCGGGCACCATCAGCCCCCCCGCTCCGCCGCGTGCCTGGTTCAGCATCTCCCCCCACCCTCCGCCCACGGGGACCAGCGCAAGCGAGTTCCCGTGCGCCGTCACGTCCTCGCCCTTGCTTGCGCTCCTCACGAGTCCCGTCTCCCCCCGCAAGCTTCCGCTTCCGCTGCGGGGGAGGATTTCCGCGCGGCTCTCCGACCTTCCGCTGCTTGAGCGCGATGCAGGCTGATTTACACCGCTGGCCTGCCTTCCCACTTCTCCACCGTCGATCGAGCATCTAGCGGATGCTCCTCGATCTTCCGCAATCACAGCCGCATCCGGCGCTCCTTGCCTTTCTATTGGAAGCTCCTCGGCCCCGCTCTCCACCTTTCTCGGATCGTAGGGGGAAGACATTCGCGACCTACTGCGGTGGGGACTGTTACCTCTGCGATTCATAGGGTTACCAGCAGCAGTCGAAACGTTAACCGGAACTGTGATGGTAACATGGTCGTCGCATGCTTGTATATTCGCTTCGCCGCTGAGAGTGGCGAGATTTTCCTTGTTTCGCCGGCGAAACGGATTTCCTATGCGAAAATGCGACCCTCCTGATTCCGGAGTGCTCGCGGTCACAGAAATGCTCTCATGTTGCCGGTCAGCCGTCCGAGTTATCGGCCGGTAGGCAGAGAAGTCAACGGCGCTAGTTATAGAGCTGGTGGAAGCAGTCGCAGCCGTGAACGCAGTCGACGCTGACCGGCTAGCCGACAAAATCGGATGAGGATTCGACTTCTCCTGACGGTTTCTCGACGACCGAAGACGGCCAGCCGACAGCATGAATATACTCTCCACCGATCTTCTGCCCGGAGATCCGAGCATCTGCGGGGGAGCGTCAGAAACGGGCGCGGTTCTCGGAGGAGCTTCGGACTGCGAAAATGAATGGGAGCGGCGAAGGAAGGGCTTGGTGCCATCAGAAGGGGTTGACGATGACGGTATTGGTAACGGTGACGGCGATGAAGGTCGTCGTTGAGGAGAGGAGCCGGCTTTCTTGCGGCGGAGGAGCGGACTGGGCATTCGCCGCGGTTTGATGTCCTCGTCTGGTGGAAGGGGGTCCACCCTCGCCATGTCTACTCGCCCGCTGTACGGCTTTTCAACGTTCAGAATTAAGCTCAGCAGGCAGAATTGTTTGGTTTTACGTCCGCCAGCACTCTTGGAGCACTGATATTTCTAGGGGAAAAGGCGGGAGGTGAAGAGGAGGGATTGGCTAAGTCAAGATCTTTAATTGGTGGCGTTGGATTCCGTACTATCGTGCGGCATTCTCGTCTCGGAAGGACATAAGTTATTTTTTTCCAGTAATCTAGAATCGCTGCACTAGGAGCAGAATCTTGTGCCGTAAGACCCGGCACAGCTCCCTCACACTAACTTCATGACTAAATTATCCCGGGTAACCCCTGATGCTGAACACCAGTTACGTCAGTTTCGAGATCAACGGAGATGCGAGGATGGTTTTACAGAACCATCTCGTGGTGGGTAATGCGCTATGGATTCCCTGAAATGTGCTGCGGGCGTGTGCTAGCCTTGCGCAAAGGATAATCTTCCTCAGCAGCCTGTTGACCAGCTTCCATGACAAAATTGAGGGAAATGGAATCTTCCTGATGAATTGTGTGACGTTACGGAAAAAGGGTTGACAGTGTGGTGGGGTTGATGGGGAGGAGAAGGCGACGAGCGAGAGGGGGGAGGAGAGGGGACCTAGGGAGTGCATGGAAATCAGTGATCGAGGTCAGCAGGTTGCGGGAGAAATCGAGGGCGATGGAAAAGAAGCAAGAGAACTTGGGCAGGGCAGAGGAGCAAAGCGGCTGGGAGGGGGAGACTCCCGATGGAATCTTGGTCGCCGTTTGACGTCATCAGACCAGAAACTATACCGTGCGATGCTTGTGCGAAGGTACTGCGAGTTTCGGACTGGAGCCAAAGTGAGCCGAGGGTGCTGCTGCTGTTTAGGAGAAAGTGTCGCATGGGCCAGGAGTGTGGTGAACGGGAAAGGACATGCGACGGGGTCGCCATCGCAGGGCCAAGAGCTGAGGTGTTTCAAGCCCAGCGATGCGAGATACAGGGAAAGAAATTCCGCATTTCTCGAATTGGGTGGAGGTCGTCGAGTGTAGGGATTGGCTGACGAAACTGCTCGAATCTGAGGGTTGAGATCGGGGCTCGGGCAGGTGAAACTGCAACAGCGAGGCGCACCGCCAATCGGTTTGATGCGAACTGCCATTTCGAGTCGCGCGTTCACGACATTGAAAAGTTCTCCAGTTCCCGCGCCTATTTTTGGCTCGAGGTAAAGCGCGACGCCGCATTCTCGGTTCTCCTGACGGGCAACGGATCGGCGATTTCAATAACGCGTACTTGTATGAAATGTAAAATTTATTTTTGCGGTCAAATGCTCAATCGAAAGATTGAAATGCAACAGCAAGGATTTTGTTGGTGTTTGAATAACAAGGAAACATATGAAATCCCCAGCGAGGAGTATTACTCTGATAATTTATTGCTGTACTCTTAACAACAAGGAGATGCTCAACATACATTCTTCTGGATCAAACAATAAGCTGCTACTAAGGCAACCCACAATGATCTCTTGAGGTACATAATGTATGATTAGCACCACCTTAGGCTACTTTCCCGCCTTGAACATAAAAGTAGCCCAGTTAGCCTCGTTAGTGCGCTCCTTGCCCGAAACATATTGCACTGTGGCCCAAGCGCTGCCCTGTGGATCTACACTTATGGATTGAGTCTCACCAAAAGCAGCATATTTTCCAGACAATACCTCAAGCGGGGCTTGGCCGGGCCCAACCGCGAAAATACTATTTCCGATAACTCCTTTTTGGTTGATGCGGACATAAGCTGCTGTAGGGAAGTACTCTGAGCCAATCAGCGTTGCTGCAAGGATGCCCTGGCCCTTGCTGGGGATGACGATAAGACAACGAGGGCATGTAGGGAAATAAGCGGAAAGAGGGTGAGTGAAGGCAGGCTAGCTCATGTTTCGAGGGAGGAGAGAGCAAGCAAATGGAACACAACCCCATCAGAAACCAAAACAAAAGCGCATGCGGTTGCTCTGCCGCCGTTTCAAGACAAGTTAACAAGCACATCACTACCCTGGAAAGTGCGTCATATCACATGTGCTTGAGGAGACAACAAGTGCGTACACGTACAATCCCGCACACACTAACCTGTTGAAGCCAATCACAGGGCTAAGCAAACTCTGCCCCGGCACTCCATAAATCCCAAACTTCTTCACCAGGGTCGGAAACGACCTCTTTCCCCGCAGGAACGGCCGGAGCTTCACCAAGGCTACAGACGGCACCGAGGTCGGATCCAGGCTGTAGCCGGACGGAAACGCCATCCACACATGCCCCTTGAACCACGCTACAGACGTGGACGTCGGAGGCACCACATCCTGGGGGGTATCATACGGTGGCGGCCCGGGCTTTTGCTTGGCATAGTCCGAATCGTAGTATGCCGGTGTGTTGATTATAGAGTAGCGGAGCCGGAGGGTGGGGTGAGGGAGCATGAGAGAGGAGGTGTCAGAGAGGGACCAGAGCGCGAGGGAGGTGTGAGGGAGGGGGAAGGTGAAGGAGATGTCGATGCAGCCAAAGAAGACTCTGTCCTGCCCGCGGTAGCGGGAGAGGCGTGGCACGCGGGGGGACTGCGGCTCGAGGCCAAAGACGGGGAAGCTGTTGAAGTTGATCATCGGGATGGCGAAGCGCACCACACGCTTGGATGAACGGATGTAGAGCTTGGGCTTGTGGATTGCACTGAAAGAAGGAAGAGGGGGGGAGTGGGAGGAAGGGGGGAAGGAGGGAGGAAGTGGGGGAGAGAGGAGAGGAGGGGGGAAGGAGGGAGGAGGTGGGGGAGGAGAGGAGGGGGGAGAGTCCGAAGACGGGGAAGCTGTTGTAGTTGATCATGGAGATGGCCAAGCGCACCACGCGCTTGGATGAGCGGACGTAGAGCTTGGGCTTGTGGATTGCACTGGGGGTGGTGGGGAGGAGCGGAGGGCGGGTGGGAAAAGAGGCATTGGGTCAACAAGGGAAAGCCGTTGAAGAGAAAAAATTGTGGGTCTTATTCCTCTTGCCCCCATGCCAACGAAGCGCCCCAGCTTCCCGTGCATGGCATACAGCCATGTGGTGAGGTATGCTTCAGAATTCTCAAAAATACTCTGCATGGCGTACAGCCATGTGGTGAGGTGAGGTATGCTCCAAAGCGGTCCACCGTGATGCGCGGGGTGACTCCTCTTCCTCTCCCTCCCCTTGTAGTGAGGCGATTCTTGAAGCGCCTCAAAAGTGAGGCGATTCTTGAGGCGCCTCAAAAGTGAGGTGATTTTTGAGGCGCCTCAAAAAGGCTCCTCTTCCTCTCCCTCCCCTTTCCCCCTCCCCTTTCCCCCTCACCTGCCCCCCTCCCTTCCCTCTCCCTCGCCCCCCTCCTCTTTCCCCCTCCTTTTCTCCCCCTACCCTCCCCCGGGTACAGCCTGACAAGCTAACATCCACCTTATAGAGCACATGATGACTCACTACATGTTGCTGCTGACAAACCGCCCCAGCTTCCCCTGCATGGCGTACTGCCGCGTGGTGAGGTACACGCCGTAGCGGTCCATTGTGATGAAAGCAGTGGCCTCATTTCCTCTCCCTACTATGTGCACACTAGAGAGAGAGCACGGAACTCACTAAATGTTGCTGCCCACGAAGCGCCCGAGCTTCCCCTGCATGGCATACTGCCGCGTGGTAAGATAAACACCGAAGCGGTCCACTGTAATGCGAGGCGTGGCGCCCCAGTAGACCCGGCCGGGGTATCTCAGAGGCGGGGCCGTGTCGTTGTGAGACTTCACCCCGTCGTTGCTGCAGGTTGGAGTGGGCGCAGGGACACAGATACAAGAACTTGAGTGGAGTGATGCGCGGGGTGACGTGGCTCTCCAGGAGACCCGGCCGGGGAAAGGACGCAGGGGTCACTAGGAATAGGGGGAGGTGAGGAGGGGAGGAGGGGAGGAGGGAATAAAAAAGATGTTGCAAGCCATCATGGGCGTGAGAGGGGAGGAGGTGGCCACCACTATGGGAGAAACGACTAAATGCACTACCACCCACTTTCCATTCATACCAGCGTAACAACTGGGAAGAGGGCAAGTGTACCTGGCGGGAATAAAGAAGACGTTCCAAGCCATCATGGGCGTGAGGGGGGAGGAAGGAGGAAGGAGGAAGGAGGACGCAGTAAGCATTTAACCCTACCCGGACAAGCATGTGTTGCCCACCCATACCCATCCTCAAGCATAAACCATTGATGACAAGTAATTTACACTCCTCATTCGTACCTGGCGGGAATGAAGAAGACGGTCCAGGCCATCATGGGCGTGAGGGCGGAGGAGGCAGCCACCACTATGGAAATAGCAACTAGCATTCGTTCCCTACCCATACTCAAGCATATCAGTTACCTGGCGGGAATGAAGAAGACGTTCCAGGCCATCATGGGCGTGAGGTAGGAAGAAGCAGCCACCACGATGCCATACCCTGACGTGCTCCCATCCGCATTCCTCCTCGTCTGCCCAAACCGGTCCCACTTGTTGCGATACCCACCGGACTGGCAGGGGCGAGGCGCAAGAGGGAAGGGAGGCGAGAAGGGTGATTGAACTTGAGTGGAGAGAGGAGAGAGTGGAGAGAGGAGAGAGTGGAGAGAGGAGAGAGTGGAGAGAGGAGAGAGTGGAGAAACAGGCACTGTTGGCCCTGATGAAGCCCCACCCCTTTCAATCACACAAAGAGGGTGAGACGGGGTGAGGAAGGCCAGAGAGAGCACTCACGCGCCTCAGTTTGACTGACGCCTCCAAGAAAGAACTGGCCTGAGGATGCGTCAAAGACGCACGTGGCCTTGTTGATGAAGTCAGGCAGGTGAAACCGCCGCTTTTTTGAAAGAAAGGAGAGCACTCACGAGCCATGCTGCTGCAAGGAAGAATCTGCCTGACGAGGCGTCAAAGACGCACGTGGCCTTGTTGATGAAATCGCCTGGGCGGGTGGAGTTGGCCGGCATCACTCCGAAGAACTGGAAGAATGGGGGGAAAATGGGAGGGGGAGAGGGAATTTGGGAGGGAGGGGAGTGGCGGCGGTGCGGTGAGAGAGGAGAGAGAGGGGTGTGGGTGGGTGTGGAACAACAGGTTGGGGGAGAAGGGATAGACTGTTGAAACATGTGATAAAAGAGTTGTTTTGAGACGTCTCAAAACGTGACAAAGAGTTGTTTTGAGACGTCTCAAAACGTGATAAAAGAGTTGTTTTGAGACGTCTCAAAACGTGATAAAAGAGTTGTTTTGAGACGTCTCAAAACGTGATAGAAGAGTTGTTTTGAGACGTCTCAAAACGTGATAGAAGAGTTGTTTCGAGACGTCTCAAAACGTGATAAAAGAGTTGTTTTGAGACGTCTCAAAACGTGATAAAAGAGTTGTTTTGAGACGTCTCAAAACGTGATAAAAGAGTTGTTTTGAGACGTCTCAAAACAACTCTTTTATCACGTGGTTGTGGAACAACAGGTTGGGGGAGAGAAGGGATAGACTGTTGAAACGTGGGACGACAGAAGCAGTTGCGTCGGGGAAGGAATTAGCAGCTTGAAGATCAGAGAGGGAAAGGAGGATGGCTCACTAGACAGGCGGGAGAATGGGGGATGGGGGATGAGGGATGGGGGATGGGGGATGGGGAATGGGGGATGGGGAGTGGGGAATGGGAATGGGGCTTGGGGAAGGCAGGCAGCAAAAGGAGCGGAAAGGCAGCAGCAGCATACCTCGTTGAGTGGTTGGGGGAGTCGCACTATCTTGCCTCGCTTGTTGTAGATCACAATGGCTGCACAAGGGACACGTGCAGGGCGACAAATGCAGAGATTCAAACAGCTGGTGAAGAAAAAGGGGGAAAAAAGGAACCCGAAAGTGGGCCAGGAAAAAGGTTTCGTTTTTCAGACTTGCCAGAATCAAGCACTGCCCTTTATTTCTCAATCAACACCGAACTGCATCGCTCACCATAGTTGACGATCTGCACAATGTACAGCCTGCCAACGCACACAGTGGAGTCGGGAATCCATGGATCGAACTGCGGGGAAGCGGGAAGAGGGAAGAAGCGAGAGAGGAGAGGGAGCGACGGAAGCATTATAAAGGGCATGACATGTTGCTCACTTTTGAGAATTCTCAAAAGTGATTTCAATATGCCTGGATTGTTGGTGAACTTTCGCAGTGCCACTGTGACACCCGTCTCAGCACCTGAGTAACGCTCTTGCCTCGCCTACCTATCGTTCTTCTCTCACAAAAACCTCGCTCATGACTGGTGAGGTTCTAACCGCCTGAGTGCCGCTCCTGTCTCACCTGAGTGTCGCTCCTGTCGCACCTGAGTGCCGCTCCTGTCGCACCTGAGTGCCGCTCCTGTCGCACCTGAGTGCCGCTCCTGTCGCACCTGAGTGCCGCTCCTGTCTCACCTGAGTGCCGCTGTAAGCATGGTTCACGCCAGCCACCAGCTGCCGCTTCCCAGAGATGCCCTTAAAGCCCAGCTTCGGCCGGCTGTCAAGCACGCCTAACGGAGTGGCCTCAGTGTACTGTACCGCCGGCGTCGCCGCCGTGCCTGCCTTTCTAAACGCGCTGTTCTGTAACGGGGACAAAGACAGGGGGTTCACGAAGCCCAAAAGTATCAGGCGCAGGCTCGGCGTAAGGGAGAGAGCGGGACGGGCTGAGTCGGAAGCACACACAATGAACGTCAAGCGCAGGCTAAATGCTTACAGCGACGTCTGGAGTGCTTTGGTGAATAAGTGCTTAAGGGCTCAAGCGCCAGGGTGCGCGTTGCCGAGTGTTAAATACACACTAAAGACGCCTAAAGTAGTACTCAGTCAGGCTATGCTACGTTCGTTAAAAGTATGAACTTGCTTAAGTTACAAAGGTTTCTGGACTGACGTTGCGTGGAAGATAGATGTTCGACTGCTCGCCAAACTCGTTGGCTGCGACAGTGTTGGCCACGCCGGCGACGCTTGAAGATCCTCCTGCGAACCGTCGCAGAGCGGCTTCGCGAGCCTGGATTCGCTGCTCTAAATCGACGGTCAGGAGATGCTCGTACAACCCCCGCGATCGACGCTGTTGCTCTCGCACCCGCCAGTTCTCTAAAGGAACCTCCTCCCCCTCCTCTACCCCCTCCTCCGCTCCCTCCTCCCCCACCGCCTCCCCTGGTACCGCCGAAGCCGTTTGCTGCGCTGGTGCTTGTTTCACTCGTGTCTCCTGATTCTTCTGCTGCTCTATTAATCGTTGAAGCCCGGAAATAGGATTTGCTGACAGTAACGAGTTCTCCAGTTGTGATTTTATCGAAGGTTGAATGTCTGTCGGAGTTGACTGCGGCGACTGATTTTGACTCCCGGATTGCTGCTGCCATTTCACTGTACTGGGTCCTTTTAGCGATTGACCTTCTATCGGGGCATTGACACGAGACGTTGTGCTAGTGGACGGCGGAGGAGGTATGACGTTCTTTAGACGAGCGGTTCCCGCGAAAATAAGTCGGTCGGAAAACCGATAGAACGACACCCTATCGCAGTCACACGGGTCTGCTGTGAAGCATATAAACGTTAGCGCTAGGAAAATCCACACTCTAGTTTGCAAAGTAGGAGCCATTAAATTATATAATAATGTGTAAGGACGACGAGGATCGCCAAACCGGACGGCTGAAGGGAACTCATCAGTCCACAACTGTCCATCAAACTTGTAAGCCAGAAACTAACATACACCATAACATACCATGCTCCGTACTACAACATCGATGTGACCACACCGACAATAAGCGCTTAGTGCAGAGAGTGCTATGGTCCAATCAAGGAAATCGCGCAACCTAGAGAATGCCGGATCTCCTATCTTGCAGCGTCACTCGCTTTTGGGAGGAGCGTGAACAAGTCCAGAAGGGCAAAAGCAGTTCGGACTGCAATCTTGGGGTTGGTAGGGGAAAACGAATTAGCGAAACGTGCGAAAAGAGAGCGAGGAGTCTCAAGGGACAAACCTCCCAGCTCTAGGCCCTCATTTCGCGACCCAGATGGTCGTGGGCTCGCTGTGTCGAGGGAAAAGGTATGTCACAACAACTCCAATGTTTCCTGGAAAGTATGTTTCCGAATGTCCCAGCCCGAACTGATGTTCCTGCCAAGTTTCCATGCTGCAAGCACCACCCTTTCAACTGCTTACCATGATGAGAAGTTTACCTACAAGTTTCACGCACTTAGCTTCTGGGTGTTCTCCGTATCCAGCCCGACAAGTGCCGAAACAAACGCCGCCCCTATCTGTGGCGGTCTTCTTCACAAGGCACCCCTGTCGTGCCCCCGCACCGCAGCCTACTCTTGACACGTGGATTGACAACTCCTTCCGCACGGCCAAGAGCCTCACACGAAAATCGTGTTTGCACCGACGCAATCCAACGGCCCACATCAATCTGACTGAACCAGGCAGGCAGAGAAAATGTGAGAAAATGCATCGTGACTGGCAGGAAACACACACCCCACGCACATGGCGTTGTAGGCACGGCGAGGAAGCAACATTCTAGAGCAACATTCAATGCGAACGGAACGACAAAATCCCTCACCACCAGCCATCCACACTCGATAAAGCGGATTAGTGAAACAATACAACTTTCTTCTAAAAATTATTGCAATCATGGGCTTGATTGTGCTATTGCAATTTACTAGGTGTCAGCATCAAATTACATTCACGACAGGCAACTTCATTTTCTAACGAAACATTAGTATGCAGTAGGCAATAAAATACAAGTCGGACTAATCCTGTAGTCAACAGATGCGTGAACGCCGCAGACAAGCAAGTCAAAAGTGTAGCTCTTTGAATGCACTCCCAAGTGTCCTTTTTCTTGAATTGTCAACTCTGCATAGGTCCTCTGGAAGCTCCTGGGTCACACCAAGGCACAACGATGCGCCAAAGTCCATTTTTTCGACGCATACCGACTGATGCTCCTTTTCAGCCCCCCCTATAGTTGTCACGCTACCCAAATGTAGCCGTGGTGTAGCTCTGATATTAAATTGCATACAGACCCGAGCCAATACAGCTGCCGCCTGAGAAGGGGATAGGGCGAGGATACGTGTTATAAGGTGCCTGAAGCTTTCGGGTTGTACCGTGGCTGCACAACCAGTAGTACAGGATGTTAGGCTGAGATAGCCCCTTAGGATCTTTCAAGGGAGAACTCTGGATGGATAGTGTTGTAATAGCGGAAGCGTTTAACAAAAGTTTGTGAACCACCTTGCGCTGGTATGTGAGGGCAAAGTAGATTGATTATAGCAAGGAAGTACAAGATTATATAATAATACAAGGAATATGAAAGGATGCAGTTTGTAACTACTTTACTGTTGCTGTTGCGGTTCGATACAGTACGACTCGGGCAACTGCTCTGTAACGAGTCAGCTGTGTGTCCTTAACTGTCGCGCTGTATTTGTCAGGTCAAAGGTCGCTTGACCTTTGACTTTCGCGTAACCTCCAGCAACCTCTTTTAACCTCCGAGGGTTGACTCGCGGGTGCTTCGACATGGCGTGCTTCGCTTCTGGTGTGGTGTTTCGACACGACAGAGGCGTTTACAATTTATTGTTTCCAACACAGGACACCACATCAGCCAGTGCATTGTTGGGATGTGCAACGTACGGGGACATGAGGTTCAGAGGCTCTCCAGTGGGAGGCTTGGCGTCTAGAGGACTAGTGTCAAGAGATGCGGCATTGGCTGCCACGGAGGTGAGGGGCGCAGTTGTCAACCAAGCAAGCGGTGGCTTGCCAGACAAGGCATGATCAGGGTTGTGCGAACGCAGACAATTCCGACGCATTTGCTGCCGTTGTCGGCAATGCCGCTGATGATACGAGTGACAACGTGAGAGGAGGGACCGGAAGAACCGCAGCAGCAGGACGGAAAGCAGGAGCGGAAGCACAGGCTTCTGAGACGGGTGGTACTACACCCGTGGAAGAGGAGGGTGTAACGCCTGTCGAAGCAGAGGGTGTTCCACCCGGAGATGCAGAAGCCGTGGTCAGGAGAAGAGAAACGTGAGACGGGGGCAGACTAAACGTGGATGACAATGGCGGTGCACCGCAGTCCTGCATACAAGCGGCCCGTCTTTCTTCTACAAGCTTGAGCTCGCGTGTATTCTCACTTAACGCCGCATCCTGCTGTTGAAGATTCAAGGCAGGAGTCTTCCGAACCTTGAGCAGAGGGTTTGTGGGTTTGACGGATGGGCTCTCATGATCCAACACTGGGCTTGTAGACCTGCCCGTTACAATGCCGCTGGTGTCCAGACTGGAGTTAATACTGCCGCCACTGTGGTAACCACTGGGATAACCACTGCGCTGGTCATGATTGCGGCGGTAACAGCCCTCGTCGCTGCCGTTTCTGGCCTGAGATTGAGGAGACGCGGATGGGCCGAAGCTCACAGAGTCCTTCGCCGGGAGGCGCGGCGAAGCTCCAAATTCACCGTCGGGGAACGATCGTCGCATCCGCTTGCTCCGTTGCTTCTGCTGCTCCTGCGGCGGCGGCGGCTGCGGCTGCGGCTGTTGTTGCGGCTTCTGCTCCGGATTCTGCTGCTGCTGGTCAGTCTGGGGCTAATGCGCTACTCCTGCAGTGGCGCCCACCGCTACCGCCGGCGGCTGTGCTGCACCCAGCTGCTTTCCTTGCGCCGGCCTGCACCCACGCGGACGTTGCGCAGGCACCCGCCCGCGGTCCAGTAACGGTGGCATGCGCGGCAGAAATGGCGCGGCTGGTTCACATTGTAGTTGTTGTAATAGCAGAATTTAGTGGCGTGGCTCGAGCACCGTAGGCACGCTAGCGCCCCCGGGACTGGCGGCGGAGCCTGCGGCGGCGACAGCGCCGGCGGAAGCGGCGGATTTGATAGCGGGAGTTGTGCGAACCGCTTTAATGGATGGTGCGGTCTTGTCGACGTCGGAAAAGCGGGGATAAGGAGAGCACCATTCATTGTGGTGGTGAGTCCCCTGGCGGCACTGCTAACGGATGGTAATGTGGCAATGTTTCCCGCGTCGCGGTCAGAAGGCGCATCGCTATTATGTCGAGCGTCGCTCGGCGACGAAGCCCCCGTTGACGGAGCACCCGACGGCATGAACTGGTCTGACGCCAAATTGTTAGCCGTTAGCTGTTGAATTGTCCGTCCGAAAAGCCGGAACTCGTTAACTTCTTCCCTGGGGAGTGTCATACTGGCCGAGGCTTGTGAAGGGCTCGGCTCGGCGGAAATGCAGAGAATCATGTTTCAGGAACATGCGCTGCCGCAGTCGTAGTAGCTAGGTAGTACCAGACGGAAATTCAGTTTTCCGGAAGTGAAGTTTGAAGAATCGGGTGCATTGTTATCAATCAGGGGACTTAACGAAGAATTGTGAAGGGAAAGGCTACTAGCCTTTGTCAGTGACAAACGGACTGTATGTAGAGAAAGGCTGACTGACTAACGGGCTGACTCAACGCTTCCGCTGCGAGGACGGTTTGAGACTTTCATGCGTTGTGGGAGGGTATTATTTCATTGTGGGCGCTGAGTTGACTTAGGAAACGCAGGAACATGATGCTGTACGTGATTTTGAGCTTTTTTTTTTATCCGCCTCTCGAACGTCTCATGCAACTGCGATGGGTCTTCCAGATGCGACAATCTGTGCAGCGCTGGGCCGTACAGAAGCCATAAGGGTGATACATGCATGTAGTACAAACAGATGCAGTAAATGCAGTCTAAATGCGTGATCCACTGCTCTCTGGTCCTGCAAAAGGGAAGGCTAGCAACGCAGAGAGTGTATCTTGGAACACAAGGAAGCGAAGCAAAAGAGAGCAACAATCAACCTCAGGTGGAGTTGATTTTGCCCCATTCACATGCTTGCTCCTCTCCTCGCCTCTCACCTGCATTCAAATGTCCCTTTCAGAGCCGTGAATTTCTCTGGTTCGAGAGGCATTTGGCCCCAACGGGAGTTGAGGTGATCCATAAAAATCTGTGCGACGGTGGGAATGACGTGGATTTTGCCTGGCTGGAGGCCCTCCGCCGCAAATGAACGAGGCGCTGGAGTGGCTGTCAATGGTGCCCCCACATTGAAGATTTTGTGAAAAAGGATTAGGGGGTGTCCAGCTCGTACATTTACTGTTCGTAAACCCCATCAGTTACCACATTTTTTGTGGTAACCCTGTATTGAACGTGTCCAGCGGACACAATCAGCTTTCGTTCACAAGACGGCACGCCCCCTGCACGTACCTAGAGTCGTCTGACTCACGTTACTGGAATCAGGAGGGACGCGAACAAGGGTACAGCGCAGCGTCCTGGCCACTACATTTCGTGCCCCTTGTATCGCTTGCACGATTTCATCAGTGTTTCGCTTTACTCGCCAACGCCCCCTGCGCCTGCACAAAAATTCTCAGACTATGATTGACGAGGGAAACTGTTACCTCGTTTTCAGCGTGGTCAGAGCACTGTTGATTCGTGTGGCAGGGAATGTGTCCGCGCTTCTGAAATTACAGGATGGTTGGACTCCACTCACAATGCATTCGTTTCTAGGTACGGTGGTCATTTTTGAACCTCGATACGTGTGTTGGCACGAAAACCCAAAATGAACGAACTGGACACGCCCTTAGCGGACGGAAACCAAGCCAGATTATGGTCCACACCAAACCATGATATTTTCTTCTGTCCGACCCGAACCGAACCAACTTAGCGGGCAAGTCCGAACTTGGTCAACCGAAAATGACCCCAAACGCAATCAGAAAGCCAGCTCGAAATTGCTTTTTTTAACCGTGAAAAGTTTGTCTCCTTCTGTGGAGAGGGACGGGCGTCACACAAGCAGGAGGGAAAAATAACTTGCAGTCAATGGTTCCTCACCTTCTGTAGAGCACGGTTGCGTTTGCACGAGGAAAAACTCCACTGACAATTGGCTCCTTTTTGCCACTTGGAACTTCGTTAGATAAGTAACGGCATCAGAAGTGGCGAGGTTGATCATCTACATGTAGTTGCAAGTACCACGTTCGCCCTGCAAAAATGCAGGAAGCGAGAAATTTAAGCCGACGTTCCTACGGACAATTATGATGCATGTTGAAAGTAGCAAACCAGCGTTTGACGTTTGTCGTGAAATGTTGACTGGAACTGTATGCTGCAAAACTGTTTCTGGCGCGTATGAACGAGTGCAAAAAAAGCTCGACCCCAATCTGCTTATGGAAATGCACAACTTTTACTGTAGCTTTCTGTGAGCTAAAAAGTCCTTCATTGCCTTCAGATCACAATACTGTAATGCTCTTGCAGATCAAGAGGAGGACCACCAATTAATTGCAGGTCCTGTGAAACATCCAAACCAGTCCATTATAACTACAAGCTAACATCAGATTGGACGTCTCCGCACGATACTATGACCACTATCACTTCCTCATCCACTCACCCTATCACGCGGTGGCAGGTGGCACCGGTGCAACTACGTTGGGGATGGCGGCGACCGGTAGAGCCAGCTTGTGCGGCTTGGCGAGGAAGTTGGTAAACTCTTGGAAGAGCGTCTTGGTGGACTTTTAGGCACAAGTGCGTGTGTATTGAAGGTACTAGGAATGCAGGCACGTTACACGTGAATACAAGCTTGTTCTTGACTCGGATTGCAGGCCGCAGCACAATCATTCACAGCAGCGTGCACATTCAGACCTCAAACCTACAAAAAACAAGCCCATTCATCCATTCTTGCTCGGCGCCGACTCGTTTAAAACGCGGGGACCGGAGCGGCAGCGGCAGGAGGGGGGGCAGCAAAGGCATCAGGCACGGCGACGGGGAGGGCCAGCTTGTGCGGCTTGGCGAGGAAGTCGGTGAACTCCTGGAAGGGCGTCTTGGTGAACTTGGTGGCGTGCCAGAGGTCAGGCGTGAGGAAGGCGTATGTGTTGAGCAGACATGCGAACGTGGCCTGGGGTGGGGGAGGGGGGATGGAAGAGGGGAGGCAAGAAATGGCAAGGACTATGTAGGATGGGAGGTTAATGATAGGCATGCAACTTGGTGGCGTGCCAGAGGTCGGGCGTGAGGAAGGCATATTTGCTGAGCAGATATGTGAACATGGTCTGAGAAAGAGACGGAAGGGAAGGGAAGCGGCTTCCAAGGCTTGGGAAAGCAACAAAAAGTCAAAGGTAGAAGGCTCCGGGTCCAATGTGAAAAAGGCGTATGTACAATATTGCACAGACACCCCAATGTGGCTTGGTGAAAAAATGTGGGGATGGTGAACAGGGATAAGAGGGGAAAGAGAGAGGGTGGAAATTGGGCAAAGTGTGGAGAAGAGGAAAATTAACTACTAGTTCTGACCCTGACTGTGCACATTGGGTTTCACCTTACCCTGCACTCCCCTGGAAACCCCTCCCTGCGCCCACTCTGCAATCAACCCCCCTGCACCCACCCCCCTACACTGCCCCGCACCCACCCCCCTGCACTGCCCCGCACCCACTCCCCTGCACTGCCCCGCACCCACACCTCACTCCTCTGCACCCAATTCCTGAACTCCTTTGTACTCCCATGCACTCTTCTGCATTCCTATGCACTCCTCCGCACTCCCATGCGCCCACTCCCTTGCACTCCCCTGCACCCAACTCCCTGCACCTGCACTCCCCTGCACTTCTCTGCACTCCACTGCATTCCCCTGCATCCGCTCCCCTGCTATGCCCGCATCACTTTCACTGAGCTGCAAGCACCACCTTGCTGCAGACACACGCAGCACGGAGAAATCTGACGGCTCCCAGCTCACTCAAGCACGGATGGAAGATTAATCTGACAGATTGTAACGTGCTGGCTATTTCTACCTGGCTCGCTGGGACTAATCTGGCGGCCCCTGGCTCTCGGGGAGTAATCGAACGGCCCCTGACTCGCTGAGACTAATCTGACGGCCCCTGAACCTCTGGGACTACTCGAACGCCCCCCGGCTCTCTGGGACTAATCTGACGGCCCCTTGCGCTCTGAGACTAATCTGACAGCCTCAGACGGCCCTGGGCATTCTGGATTGATCTGAAGGCCCCTGGCTTTCTGGGACCCCTACACGATCCCTGGACGATCCCAGCACGCTCCCTCGACGCTTCCTGCACGATCCACGCTATTATGAAGGGCAGTCAATGGAAGCACCAGATCACCAGCAGTAGTCGCCTTCCACCCGAGCTTGGTATCGGGAGGGACAGAAACGCCACTCTCTAACCCACGAAGAGACACCACTCGGAAGAGACACTTATCACTCTCCACTTATAACTCTCCACTTATCACTCTCCACTCATCACTCTCCACTCATCACTCTCCACTTATCACTCTCCACTCATCACTCTCCACTTATCACCACACCACTCTCCAGATTACGACGCCACAATTGCCATAGGACCGCATTTACCACCAGGGGCGTCGATGAGAACTCTCCAACGGCATTCCCTCGCACGCGCCACACTTTGCAACTCCGTGTCACGTTTGCCGTGTGTACTAGTCTTCGGACCTGCTTCTCCGTGTCCCATTTGCCGTGTGTTCTACGATTCTAAGCCGCGTCTATATTTGACCGCTCTCTCTCGCCCACGAGACGTCGCCCCTTGTCACATTATAACAGTCCCACGAAATGATGCAGTCCACGAGTCGCCCCACACTCAGAATGCCGTTTCTGAACGTCAACGTCCACGTCACCGTCACTATCGCCCCCAGAGAAGCTATAATCAACTACCGCCAGGGTACGCGAGAACCTGCCTTCGTTTCGCTCAGAAAGCCTACTACCGCTGCTGAACGCCACACTGGCACCATCATGGCGCAACCCTGTCGGATACAGGCTCGGAAACCCTGAACCCTGTCCGAGGGACCATAACACGCCCACGTCGAAGGTTTCAAGAGACTTCCACCCACCCTACCATCTCCATGACTGCCTCCTTAACTGGAGCGCAATCCCTTCTGACCGTCCCAAACGACCGCTACAACCCTTTCAAGTATTTCCTTGGCTTGCAATGCTCCATAAACCGAATGATGAATTCTCACTCATCTCACCTTCACGAAGTTTCCGAGCGTCTTCGTGGAGCCGCGGGACGAGGTAAAGACGTCCTCGATACCCGCAAACTGAAGCACCTTCTTCGGCACGCGAGCCGCCACAATCCCGGAACCGCGAGGCGCGGGGACGAGGCGTACAGTGACCGAGCCGCACTTGCCAGTGACCTTAGTAGGCACAGTGTGCGGCTTGCCGATCTTGTTACCCCAGTACCCGCGTCGCACGGGAATCACGGAGAGCTTCGCGAGGATGAGCGCGCCGCGAATGGCGGTTGCGACCTCCTTAGCGCACTTCACGCCGAGCCCGATGTGACCGTTGCAGTCGCCGACGACGACGAACGCCTTAAAACGCGTACGCTGCCCGGCGCGCGTCTGCTTCTGCACGGGCATGATCTTCATCACCTCGTCCTTAAGAGTCGGCAGAAACGCCTCGACAATCTGATGCTCCTTAATCGGCAGCGAAAAGAGGTAAATGTGCTCGATGGACTTAATCTTCCCTTCCTTAACGAGGCGCCCCAGCTTAGTCACCGGCACCCATGCCTCCTCCTTATCCTCCGTGCGTCTGCGCCCGCGCCCGCGGCCCCTGTCCCCGCGGCCCCTGTCGCCGCGCCCGCCGCGGTCGCCGAATCCGCGCCCGAATCCGCCCCTGTCTGCCATGGTTGTGTCAAATTCGCCCGAAAACGGGAGCGAGATAAGAGAGAGTGGAAAGGAAGGAGGACGGGAGCTCGAAAACCCTAAAAGCGAAGAGGGCTAGTGAGAGGGGCTGGGGGGGTTGGAATAGGCGAGGGGAGGGTGGGGGGGTTGTGCAACCGCCGGGTGAGGGGGATGGGAGAAGCGGAATGCGGGGAGGATGTAGATTGAATTACGCGGAAGCGGATGGGAGCGGAGAAGTTGCGGGGGCGGATGGATAATGTGCTAATCATGAGCAAAATGTAGAATGTATATTCTTGCTGGATTGCACTACTATGCATGGTGAGCGAATTCCTTGTTGCGCGTATAGCCTCAGTTGCTTGTGATGCAATATTTTGCCCAAGGGTACTCCATTTGCGACCATTTCTTGTTCCGCGAGCGAGGCATGGTCGCAGGCAGTTGCTTCATTCGTCGGTCCAAGTTAATCGACACACATTAGGTTTTATAGACGATTGAGCTAGTGGTCACGCGTTTCGCTCCTAATTTAAGGCTACGACAGCATATTTGGTTCATTTTACTGCTCCTAGGTCAAGACTAAGACATGGACGACAATCATATGGCTAGCGACGGCGCGTCGCTTCAACGAATGCCAACGATTCACGTTCGCGAAATTCGGGATCGATTCATGAAGTTCGAGCTTCGCGATACAGACGTGTCTGTCGCGAACGTGCTTCGCCGAGTCATGATGGCCGAAGTCCCCACCATCGCCATCGATCTTGTCGAAATCGCGAACAACACTTCCGTGCTAAACGACGAATTTATCGCGCACAGGCTAGGCCTCATCCCATTGGTCAGCGACCGTGCGATGTCAATGAAGTTCTCTCGCGACTGCGACGCGTGCGACGGCGACGGCCCGTGCGAGTACTGTGCCGTGGAATTCACGCTCAACGTCAAGTGTACGGGAGATGAAACGTTGGACGTTACAACTCATGATCTGGTGCCGTCATCGAGTGATGACAGTGACGACGCTGTCCTTCCTGTCGATTGCACGAGACGAACTGAAGGGGAGGACGGCGAGGAGAAGTAAGTAGCTGGATTGCGGCAGGAGCGGAGTGAGTAAGGGGGAAGAATGATTAGCCTGGCACATTGCGTAGTGATAGGAGGAGGGAGGGAACCCACCCTCCCACCCACCCACTCCCTCCCCCTCACCTCCCTGCCTCCCTCCCTCCCTCCTTACCTCTGTACATGTTGATCGTTGATGGAGGACGGGAGGGAATTGTTGCTCATCTGGTGCTGCATTTCCACAACTTCCTTGTGCCCCTGTGCCTTCCGCCCTTGAACGCACAAGCTTCATCTCATGACCCCCTGAACGCTCAATTGTCTTCTCTTCTCTCTCCCCACCTCCACCCCCCTTTCCTCCCATTCCCTGCCATTTCCTCTTTTTTCCCGCCCTCGCATCTCCTTCCATTCGCCTCAAAGGAATCGTGATGTTAAAGCTACGGAAGGGCCAGGAGATCCGGCCGCGTGCGATCGCGCGCAAGGGCCTGGGGAAGGACCACGCCAAGTGGTCGCCGGCGTCCACCCCCGTCCCTCCCTTCCCACCTTACTTCCATCCCCATCCTCCAGTTTCCTGCCTCCTTTTCTTTCGTCCTCCATCTCCTCCAATTCACCTCAGAGGAATCGTGATTCTAAAGCTGCGGAAGGGCCAGGAGATCCGCCTGCGTGCAATCGCTCGCAAGGGCCTGGGGAAGGACCACGCCAAGTGGTCGCCGGCGTCGCCAGTGACGTTCATGTACGAGCCAGAGATCACCATCAACCACACGCTCATGGATGGCATGACTCTGGACGAGAAGCGCGAGTGGGTGGACTCGTGTCCCACACAAGTCTTTGGGATTGACGAGCATGGACAGGTGAGGTTTGATGCTGCAGACAGATGTGCCTGGTAGCAAGATGTTGTTACAGCGCGTTTCGGCAAGATGATGTACATTCTGCCTTTTTCCATTTTATGTGTGGAAATTGTGTCGATATGAACTCGTGTCATGGCTGTCTTTGCTTCCTTATGACCATGGTTCAGGTGTATGTTGAGAATGCGGAGCTGTATGCGTATGATGATGAGGTTATTGTCAAAGCCGAGGAGATGGGCCGGCCCGGTCTTGTGGAGATTCGGCCACGTCAGGACAGTTTCATTTTCACGGTTGAGTCGAGCGGAGCTTTGTCTGTAGAGAGAATGTTTTTGGATGCCATAGAGGTTCTTCGGCAAAAAATCGAGGCAGTGAGGCTGTCAGGGGACGGGGATGAGGGTGATGATGATCATCTGGCCACGTTCATGCGCCGTGGGTAGCTGTTTCAGTAGTAGTGGGACAATTTGTATTTTAAGCTTTGGTATATGGTGTCTGGAGTTGCAGAACTGTTACGGTATGTCCAACGCACTTCTTCAGAAAAGCATGTCTCGTTTGCTTCGTTAGTGCTACGTGATGTAACACTTCTACCCATTTGACAGACAAGCTTCCCAGAATCCCGGATCTCCAACACAGTTGCGGTTCGAGAAGTGTCGGTCAGCATCCCGAGTGCACCAGTCACCACAAGTATATCCACGTGTGCTGCCAGCCAGTCAAAAAGATCCCGTTGAACCAGGGAGACCGGCCCTGAAAGGTAGCTCCCTGTCTAGGTCGTCCACTTCATCCAATCATCAGCTTCTGATTGGTACCCTCATTAATAAGCAATATCAGAGGTCAGCCATTTGCAACGTTCCACCTCAGCGCGCAGCGCCATGAATGAGGAGCCAGGTTCTAAATTCTGCTCTGCCTTTTCATTCTCTGTGGAAGCCTTTACTATTTACCGCTGCTACTATTTCGCTAACTATTTGCATCCTTCACGTCTTTATCACTGTTCCTCTGCTTCATCGCGTGGTCGCTCCGTTTCTTATCGGCCAGAATCTTTCTTCACGACCGTGACTCGCAACGCAACGACGTCCATCTGTGATTCCTCCTCTTTCGCCTCGTTGCCTGCCGCTTTCCAACCTTGCCTCACCTGAAGCTCTCAGAGAACGCTGTTCTTTACAACAAGGCATTGCTGCTTTCTAGATTAGCACCTGAGCCGCGTCGAACATACGCTCGATCGCTCGCTCTGTATAAGTATACGGTCGACAGTTGGGGACAGCCGAAGGTGAAGTGTAACGTATCTCGCGCTTGAGATAAGACAACCCAAATTGAAACCGACGCGCATCGGACGTGTCACAAAACTGTGACCTGCGATCGACGTCGTACGTAAAACGCTATATAAGCTTAGCGGTAACCCCGTTAAAAGGCGATCGCAGAGCCCTTTGCTTTGAAAGCTAGCGACCAACATGGTTCACGAGACGCGACCCGAGCTGCATCACCCGCCCGCGCCGCACCACGAGAATGCGGCGTGGAAGGGGTTCGTGGAGGGCGGCGTCGCGTCCATGGTTGCCGGCGTCGCCACACATCCGCTGGACCTCCTAAAAGTTCGCATGCAGGTGCGTCGCACACATGCAGGTCCGTCGCATGCAGGCCCGTCGCAGGCAGGTCCGTCGCATGCGGGTCCGTCGAACGCACCCATGGTTGAAAGCCTGGCGTTAGGTTTGCAACCATGGGTGCGACGGACCCATGGTTCGTCGCACGGACCCATGGTTCGTCGCACGGACCCATGGTTCGTCGCACGGACCCATGGTTCGTCGCACGGACCCATGGTTCGTCGCACGGACCCATGATTGCAAACCTAGCAATATTCGCACCTTCAAAGCTCCGAGCTTTCCATTGAGGGGGTCCCTCAATGTCCGCTGCACACCCAATCCACAAATCCTCCATTCCTCCACAAACCCACTCATTCTCCCTGCCTTTTGCCCATTTCACGCTCCACTCCTCTCGTTGTTTCCTCCCTTTCAGCTTCTAGGCGAAGGTTCCGCGAAAGCGGCGGCGGGAGCGACGGGAGCGCCGGGCGGGGCGCTGCGGGTGGCGGCGGAAGTGGTGCGGGAGAACGGCGTGAAAGGGCTCTTCACCGGCGTCTCTGCGACCATGATGCGACAGGTGGGCGATGTGCGACAGGTGCTCGACGGGTGAGCGACAGGTCAGCGACCGTTGCAGCAGACCAGCTTGGAAACGGCGTGGTGAAAAAGGTTGGAGAACCCAAACAAACGAATGAAGAGTCAGATCCAAAATCTGGATGTTGAACGCCTTCCATCTGGATCAAACTTCAATGGCGATAATAGCTCTGTGCTCAATGCCACTGAATACCTTCCACCTTCGTCTCCCGCGTCAGATTCTCTAGAGCGCGACAAGGGGATTCACGACGCATTGAAGATGGAGCAGCAGCCGCACATGCCTCTACCAAGGCTCTCCTCACTTCCTCCGCTCCCCTTTCCCTCCCACTTCTGTTTCCCCTTTCCATCCCCCTCGTCAGATTCTCTACAGCGCGACGCGCATGGGGATGTACGACATTCTGAAGCACAAGGTGGAGGAGCACGTGCCTCCGCGGGGGAGCAGATCAGCCTCTCTCACTGAGAGAAAATTTTGTGTGGCACACACTGCACTCCCTTCCTTTCCCTCCTCCGCTCTCGTCCGCTCCCTCCTTTTCAGATTCTCTACAGCGCGACGCGCATGGGGATCTACGACATTCTGAAGCACAAGATGGAGGAGCAGCCGCACATGGCGCCGGGCGGGCTGCCCATGTACAAGAAGGTCGGCGCGGGGCTCGTGTCCGGCGCCATCGGCGCGGCCGTGGGGAACCCCGCTGACATGGCCATGGTCCGAATGCAGGTGCGTGTGGGTGAAGAGGGGTGAGGGCAGGTGCATGACGGTACATGGTGGTACATGGCGCCGGGCGGGCTGCCCATGTACAAGCAGGTCGGCGCGGGCCTCGTGTCGGGCGCTATCGGCGCGGCTGTTGGCAATCCTGCTGACATGGCCATGGTTCGCATGCAGGTGCGCGGGTGAATAGGGGTTAGGGAAGGTGCATTACGGTGCGCGAGGGTGCGTGACGGTGCGTGACGGTACATGGCGCCGGGCGGGCTGCCCATGTTCAAGAAGGTGGGCACGGGTCTTGTGTCGGGCGCCATGGCCATGGTCCGCATACAGGTACGTGCGTGATGATGGCATGCATTGTGCCCATTCATTGTGGAACCTCTCGCCTGCTGTCATTGTCTCGGTGGTGCCTCTCGCCCGACCCGCATAAGGTGGTCTTATTCTCGGTGATGAGAGCTGGACGCCATGGCGCGCGTCCCTCCTTCCCCCAGGGAAGTGAGGTTTTTTTAGAATTCTAAAAAAACATTCCCTCAGGGAAGTGAGGCTCACTTCGCCCCTCAAGCCTTCTTCGACTCCCCCCCCTGGCGCTCCCTCGTCTAAGTGAGGCTCACTCCCCCTGGCGCTACCCAGGCGGACGGCCGCCTACCTTTGGAGCAGAGGCGCAACTACAAGGGTGCGCTGGACGCCATTGCAGAATCCCCCGTCCCTCCCTCTTCCTCGCTCCCCCTTCCTCCCTGCAGGCGAACAGTCGGCTGCCAGTAGAGCAGAGGCGCAACTACAAGGGCGCGCTGGACGCCATTGCAGAATCCCCCGTCCCTCCCTCTTCCTCGCTCCCCCTTCCTCCCTGCAGGCGAACGGTCGGCTGCCAGTAGAGCAGAGGCGCAACTACAAGGGCGCGCTGGACGCCATTGCAAGAATCCCCCATCCCTCCCTCTTCCTCGCTCCGCCTTACTCCCTGCAGGCGGACGGCCGGCTGCCGGTGGAGCAGAGGCGCAACTACAAGGGCGCGCTGGACGCCATTGCAAGAATCTGCCGGGAGGAGGGCGCTGCAGGCGATGCAACTCCTCCTCTCTTCTCCGTCTCCCCTCTCCCTTCCCTCCCACCTCGTTATCAACCCCCAGGCGGACGGACGATTGCCAGTAGAGCAGAGGCGCAACTACAAGGGCGCGCTGGACGCCATTGCGCGCATCCGCCGGGAGGAGGGTGCAGCAGCGCTGTGGCGGGGGTGTGGGCCCACCGTGTATCGCGCCATGGCTGTCACTGCAGGGCAGGTGCGTTGACCCCCGTTGACCCCTGTTGACTCTTGATGACTTTCGGTTTGAGCAACGTGGGTCCACAATCGTGTGTCTGTCACTGGTGTGCCCGTAGCGGCTGCTTACACTCCATTTCACGTCTGCTCCTTCTCTCCTGTTCTTGTTTCTGATTTCTTACGCCTTTCCCTGCTCCCCTCTACCCTATCGCAACTCTCCCTTTCTGCCCCTCCAACCAACCAGCTTGCAACGTACGATCAGGCCAAGGAGAGCCTCATAGCCGGGGGCTACATGAAAGAAGGCCTTGCCGCGCACACAGTGGCGGCATTCACAGCAGCCATCTTTGCATCGCTGGCCTCGAACCCCTTTGACGTGGTGAAGACGCGCCTCATGAACATGCACAAGCCGGAGGGCGGGGGGGCAGCTCCTTACTCGGGCCCCTTGGATTGCGCCATGAAGACCATCCGGTTGGAAGGGCCACTCGCGCTGTACAAGGTGGGTTTCTGAGTTGCTGATATGCAAGGTGTGTGGGTGGGTGTGTGGGTGGTGCATTGCTCGCCTCGAATCCCTTGGATGTGTTGCGCACACCTTGAAGACTAACTTGCTTGAAGGCCCGCTTGCATAGTATAGTGTGGTGGCTCGAGCAAGTTGGCTTGTTGCCTTTGGGGATGTCTCATGCAGTCACTGGCAGGGCTGGGGGATGGCACTGCAGACGGCTGGCAGTGCATACGCGGGGTATCCTGGGCATCAGGTATTCATCACTTGAACATCCTTACATGGCGTCTTTATGTTGTAGTCCGTGCTCTCATGCCCTGTCGCCTCCTCATCCCCCGTGTTGCTTTCATTTGCTCTCCCTTACAGGGCCTCATCCCCACCATTGTCCGGCAAGGCCCCTTTTCGCTCATCCTCTTTGTCACGCTCGAGCAAATGAAGAAGATTATGGAAGATATATAGTAACTGAACACCACTGCATGTGTAAGACCACAAGCTCCCACTTTGACGTAAGCCCCCCTGTGTATTTGACATACCGTATGGTACCTGTATTTGATTTCAGCACAATAGCACATGTTAAGTTTCCAGGTAGCACTTCAGTTGGCGAAAGGAGAAAAGGTGCATGACTACAAAATCCATGCAAAATTTTATTTTAAACACACGGAGTGTTTTTCAAGATTACGTATTTCGAGCGCGCAGTTGCTTGTAACGCATGTTTTGGCATCGTCGAAGCGCGCTAAACGCCCTTCTCCAACTACAAATCGTGGGTTGGAGCTCATTTCCCTCCACCCACGTCTCTCATTTTTCCGACGGCTCACACAACTCTCCCACCCCCCGCCCCAACGTTGATGGACATCACGGACGCCGTTTGCACAAGACGATCGAGCGCCAGTAGCATGCTACATAGCAAGGATCAGGATTATTAGCTAGTACAATTATTGCTACGTAATATAATAACATGTAGGTATTAGCAATTCTGTTTCCTAACTCGAGATGCATGATGTAATTTGCCCAGTTGAAATGAGAACGATGTCAAATCATAAGTAAGAGAAAGCAAGCTTTCTAAATTTGCACATTTTATGTATGGGCATGCGTTGCATATAAGCATAACGGATTCACACCGAACCTTCTCGTACAAGCTTATGCCTCAGCGCTAAGATAAATGTACCCACCGGCAGCCGTTACAAAGTGCCCTTTGCTTTAGCGAGAAATGCGCATGTCACAGGTCCGCCACCACCACCCAAACCCCATAATTTAAACGCAAAGGGAGGTGACGTCACTTCACGTCTTCCAGCCATGTCACCTCCCACGGATCTGGGTCCGTGATGAGCTGTCGCCATGCATCAGGGCAAAGGAAGCCAGCGCAGCATTCGCTCCTCGATTCGCGTCGAAGGGGAGGGACAGAATGCAGGGTGGTTGGGTTAGGAGGTTGTATGGCGCCGCGTGAACTGATTTTTCTCGCAGCAACCGAGGCGCGCGAGATGCGGTTGATGTGAATCCAAATGTTGGGGGAGGTGGGGGGGGCAAAGAAATCAACGTTGGCCGAATGAATGGTGTCCAGGCATCCAGGGTCAGGGGGGTCAGGGAAAATCACGGCAACACCTTATCTCCGGAGCGCAAGCATGCTGGCTGTCGTCGATTCGTGTCTTCCTTGGGCTTGGATAGCGGGTAACCACAGGATGGATAGTGTTGCTTCCATTTGCTCTTCTTACACATGTGCTGCTGCACGTGGATGACGTGTATTCCGCGAACGAAGAAATTGGAGAAGCCCCAACCACATACCAAACCAAACCACACGCTTGACGAGAAACACATCGTCGAACGCGGCCCTGGGGTTTTCCGTCAGCCTTTTTGAAGCTGCCAGCCTCCCGTCAACTCATTCCACATCCATTTGCCGCCATTTGTTCATCCTGCTCCGCCCACCGGTCGCCCGACCACGATCACTTGCCTGATGATTGCAGTACACGTGTCATGAATCACTTGGTGCGCGCCCGATCGAGCAGGACGCAATCTGCTTGTTCAAGAAGCAACAGAACCACAAGCGAAAAAAGAACATTCTTGCGGCGTGGCCCTCGACTCGAGCCGAGCAGCGTTTGCACGTATCTTGAGTTCTACTGCTAATTTCTAAACCATAGACATTTCTTTCCCCATGGTTGAACAGCAGAAACTACTGCTTCCAGTTATTCGCGTACACAGGATAGATCATTTTGCACCATGTTTTTTCATGATGCCACAAAGGCTCCAAATAGTGGAGCAGCCAAGAAATAATTCGAGAAGCAGGATGCGTGCCTGCCATCGCGGAAGTCGTGGTAAATATTGATAGCAATGCTTCTAGTAGTGCGCCTAGAACTTCGATTCGACAGACCGTAATCAGCAGTTCCCCGATACACGTTGTCGCTCTGTGGTTGTCGATGCATGACGCGTGGCACCACAAGTCAATTTTGGGACGAGTCGTCTCTCCGAACCAGATTCAGTTTAGTAGATTACCTACCGTATTCTTTCACAAGGACGTTCACGTCTCGTCTTCGTAGACGCCTTAGATAGCCACCTACCTTACATTTACACGAAGTAATTTTCTAGACCACTAACGCAGGTGGTCTTCCTCTTGACCCGTTTCGCTCTCACTTTGTTCGTGAATCAGGCGCGCAACTCTTAAACTCCTTAACGTTTCCGGTATAAGCAGTCACTGACAAAGGAAATTTAGGAATGGATATCCACAGCGCGCAGTGGCTCACAGCTCAGGCTCCCTCAAATTACCCTCCTCAGTCGCACGCGATGCCGCCTCTACCGCTCCTCTTCACTTCAACCCCTTGCGTTCTCTGCCCCTCCCCCGCCGCCGTGCATTGCGCCGCGGACGGCGCTCACCTGTGCATCGCGTGCGACCAGGCAGTCCACGTGGCGAACGCTCTCGTAATGAAGCACCCGCGCGCGCTTCTCTGCTGCTCCTGCCACCAACCCACTCACGTGCAGTTTCTCGGATTTCCCACGGCTCTCACGCTCCCTTTAGTCTTCTGTCATAGCTGCCGCTCCTCGGGTTTCACGGCCGCCGGTCTCCTAACCCACGCGACGGTGGGGTCTGCAGCAGCTGACGTGTCGCTGAATAACGTGGCGAGCGCTCGTTTGCTCGACGTTTGCCACGCTGGATTGTATTCTGCTGGACTGGTTGACGGTGGTCGAGGATGGAGTGTAGCGGCTCGGGATTCTTATGTATATGGTGACCAACTAGGTCCCGGGATGCATCGTATCGACTCAAACTGCAGCGGGGATAGCGGCGGCCCTGACGGCGCGTCTCCCGCGAGTGGAGTCACCACGGAGTGTTGCGAACCTGTGGGTGTTACAAGAGGTAACAGCTACGAGCAGCTTTCGCAGCTGCATCAGACAACTATTTTGCATCAGCCGGCGATGCTTCTCGCCAGTCAGCAGCATCAGAACCGTCCGCATCCACAGCATCAACCGGCTATTCAATCTGAGCCGTTCAAACAAGAAGGTTCAACGGTCCTGCAACTCTTTCCGCAGATCCCGGAGGTTGCGGGCCTTCGCGGAAACGGAACGTCAGAGGCGACACGTGTAGCCGACGCGGCCCAAGAACCGTCACTTAAACGTAGACGGACGGAAAACGGAGTTGACGGATCTGAGTGTTGCGTAACGTGCTGGCAAGTGGCCGAAGCCGCGAATGTGAACGTACACGGTGCAGCTACAACGGGTGGTGATACTAACGCAGCGTCTTTGCGAGTCGACCGGAAAAGGTCGATGTCTGATTTGCAGCAGCAGCAGCCGCCGCAGCCACGTCAGCTGCAACCAGCGCCCACGTCAGATGGCCCTGCCCTCGGCCAAACCGCCGCGGCTCGGCTGAAACGGGTGCTCCAATCATGGTGCACGCGGCTCCATCTCGCTTCTAGCAGCGCGCAAGCGCTGGCCTTCCACATGCTCCAGCGCATATTGCGGAAGCTCCGCCCGACTGACGTGGCGGCGGACGCGCTCCGGGTGGTGCTCGCCACGTGTCTGTGGGTGGCGATTAAGGGCCAGGAGAGCCAAGACGCGGTGCCGCGAGCCAGCCAACTGGCAGCTGTAGCGCGAATCACGGCGGATTCACTGGTGGGGATGGAGATCCAGGTGCTGAAATTGCTGGACTGGCGACCACTAGAAGGCTTCCACGTGGATGGAGGAGAGGAGTAAGGGCGGATAGATCCTTTCCCGTCAGGACTGACGCATTTTGTCCCCTAGAAAGGGGATGGCGACGGGGGATGACGGAAACGACATACATGATACTGCTACTGAAGCATCATGTCTTTGAGTGTCTCTGACTGTTATGGTGGTATGGTGTCATGGCCATTTACCAGGAGTACCATAACCATACCTCTCGTACCTCTCTTCTCAGGAGTACCAGGAGTACAATACTAGAGCCGCTTGAATCCGGCTGACTGCCTCTCATGGATGGCACGGCACTGCAACCTTGGTGTTTGTCTAGGCCACTAGCTCATGATGATGTTACATCCATTCAATATAGCATCAATTTTGATTCTTCTAAATCGCAGGCTTAACGCGGTACTCGGCAGCTGTAGTGTAGGTACAACTGAACAATACTGGCCACACAAAGAACCTTCTCCATCAGTCCACCTAAGAGCGTGTTCCTACACCGCGTATCAGACACACCTCGTATCAGCTTCGCGTGGTGAAGTACGTTTCGGTGTGTTCGACTACGGTTCAATGCGTTTTAGTGCGGTTCGACGCGAATCTGATATGAGGTTGCCTGATACGAGGCCGTAGGAACACACTCTAATGCATGTTTGCATCATCACAGCTTTCTGAGACCCACTCGATCCACATTTCCTCACACGCACGGCCAGCTGAACCTGCTCTCTCTCCCCCGGCAGCGGAACAGAGCGAGGCCCCCCCCCCTTATCCTGACACCTACCGTCAGTCAGTCACCCCTTCTCCTGGCATCCTCCTCCCAGCAGTCAACATCTCCCCACACGCACGGCCAGCTCAACCTGCTCTCAATTCAGTTGCCTTGCACCCCCTACCCTGACATCCACCGTCAATCACCCCCTCTCTTGAAATCTACCACAAATGAATCAACATCTCCTCACACGCACAGCCAGCTGAATCTGCTCTCTCTCCCCCGGCAGCGGAACAGAGCGAGGGAACCTCAGCGGCACTTCGAAATCCCCGATGGATGAGAGTGGAGCGGACAGAGGTACATTTGCCTCGGATAGCTGGATGCCGAACTGACGCCGAACCTCGCTGATGATGTGGCGCTGCGTGATTGGTTGGCGCAGTTCGGAGGATCTCTTGGGTGTGACGGCCCGGATGGACTGCGAGGCGAGGGATGGGGAAGAGAGTGAGAAGGAAGAGAGTGAGAAGGAAGAGAGTGAGAGGGATGAGATTGTGCGGGAGCAGAAAGGGAGACGAGAGAATAGAAGAGGAGGGGATCGCGGCTGAGTAAATGAGAGCTGAGACAGTGAAAATAGAGAGTATGGTGGCTGATAGGAATATGGCTAACAAAAAGTTTCACTTTTCACCCCTAGAGGGAAGAGAGGAGACTGAGGAGTGGGGGAGGTTAGTGAAGGAGGCAACAGACCAATCGCAGGCTGTCGAGTCGTCTTGCAATCTCCTCGGCCTCCTTCACTCTCTCCTCTATCGTCACCACCTCACCCCCCTCCTCGCCCCCTCCCCCCCCACCACCCCCCTTCCCCTGCGTCTCCTCCCGCGCTTCCCCGCGCGCCTCCCCCTCCGCCTGCCCCCGTGCCTCCCCCCGCGCCTCCCCCTGCGCCTCCCCCTGCGCCTCCCCCTGCGCGTCCTTGGCCTGTTGCACCTGGCGCAGGAACTTGGGGATGGCGGGGAGCGCGGCCTTCTGGGGGATGAGCTTGTTGCGCGCGAAGCCAGCTGGCACCTTCACCACGTCACCCGCGTATCCGAGGCCTTCAATTTCCTGAAGAAGGGAAACAAGAACGGGGGTTTTGTTTCGAGGCGTCCTAAATGAGCAGGCTAAACGTGCCACTTCCCAGATCTTACCGCTGTCAGCACGACGGGCAGTTTCGGGCGAGTGCGCACTCCGCGCGCAAAGGACAGGCGGAAGGCGAAAGCGGAGGAGGGGGAGGCGGCGCTTTGCGCGGAATGCCGCGCGCATGCGGCGCTGCTGGCGACAGCATCGGGGGAGGGCTGAACGGCGACCCGCGCCTGAGAGGGTTGCGGGAGGAGTGGGCGGAGCGAGGGGAGCGGGAGGTGCGGGAGGGAGTATAAGTTAAATTTGCGCGACGGTACGAAGGTGTGAGCAGGTGGATGCTGACGTGGCTACGGACCAGAGAGGACGCGACGCGCGATACCGCAGAGATCGCGCCCCTGTGACCTCTCATCTCGTCGCTCGTCGCTCGTCGTCTGGCGTGAAAGCAACTAGCGAACCGCGGAGAAGAGATCGACGGTAACTCGCGTGGCGAAACAATGGTAGACCGTGGCGGTCTGGAGTAAAAAGAAACGGCAAGAATGAAACGCGACGCGGAGGCAAGGTGGTGGGCGGGGGGCGAGGCGGTGGGAAGGTAGTGTGGAATTGGGAGATCAGCACAGAAAACTACTAATATACGCTGCGTAGCTTGATCCTCGTTACGGTGAGATGCGCCACACTGCACACAGAGGATGGTTTTATTCCAGATGCTCCAAGGGTACTTCTGAAACTGGAACAAACACTCCTATCAAACCTCGAGGAAAACCTTTGGACTCCTTTTTAACCCGAACACTGGCTGTTTTGTTTTTTTTTTTTGTTTTTGTTCTTTTTTTTTTGGGTTTCTCGCCGCAGTTCCCTTTGACGAAGGCAGGCAGGTTGGCTGGTGTTCCCTCGATTTCGCCGATTCGACAGTTCCTAGCGAGAGCCAGGAGTCTAGATTCTAGAATCTAGATCGTCCTCCCTGAAACATCGACGGCGAACAGCGATTAATCGAAACTGAAGTCGGGAATCTTTCTTCCCAGTGAATGCGTTGTGACTGTTAGAGTATCATAACTCATTAGGGTTCCTTGGTCTTGAGAAGGCGAATGTTTCTCGACGGCCTGACACTCAAGCCTATTATTATGACAATTTCCACTCCCAGCGAATGATAACGCATCCCGGTACTCCGATCGCCGTCTGATTGGCTAAGCCGTGCTTATTTCGTCTCTGAATTAGTCACTGATTAGTAGTCAGGTCAGGTAGTGCCTCGGATTTCGAGCCTCCGTTTTCGTTCCTGCTTCTGCTGAGTAGCGACAGATATCGTTCCTCGACCGGATTTATAGTTCGGAAAAGCGGCAGGATTTTAAATATCGGATGGCCTTGTATCGAGACGCCACGCAGCAAAGATGGTACGCGATTAACAATCAACAACTGTTATTTACAATTGAAATATCTTGTTACTTGTGTCTGACGATTGCGACTGACCGCAAGCAACTGTAGGCAAGCGACCGTTGGCTCCTCGTCTGTCTGTCTCCCCGTCACCTCCACCCCTTTTTCCCCCTCCCTCCCCCCACCAGGAAGGGCAGCGAGAGCCCCCTGCTCGTCCGCGCGGCAGCAGAGAACTTCTAAGTCCCCTCCGCTGCCCGTCGCCCGTTTCCAACAACCCCTCTTCCCGCTCCCCCATCCCCCCTATTACACCCCCCCTCCTTCCCCCCACCTCCCCTTCTCGCCAGGAAGGGCAGCAAGAGCCCTCTGTTCGGCCCCACGGCAGCGGAGCTCCCTCGGTATCAGCGCGACGTGGAGGACCTGCTGGTGGAAACCACCGCCCTCCCGAACAATTCCTCTCTTCCCCGTCCCCCACCCTTTCAAACCACCCCTCATCCAACCAGGAAGGGCAGCGAGAGCCCTCTCTTTGGCCCCACAGCAGCGGAGCTCCCTCGGTATCAGCGCGACGTGGAGGACCTGCTGGTGGAAACCACCGCCTCGCCCTGCCCCTCCGCCAACCGCTGCAGCAAACTGCTGCTGTGAGTGACGCGCATTCTCTCCCTCTTGCTCCCCGCTTCTGTTTTGGGTGGGGTTAAGACCACGCCACACCTGCTGGTGGAAACCACCGCCTCGCCCTGCCCCTCCGCCAACCGCAGCAAATTGCTTCTGTAAGCAACGATGACGATGCCCCGTCCTCGCCCTCTCCTCGCTCCCTGCTATTGTTTTGAGCCGACTTAGGAGTTAGAACCAAGCCGCACCACGCCAGACCTGGTGGTACCCACCCCCTCGCCCTGCCCCGCCGCCAACCGCTCAGCAAACTGAATCTGTGCGCCGCTCGCCTTTCCTCTCAATAGACTCCCATTCTGTGTTTTGTTTCTCGTTCCTGTTTCTTGTCTCCTTTCTGCTCCGGCTGTGCTTGTCTTTCAGCAACGAGCTTCTGGACACCTCAGCACCTCTGAACGAAGCTGCAGGGGCCATAGTGTCAATTCTCGCTGCAGTTGGGACATCTTAAAAGTTGTCTGTTGCTCTTGTTCTCGTCCTTCTCTGCCTGTGTTTGCCTTCAGCAACGAGCTTCTGGACATCTCAGCACCTCTCAACGAAGCAGCTGGGGCCATAGTCGATGTGAGTGCGAGTGTGAAACAGCACCAGACTGCGTTGTTAGAGCAGAGCAGACAGCTCAAAAGGCAGCAGATTCCCGTGCTATAGCTGACAGCAAGTTCGATTGTGATGTTGACTTACGAAATCTGAGTCGAGCCATCTGTCTTGACTGATTGAATCTTGTTAGATCCATTTAGATCTAGACACGATGTTGACTTACGAAATCAGTTGGCTTGCTGCGATCGAATCCGCCCTTAAACAACAAATCTGAGTCGAGCCATCTGTCTTGACTGATTGAATCTCGATTCCACGCACTCTCTTCAGAGACCATGCACTCGCCCACCCCACTCGTCCCCTCCCCTCCCCCCCCCCCCTTCTCCTCCCTCCCATCCCCCCACCTCTCTCCATGCCAATCGGCCCTGCAGGACTCCTTTTGGCGCTGTTTCAAGTCCAACGAGCCAGAGCCGTGGAACTGGAACCTCTACCTCTCTCCACCTCCCCCTCCCTTCTTCCCTCCCTCCCTCCCCCCTGTCGTCCGCATACCGGCCCTGCAGGACTCCTTTTGGCGCTGTTTCAAGTCCAACGAGCCAGAGCCGTGGAACTGGAACCTCTACCTCTTCCCCCTCTGGTGCCTTGGCGTGGTGATTCGCTACGTCATCCTCTTCCCCATCCGGTGAGCACCCATCCTCGCCTGCTCTCGCCTGTAATTGGTACTGTGGCTGAATTCCCCCCTCTGGTGCTTCAGTGTGGTTTTCCCCTACGCCATCCTCGTCCCCATCTGGTAGTAAGCACCCATTCGGCGAGGTCGCTATGCTTCCTCATCACGCACACAGCCACGTGCCTCGTTGCTCTCGCCCTGCTGTTGGTACTGCTTGTACTCTTCTCGCCCTGCTGTTGGTACTGCTTGTACTCTTCCCGCCCTGCTGCATTGCTGTGCGGTGCTGTGCTGTGCTGTGCTGTGCTGAGTCGCTACGCCTTCCTCTTCCCTTGCTGGGGTGAGATCACCATGCTTTCCCATTTCTTTCATTCATCCCCACTCCATCATCTCATCCCCACCCCATCATCTCATCCCCACCCCATCATCTCATCCCCACCCCATCATCTCATCCCCACCCCATCATCTCATCCCCACCCCATCATCTCATCCCCACCCCATCATCTCATCCCCACCCCATCATCTCATCCCCACCCCATCATCTCATCCCCACCCCATCATCTCATCCCCACCCCATCATCTCATCCCCACCCCATCATCTCATCCCCACCCCATCATCTCATCCCCACCCCATCATCTCATCCCTACCCCATCATCTCATCCCCACCCCATCATCTCATCCCCACCCCATCATCTCATCCCCACCCCATCATCTCATCCCCACCCCATCATCTCATCCCCACCCCATCATCTCATCCCCACCCCATCATCTCATCCCCACCCCATCATCTCATCCCCACCTCATCCCCACCCCATCATCTCATCCCCACCCCATCATCTCATCCCCACCCCATCATCTCATCCCCACCCCATCATCTCATCCCCACCCCTCATCTCATCCCCACCCCATCATCTCATCCCCACCCCATCATCTCATCCCCACCCCATCATCTCATCCCCACCCCATCATCTCATCCCCACCCCATCATCTCATCCCCACCCCATCATCTCATCCCCACCCCATCATCTCATCCCCACCCCATCATCTCATCCCCACCCCATCATCTCATCCCCACCCCATCATCTCATCCCCACCCCATCATCTCATCCCCACCCCATCATCTCATCCCCACCCCATCATCTCATCCCCACCCCATCATCTCATCCCCACCCCATCATCTCATCCCCACCCCATCATCTCATCCTCACCCCATCATCTCATCCCCACCCCATCATCTCATCCTCACCCCATCATCTCATCCCCATATGTTCCTCACGTATATCTTCCCTTCCGCACGCCAGGCTGGTGCTGCTGCTGCTGGGGTGGGTCATCTTCCTCTCACTCTTCATCCCCATCCACTTCATATTCGCCGGATATGACAAGCTGCGTCGCAGCCTAGAGGTAAGGTTTCGTGTGTGTGTTTGTGTGTGTGTGTGTTTTGTTTTTTTTTGTCCTTCACTTTTCCACCCATTCTTACTCTCACTCCCTTCCGCGCCCTCCTCCCATCCTCACCCCCATCACAGCGAGGGCTGGTGGAGTTCATGTGTGGCGTGTTTGTGGCATCATGGACGGGCGTCATCAAGTATCACGGGCCTAGACCCGTGCGTCGGGCCAACCAGGTGAGCATGGCTCCCGGTTCTCATGGCATGGCATGGCATGTGTGGGTTGGAGGTGACTCGTTGCACTTGTGGGTGTGGCAGTTGGTGATTCACACAATGGATGGGCGTCATCAAGTATCACGGGCCTAGGCCTGTGCGCAGGGCCAACCAGGTGGGCTTAGCTCTCGGTTCTCATGGCATGGCATGTGTGATGGAGGTGAGTCATTGCACGTCTGTCAGTGTGGCAGCAGTAGCTGAGTGGTACCATGGGCGCCATGGATGGGCGTCAAGAAGTACCATGGCCGCCATGGATGGGCGTCAAGAAGTACCATGGGCGCCATGGATGGGCGTCAAGAAGTACCATGGGCCTAGGCCAGTGTGGTGGGCGAAGCTCACATCAATGATCGACTTCATCATTCTAGAGCAGCTCACCGCCTGTCCGTCCGAGCCTTTGAGTCGATCCACACGTCAACAACTGGCGTTCATACTCTCTGTCTTGTTCTCTCCGTCTTGCCTGCCTGCCTCCGCCCATAACAGGCGTACGTGGCAAACCACACGTCAATGATCGACTTTATCAGTCTAGAGCAGCTCACTGCCTT